TGGAGGTCTTGTTCAGAATACGACTTCATAGCTAGTAAATTAATATATACACGAAGTTTGAAGAGATTTGAAGAAGGTTTGGTTGAACAGTGAGGTAAATTGTTGTATGGTAGGAAAATCGGGTGGTTGGTGAACAGGGGGCCCAAATGCAGGGGGGGCCCATATGTGGGTGCTCCGACTTATTCATTATCACGCGATGAGCTCAGCGCTCTTGTGGGTGCCAGCTGGGAAGTATGATTCTGTTTCACCATTGTGGCAGGATCAATACATCTGGTCTCCAGTGCCCGTCGACAAAAGTCTCCCCCTACACCAAACTTCATTCCTTGAAATCGATGAGAGCGAAGCCGCAACAGCGGTCCGTTCGAGAGCGAATACGTCAACATCAAATACAACCAGACAAAACATATCGGCATTAGTGTCAGAGCGAGATCTAGACCATGAAGCTGGCGAACGCGATGCCGCAGAACTGGACCAGGCGATGGGGATAAAGGGGCGACATCATGGGTCTACATCAGGCTTCTTGGTTGCTCCAGCAAAAAGACAGCCCTTAACGCCGACCGTGGAGAATAAGCCAAAGGGGACGGTACTGCGACCTGACTTATCGAAAGCGAAGAGACTGCGTAGCTTTCACCTTTTGAGGAAGGCAAGAACTGGTTCGTTCACTCGTCCAGCGGCATTGGAAACATACCACCAGGCGCATGAGAAAACCAGTGTGGCAGTGACCAAGGCCCCCGAAGCTCCAGGTGAAGACGAAGAACCAACGTTGACCGAAACATCGGCTGGGAAGGAAACCTGCGGTGATACCGCCAAGGAACCATCCAAAGGCACGAGCCAACGTAGTGTCGGCAATCAGAGAGCTCGACCACGACAGCGGAAAGATCGACTGGCAAAGGTCAAAGCACAAAGAGGCATTGATGATACCCATAAACCCGATACGAAGGTCCAACAGGCGCTGATCCAAGCCCCCATCGAGTCTCAGCAACAACCGCTTTCAAATACGCCTAGTGGCTCACAAAGCATGAGCTTGAAGCTGGACCTGAACCTCGACATTGAAGTGCAACTGAAGGTGACATTGAGGGGCGACCTGACCTTATCCCTTATGAATTAACGGGATGCCATGGTTTATGCATTCAAGAGTGTATGCATGGGGCACAGTAGATGATGTTCATCGCATTACTGCTTTGAGGCTGTGATTTTTGGAGAGATCCTCGCAATCCCAAGGCATGACCGGAAGACCCACGCGTGCATGACACGTGAATACCGAGGTCATGTAACAAATTTAGCTTTATAACAGGATTAGGCGAATGATAACATTTCTGATTAAACGGGTGCAACACTTGTCGACACATCTTGAGTGCATCTTTGCCGCACATCAGGGTCTTGTATACAGGCAAAACAGAGTATTTTACCTTGACCAGCGAGTAAGCTTGATATGGGCATCTGTATCTTAATTACTATTTCATTTAATTCTTCGCACTTATTAGTACGTGCGTCTTAGATTGCGTTCGAGCTCAAGGCAACCCGACCTAGGTGCAATACTTCCAATGTCAGTAAGTCTTGGCGTTCCCCATGGCAGGATTAGACGAATTATGCAGGAGTAACTGACTAAGTTAGTCTTGATACTAGCGTGAAGAGATTGTAGCGAATCAACGCCCTGTACCAGCAAATCATAGGCACATTACCAAGCTCGGTTACAGATCGCGACCGGGTAACCCAGCTCCGGGCGGAGGCTGGTTACACGTATCGGCCAGACTGATCAATGATGCGCATACCCCGGAATTTCGAAAGCAAAACTCTCTTTGCCAGGCATTATTATTCTACAAATGCTACAGCCAGGCCTCAGACGTCGACATGGCATTTCGAACTGAGGATATCCCTACCGTTTTGTTGCGAGCAACATCTTTGCTGGTCTTCTTCGTGGTGGCAAATTTCCTCTACAATGGGTACAAAGTACGGATGAGGTTCAGAGCGCTAAAGGCGCAAGGCATCGTAAGTGATTCTGCATTTACTTCCGATCCTGATCGTATCTCCAAGTCCCTTGCATGCTTGAACACTAGGTAGCTGACTAATAACAGCCTATCATGCCGCATTCTCTACTTTGGGGTCATCTTCGCTTGCTTGGAGAATACCGCAACTCTTATCCGTTGGACAACAGCAGTAACCACCTGTCCATCTGGCTGGTCGAAAAGTGGGAAACTCTGTTCCCTGGTGAGAAAAACTGTCCCGTAGTGATGTATCTTGATGTGTGGCCCGCCGCCGAGCCAGTGATATTCACAACACACCCTAAGGTCAGCGCGCAGTTTACTCAGGTGAAGAGCCTACCGAAGTCTCAAATGGAGTTGGATTACTTGAGGCCTTTGACGCAGAACAAGGACATGGTATCGTCGGATGGCGAGTATTGGAAGAGGTGGCGCTCGGTCTTCAACCCCGGATTTAGCTCTCGCAACATTACTGCACTCATCCCGTCCATGGTGGACGACATGTTGACCTTTGTGAACGTCCTTGAATCATACGCAGAAAGGGGCGCAAAGCAGGGCCAGGTCGTACAACTTGAGAAGCTGACAACCAACCTGACCTTTGACATCATTGGAAAAGCTACACTGTGAGTTAATTCACAGGTCGAATCTGCCCGTTGATGCGGAGGCTAATATTTCATTCCACGAAAAGCGACCTGAAGCTGAACGAGCAATCTGGCAAAAGTAGTATCCTCAAGACGGCGATGACGACGATGACGAAGCGCTTGGGGACGCGTTTCAGCCTAACAAGGACTCTGGCGATGCTTAACCCTTGGTCCCAGCTCCACCAAGACAATCGAGTCATGAGAGAAGTTCTGATACCTCAGATCGAGCGCTATCTCCACTCCTTGGGTTCGGTCAGGGAGACCAAGACCATCATGGATCTTGCGGCCTCGTCCTTGGAGAAAGAGAGCAACATCAACGACATCAGGGAGGACCCAGAGTTTCTCACCAGTCTCTTGGAGAATCTCAAGGCTTTTCTCTTTGCCGGGCATGACACCACGGCGACTACAATCTGCTGGTTATTCAAACTGCTGGAGGAGAATCCCGAGTGTATGGATAGGGTGCGTCACGAGCATAACGAGATATTGGGCCCGAATCCCGCAGATGCCACGGAGCTGATCACGAAGTCACCCCATGTTCTTAACTCAATGCCTTATACCATGGGCTGCATCAAGGAGACCTTGCGACTGTACACGCCGGCGTCTACGGCACGGGCTGGCCAGGCGGGCTTCTTCCTCTCGGATCCGATGTCCAACTTGCAGTACCCCACCGAAGGTTTCAGCATCGGGGACGGATCACAGGGAGGTCATTATCGACCTGATGTCTGGCCGCGCCCGAGGGAATTCATGCCCGAGAGGTGGCTCGTTAAGGATGGCGATCCTTTGTTTCCGATGAAAGACGCCTGGAGACCATTCCAGCAAGGGCCTCGGAACTGCATTGGCCAGGAGCTGGCGTTAATGGAGCTCAAGCTGGTGCTTGTCTTTTGCGCGCGTACGTTCGATATCGAGCAGGCATGGGATGAGTGGGATAGGATAAGGTAAGTTTCAACGAATGCTACTGAGATGCCCGATTCTCGCTGTTATGAATAAACCTCGGTAACTAATTTTTCTCTTGTTGAAGACACAACACGGGACCGAAGGATATGGTCAATGGAGAGCGATTGTACATGGTTGGCGATGGAACCGGGCATACGAAGGATGAGACGCCTGTGCGTATTAGGAAACGCATTGCGGGTTCGATGTAGGATTGATGTTGCGCATTTTGGTAGAACGCTCAAGGTTGCTCAAGACGTCACTTCTCTGTGGAAGTTGAGATGGGCTACAAATATCCCGACTAATTAACATATCATTCAACCCAAACCAACCAAATACAAAGGTAAGATCATTGTAAACCATGGTTTACCTTTTGTGGTCTCAGTATCGTGTATATCAACCGAAGGTTAATGAGATCGCGTCGTACTGCGTGGCGTGCAGAGCTCTCTGGTCATTTGAAACTAAAACACAGCATACAACCACGACGATTCCACAGCCGAGTGTTCAGCTACGATATCCTGAAGGCAGATATGCATGCAGAAGCGTTTGGTTTATGATTCGGCGAACAGGAGTCGTTGACCAACAATGACGAATACAGATCACAGTCCACACGCAGTCACTTAGTTCGACTAGGATAAACGGGCGTTGTCCATCAAGAAAAGCAGGCATCAGGACTTGAAGGGCAAATTATACCGTAGAGCGATCAATTGCAGCGATTAGATGGCTCGTCCATGGCGCGGGGATTGGAGAGACACGAGAACACAGATCCAGGGTAGCCCGTACGTGAACCAAGCTCTTGCGAATCTTTTCGTTCTTGTTGAAGCACGCGGCTTATTTCTAAGAAAATGTACAGTATTTTTGTCCTCTATCCCCAAAGCCAAGGACTCTGGTTTCCTCACTCTGCAGCCCCTCCAGTCGTCCGGCCCTTTACTTGGAGGTTGTCGACGGCGTAACGGCGTAGGTAGGTCTGACGTATCGATCCGAGTTGTACACCTTGAAGTTGTCGCCCAGCAGCTCCTTCTCTCGGGCCTGGTCGGCCAGATGTCTTCGGACCAGATCGCGGTCTTCTTCGGCCTGGAGGAGGGGGATGAGGTGGATGCGCGACCACATCTTTTCGCGGGCCAATTCGCTACGGCACCATCCGCGTTAGCTATCTCGCTCTTTCCGTGTGCGAAACTCGTTGGGGGGCAGGCATACTTCTGTTCCCTGATACCCTGCCCGAGCTTGTAGAAGCCGTAGATCATGACGGCGCCCATGCCTAGGATGAGGGTGCCGGGGCGGAAGGACGGGGCGGGCAGGTTGCGCTAGAACAAGGATAAAATCTGTCAGTCTCTTGTTCCAGTTGCAAACTCTTCTTTCAATAGATTGGCGCTTCCCCCCGAGGTTCTCGGCGGTGTCTCCGGGGTAGGCGGACGGGTGGGTGTTTAATCAAAATCGAAGCTCGTGGTTCCGCGCGCATGGCTCTGCCGATGGCTGGGGCTTGTGGTTCTTGCTGGTAACGTCGCATCTGCTGCATCGGGTGCAGAATAACCACGCCGCCGAGTTGTCAAATCGTGATGCCTCGCCGAAAAGCCTGGTGCTCCTCAACATGCGAGGGCATTTCCAAGACCACGTACCTTGTACTGTACCGGCCCGTAGCCCCCGACGGGGGGCATATCCTGCGGCATTTTGTCTGGGCTTCAATCGGAGAGAGTGGCCGGATGTATGTCGCAGCGTTCGTGGGTCGGAGGTCGATTGGCTGGTCGGCAATGGATTGATTGACTCGTTCACGATGCCGATGTTGAAGCTTGGCCAAGGTGAGGTTGACGGCAGCTCTCGAGATCACGTGACTCCGCGGGACCACCTCCCCACGGTACGTACCTTGCCCGCATCGATCATGACCCAATGTCCAATCGATATTCCATCAGGGTCAAAACTATTGACTTTTTTAACGTACGTGTTGGCAAGGCCTACTACACATTGTCAATGTAGCACGCAATGCCCATGAGCCTAGGGTTCCGTTGTTAGCCGTGACTTTCCAGATGGGGCGGATCATCCAAAGGCTGCGGTGCGGCAACGCCCAAAGCACACCGCCGGTCGTAGGCAAGATAAGCCAACCGGATCCAGGTTGTGCTCAATTTCAATGTGTACGTAGACGATGAGCATTAAGCATGGTTCATGGTGACCTAGCAGCTGCAATTCTAAACGGGGCCTCACGGCCCTATATTCGGGACCATTTCTACCCTTCAACAGACGCTATGCAAGTGAACCAGGTGCCGATATGCCCCGCCCAAGACCCCAGAACTCCTTCATAAGCATTTTACATGGGCATTTGCCTCAGCGCCAAGACATCTTCTAGTCTACAGTGACAACGATTAGGCGGCCTCGGCATCGACATCCGTGTCGCCGGCTGCCAACTCGGCTTCGAGCTCCGCCTCCAGGTCAAAGTCGTCGTCGTCGTCGCCGTCCTCTCCTCCCTCAGCGCCCTCCTGGTCTCTACTTCCATCCGCCTCATCCCCGGTGCCCATCGGCGTGGGCAGCCCGCTCCCCTTCCTACTCTCTTCGCCGGCGTTTCTGACGTTGCGCAAGCCAGTCGTCCTGTCCCTAGCGAGCCTCTGTTTCTTGGCAAGAACGCTATCGCCATCACTGGCGGCGCCGTCATCGTCTAGCCTTCGTTTGCGGCCCTTGGACACACTCTCCGTATCGGTGTCCATGTCCGAGGCGTCCGATGCGTCAGACCCCATGAACTCGTCAAGTTCGGCATCAATTTCGCCCCAATCCGCGTTGTTCAGATCGACCGGGCTGCGTTCACCGTCGTCAGGCTCTGTAGGCATGACACCGTAGACGTCCTGCACCTCCCCGTTCTCGTCCTCGTCCTCGTCTCCTTCATCCCCTGCCTCGGAGTCGTCTGGTGGAACATCATCGCCATCATCCTCATCTTCGTGGTGCTCAGGTCCGGCGACTCCCGGGGGGCTAATGCTGAGGCTTTCTCTTCCGCTTTCCTCTAATGGGGTCTCGGTGGCCCGATCCGAAGGATGCACAGTGATGAGGAAAGGTTCCACGTCCAGTTGTGTCCACTGCGCCAGGCTCTTGGCCAGCCAATCTTGGTTGACGATACGGACGCTGGGTATGCGCGCAGCCTGGCGAACTTTTTGCGTGCGTGGTCTCGAGCTGCTGATGACGAGATGTGTCACATTCTTGCTGATCTTGGTTCGAAGCTCTCCGCCGAAGCTTTGGATTTGCAGGCCGATTTCCGACCGGTGAACATCGACGCCGAGCGGAACTAGACCACTGAGTACAATGCTGCACCCTCGAAGGACACGCTTCTTCACCCACTCTAATAGCTTGCCGACGTCAGGAATGGAGTCTGCCGTGATCTCCTTCTTGCCCGTCTCTTTCCTGCGGGCCGCCACTCTTGAGTCGTGTTGAGTATAAAAGTTCTGGTGAAGATTCGACAAGTGCTTTTCCAAGTGGAAAAGTTCGTCGTCGTCGTCACGCAAAAGGTTGTGACGGTGTTGCGCGTGAACTTCAGCATGTCCGTTCTGTTCGGGGAGCTCGGTAGTAGGCACGCCCTCAGATATCGTCGAGTCCTCCTTGTCTAATTCTTCTTGCAGGTGAAGTAGAGGTCGTTCTGTCAGCTGTTTTTCAAGTTCCTTTTCTTGTTCCTCGGTTTTCAATTGGAAGAGCGCATTCTCATCGTCTGACTCGACAGTTGGGTTTTCAGGATTCGCTGTCTGGTCTTTTGCGTCCTGTGATGAATTGCCGTTGGGTAGGGGGCGAAGAGGAAGTGAAGTCGGTGAGGGAGCAAGAATGTCATCGCGCTTGGGGAGAAAGCTGGAGTTAATATCGCCGATGCCCTTGAAGAAGTCGTACGGCGTAACTTTGATCAAATTCTCCCTATTCAGGGGCCAGACGTCGGCTCGGTCATCAATGACAACCACCATATGCGTGCTCACGGGAAACAATCGCTGTAGTCGCTTGGCGGCCAGACTTCCGTTCTCGTCGCGACTGATGACGCGATTACCAAAGAACTTCATCTGCGGATCAATGATTTTGGCGATCTCCTTCGCGTACGCACGCGTTCCCATGGTGTAGATATGCATTTCGTACAGTTCCGACATCTTTTCCAGGAAGTTAGCCAGCCCGGGCCGCAGCTTAATGTAATAGGAGCACTTTGGCTGGTCCTTCTGCTTGGGCCCATCGTCCAATTCAAAGCTGCGCACATCCTTGACGGCTTCGTAGTTGGGGTTGTTTGGATCGCTCTGCCAGTCCTTGATCGTGGGCTCGACACAGGCATGTATAACCGTCTGATCCAGGTCAACCACGAGGCTCAGCTTGCGGGCCTCCAGGAGGCGTTCCTGCAGCTCTAACTCTTTCTTGGCGGCCTCCTGTGGGGAGACCTTGAGCGCGACATTGTCGTGCACCATGGCGATGGTGGCACGCTCCACATCAAGGGTCCCGGCAGCCCAGTTCGACTCAAGCATATCTTTCCCACATCGCGTACAGAGACCAGCATACTGGGTGTCATGGGGACACGGCTCGTCTATGCCCAGTAGGACTTGGTCGCGATGTATCACTTCCCCTTCCTTGATGTGCCACTTTACAATGATTCCATCTCCCGGACAGCTCCAGTCTCCGACGCCCGTCTCCTCGATCTCGCGCTCCTCGTCCAGCTCCGGATCGCCAATTGTACGCTTGTATTTGAATGTGTATTGCACCAGGTTGTCTTGGCGTCTCACCTCCTCGCCTTTGTGCTTGGAGATTCTGCTTATGGTAATCGGATAGTGCAGGCCAGACCCGATGTGAAACTCCTTCAGGTTGACCATGGCGGGCGGGCGGGCGGGCGTCCGGTGTTGTGACACCGAGCGAGCCGCGGCTTTCGAAGATCGGACTCTCTGCTGGCGAGGCTCTGGGGGGAAAACAGTTATCAGCAAGTGGCGCTAGATTTACGCATAGAAAGCTTTGTAGGTAGCATTGGAATGTCAGGGGTGGCATTCATCTCTGTATCCGGCTTCCACGTGGGCGAGGAGGGGAGCTTAGACAGAGCGCGTGGAAGAGCTGGATGTTGAGAACCAACGCCCTCAGAAAAGAATGACAACGGCTGTAGAAAGGATACGTCTGGCAATGCTAACAATGATCGAGAAGAGAAGGAAACTCGAGGGTACCTACAAGAGTGTTTTTCAATTGCTTCCCTTATCTAAGGAGGAAGCTCCGAGACCATTCCAATATCACAAGCTCATGAGCGCCGGCTAATCCCATGGCCTATGATCGGGTTACCAGGTTGCAGTTGCCGGTTCCGATTGGAGTCGTCCGTCTGCAGCCCAGAATGACACCGTCAGTCACGGCTTGGCCGGTCTGGTAGACGCAAACGGGCGGTGCGTGGTGTTGGTCGGGATGAACCAAGACAAAGCAGTGGGCTTGTGTTGGCTGTGTCTCAGGTCGAGTAGTTCGCGGCCAGCTACGCGTGCGTACTAGCTACCTGTGCTCTGCACTACGGGTGCTCTGAGCGGCGTGACGTGATGTGATGTGATGTATGGTGTGGTGGCGTGTTGCGATCGATGCGATGCAAAGTGAGGCGACGCGATCAATCGGGTTGGATGATGGATTGGCAATGGCAATGGCGTCGGCGTCGGCGTCGGCGTTGTTGATTCGGGCAGGCGGTGTGTATTTGTGAGGGGTGCAGCTAGTCAAGTTCACCTTTGTAACTTAGGTACTCAGTATGTACCTCTGGGTATGCTCTCGCTGTTAACTTGCGGGTGTGGTGTGGCCTCGGCGAGGCTGGAGGTGGAGATGGAGGTGCCGGATGCGGCGAGGCGCGTTCTGTCGCAACCAGGCCACAGCGGGACTGCAGACCTCGGCGAGCACGGGACACTGGTGATGGTGCTTTTATTGTGGCATCCAATCCAAGTGACCTTGGGGAGTGTAGGAGGAGGGAGGGCTTCTAGAAGCTGGAGGACTAGGAGTACTGGGTAACAGCCCGCAACCCACCCGGTGCTGACGTCTTTGGTGAGGTCCTTGTGCTCTCTCTCTCGGCTGGAGGTCCAAGCTCCGAACAGCTCCAGGTTCCAGGTTCGCCCAGGCTGTCCTGTAGCTACAGCACGGTCACTACTCAGGAGCTAACCTGTAGATTGGTTGAGGCTGGTTGGTTCGCTGGCTGTCGGACTGGGGCCTGCTGGGCTCGGTTAGCTGGCGCGCGCGATGGATGATGGATGGACGCTTTCGGGTGGCGCACTGCAGCGGATGCCCACAGCTTACGCAGGCGGTTCTGGTTGGCAACAGAGCAGCCTTCACCACTGAATATAGCTTCCCCGGATTGAGCGGACTGTGGGATGCGCAGTTCTCGGTGGATATAGTCGCAGCAGAGTAGTATCTCCAAGCTTGGTCGCGTGTCGCATGCGGTGCGGCAAATCAGAGTCATTCGGGGCTCCCAGATTCGCGAAACCGCCCGCCCCCCGTTGCGCTTGGGGATGAGGGGCCTTTTGTACCTGGACAGCTTCCGTCTCGTGTGGCGTCACCTCCCCTACAATCCCATCCATGCCACCCCGGTCCGACTGTCCAGTCCAGTGTCTCTGCAATCTGCGGGGGAGCGCTGGGAGTCAAGGGCCCAGCGCCCCCAGCGCCCAGCACCCAGCACCCAGCACCCAGACAGGCCAGGTGACTCTGCAGTCTGTCGTACGCCTGACATGCACAACAGGTAATCATCTGTGGCTTGACATGGCATCATTGTGGCTGATGCAGCCCGCCCTGACACGCATACCTATGTACCTATGTGCTGTTCCTGACTCCTCGGGGCATGACTTCTTGGCAGGAAGGACCTCGGACGCTGCAGTCATTCTTGTGCAAGCCGGCCACCTAGCTTAGCTTTCTGGCCAGAGGGGCAAGAGGAACGTAGCTTGCCAGCGTGTTGCTTTGCATCAGCAGTATCTTGTCATTGGTGTTGGCCTACCGACACATAAGGACCTGTATTCACTGATTCAAGAGCGGTTCGCGGAAATGCTATACCTCTTCCTGCATCAACGCTATACCACCTATAATCCGCAGAAGAAACACGCCCACTCGACAATCAAGACCAGAATCATAAACAGGTACGAGCAGAATATATGAAGCTACGTACCTGTATTCAGTGAAAAAAGTAGACACATCATACTCGCTCCACTTATGGGCAGTTGTGTCCGAATCGGGATGAAGCCAAGGAGCGGCACAAAGTCCGGGGATTTTAAAAACACTTTGGTGCCTAGTTCTCTACTACATCAAAACATAACACAAGGCCGTATTTCTTATCGGCTTCCTAACCCCTATCAAGCTCCTTAAACGCCGCGTAGAGAAAAATCCGTGGTCACATGTCCAGACCCAGGTCCGAGTTCCTGCCGTTGCAGCTAGCTTTCTAGTTCCAGCCATGGGACAGGATATCAAACATGTACTTTGGCCACCCAAGATGCTCCGGCAGCCATACCGTGAGGGTTGCGTCCAGCAACCGCTCGAGTGGATGCAGCAAAAGGGTCCCCGCGAGCTTTCCGAGACGAAAAGGCAGCCGTAACGACACTCGAGCAATCAGTCAGACTAGCCTCGTCCACGCCCATGAGGCCTAGTTTCTCCATGCTGGAATGAGGTAGAGTTAGCATACAGCATCGGGTATGTAGGACATGGCATGCAAAACGAAGGGATGCTGGGCTTACGCTGGCACAAACGCAGCTTGCCAGTCACTCAGACTGCCGGCAAAGGTCGTCCAATCGCCGCTGGTAGTGCTGGAATTGCTCAGGTTGATATCACTCTGGAGACTCGCAGGCGCGGTGCCGTCAGTGGTCTCCGAGTAGAAGTTGGTGTCTAGATCATCGACTGTGGAATCGAGAGCGACACCAGCCAGGTTTTTGGCCGCGCTGTGAGCGCCGATCAGTGCAATGAGCTCCGTGACAGTAAACCCTTTGGCCTCGAAATCCGAAACGATCGAGTCGGCCGCTGCGTTGGCGCCTGGTATTTGGCCTGTCGGGTTGGCAGTGCTTGAGTCCACTCGGCCAGCTTTGAAGGCGATGGTCGGGCCCAGAGCAGCTGCTACACCGAGCGCTGGACCACAGTCAGCGAGAAGCATCCACAACACAGACCCTACTTCTAGTTACTTACCGGCAGCTAGCTGGATGGTATCGGCTGTGCTCACGTTGTACTGCGTGGCCTTGTCTCCAAGGGTAGAGCAAATTCCCACCATCTGGCTGTTCTCACCACGATCACTGCACTCGCCAGCTAGTATGAGTGAACCATCGCATGCTTCGGGAAAACAGTCATGGAATGTTGTTCGGATGGCCGCGCGTGCGTCATCCGTCGCAGCACCATTGCTGTCGACAAATAATGCCTTCAGATCAGTGGCAACGTCGGTCCACACAGCAGGACACTGGCCGGCAGCGACTCCCAAGAAGCCGGTGATAAGAGCGATGGTGGAGGAATGCATTGCAATTTTATTCTTATCGATGTATCAGGGCTGGACAACAGTAGAAGTTGAGACTGGGCCGCGTGAGGATGATAAAGTGGCAGCAGAGCCAGATGATGATACTATAAGAAAAAGCTTTTGTCGTGAGGAGCCATCTTATCTTTATATAGGCCTCTTCAGATATATCATGGCGTTGAGACGGATAGCTTATATCCACCCTCTTTGCACAACCTGGGGTCTAAAAGCTGTAGAGCTTGCAGATCTTGTTTCTCGTTTCCCACCAGGCCAAACGCGCCTAAGGAGTTCATGACAAGGCCGGTGCTGATCATGAGTCCAGCCGCCGAGGCTGCGCGGCTGCAATGCGTATCAAACGCAGGTGTCAAGCCCCGGTTGCATGCGAACAGACCTTGCATTCATCATCCCCGCTGCAAAGTCCCATACGCGGGCATGGCAATCCCCGACTATTCATGGCGACATATTTTTAGACCCGTCGCCGACTGAGGCCCAAGACTGAGAAAAGTGACCACTTACAGCAGGTTCAGTTGTCAGCCCACCGATGCACAGATGTCCGTGGGTAGATTCGCCTGAAGCTCAACGCTTTGACACAAACAACTCAGGTTTTCCGGTGCCTGACGAAAAAGTATGGGTTATTTTGTCGAGAAGCAACAGTCTCTCTGAAATGCATCTGCAGTATCACAGTACACTGTTTATTATTTAATGCAACAGTGGACCGGGCGCGGGAGCCCGCCGATTGAGGCATCGGCTGATAGATACCATGTAGTGTTCATCCGAAGGTTCACAAACTGAACCATGCAATAATATCATTGGTCATGGGGATCCGGAGAAAAGCAGGAGCTGGCGGCTTTAGAAGCTGGCTCTTTGCTCCTCGTTAATAACCTCTGCCGACGTGCTGTAACTATACAGTACCTTGCCATTGTCGCAAGATGGCCGATGATGGGCCGGGACCATGATACTCGCATGTTGGGCCTTTATCCCCGCGATCTCCTACGCACTGAGGTGCTCGTAAGACGTACTACGAAGCAGGATGGGTTTTGTTGCTTTGGATGAGTAACACCTTACATCTGAGGGGTGAACTGTAGTCTACCGTGGTTAGATTTGGCTAGCGCACGGGAATGGATCTTGAGGAAATGCTTATCTGTTTCAGGTAGCGTGCATCCTCGGCAAGGGTCTACTCCATGGCCTAGCAAGTTAGAAGTCTTCTTCACTTCTTTCAAACTAATCGAGCGAGTGAGTGGACCCGGGGCTTTGGGCTCTCGAGCTCTCGTCAGCCGTATGTGGGCATTGTTCAAGACTAATGGCTATTGTGTTCACGCTGTAGAGATGTGACTTGGTGGCTGACTGGATCAGAGTAGCCCGTAATTACCTAGTTACCGAGACAGCTTTACCTCATCGCTATAATCATTCTTGTGGTCATGTATAATGTGCTTCTTTTCTCCTATTCTATTTGGCAACTTTAACAGCACTGGCCGCTTTGCTTTGCCGCTGTAAACGCCTGGAAATCTACTGGCAATTGGTGAGATTGCGCGGCAATCTAGCGCGAGAGATCAGCCTTATAGTTTACCTTAAGCGGCAACACCTAACGAGTGGACGCGTGTTGCGCAGGGGATTGCGACGGCTTACGACGACAGTGATTTTCTCTGCAAATGATCTGCGACATAGCGTATCACTGCGTATTAAAGGTGCCCACAGCCTGTGTTGTATACGCTGTGACCCTACCCTGGGTCACTGGAGTGTTTCGAGTCCGAGCGCTTCAACATCCCTGCCGGGGAAGCTAGGAACGCTCGCGGTTTACTAGGATTGTTCAAGAGCCTCATATATGACAGGTGACTATATGCAAGGGTAGCAAAAATTCTCCGATTGCAAGGCTCGCCGCGGATGGGCAACCACCGAACGAGAGACCAGTGATTTGACAATCAAGTCACTGGGCGCCCGTCATTCGTTCTGACTAGCTGTTGAACCTCGCCATGATCGGTCGTATGAATACATGATTACAAGGTTGACTAGTAAATTATGAAACACTCGCGATGTGACTTTGCCACGGTCATTAGAAACAAGAGTGATGTCAAACCATCTAGGCATGGTGTCCACGCCTTTGTAACTCCCGATGCGTAGTCCTCCTTTCTAGATTAGCATCGGCGTTCGTTGCCTGGATTCACAATTGCTTCCTTTAGACGTAGATATGATTGCGTCTAGATGCTTCGCATTATCAAAAACTTCCACTGTGCGTGTCCCTAGTCTTGTAAGCTATACATCATGCGTATTTCTTTGTTTTGCTCCATGATAAATTCGAGTTCCACCGTCAAACGTAAGAAAATACATCGAGCCTGGCCCCGATAATGCCCATGTGTTTACGTGGTTTATCAACCTGTTCCGAGCAAAGATCCCTACCATTCATTGCCTGGAGTCCCTGCTCTTGCACTAAACAGGGTGTTCTGTGGGAGTTCAAGTGCGAGGGGCTTAGGGGCATGCGCAACTCTGGGCATGGCGTCGCTCTCGGGAATAATTCAAAAGTGAGACTTGACTAGAAGATTGGGTTGAGTATATCCGTCATGCTGTTTCAAGTTAAGCCCGAAGTGTAAATAAGAATTGAATGAATTTTTCATTAGATATAACGAAGAAGTTCGAGGTTGCGCTGTAATGATAGCCTACGTGCTTGAGCATCTATACGACGACAAACTTTTAAACTTTCACACTCATCCTAGGCACTTTGACTTACTCAGTTCTTTATAACCTTTTGTAGTTGTAGAACTTTGGGAGATCTAAACGTCGGTCCATGAATATAGCAAGTGATTTACCATATACATGGCGTTTTGTGAGACCCTTACACTGACAGTCCTTGAACATACCAGTTCTCTGGCCACTTTTTCAGCATATACACGTTTACCTAGCAGAGAATCTTTAAAGAGAGTCTAATTTCAGCCTGAAAGTGAATTGTGTGAGTTTGCAGCTCGTTATTGCACTCCGCTGTCATTTATTGCGGTTATAGAACCATCATACGGTGAGAAAATAGGCTGAACAGCGACTCCTATGTCCAGATCTTCCACAGATGTACTAGAAGAGAGGGCCAATGCCCATCACATCCACCAAACCTCGCCAGCACCTTTACCATTCTCAATTTCTTCAGAATGTTCATCGAGAGCCTTTCGCACGCGTCCCGCTATCTCCTCTGCCGGCGGAGGTCCAGCAGGAAGCCCGGGCCCATCCGGTTTTGTGCCGACCGGCCTGATCCAGGGAACAGTCTTGGCGCCATCAACGTTGTCATAGATCTCTGAGAAAACTTGGGGCGAGTAGCCTCCGCCCATGATGACTATCCTCGGCCGTGGATAGTCCGTGCCGTCTATGCTGGGCGTTGCAATCGACGGAGACAGCAGCGCCGTGACCGCGGCTCTGGCCTCGGCTGGATCGGTGCATACTTTGATCACTTTGCGCGCATATCAGGACATCGGAAGTTGATAATGGTGGTCACCGTGCTTGGCTTACCTCTGTATTCCGGCTTGAGTATGTCGGTCGTCGCTTGCACATGGCTGGGAATCTTGCCGCATAGGAGGACAGGGATTGGCGCTGTTGATGCCATAGTTGATGGTCAAAGACTGAGAACTTTACTATGTAATTCAGTAGAGGGATTAGGAACTCTGCTCGATGCCTCAAGCGTCTAATCTGCTGGGTTGCAGAGTCGCAGCTTATGTATAGTTGCGGTCTGCCCATGCACCATGACAAACGACGTCGGCATTCCGGAGTCCCGACATTCAGCACTAGCCAGTGGCGGCTGGTAGCCAAGAATAACCTTCCATTCTCTTCGGTCCCGAACTCGAATACGTTCGCTATGAATGCGCCGACTTCTCACCAATTGGTTGGGTTTCGCAAAGAACAGTCCCAATTAGCCAGCTGCCAGGCACTTAGGAACCGCAAGATGCCGTACAGTTGGCTCGGAACTCATTATTGGCCCTCATGACCTTTGGGCATGGCATTCTCCTTCGCTCGTGAGTTATGATGGGTGGCCGATTATCAAGCATGCTGAATAATCTACTATCATCTGCTCGATTTGCCCTTGCCGCATTCAGCACATAGCCTCTTTCTTTCCTCTGAAGAACCCTCCAAGTGTTCCCATCAATTGTCCGAGTCCACTCTTCTCACTCGAACTCACCAGGCCTCCCTGTATCCAACCGGGTAGCTTCCCTCTTATTCTTTCTGTTCCAAATCTTCGGTCGGCAAGTACAATTGCAGCGTAGTCCCCTCGGTGTCTGATTGCTCGCCCAATACTCTGATTCACGGCTCGCATGCACGCGTTCTCGTAAAAGTCTCGCGCAGCCTGCTTCGCTGTGGCTGCCGCCTCCACCTTGGCCATTCCTGTGTTAGCAGCAGTGAGTCTTTCCAGCGTGGTCGATTCTATGTACTCGATTCTTGCCTTCCAGTCTGGTGAGTTGATATTTGGATACGGCAATCCGACTACGATGACACACCGGCCAAGACGATCCGAAAAATTGATACCCTCACTCATCTTGCCGCCCACAACGCTCAGCAATAGGGCGCCTTTCCCATTTCCTTTCGACCCCGGCTTTGTCGGGTCGCCTAAGATGGACTCGGTGTAATGTGCGAGAACCTCGTCGCTAGACCCGCCTTTGGTTTCTCTAAAAAGCGCCTTTCTGCTCTGTAACCGGGCCCAAATGGATTCCTGTCTGGCGGTCGCAGTTTGGGTGACCTCACTCCATACAGTAACAACTTCGTCTAGATACCCATAGCTTGGGAAGAAGACAACCATGCCATCTGGAACGACACTGCACATATTGAGGATGGCGATTCCAAGCTCGCGGATCATGGCGTTATCACTGCGTTTCTGGAAGCTGAACTCAAAATCCAGTCCTGGCTTCGACATAGCAAGTGTCCGAACGCACAAGTTGGATGCCGGGATAACGTGACCACAGCTCAGAGTTGTAATTTTCTGGGACGCCAGATCAGGGAACAAATGAGCAGTGTAGTCTTCAAAGGGAGACATGGTACCGCCAGCAAGAATGACGGCTCGAGCGCTGGAGGCGATGGAGGAGAAGGCGTAAGTGGGCGAGAGGAGCAGGTAGGAGAGTCTGATATCCACCTCCGCAGTGTTGTCCGAGGTTCTGTGGTAGAATATACGACCTTCAGAGCTCAAATTTGTGAGTGTCACGAGGAAAGAGAGCAGGTTGTGCAGCACAGGTGTCGATGACATTGGTTGCGAGGCCTTGTCATTCTGCTCTTCGATATGAGCTGCATAGCCTTCGATTTTGTACGCCAACTTGGATTCCTGTATGTACTGAATGAGCTTGTACAGATTGATTTGATCAAGGCCCTTGGTCTGGAGCAAGACGTTTGGATCAACGATGCCCTGTTGGCCCTGGCAAATGAGGTCAGTGGAACATGCATTCACCAGCCCCGACAATGCTCACCTTTGAATTCGATGCACCATTCAGCCACTCGCTGAGGCCATCTATGACTCTTGCCACTTGGGCTACCATAACTCTATTGTCCCCTTTGAGCCTCTTGCCAAACTTTTTGACGTAGACACCCAGCATCTGTCTACCACGCTTAAGATCTCTTAGACTAATCTCAGCAGCGTAGACGTTGGAAACCGCATCCATGATGTTGTGCGCTTCATCTATGATCACCACGTTGCCCTCTAGCTTGATTCCAAGAGCCTCCCGAGCTGTCTTCTGTAGCAACAAGGGGTACGGAAGAGTGATGACTTCAGCACCAGGCATGGCGGTTCGGGAGGCATAGTATGGGCAGATCGACAATTTCCTGCCGAGGTCAAATAAATCCTCAATATCTGGAAGCGTAGCCAATGCATTGTCGCGAAACTGGTGGGTGGGGCCAAGATTCTCGGCATTGGGAACAAATTGGCATTTCGAGCTGGACTTTGATTGCTGCAAGTCAGCGCACTTGTCGTTGATAGCGGCTAGGGATCCCAGACGGGATACAGCCGGGTTGATGCACAGACGTTGCCGCGAAGATAGAGGGACATGTTTGACACCTTCTACTTCCAGTTTGTCCGCTTCATCCTGCAGCGAAGCAGGCATGGAAGGCGGAAAATTGGGCCTGCGAAGTTCTGAAACAAACTGAGAGAGTTGCGAATGCGTCCTGGAGGTGTAGTAGATCTGAAAGCAAGTCAATGAAGAGTACGTCTTGTAGTACAGGCGAAAACCCTTACCTTGACCGGTTCATCGACCGTCTCGTCCTCCTCATCGCGGCTCTTGGATGGACCCATGCCTAGCTTTTCCATCAAGCTCCTTGTCTCTTTACTGAAGCTTGATACCTCACCAACCTGTTCACCGTCTCCGCTGTCCCGGTCGTCAAGCAGAAACTCAGCCTCGAGCTGATCAGACGATGCTAATGCCCTGGCGCCTGGTTCGTGAACACGCCTCCTCTTGGTGCCCCGTGCCTCCATGGACTTCTCCTTGACACGAATACGCTCGAGCCGGGCTTCACGGTCTTTCCACTGCTGGATCACGTCATCCCGCTTTCTCTTCAACATCTGTGCGACGACCCAATCTGGCTCATCTTGATATGCCTTGACCGCCTCGTCTACCGAGGTCTCCAGATTTGATATCTTGTGACTGCGAAGCCACGTCAACGCTGCGCAGATCAGTGACAGAGATTTCCCCTGCCATCATTAATGCGTGCATCTCGAGATGGAACTGGGTACATACGGTTCCAGTAGGGCTTTCTAGGATGCCAACTTGGCCATCGCCTCTCTCCAAGACGTCATAAACGGTTTTCATGAACTGTTCCTGCACGTCGTAGGGCGTGTACGGATGATGAAAGTCGATTGCATGGGGCCCGCTGGCAGCTTTATCCACGGCATTGGCGGCCATATTTCAATTCGCATTTATGCTTTGTCGACATCAGGGAGATAATGACGGGGAAGCAGTCGGTAAATTGGAGTATGGCTTGTGACTTCGCAGACTCTCAGTTGCTCGGGATGTTGCGGTAAGAATGGGCACGGACGTGGAGGATCACAGTTGTCATTCAGTCATTAATGATCGATGAATGCGAGTGTTTCAGCAGTTCAATGTGGCAGCCAGTCACCTACAGATATATCACATCGCCGCGGGACCCTGTAATTGGGCGTGATTTGAGGATGAGATACGTGGAGACGCGAACTCGGACTGCACTGCCAAAATGAACGATCTGGTGGAGCCAGCTTGACTGCACTGAATCTCGCGCCCTGGGAATTGCAACAACACTGATGTTGATATTTGAGACTCACAAGGCGCGACCAATTTGGGGACAGACGTATCCGCGCGTGTGTGATCACTGATAGTTACACACACACAAGGTTGCAGGCTCGGTGGTTTGAATCCCAGCTGTGATTGGCTCAGAATATCTTGCGCAAGGAGACCGCCAGTCAGTCAGTCGGCCAGACCGCCTGCAGCTGCCCAAGGGCCCCAGTTCCACGGTGGGGGAGGAGGGCCTGGCTGATGTGGCTGAAGTGGCCGTGCTCGCACAAACAGGACGAACGCGCCCACTGGCCCAAGCTTCCCAACGCCTAAGCCACACCACAGTTTTTTCGCTAGGGCTGCAAAACCCTTTCGCGGGCTGTGGAGAACCAAGGCCGCCCTTGTGGTCCATCACACTCTGGAAGTTTTCACGACTCCAGCACAAGAGTCGAGGTAGCGGAACACCACACCACAATAAGGCTACTGAACATCCGTCACCATGCCTACCCGTTTCTCCAAGACCAGAAAGCAGTAAGTACATCTCGGTGCTGCGATCCCGTCCATCTTCGCCCACGACTTCCCTCGATTGGTTTGCCGTCCGTCCTGCCGCGCCGCCTTGGGTCATGGAAAATTTCTAGGTGATGGGGGGAATTGCCGAAGACAGCGAAGGTGGCCAAGAAGGAGAGGAAGAGGTGGATTTCGGCATCTGCGCTGTCGCTCCCATCTGTCGACTTGGGCGTCGACACGGAATTCAACAGAACGATACTACGATGTGCGACCAGAGGACGCGAAACCAATCGGGGAACTTGGGCCTGGGTTTATCCCACTTGCCACATCCTCACGGCGCACAACCTACTCCATGATGGGCGAAGATTGTGCATTTGTCTGTTCGTCGCGCCGCAAAACGCTAACTTGGTTCTTCACAGCCGTGGCCACGTCTCGGCCGGTAAGGGTCGTGTCGGCAAGCACCGCAAGCATCCCGGTGGTCGTGGTATGGCCGGTGGTCAGCACCACCACCGTACCAACATCGACAAGTACCACCCTGGTTACTTCGGTAAGGTTGGTATGCGGTACTTCCACAAGCAACAAAACCACTTCTGGAAGCCCGTTGTCAACTTGGACAAGGTAAGCCGCCAATTGCTCGCTTCCCGTCGTCAAACCGAGAAGGCTCACACAGCTCCCAGATCTGGTCCCTCGTCCCCGCTGAGACCCGCGAGGCCTACCTGTCCGGCGAGAAGAAGGATACCGTCCCCGTCATCGACCTCCTTCCCCTCGGCTACTCCAAGGTCCTCGGCAAGGGCCGTCTCCCCGAAGTCCCCTTGGTTGTCCGCGCACGATGGGTTAGCAAGCTCGCCGAGAAGAAGATCACTGAGGCTGGCGGTGTCGTCGAGTTGGTTGCGTAAACTGGTCTTTTTCTGCTCAGGGATGGACAGACATGGGAAAACCGGATACCTTGTTGATGATTTGGGCGGGTTGTACTCAAGTCTCCTGCACACCACATAGCAGGTAGCAACACAAGGTCTTAGGCTCAAGGCTTTTTCGAGCATTGCATGGCATGAACGGTTCTACGAAAGGGAGTTCAGATGAATAAAACTGCTTTTCACCCACAACATGTTCACGACTTGTCGTGGAGTCTGCAGTTTAGACGGGCTGCGAATCAGGTGGTACCTACAGAAACTGCCTCGATGCTTTGAGTTCCCGCAACGTTGTGGCCGACGTTGAATAAACCCGATTCTTAAAGCACAATTGCTTGTCACTGGTGTTATGTATTGTGGAGTGGCTTGGTGCGTTGTAGATGGGCCAAGAACCCGGCTACCTGCAGTTTATTCTGACAGAACGTTTCTTTCACGTCGATGAGCCGATATTGCTCAATCATGTATCCTGGACGTCTCCTCATAACCATATACCGCAGATTTGCAAAGATTGTGTTCTTCGAGCTATCGCAATTATCATACCCAGCATGACCCAGCGAAATGATGTACGACGTGTAAAGGTGTTGAACCACTCATGTCAACCTCACTCGCGATGAGCGAGAACCTCATTCTGGCGCCGCGTTGCTTCTGGTAGTTGTTCTCAACCTATTCGAATGGCCCAAGAGACTTGATGCCCATAAATATAATCTTAATCGCGGCCGATCACACATACAACAACTGTGTTGCGGTATTGTCCAAATACGACCTCACACTGTGACAGAGCTACCAGCGACTGAGCACTTGAAGAGCAGCTCTTGCAGAGTTCGGTACGCTATCCGCCAGGTGACTATAACCCTGTCCTCTACAGTGGAAATGTTCCAGTTGATCAATTCTGCAATACGCAGAAACCACAAGCAACGGAACGCACGGAAAGTTTTAACTTGGAAAACATGTCAGGGCACCATGTCATTCTAATAAGACTAATATCATGGCTCAGTATTGGCGAGGCATACATACGCCTTGAGGCACGATTTGACATTTTGACCAATGTACATGAGTCTCATCTGGCGGCCAACACTAATGGTGCAATTTTTCATGCGCTTTCAGGGTCTTTCCATGCCGACGCAGACTGTCTCCAAAAGCCAAGCGGTGGTTCACTAACGTACCAGATGACGTATAGTAGATCCGTACCAGGTTCAGGCGCACTGAACGAAGACAGTCAAGCCAGACAAGCAGATGACTTATGCTGCGCACAGTTAAGTCAGCGCTCAACGGACACAACATCAGACGACGGGGCGGCCGTGGTTCGACAGGTCGGAGCCGTCAGCAGGAAGCAATCGGGTCCTCGAGGTCCGTCGCATGTGACAGTATCACAACCCCAGCTTGGCGGGCCAGCGGGCTGACCGGGTCGACAGGGGTGTGTTAGCGCCTCATCCAGGTTGGGCCAGTGGGCCAGTGACCCGCGATCAGTGGCCCGTCCACCCAACAGACGCCGCGCCATTGGTGGTCGAGTCGCTCTTTGGCTCTGGGGCGCCCTTCAGCGCATCAACAGTGCGCTGATAAGCGGGAGAGCTATCGATAACGAGCAGGTCGGTCCCCCTTCCGTTCCCCGTCCTGAACTGTACCGCGCCCTACCGAGTCACCGGCAACCACCACCTCTCAAGTTACCTCGCGGCATCTCGGCGCTGCTCACTCACTGCAGGCAATCAGCAGACGGACGGCCAGGGCCTTATCATCCAGTATGACTCGATAACTCTTCCTATCCGCCCCCCTGTTGCCCTGACGCATGGAGCTTGCATGCATGCGGTTCTGACGACTTACAAGCGTTGGAAAGCTCTCTGCCCGATATAGTCTCGGCCAGCCAAATCTGGTCATCCGCACCCAAAGTACAGCTACCGATCCTCTCTGTGGTCCAGCAAGCTCGCGGCCCCATTCCCGTGTCGAGCCGCTCTCTGCCTGTTAGGGATTCTCGTACTTGTTCTCGCGATGCATGCTGCAGCCTGACCAACTAGTTCAGCACCATTTGCCAGCCTCCAGCATCTCCCCGTGCCTTGCTGCGTGAGCTCCAAGCCCGCCTAGCGACTGCGCGACCGACAGCGACGAGGGCTTCGCTGGCTCCACTGCATACCCCCGCGTGCTGCCTGCATCTGCAGTATCACATAGCCCACACGCTTGCTCTGGCACCCCGGCGTGCAAGTTGCGTTTGAGGTTGAGGCGACCGCTGCATAGCCCCTGGCTGGGTCACTAGGCAGAAGGCCCCCGACGACCGGCGCCATGGTTCCATCACCTCACGACATTCCCTCCCACGAGGAGGCGACTAGGAGAAGGGTCAGCAAGAAGCTCCAGAAGAGACGCAAAGAAGAACACCAACCGACAATGGAGCTTCCCGACCGCCTGAAGGACCTGGGCGACGAGGCCGGCGAGGATGTCGTGCCTCAGCAGGCTGGCCACCAGATGTTCATGAACATGAACCAGTCAATCTTTGGCCTGATCGCAGCTGCCGGCTCCAACGTCGACTTTAATGATCGCTTCGAGGGCCAGTCGAGCGACGACGATGAAGGCACCGACGACCATGGCAAGGGAAGGACGAAGGAACAAGAGGATGTGTCCAAGTCCCAGATTCTCAAGAAGAGCTCGTCGGACAAGACAGATAAGAAGCACAGAAGACGGATATCTGGCCAGCTGCTCCGCTCGTTGCCTCAGCTACCTCGCCTAGCCACCAGGTCGAAATCGAAATCTTCCAAACTCAAGAGCCCGCCGCTGCCCGCCATCGACACCGATGACCACGAACCTATATCACCGGCCCTGGACTCTTCATATCCCAAGACTCCAGGCACCGAGGCCACGAGACTTGAGCGGAGGGGAAGCGCCGCACCTATAATGAGTAGGATGCTCGAGGCTAGAGCCGAGATGTCGGCGCGACCCAGTTTTGACCTCGAAAGGCTATCGGGAGATCACAGGAGAGGAGTACACACCGAAGACACTGGCGATACTGCGTTGGCGCGCCGTCTGAAGGAAATCTTCGAGTTCGACCAGCCGGAAAAGGTTCTAGAAGGTAATTCGCTTACAAAAAGTTATCCCATGCCTGAGGCGAGTCTAACGTGTGTCTTGCATAGAGTATCCCTGCTGGCTACTCCAAAGCGTTCTGCTTCAGGGATATATGTATATCACCGCAAAGCACATTTGCTTCTACGCCTATCTGCCCAAGAAGGCGGTAAGTTGGCGCTCCATTAACTTTGCGTCGCGCCGAGCTGACTGAATAACCAGCACGAAGTTGCCAAGTCAGGCTATCTATCCAAGAGCGGGAAGCGCAACCCCAAATACAACCGGTACTGGTTCCGCCTAAAAGGCGATGTGCTGGGGTATTACCGCGACTCTTCAAACCTCTACTTTCCCAGTGGTCAGATTGACCTCCGTTACGCTATATCGGCGAACATTACCGACAAGGACAAGGAAAGCGTGCACTTCTCGGTTGTCACAGATCATCGCACCTACTACTTCAAGGCGGACAGTGCACCAAGTGCCAAGGAATGGGTCAAGAGTCTGCAGAGAGTCATTTTTCGATCTCATAACGATGGAGACAGTGTAAAGATCTCGTTGCCCATCAACAATGTGATGGACATCGAGGAGACTCAGATCCTAGAGTTCGCTGATACTATCAAGCTCCGGGTTATTGATAATGAGGAGACCTATGCCATTGACGAGGTACGGTCGTCTTCCCCTTCTTCTCTCTTACGTATTGATCATTGAGGCTGATTTCTGCATTAGTACTTCTTCTCATTCTTCAGTTTTGGTAAGGAGGCGATCAATGTCCTCAAAATCCTGGTGGAGGACGCATCGACCCAAGAAGAAGAATTAGAATCGAGACTACATGTACCACGCCGACGGGCTATTCAAGATGCACCCTCCAATCGAACTTCGATGAGTGCATCAAGGACTGAGGCATCAGGGGGTGAGCTGAAGTCAACAAAGCTTCGCGAGAACGTCAAGGCCACCTTGGCTCCCATGTCACCTACTAGCCCACACGAATCCAACGTTCGAGCGAGTGGCGACTTCAGCAGGAGTAGTTTCGACGCGTTCCGCCCTTTTGGACACCGGAGTCTAGATTTGGATCGACTCACTCGTGACAACTCTCCGCGACGCAGTTTCAGTGGCAGCCGCACTCGGTCTCAGAGCAAAGCCAGGGGTCGCACTCCACGGATACCACCCGAGAAGCAAGAGTCGTCAGACTCCTACGTGCAGTCTCTCGAGGACCCTAGCTTTTCTAACCTAGTCGCCTCATCGAGCGAGGACCCAACTGGGAGTCAGATATTGACAGGGAGTGCTGTCTTTCATAGCCCTACCATTCATCGCCGTTCTGCTTCGGGGTCCCGGTCCAGGAAGCGCGAGAAAGCAAGTATTGCACAGCAGCAGGCTCGACAAGCGGATGGTCTGCATATCTATCACCCTAATCACGCAGCCACCACTGGCCATGTGACTGATCCGTCCGCTGGCCAGAGACCTGACCAAGCGGCGCCTGCGACCCCAACGTTACAGAATCTTGCCAAGATGGGTACGTACCCATTACAGCGCGCACAGGGCTTCGCCGACTATCTGAATCAGACCAGTCGACGCATGGGCAATCTCCTTGCGACTGAATCAATGGGCTACGTTGAAAAAGTCTCTGGGATGTGGAAAGGGGGTCGGAGACACTACCATGACTCTGGTATAATGAAAACGGACGATGAGCTGGATATAGACGACGAGGAAGAAGGGGACCTCGCAAAGACAATGGACCGGTTTCGAAACCACTTTGCCCTCCCAGAGTCTGAGAAATTACACGCAACCTACTTCGGTTACATCATCCGGGTTCTACCACTTTATGGCAAGATCTACATCAGCGATCGTTCTTTCTGCTTCCGGAGCCTGCTCCCTGGGACAAGGACGAAACTCATCCTTCCTATCGCGGATATCGAGACGGTACATAAGGAGAAAGGATTTCGATTCGGGTATTCCGGTCTCGTCCTCGTCGTCCGTGGCCACGAAGAGCTATTCTTCGAGTTCAACCAGGCAGAGATGCGAGACGATTGCGCCATAACTATGCTTCACCACCTTGAGACATCACGGTATCTTCGAGAGCCGGAGTACATTGCGAAGGAGGAGCAGGAGCAAATGGATGATGCAAAGGCCGAAAGGGACGCACTGAACGAGGCGCGCCTGCGGGAGAATCCAGAGCACGAGCTTCGGTTGCCGCAGCAGACTTCGGTGCTCAGTGACTCATCGCCCACAATACTTTTCGACGATCCAAAAGCATCCTTCCTCAACTTCAAGCCGTCGCAACCATTAAAGGTCACGTGTCTTACGATTGGGTCCAGAGGTGATGTTCAACCTTATATTGCGCTTTGCAAGGGCCTCTTGGCGGAAGGGCACAAGCCGCGGATTGCCACTCATGCCGAATTTAGAGGATGGGTGGAAAGCCATGGCATTGAATTTGCCCCCGTCGCTGGAGACCCTGGTGAACTCATGCGACTTTGCATCCAGAACGGAACATTCACTCTGGCCTTCTTCAGAGAGGCGAACTCTACCTTCCGGGTTTGGATCGAGGACCTCCTAGCTACAGCTTACGATGCGGTGAAAGGAAGCGATGTTCTGATCGAATCCCCCTCGGCTATGGCTGGCATTCACATCGCCGAAGCGCTGCAGATTCCCTATTTCCGCGCCTTCACCATGCCCTGGACGCGCACCCGTGCATATCCACATGCCTTCATCATGCCTGAGCACAAGATGGGCGGCGCCTACAACTACGTGACGTACGTCATGTTTGACAATGTTTTCTGGAAAGCTACAGCGGGGCAGATCAACAAATGGAGGCGAAATACACTTGGCCTGCCGCCAACCAATCTCGAAAAGCTTCAACCAAACAAGGTTCCTTTCCTGTACAATTTCTCACCCTCTGTCGTTGCACCTCCTTTGGACTATTCCGACTGGATTCGTGTCACCGGGTACTGGTTTCTCGATGAAGGCGGCGAATGGACACCCCCAGATGACCTGCGACGATTTATCGAAAAAGCAAGGAAGGATGAGAAGAAGCTTGTGTATGTCGGCTTCGGCTCAATTGTGGTACCCGACCCAGCCAAGATGACACAGGAGGTTATTGATGCCGTCCTGAAAGCTGATGTCCGCTGTGTGCTCTCTAAGGGTTGGTCTGACCGCATGGGTGCTGATCCCAGCGTACCAGAGCCTGAGCTGCCCCCCGAGATTTTCAGAATCAAGTCGGCACCTCATGACTGGCTCTTCGCGCAGATGGACGCGGCCGCACATCACGGCGGCTCGGGCACAACAGGGGCCAGCTTGAGAGCAGGTATTCCCACAATCATTAGACCTTTCTTCGGAGACCAATTCTTCTTCGGTGGCAGGGTCGAGGATCTTGGGGTTGGCATCTGTTTAAAGAAATGGGGCACTGGCCCATTTGCGAGGGCACTGTGGGAGGCCTGCAACAGCGAGAGGATGATCGTCAAAGCCAGAGTCCTCGGCGAGGCTATCCGAAAGGTTAGTTCTTCCCCTCATATACGAGCGAGCTCTATGATTGTTTTGGAACTAACATGAATCCTAGGACAATGGTGTAGACACTGCAATCCAGTGTATCTACCGCGATCTTGAATATGCACGCTCCCTCATTGTTGCCAAAGCCGGCAAGCATCATGTCAAGTCCGGTAAAGAATCCGATTCGTCGCCCTTGAGCGAAGACGAAGATGAAGAAGAAAGCTGGACCTTTGTGGGTAACGGTGATGATGTCGACCCAGAGCTTGTGGTGAAGAAGAGTGCTCTTGCAGAAGCAGAGCAGATACTCGCCACGGGCAAAAGAGGCACGTCTCTGGGAAGCAAAGTCCTTGCCACGTCTGGGAGGTCCTAGGAGGACGCTTGTGCGGTGGTCTAGGATGCTAGGTTGAGCGTAGTGCTAGAGGATGCGCACGACTTGGAGCGTCCCAAGGAAGGCGGCAAGATTTCTAGAGATGAGGATGAAAGCATTGGGTACAGCAGCAAGAGCCCGTTCTAGAGGGGCGTGTGGAAACGGTTCATCAGCTGGTGGAAAGGTGCTTCTGGCTCACACCAAATACGATGAAGCCCGACTTCTGGCTGACTCACGTTCTGTCCTGCGATGAAGGTCGACCGTTTGAGTGGGCCAGGATACCTTTCTTGCCACGAGGCGGCATGATTAGACGAGTGATGATTGCATTGCATTGTTTTGCGCATGCGTTTTTACATGAGTTACCGCGGTAGCTCCCAAATTACGCATGCTGTACAAAGGTGGAAGGGGTTTGGTTAAGATTTAGTCTTGAGAGCCGTGTGTCTGTTGGTTAGCAAGCACATTACTCTCATGATCGTTGAGGATGCGTAGGTTATCCTGAACTAGACGGGCCGCGAGTCGTTCACAGCCTGCGGCAAGGAGATATGGATATTGGTTTGCGTAGAATTCATAGACAGTATGGATAATATTTATTGTTTGTATATCAAAAGGTGCATATCGTTGGCTGTTGCGACTCATAGAAATGTTCCGTTGATCATGTATTTCCCTTTATCGACTAATCCTTAATTGAGTGTCGATTATTGGTTGTGTGTTACAAGCTCGTCGCCTTGGAGTAATGTCAAAGCGGTAAGCGGTAGCTTGAGTTTTAAAACAGTCTTGTCAGGCCAGCGCAGGATTTCTTTAGATAATAGACAGTGATGAGATATCAATTAATCATTCTTTCGAGTTTGCTCCATTTAAAACGAATTCAAGTGTTAATAAGACAGTAGAATATCGATTACGCCTTCCCATTAAAGGACGATATATTATTCGGTAGAGAAGCGTTTTAGATATATATGATTCTTGCGATTGTATCTGTGTGAATACTTAATGTTCAACATTTGATTGTTTCATGTGGCCATCATGCCCTCATTTAATATCAACCCATTTGACATAAATGCTGCGCTTCCCACTCGATGAATGAATCTGAACGCATAGAAAGAATTTATCCTGAAACTGTATCAACCTGACGAAGATGTCACCACTTGGGAGGGTGACATCTCAACCTTTCCTTTCTTTATATAAAAAACAAAAAATGCAAAATTCTTTTCCCAGAACCGCTTCTCCCAAGATTAAAAAAAAAAAAAAAAACCATGAAGGGGCAGCGCGTCACTACAGTGTTGATATTGTAACGCATATCCGGCATGATCAATTGAATTAGTACAGTGAGGGAAACCTGATAAGGCCAAGCCTCGTTGCTCGGTGGCCATCTTACCAGCCTATTTACTCGCTGCCACTTGCCCTCGCATACGGGCCACCTGACTACGTGGGCCTTGCCATTGATGTCGATATCGACGGTCGATTACGTACCTTTGACTTGCTGTGCACATTGTTCCAGGTCAAGCCCTTCCAGTGCTTCCTGTGTCGCTTTGTCTCTGCCACTCGCGTCTTATGTCTGGCGAAGTCTTTGATGTCCGCCATCTCCAGCATCAAATGCCGGCGGTCCATCCAGTCCTCGCATCGCCGAACCGGTCGAGCCTGCGTCCCTATGCGAAGCCGGCGACCGTCCCATACGAGCAGCGCCCAGCACCTGCCACACGTGCCAGGCCTCTGAGGCTCGTTCCCCGATGATCTGTCCGACAGCGCGCCGTATTGGTGGTAAACGTGCCCGCAGCCCAAGTACTTCTCGTAGCCCTTGCCGGAGGCCATCGAGGCTCTGCTCAGCGTGAGCTTGGCGGGCTTCAAGGACCATACCTCTTGATCAGCCAGAACAGTGTGATGCGGCGACTGCATCTTGTGTAATAGTAACCTGATATGTACGCTTTCTACAGAGCAGCTGGCAGTTGTGGCATTTATACACGAGCCAGAGGGGCTGCAAATGTGTGCAGGCTTGTTAACATAAATAAAGAATGCTCATTTCAGGGTCACTACAAGGCGATTGTCATGTACATGGAATAGCAAGGAGCTAACTAGCGTGCAACAAAGAGACGAAGAATAAGCGAATCACAAAGTCATTGTTACAAATATACCTTCGACACAAGAGAAGACAAAGAGAAAGAGAGGGGGAGAGAGAAGAGAGCACTGGCTCTCCCTCAGTCACGGCAGCACATGTCAATAGGTGGAGTAACACAGACAGAGTTACGAGTACAGCAGTACCGGAAGCCACGGCGAGCGAACAACACGCACATTCTGGCTGCCTACTGAGCGCACGTAATAGGACTTTCAGCTGGGACATTGGTCTATGGCATGGATGAATGACGAGAGGGAGGGGGACTTCAAGAATCCAAGTGATCGATTACTATTCTCTTTTTGTCGTCCCTATCACCAGCGCTTTGGAGCCGATGTTCCGCCAGATGTGAGGGTTCGGGTCGTTATGTGAGCTCTGGCCCTCTCACTCTCGAGCTTGGACAGCCCGGTCCTATCTGTCACGGGGACTGCTTCGATTATGTTGTCAAACTCGTCATCGTCCTCTCCGTTGTCGGAGTCTGGCTCTACATCCGAGTCAACCCGGTACCGGCCGGGCTGCGGCCGGTCTATGGTTTCGGGCTTCTTCTTGGTCTGTCTGCTGTCCTCCGGGCTGGCAAACGGCTTCGCAGCTAGAACCTTGCGACGCAGCTCTTCCATCTCAGCATCGTCGTCCTCGTCGTCGGATATGTCAAACGGGTCCTTGTCTTGCTTTTCCTGGGCGTCTCCGCCGGCGCCCTCCCCGGGTTTTGGCCACTGTGACGGCGGCTTCTTGCCCAGGTATATCCCATCGATGCTCTCGTCGCCGTCGCTGCCGTCGCCGCCTCCCTCTTCGCTGTCATCCTCGTCGTCATCCTCGTCGTCGGACGGCATGGCCACCCGGCGGTTTACATTGCCCCCCTTCCACAGATCGTCGGCGTCCTCCTCTTCTCTGCTCTCGGTGTATTCCCGTTCCAGGCGCTCCATCCACTCGGCCTCGGTCTTCTTGACGTCGGCCTCGTCGGTGCAGGCGGCGTACTTCTTGAGGATACTCGAGTTGATCTGGAGAAAGGACTCGCCGTAGTTGAAGGGGGCCAGGATCTGCTCGGCCCAGTCGGGGTGGCCGCAGATGTAGAAGGCGGCGGCGAGGGCCTCGACGCAGTTCAGCCTCCAGGGCTTGCCGTAGTTGACCGTGTTGGCGGCGACCAGATAGGGCAGCAGCCTCTCGCACTTGCCGCCGACCTTGTTCCACTGGACCTCCTGGGTGCGGGCCCACGAGCACTCGACGACGGCGGCGCCGTACTGGTCCATGAGCTCGCGGTCGGCGGGGGATATGGTGTGCTTGCCGTTCGGGGTGATGATGACGCCGTTGTGGCGCTGGCCGACGTGCAGGTCGCGCATCATGCCCAGCTTGATGAGCTTCTTGCCGGAGCAGCGCTTGGGGTCGCAGTGGTTCAAGTCCCAGCAGGCGGCCTTGAAGGAGGGGCGGCCGGCGCTGGCCTCGTCGTCGCCGTCGCCGCCGTTCCGGGGACCATGCCTCGGGGGACCATGGCCTTTGCCTCCTCGGTGGGAGAACTTGTCCTTCTTGTGGCGCACCATGGTCTGCAGCGTATCTGCTTGTGGTGGTGCCCGGGTTGGGGATAACAGCCGTCTGCTGAGACCGGACGGTTGGCGCGGGTGCGTGATGATACGGCAGGTAGCCGAGTTGCTTGTTAAGCTTTACAAGTGTGTATCATAGATCTCGTGCTAGGCTAGTCGCAAGATACTCGGAAATCTGGAATCTTGGGTTCCTAGGTGACTACATAGAGTACGTAGCTGGCGATATGGCGTTGCTGCCCCTCGTCGGCCTCTGGGCCAATGATTTTTTTTTCTTTTTCCGCTGTTGTCTTATTTCACTTTCTCCCCCTCCCATTAGTGACGTCTGCGGGGTCCTTGAATGCATTCTGTACATAAAATGTAGTTAACTATGTAATGAGAAATAATGATTATTGCATAACTCGACTCTTTCTCCGGACCGGAATATTCCATGGCGCCCCCCTCGACCTGAGAGTTTAGTGACTGTGTACTTCATAAGGTAGTTAGTTGGCTAGGCGTCGTGTCCCGTCAAGCCCCAAGCCCGTCTCTTCCTCGAGCTCAGCCTCGACCCCCCTGCCCCTGACAAACACCGTCTGGATGGACTGCTGGTACCCAGGCTGCCAGGCTGCCAGGGACTCTGCCATCCCCTACCCCTGCTGCTCCTTTTCCCCCGTCTCGCCTCGATTCCGCTAACGTGGGCTCGCTCCCCCCTCCCCCCCCCCTGCCATCCTACGGTGGGCCTGTGGTAGAGGCTCCCAATAGTCTGGGCGCCAGAGGGACAAGCCACCAGCAGCATCGCAAGGCCAAGTGGGATGCTTGTCCGACGACTGTGGTTCCCCCCCTCGATGCCAGATAACCCGTTGACGACCTGATTGTCGCGCGTCCGTTCAACGCCCATGAATCGGCCAATGGACGACACCCTTCATCGATAGCAGGGCTACACACCTACGCAGCGTTTCCGATCCAGAGGACAGACTGTCAGCCCGGCAGAGACCTCTCTCTCTCTGTCTCTCACACACACTCTCTCTCGTCCACCCTCCCGCCGCTTCACACCTGGCGTTGTCACGTCCGCGACCATGGAAGCCGCCTCTGCTCGCGCCGCGGCCCGGGACCGCTGGGGCGAGATGGGATACCCGACGCCCTCGCAGCTGCAGCGCTTCATCTCCTCGGCCTGCAGCCCCGAGAACTACGAGCCCAACCTGGCCCTCAACCTCGAGATCTCGGACCTGATCAACAGCAAGAAGGGCAGCGCCCCGCGCGAGGCCGCCGTGGCCATCGTCGGCTACATCAACCACCGCAACACCAACGTCGCCATGCTGGCCCTCAACCTGCTCGACATCTGCGTCAAGAACTGCGGCTACCCTTTCCACCTGCAGATTAGCACCAAGGAGTTTCTGAACGAGCTCGTCCGCCGCTTCCCCGAGCGCCCCCCCGTGCGTCCCACCCGCGTCCAGGGCAAGATCCTCGAGGCCATCGAGGAATGGCGGAGCACCATCTGCGAGACGAGCCGCTACAAGGAGGACCTCGGCTTCATCCGGGACATGCACCGGCTGCTGAGCTACAAGGGCTACATGTTCCCCGAGGTGCGCCGTGACGATGCCGCCGTGCTCAACCCCAGCGATGTAAGTAGTAGTGGTGGCGCTCGTGCGCGGCAGGGAACACTCGCCGTCTTGACCTTGACCTTCACCTTAACTTTGACCATTTGTCCTCGACCTTGTCCTCGATCTTGACTGACCTACGTGCGTGCCCGCAGAACCTCAAGTCGGCCGAGGAGATGGAGGAGGAGGAGAAGGAGGCCCACTCGGCCAAGCTGCAGGAGCTCATCCGCCGTGGCAGCCCCGAGGACCTGCGCGAGGCGAACCGCCTCATGAAGATCATGGCCGGCTACGACACGAGAACGAAGACCGACTACCGCGCAAAGGCTGCCGAGGAGGTCGGCAAGATTCAGGCCAAGGCCAGGCTGCTCGAGGAGCGGCTGGAGGCATTCAAGCCTGGCGATACCATGACCGAAGGCGACGTCTTTGAGGAGCTCGCCTCGTCGCTGTCCAGCGCCCAGCCCAAGATCCAGAAGATGTGCGAGGAGGAGTCGGAGGACCACGAGGCCGTTGCGAAGCTGCTGGAGATCAATGACAGTATCCACCGCACCGTCGAGAGGTGGAAGCTCCTCAAGAAGGGCGACGTCGAAGGCGCCGCCAAGGTAGCAAAGGGCGGACCCATACCCACGTTCCAGACGGGCGGCGGGAAGGCGAGCAGCAGCTCCGCCGCCAATGAGCTGTCGCTGATCGACTTTGACGCCGACGCCGCTGCCGCCAACGGGACGAGCAACGACGCGGGCTCGAGCTCACAGGCGGGCGGGCTCGAGAACGACCTTCTGGGCCTGTCCATGGGCGACAGCAGCAGCAGCAGCAGCTTTGGCCAGGGCGGTGGCATATCGCTCGGATTCGGCGCGAATGCAAACATACCCGGCCCGGCCTTGCTGTCCTCCATGACCCAGAACTCCACTGCCTCCGGCGCTGCCCCTATCACAACCTCACCTCCACCGCAAGCTTTCTCTCCGTTTTCGGGTTTCGCGTCGGCTCCGTCCGCCTCCCAGTCCAACACGCCCCAGCCCATGTCCATGTCAGCCTTTGGACCCCCGAAGGCAACACAAGCGAGCGACCCCTTTGCTGCTCTCGCCTCCCCCCAATTCGGCTCTAAGCCTGCCACTCCCAAGCCCTCGGCGCCCGTCCCCGCCTCGACCAACGACGACGACGAGTGGTCCTTCTCATCCGCCCTCCCTGCCGAAGCGCCTTCGCTGCCGAAGGAGCATTCGGCGACTGTCCAGGAAGGCCAGTTGCGCATCGACATGAAAGCGGCGCGGTCGCCTCAGACACCCAATGCGATAGCACTCTCCTTCGCCTTCTCGAATGCGACACCCCAACCTGTCAGCGAGCTCCACTTCCAGCTTGCTGTCACCAAGGTATGTCTCTCCCGGGTTCTGATTCTCAGGACACCCTTTGACTCCGTCTGCTACATTACTTCCCTCAAACGTTTCGCTGTGCTTACACTGGCGACTACAGGGCTACGAACTCCAGCTTCAACCCCAGACGGGGCGCAATCTTAGCCCCAACCAGAGGTACGGCGTCACGCAGGCGATGCAGGTGTGGCATACGGGCGACAAGAGTCGAAAGGTGGAGAGCATCAAGCTTCGGTACCGCGTGAGCTACAATATAGGGGGCGAGGCCAAGGCAGAGATGGGCGACGTGGCCGAGTTTGCGCTTGCCTAGATGTCTTCGACCGGGGCTGACGACACAGTGGATTTACCGGCGAACGGCATCATAGAGTCAACAAAGGTTAAAAAGGATGATGGGGCCGCATATGTGCGAAATATAGATAAGATGACCAGTTGAAAAAGCCGCTATTGAATGAAAGCTATGACGATCCAACAAATAAATTCAGTATAGATCATGACGCGCCCTTACTGTGCGCGTCTTAATCTCTCGGCCTTGGTTGGACGAAGGGATAGGGTTTGGTCTTCAAAGGCTTTTTAGGAATAATGTAGTAGGGATATGTGTGTATGCTATAGTTGCGTCTTGTCTTGTGTCGATCGCTCTATATTCCCGGCGCAGTCATCTGACAAGCCGTCGTCCCAGACAGCTGGTTTATCTGTTGTACATATGTATGTGGTAATCGTACATGGGATCGTCTCCGTTCTCCTAGTTTAGTCTCGCTACTGGAGCCATATCCCAGGCCCTCCAGCCTGCAACCCTGATTTTGTTGTCCGCCTTGAAATACAGAAATGCAAGGGGCTTTCTACTCTATATGGCCCTGACAAACCGAGCGCGGGGATCGTTTTCATTGATCCTGCCCTGCCAAAGTTGATCTTACACATAAATCCTACAAGGTCCTCTGCGTCCGCACCTCCTCCACGGCCTGGATCTGGTCGCCGACCTGGAGATCTTGGAACTCCTCGAAGCCGATGCCACACTCGCCACCCTTGCGGGCCTCGGTGATATCCTTCCTGCCGTGTTTGAGGGACTCTAGTTGGCCTAATTCATTTGGACTGGTTAGCAAATAATCTCAACGCACACAAATATATTGGACAGAGGACAAGATATAGCATACCCTCAAAGATCTTCTCGCCGTCCCTGAACACGCGGTAAACGTCATTCTTCTCAACCTTGCCGTTGCGGATTCTGCAGCCCGCGACGTTCTTGTATACACGCCCTCGGAGGTTGATTGGGAAGATCTGCAGGACCTCGGCTTCACCAAGGACCTTGAAGCTGACGTCGGCTTCCAAGTACGAGCTCAGATGCTCCTTGACTGCATCCGAGAGATGGTAGATGACGGTGTGGTCGATGATAGCGACCCCGGCCTCCTCGGCCTTCCGTTTGATGACGCCGTTGATGGGCAGGTTAAAGTTGACAATCGCCGACTTGGACGTTGCTGCGTGCTCAACGTCGCTCTCCGTGATCTGCCCGGGCATAGACCGCAAAACACGTGGGCGGACTTCATGGCTGCCGATCTCAAGGATGCAGGCGCAGACCGCCTCGACGGATCCATGCACGTCCCCCTTCACTACAAAGTTGACCATACGTGTGGTTCCCTCAAAGTCGGTCTCAGCCCCCTGGGTGCCCCAGCTGCCGTCGACACGCTTGTAGCCCTCGCCCTGCGCCTCGGCGGCCTTCTCAGCCTGGCGCTGCTCCTGCAGAAGTCTACGTTGTTCTGCGATCTTCACGTGGCTGGCGGCGTCCTGCTCGCGCTCGCGGAGCCCCTCGCGATACCCAACCGCAGTCCGCACACGGCGTTCGTCAGGGCCCTGGATGACTTCATCGCCGGCAGCTGGCAGATCACGCCAGCCGAGGATCTCAACTGGGGTGCCCGGCGGGGCTTCTGCGATCTCTGCGCCGGCCTCGTTTCGAAGGTGGCGGATCTTGGCCCATGTGGTGCCAGCAGCGATGTAATCACCTAGCCTCAAAGTCCCTCGCTTGACGAGGATCGTGGCTGCCTTGCCAATGGGTTTGAGGCTGCTCTCGAGAATCCAGCCTTCGGCAGGGCCATCTTGTTCAGCTCGCATATCCAGGATCTCCGAAAGAGTGAGGATATTCTCCTCGAGATCATCCATGCCCTGGCCTGTCTTTCCGGAGACGCACACGACCTGCACGTCACCGCCGTAGTCCTCAATTTCCACACCGTGACGGGCAAGGTCGGACTTCACCGTGTCGATTCGGGCGCCATCCTTGTCGATTTTGTTGATGGCTACTATGATGGGCACCTTGGAGCTTCGCGCATGCTTTAAAGCCTCGAGCGTCTGCGGCTTGACGCTGTCATCCGCAGCTACGACGAGAACGACAATATCGGTGACATTGGCACCGCGTTGACGCATGGTCAGGAAAGCTGCGTGCCCTGGAGTGTCCAGGAAAGTGATCTGCTTTCCGGTAGACATCTTGTCCGAGAAGGCACCGATGTGCTGGGTGATACCACCATGTTCCTGCGCAGCAACAGATGATTTGCGCAGGTAGTCGAGAAGGGTGGTCTTTCCGTGGTCGACATGACCCATGATGGTAACCACGGGGGGCCGAGGAGGTAGGAGGGAAGAATCCTCTGGTGGTGGGCGAGGCTTGAGGTCCTCTGACTCTCCAGTCTCCACAGTAGGCTCAAAACCGTACTCTTGGGCCACCAACGCCGCCGTTTCACCGGCCATGATACTGTCAAACGAGATACCTTCGAACCCAAGCTCGGCCAGCTGGTCCAGAAAGATACTCTTCTCCACCTTCAAGGCCGACGCCAGATTAGAAATACTGATGAGTTCTGGCAGGTTGATCGGGCGAGGGCCGGTCCTTTCGGCCTCCTTCCGAGCTTTGCGTTCTGCTCTTTGCTGGCGTCTGTCTAGATACTCTTCGTATGAGTCATCGATCCCTTCATCGCCCTCATCATCGAATCTTGAGCTGCGATGGTCTCGTTTCTTGGCACCCTTGCGTGCTTGGCCTCTGCTGATCTCATATCTTTCGTTCCTCCCCGAGTCGTGCGGCTGCCGTTTGCGTTCATATCCGTACTGTTCACTTGTGGGCGTAGTCGGTGGCATAGTGTTTCCATCCAGCGGCACAGTTGAATCCGCCTGGTCTGCCCACCCATCTTGGTCTTGTCGTCTAACAGCACCCCTAATGCCTGAGACCTTCTCTGCATCTCGGCGGGACTGATATCCTCCGCTATCACGAGTGTTGGCAGAAAACCGGGTACGTTGACGAGGCAAAGTGTCATATTCCTTCCCCCAATCATCCAACGGCACAGATTGCGAACGTTCGGGGTTGGGTTCCGAAGTTTTTTCGCTCAACATGGTCCAGAAGTCGCCAGCATGCGCTTTATCCGGCTGGGGCTTTCTCGTCAAAGAGCCCCAGGAACTTGTGGTGTTGCTTGTGGGAGGCGTGGAAACATGTCTGCTTCGGCCGACCAGGTCCCGGCCCTCTTCACCACTCGGTCTGGTGATGTTGTTGTCCGAATAAACCTTTCTCATATTTTCGCCCGTTATGCGAGTTAGATCGGCCCGAGGATTATCTCTGTATGTCGCTTCGCCAGCCGCTATTCTACGAAAATAGCTAAACTCCGAAGGGGAGGGAGTATGTGACGAGTCCAAGGGAGTTGATGCCTGCTCGTGTTTCCCTTCACCTGGCTCTGGGGCAGGCGCCTTCACTCCTGCAAACATGCCCGATCCCCAACCTACAGAGCGCGGCGGGGATGTCTGCTGCGATCCACCGGACCCGAGCAGTCGACTGAGAGGGGGGGTATTGCCAGGACTACTGTCCAAGCCAGGGGGCTCAACCGGCGCCTCACGCCTTGGTTTGGAATTCCTAGACTGTACAAGTGGACGCGATGGTAGAGATGAGACGTGGTTCGGAGACGTTGGGGGCAACTTCCGCCGTGGTGCCCTTTCTTCCTTGGGCTCGTCGAGGTTCTTTGCTGTCGGCGAGAGATTGCCTAAGCGACCGACTGTTCTGGGCGACTTGGAGGGGCGCGGCTCGTTGTGGCGGACAAGAGGGGCTCGGGGAGGCGTGCCTTTGAAGGAGGGCGGATGCACCGCAAGACTCTCCTGAATCTCGCGTTGCTTCTTGGCGTTCCATATGTACTTGGGCCCATCGCCAGGCTTGGGTGCTTGTGCGGCTCGTTCCTTCTCGACGCGCTCCCGTTCGGCCTTCTGCGCGGCGACACGTTTGCGGGCCTCTATCTCGTGAGGCAGCAGTCCGGCATCCAAGCTGCTGGTCGTCGGCGGGGCCGCACCGGGGGCTGCTCCTGTCGGCGGCGACGGCCCGCCGAAAAGAGGCCTGCCCCAGCCACTGTTCGCACTCTGCCCTGGCGGGCCCGAATCGGCATCATGGAGCGGTCGCGTGGCCGAGAGGAGACGTCGTGGTGGAAGACGGGCTAGCCGCAGCGAGAGTCGATGCTGGCAGAATGCGCATACCGAGAGATTGCGCTGTAGGGCCAGAGCAGTCAGTTTCGTTCAATGCGATGCAGTATGGGAAGAAGAAACAGGAGCGGTAGAACTGACCTCTGATATCCCCCTTCTCAACATGGTGTCATTGCTTGTCCCAGACTGCTTCTCGACGTCCGAGGTCGCCAAAGCTCCAAGCTCAAGCTGCAGCCACGGCCGACGTCCCAGAAAAAAAATATATCGCCGGCTCAGGGCCCCCGGACGGAAAGGCCAGTGGGGCCCAATGACCCCCGTCCGCCCAGCTGTCGGTCCACTGATCGCCGCCGTCGCCAGAGACGCCACAGCGACCCAGGCAACGCAACGCCGCCTGGAGCTTCAGCCACACTTGCCCTGGAGACAACCTCGAGATCAAATCTCATCTTCAGGAGGTCTTCTCGTCCTGGCCTTTTCACATCGACTCCGTTCACACTCACTTGTCCCTCCCCTCCCCTCCCCACCATGGCCAGACAGAGGAAGGGCGCCAAGGCCACCGCGCCCAAGAAGAAGGGACTGGGTATCCCCGCCCCCTTCAAGACGCCTCCCGAGGTGCTGCAGCCACTCATCGAAACCCTCGAGGAGGAGCACATCTACATCCTGCACATTGATGACAAGCCCGCCGACCTCAAACGCAATGTCTTTCTCGTCCCTGTTCTCATGAATGTCGCCATCGCCGCTCTGTTCGTCTGGCGCATGTACTATATTCTGCCGTGGTATCTGCGTCTCCTCACTTCCACCCTCGGCTACGCCAATGAGACCACCTTGGTCGCCGCTGAGATGGAGTGGGAGGATCTGCTCCCGGAGATTGCCAGACGCAGCGGCCAGTTCATCATAGACCTCATGCTCTACGTCTTTGTCTGGCCCTGGCCATTCGAGTTCGTCTTTGGCGGCCAGCACAGCAACCCGGCCTCCTGGCGTTACATCACCGGCTTCCGAGACCGGGAGATTGTGGCCCGAAGAAGCCGAGGCTGGGACAAGGCCGTCAGGGATGTTATCAACGATGGAAACAGCAAGGACGTGTTCATGGCCTATGTTGGCCTCGCCACATCCCCCATGCTAATGCAGGAGAAGACGGGTTACCTCCTCATGAACAAGGAATGGAACCTGGACTGGCACGTCATGATCGATGCTACAGAAATGGTTGACAAGAAGATGGCTGCCTTGGAGGCCTTCAGGCTCGTTGTCCTAGTTCATCAGGAAGAGCACGGCTGGCTAGTCGTCGACCACAAAGTGGAAGAAACTGCTGAGGAAGATGAGAGACGACGACAAATATTCCTGTTCAGGGATGCTCTGTCGGCGCTGGGCAAGGAGAACCTCTTCTACCGCTGGATCGAGATCATCCAGTTCGAGGCATCGCAGCCAGGCGGCTTCGCTGCCGAGAAGCAGGAGGTTGTTGCCCAACAGGTCAGGGACTTGTTTCAGAAGGAAGGCGTGGATTTTGATGCACTATGGAAGGAGAGTGTGGGCACCGACGGCATCCAAACCATGTAAAAGGTATCAAGTCGATGTTCTGGATGCAATGTGCATCCGAAAGCATAGAAATATCCCGATCGCTTCTCTGCCTACCATGATACATTCAAACTTTTCTAGATGCCGTGTTCCATCTTGTGCATCGACAGACAATAGTGCCTATATTCCTGATGCCTGCTGCGCATCTTCCCATTTCCTCAGAGTCTCCATAAGCCCTTCTAACATTTCCCGCTCCTCTTCCTGGTACTGGGCAAAATTTGTCTTATCCATCCGGTCCACCAAGCTCTTCATGTCCATGTAAATCCCTGTCGCCTCTTCGTGATTTCCCTGTTTCCATACAGCCTCCAATAGCATTCTCAGGTTTCCCATGGCTGGCGGGCTTCCGCGTCCAATTTGAGGGTGCTCTTCCATCCATGCTTTTACTTCGAGGAGGGCTTGCTCCGCCTCCGCGTAACGTCCATTGGCATCGTAAAGCCGTGCCATCATATTTAATGCAGAGTAGTTCTTGCTTTGTCCAGGTTTGGGGTGGTCGAGCATTGTCTGAAGTGTTCTCTCTTCGTCTGCTAAAAGACCAAGCTCGTGCTGAGTTGTAACGATTGCGAGCATGAGGTTCTGCCAGGCGACCCAATCCTTTTCATATAGGCGGCCTTCTCCCGATCTTTGTGCTGCGTCCTCTTCGACCGCTAGTTTCTGCTGCGTCAGCCTCAATAGAAGTCTATTCTTATTCTCTATTGGTAGGGATGCGTCAAATTGTGGCGACATGATCTCAATGTCTGCAGGATCAAAGCATTGGAGGAAATTGCGCCCAGTTGAAAATGGGAGGGAGCTCCAGAAAGCGTCGGCCGGGACATCAAAGTCCCAGGAGAACTTCTGTGCGTTTGACATCTTGTGCAATCTACAGATCGTGTCTTTAACGAAGGATCTGAGTACCAAGAACTTAGAACCGTAATACCTCACATGACCTGGGGACGCATTCACAGTCTTCATTATTTAGATGGCTGCAGCCTAGCATAGCATCTGTATCAGTTCAACTACCCAATTGCGGCACTTATCCAAGATGCCCCACTTGTGCCACAGACTCGCATGTTATATCAATGTGACATGGCCTGGCATAGACTACCGTCAAATTGATGGGGTGAAAGGCCCTGGAGGCTTTACGTGAAGCTTGCTTCTCACGTCTAGGCAGGCACGCACATATTTTAATGTTGTTGTTTTTTTAAGGGTGCATATGCCATTCTTCACTTGTCCCACTCAGATTGATAACGTTGCCAGTTCCCGGCCCCGACGGCAGCTAATCTCTGGGCTCAAGGGACCCCGGACTATAGCGTTATCAGGCATTGAGCTGATTGGCCAATGGTGCAGCGATCACCCGAACGCGCGCTCGTGAAGTGCGTGCGTAGGCGGGAGTGACCTTCCCCTTCTGGTCTCGGTCCAAATTCAGGCTCATCTCTTCCCCAGATCTACAAATCGCAGATCGCACCGTGCAAGGCGGCCGGCCTAATAACAAGATGCATCCCATTCATCCTCCTTGACCTCTCGATCGCTCGCTACGCAGAGCCGCAAGCCGTTCAAGGGGTTTACAGGAACTGTCCGAATCCGCGAGCGTGACGTTTCAGACTGCAAAATGTATCAGTATCTCCCAGATCCCTCGCTTGGCCGTCGCCAATGGGAGCGGGGTTTTGGAAGGATATTGGCCTTCTTCTCCTTTGTCACTCTGGCGTCCGGCAATGCTGGGCTGCTGCAGCCCGCCAGGTATGCGAACGGGAAGACGCCAACGAAATTACCACTCCTGGCTCAGATCGGAGAGCTAGCATTTGACGTCGAAGTAGCGTCGAGCGTCAGAGCAGCAGCAACACCTGCCGCTACTCCCTTGGAGTGCTTTCAGGTCGCAGAGCCGGTCTTGACACCCAGTAGTGGATATGGCGAGGAAGCCTGCACAGTTACCCTCATGGAACATACATTCGCTAACAGCTATGGTTCACCATTTGTCGGTACGTGTTATCCATTTTCATGTGATCTTACCCCGAAACCTGGCATCGCTGATCTCATCAGGCAATTACACACCGCCGAGTTGCGACTTTGACCATGTGGTCATGAACTTTACTGTAGAAGTCAAGGGCCGGCAGTATGACCGCTGGGGCTCCATGTATCTTGGCAATGTCAATGTCTTTAGCACGTCCACCGCAGAGCCCACAGCCACAGGCATTCGCTGGACCTGGCTGAAAGACATGACGCCGTACCTGTCTCTTTGGAAGGAGGACCAGACTGTCATTTTTCAGCTCGACAACGTGGTTAACGACATATATACCGGGCTTCTCAATACTACACTTACTGCTACTTTCTTCAAGAGCTCGGTCCGAACTGGTGGCCACGCACCAGCAGACCTGATCCTTCCTGTCTCTGCCGGGAAGAGTCCAGTGACGGGGAGCTTCTGGACAGTACCCGAAGAGAACGCTACGACGTCTCTAAACTTCCCCCGAAACGTAAATCGTGCCGTCTTCTCGGTCGCGGTCAAAGGGCAGGGCAACGAGGAGTTTTGGTGGAGCAATGTACCAGAAAGCGATACGCACACGTTCGATCCCGACGTGGGGACATATCCTGGATACTCGCCGTGGAGGGAGCTGCAGGTACTGATCGATGGTCAGTTGGCTGGCGTGCATTGGCCCTACCCAACAATCTTTACTGGAGGAGTTGTACCGCAGCTGCACCGCCCTATTGTAGCGACTGATGCGTTTGATCTCAGAGACCATGAGATTGATATCACACCATGGTTGCCACTCTTATGTGATGGGAATAATCACACCTTTGACCTGAGAATGATCGGCCTGGTGGATGATGGAAAATCCAGCGCATCACTTTCCTCGACTGTGGAGAGCTCGTGGTATCTTGTAGGGAAGGTATTTTTGTGGCTCGACGAAGATGAGAACGCCATCACGACGGGAACAATCGGCGCAAATGGCAACGCAGACCCGACAATCGGTTTCTCGCAGTCGATAACTCAGAACGCGACAGGATTCAACGAAACCCTCGACTTCAGCCTCAGTGTTAGCCGCGACTTCTCGGTCAGTACTCTACTCACCACACAGAAAAGGAATGGCACTGCCACCTGGTCCCAGAAACTTTCTTACTCAAATCTGGGTGGGCTGTACGCAAACGGATTTGGCGGTATTAATACCTTCGAGATCACTGGTCGAGACACAGCAGAAAGCCCGGGATGGTCGTACTCGACAAGCTACAACTATCCTCTGTATTGTAACACAACTCAGTCCACCTCAGCAGAGGGGAATACGACTCTGTGGGCCGTGTTAGACCAGGGGTTGAACCTCGAGGTGGAAGGAAATGCTGTATATGCTACTGGCTTGGAAGCTTTTGAGGCTGCCGACGGTACAACGAAGTGGATTGGCTCCGTGATCAATACGGAAAGGAATGGCACAGCCAACTATTCACGGTATGCCGACAACACTGTTTCGACTGGTATTGGCTCGACGGACCAAGTCTTTTATTTTGGCGGACTAACGGAGAGCGGAACCTTTGACACACCTGGGACAGAGCTGTACTACCGAAATGTAAGCGCCTTCAACAACACCGTCACTGCTGACTATGAAGTCATCGAAGGCAAAGTGGTAAGCGAGTCTTGATGACGTTGTTAGTTTCACTGGTATTCCTGGCCCCTACTAGGCAAAACAAACAGTACTTATTCCTGCAATACTTGTTCATACTTATTGGAAACGTGTAAATATAAACATATCTCAAAGCATTGCTCCTTTGCCAACTTGGGCCCGAGGGATTCCGAAACGCTCTTTCATGGTCACCCATCCGCCAACGATCAGACATTTTCTGAGCGCCCCTGGATCTGCATTCTCTCCAAATCCTTTCTCCAAGGAATCCTCAACTGTCGGCCAATGAACAAACCCGAGCGCATCAACGTTCTCTTCTGTCAATAGGCGGGTGAAAAGTTGATGCAGCGGGCCACCTTTTGGCCATACGACCGGAGCCGTGTAAGGATGCTTCCGGCGCAGGTACAGCTCCTCGGTTATGAATGGCCTAGCAGCTTCCCTCAGAATCCATTTCTCCCAGAAATGGCTGGCTGCCTGATCCCCATCCTTGCTCCACCACGCGCTGGTGCCGGAGTCGGGCCCCTTACCTTTTGATCCGTAATGCATCTTTAACGATGGAGGTATGGTTCCCATCAGCTCCGCCAGGTTGTGGTCCAGGAAAGGGGGCCGGCCCTCAATGCTATGTGCCATCTCGCAGCGGTCTCCAAGGGCCGTAAGGATAAAATTCGGGAGCTGACTCTTGCTCCAGGCGTACATGGCCGAGTTGAGTGGATGCCACCTGTTCATTATGTCCTCCTGGGCCGATGGGGACCATGCATCGATGACGGCGCGAAGTTTATCCATAGGACTGAATCTGTCTTGCAAGCTCGGCAGAAATAGGTCTTGACCCGTATGGGCTCGATTGGCGAAATTGAAAGGGGCGAATAGATTGTTCATCCGCGCCTTCAGCTCAGGGTCGATATCTAGGCAGTTTAAATTGCTTGACCCTATAATGTTGAAGGTGGCCAAAATATCATTGATCGATCTCTGATACAGCTTTTGGCGTAGCACGTCGTCGGTTTGCAGAACTAAATTGGGACTTGAACGATCTGGCTCAAGCAGGAACTCAGAAATAAACCAGGGGTATCCGGCGAAGAGCTCGTCCGCGCCCTCGCCGCTGAGTATAACTTTGAAGCCGTTGCTTCGTGGCAATTCGGACAGTGCAAACTTGCCAACGGTGCCCAAATCGAATGCGTGATGCTCATTATGCCAAACGCAGTCCTCGAAGTGTTTTGCCAGCTCAGCTTCATTCATGTCTTTGACATGAAAGTCAACACCAAGATAGTCTGCAGTTCTCTGTGCGATGTCTTGTTTGATCAGTGTCGGCAAATATAGAAATAGTTGGATTGAATAATTACCTGACTCATCAAAGCCGGAGTCTTTGTCGAACTGGATACAAAAACACGCTATTTTTTTCTGTACATCTTGACTGCCTACCTTTTCGCCCCTTTCTTCGACAAGATATTTTGTAATTCCCGCAACTGTCGATGAGTCAAGCCCGCCGGAAAGGTATATTCCAACGGGCACATCAGCACGAAGCCGTACTCGCACAGCCTCGATGATCTGCTCTCTGACTTCTGCTACTAGTTCGTCGATTGATCGTGTTTCCACATGTCGCTTACGATACTTGTAAGCTAAGTTTCTGTGGTAGATCTGATTGATAATCTCGACACACCTTGTCTTGGTACTTCAAGTCCCAGTATTCACGCTCTGAGATATATCCATTTGAGAACACCGTCAAGTAATGGCCAGGTTGGAGCTTCATCAATTGCTGGTTAGCACATGAGTAGGTGTATAGATGAGAAGGCCAGTGTAGCAGCTATAGTCGGAAAATGCTACCACTTACCCTGTTGACACCTTGAAAAATAGTCTCGCCACCAACAAAACACGAGTTTTGCACGATACCGTCGATGTTCCAGGCTGGCTGCCACCCGAGCGGAAGGAATGCCTTTATCTCGGGGGCCATCAAAAGCTTTCCGTCGACGATGGTCCAGAAAAGGGGTTTCACCCCAAATCGGTCTCTGGCAGCAATCACTTCACCCGAGCGATCGTCATATATAACGAATGCGTATTCTCCGCGCAGGTAGTCGAGAAATTTGGGTGCGCCATAATGCTTGTATAACGCAACAACGAGTTCTGAGTCGCTGTGCCCTCGAAATTTGTATTCAAATTCTTTTGAGCAAAGTTTCCGAAGGCGATCATTGTCATAGATCTCGCCCATCACTACTGCATGTATATTCCCCTCATCATCATGCAGCGGCTGCTCGCCTTCTGGTGACAAGTCCACAATAGACAAGCGGCAGTGTCCGAGGCCTAGTCATCGGGTTTAGTCTTGTACGCCTTGGGCAAATTTGACTATGACTGACCAACTGTGTTCTCCGCGTTGATCCATACATCTCGAGCATCAGGTCCACGGTGATCAATGAGTTTCAGGCTTGCTATGAGCTTCGACTTGAGATCCGAGATGGTAACCCCCCTGGAATCGGACTTTCCACTGCTGGACGGGCCGCTCAGTTTGACTACAACACTCAGTCCGCACATGTTTAACCTCGTGTAGTCGTCTAGGTCTGGGGTCAAAACAATTCAATAACCTATTCATGAGCTGGTTGCTAGGAAATCCGTACTTATATGTTTCCAAAGAAAGATATCTGGCTGTCGCAGCTTATAGCGCCTGGAATCTGATGAGATTTTAGTCGCCTCGGGGGATCAGTAGTTTCGCTATTCTCATATTTTAGGCCAACTTTGTAACTGCTTTTTGGGGACCAGAAGTGGGGAAGAAGCTTTGTGAGTACAGCAGTTATGCTCCCTGGCCACCGGCATCGTCGGTATGAAAGCCGAGGACCCTGTCCGTTGCTATTCCCGGCACATCTTACGTAAATCTAGGGATTTCAACTGGGCACTGCATGGCTTTGGGTCGATCTCTACGGAGTAGACGCACCACTAAAAGCTTGACATCACCTCAAGTCGATACGAGGATGCCTATCCGAGGTTGCTTTAGAAGTGTAGAGGGACGCGCTTGCAGTCACTCTGCAGTCTGCCAAATAGAGCCATCAGCCTCTCTCTGATTACAGTGCACCCAATATCATCTATAAATATCATTGCAGTCCTCTAATAGCCAATAAATCCGCGTGAAATAAAATAATGCGAGACGCGTGTGAATTCAGGCGTCTTGGATAATTAAGCTTTGTGCTAATCTGACACAAGCGCGACGGTCAGACAGGGCTGACTACGCACTTATTTGCTGTACCCGTCACTTGGCTCCCAAAAGAGTACGTTCTCCATCATGTATGAGGGGTATTGAAATGAATATCAGCTGCATCATCGGTCTGGAGTAACGTGGCTGGCTGGATTGGGGCATAGTTTCCTGAGTAACTTCTATCCTTAAACCCAGAGTCGCAGCTCGCGCGAGCCGGGGCAGGCCACCCGATGCCAATAAACTAAGCCCCGTTCCGGGAATGCCGGCCGCAAACGATCATGGGAGCAAGTATTGGGGTATTAATGATCGCGCTTTAATCGGCATACTCATAAAGTGGTGCCAGCCAACCGTCTGACAGACGATGTTTGACCAAATTACACGAATTTGGGGACTACCTTTCCGCCGTGCTAGACTATAATCCAAGTGTATACATTAAATGAAAGACAGTTTCATCAACATGTGTGCATACGTGCAAATAATTGTTTTTGGAAAAGGTTTGGCGCCACTTCCCATTATTGAGCTGATATGATCCACCCGGAAATCGCCTCTTCCCCCAATCTTGGCACTGCTCACGCATGCCTGCATAGAGGCAATTATGTATGAGTAATGGACTTGAATTTCCGTATTGCCCCTCGGCCAATTGTTGAAAATATGCCAAGGGTACTCCTGTAGGTGACTATGCGTCGCAGTTTCGCTCGAGACCAACAAGACAGAGCAGTAAGCCGAAATAACCCTTCATATAAACAGTGTGGAGCAGTTTTCTGATTTGTTGTCAAACTTCCAAGGGTTCAAACACATGATACGTAATTACAATTTCTGACTGGAAATAATTTCTCTCCCATGCTTCATTGCTCTACTTCGCGGCAACGCCGCGGCTTCTTACCTTATTTGTCCGAGTCATTGTGGTTAATGCAGATGTGTATCAGCAAGCAAAGAAATTAATCGGAAAGAGTACCCCAAGCGGCTCAAAACGGAGAAGGGCTGAGAGTAAGCTGAACACAATTTATCTTAATAGTTGCAACATATCCAGCTATGCCATTGGTCATGGTAGGTTGGGCCTTGATTACTTAGAGACGTATAAAGTGACCAACTTCACCCAAATACGATATACGCATAGGGTTGTTACGAGGTGGAATGACGTTATGGGCGAGCATTTCTACTGTAAGAAATACCGTACAATGAATCAAATGAATCAAATGATCAATCATATTCATGTAATTAGCAAATAATAAAACAATAGAATGCCCTAACGGCAACATCAGGCTCCTTAGGTACAACAAGGACACAAAGCTATTGTACCAATGACAACACTCGGGTTTTTTCCCTACTCATTCTTATAAGTGACTCCCATTAGCCAGTAAGCCAAGTCGAGCTTAACGTATCAGTCAAACTTCAATTCGCTGACCAATTTTTGCCATTCGAAGAACTACTTGAAAAATGGCTGGTATTCTCGATCTCAGTCTCGAACTACTGCACATGGTAGCGGAGCATATCCGCACCCCAATGGAGCTAGCACGGCTATCACGCTCCTGTAAGGGATTGCAGGTTGCCTTCTCCTTTGACTATTGGATCCTCCACGACGCGCGGCATCATCGAACCAGCGTCTTGCCCAACCACGCGGTCGGGTTTGCCAGCGAGCAGGTGCCGCTTTTGATCCGCGCTCTTCGGTGGTGCGTCGACGATCAGGTCATCAAGCGCGTGGTCGACATATACGCCAAAGAGTTCCCAGCCTCATTAGATGGACACTGGGGCCGCCTGCGCTTTAATGTGTTCCCGCTGCACCAGGCGTGCCTGTACCAACATACCGGGATCGTGGAGCACATGCTGCGCAAGGGATGCCGGGTCGACATCCGCGATATAGGCTTTGCTGCTACCCCCCACTTCGACGGACTGAGTACGTACTGCGGGGACTACTTCGATGCCCTTTTGTTCTCCGTGGCCATTCGCAATTTGTCGATGATGCTAACACTGATCAAGGCGGGCCACCCTGTCAGTATGTTTCACCTCGGGCATGCATCGCAAATGAGGGCGTCGCATACCCTTGGTGTATTGCTGCGCGCGTATCGTATCAACCCTGACTTTGACGCAGGCGATTCGGACTTCGATTACGCACTACAGTACACTAGTATGGACGAAGACAGCGATGGCAATGAGAGAATCATCAATCAGCTGCTGAAGGAGGCGCCAAACATAGGAGCTGAGAGCCTTCTAAGCTATGTAGATTCTGCTGTCACTGGTAACTGTCCAAGAAACGCAGTCCATTTCTTTCATCACTTGATACAACGTAATGGCCCGACTTTACAAATCTGTCAGAAAACGTTGAGCATTGCGCTACGAAATGGCTGTGAATGGTTGATACGAGCCATTCATCCCAGATTTACCAATTTCTTGATACTTGCGAATGCCGACGACTGCGAGACAAGGAGGGTAAGGGCCTGCGCCTGTTTGTTAAGAATTGCACTCATATCCGCCAAGAATACCGCAACAGTCATCCAACACCTCCCATATCTTCTCGAAGCTGGATGTATACCGGGTCCCGATCATCTCTGTATGGCGCTCGACATACCGGATCCGTCTCCTTACATTGATGTGCTCGTGGAGCACGGAGCCGACGTAAACGGACACTCAGCCAGGCATGGTATGCGGCCTCTGGCCCGTGCAATTAAGGATTTTAACGGCAGGGTAGTATTCAGATTGCTATACCATGGTGCCGAGTTAGAGACATTGGGGAAATTGAAAGTTCAGGCCTCCCTGCTCCGGTGGTACTGGTGCACGTTCGGCAACCCTTTATGGGTGAGAAACAAAGGCGTGGCAGATTTCGTTAAAAAGGATGAGCAAGAGCCACCGATGATCGACAGAAGGACCTTTGACTGTAGCCGGACCAATTTGTATGAGCAGTTGCGCAACATGTTTGACATGCTCCTTGGCCCCATCCACCCCTTGAGTTGAGACGGAAAAAGAAAAAAAAAGGGGAAAAAAAAAAAAAGAGGGGTTGGGTTGGGTTGGGTTGGGGGTTGCTACTTAATTCGAATAATCTCCTCGCTCTTGGATCGCGTTTATTGTTTGTTTCCCTTTCATGTAAGCTGGACCTGTGTCGGGTTATTGATACAACGGGTGACGCTGTGACATCTTGCTGGTACAAATGTCAATAGATTCATGCGATCAGGAATTTCAAGCACTATTGTTATTCACTGCAATGCCCAGCAATATACAAGCTGTACCTGGCCTTGGCATTGCACAACTATGGTATGTAGAAAGCAAACCCCTTCCCTGAACGCCGGCCATGAGCCAAATGTCATCCTTTCCACCATTCAAGTCTCTTTAGATTAAGTCAAATAAAAAGTGCTGGCCTGGCCAGTCGTGCTCTTCCTGCGTATGTCCATGCTTTCCGAATGTGAATTCCAGTTTCAAGCCTGACGCGGCTGTGTGCGAGGCAAGTCGGTGCCATGGAGGTAAATAGCGAAAGTCCAGCAATGTATGATGCAAATGGTCAGTCGAGAGAGAAAAGTAAGTTTGAGTTTTGCCAGCCAACTCCAGTATATCTTCGGCCATCAAATGCCCCAAGAGATTGCCAATGCCAGAGCCATTTTGTAGTACCAGCCGATGTGCCTTCTCCATCCGAGGCAATGAAATTGATAGTTGAGTTGATTTGTGCCATCCATGCCAATCTCTTGCTTTCATTCAGTCATCAATGCGGAAAGGGTGTACCTGAATCCAGCCATCGTTGCGAACAGGAGGAACGCGGACCCGACATCCTGCCCATCGGTCAGTTTCCCCCGGACAAACCAGGGAGAGAGAGAGCGTGGGTGATGAGAGCCATGACCTCGAACCGTGGATGGTGGTTGACGTCTTATCCTGTATCGTTCTGCCGCCCTTGTTTAAAACCATTTAATGTCGTATCATCTCATCATGCATATAGTGCGTACCCGTCTGTTCGAACGCAGCCAGTGCTAACCTGAATGTTTGGCTGAAAAAGGCGGCCCGGTGGGCTCGCTCCATCAGGCTTCTCAACGTCCCCCAACGCCATCCACGACGCGAGCGGTGTCGTCTTTCTTTCCCGAGGTAGCACCGGCATAGGTGTTGCCCCAAAGGCCTGCAGCGGATCCAAACCCGGATGTTCGCTTCCGGGCTCTGACGGTACTGTCTCCATCCTCGTCCATGCTGAACACGAATTCGCCGTCCTCCTCGCCTATGGGAGTGGTGTATCGGGCGCTGGAGCTGATGGAGCTGCTGCTGACGTGGCGTTCGCCTGCGCGGCCGTTCGTTGGACGTCCAGCAATCGGGCGCAAATGCGGCGACTGGTCCCCGTTGGCATCAATGCGAGTGCGCTGGAGCTGCTGGGTAAGTGCACTGAGTCCTTCTACACTGTCTGACCTGCTGCCATGTGGTCGGATGATGTCCTCGTTCAGCATAGAGTTGCGTAGGGGGCTCCCGACGTGACCAAAGGCACCACTTGTGGCCAACGCATTCTTCTTGGCATCCTCCTCCTCCTTTTGACGTTGAAACAGAGGACCCCAGCGGCTGGGGCTCGCCGCCACGGGGCTGCTGAACTTGGACGCGGGGTCCGCATTTGGTGTTCCGGTGCCGCTCACGCTCACAATTCCATTTCCAGACCGCTGCCCGCTGCTCTCGTCGTCGGCAGCCCGCGAGCCGCGTCTGGCCTTCTCAGCAGGCGTCAGGAGATCCTTGAGGTTGTCCGGTACATAGTCTTCTTCAAGGAAAGGAAACTCGGCATCCCAGTCCCGGTCGATGCCGCCTATTATGGCGCGTGGTGCACTGCTACTGAGCAGCTTGGGCTTGGCATAGCGACTCGAGTGCATCTGCCGCCTACCAAAGTACTCATCGGTCGGTTGGGCCGGCGGGGAAGACGCGGTTACGGTGGAGGACAGGTGGTCGTTGCTGCCGAATGCAGAGCGGTGTAGAAGCTTCAGAGCTTCTGAAGTTCGCGCATCCTTGGCAGCATTAAGTGAAGGCGAGGGTGAATCGAGGCCGAACTGCGAGGGGACGGACGATGGCCAGGGACCGGCAGGATAGCGAGCTGCGTTGGAGATGCCGTTGGAATCAAAGGATGCGGGCAATGGGGCATCCAGCACAGACAAGCCTTTTACACCTATCGGCGAGAGGCCCAAGCCCAACCGTGTGGGGTCCTCTTCGCGAGGGGAGCCATACTGAGAGCCCGTGTGAGAATAGGTAGTATCGATCGTAGGCAGGCCGTTCTCCAAGCTCGGTTGGCGGTCGAGCTGGTGGTGGCTATCCCCGCCAGGCGAGATTGGATAGCCAAAGTTGCCGTAAGGGGTGGCTGCATCGGCTTTCATGAACGAGTTGGTGAGGGCGCTGCTGGTGTTATAGGGTGCCGCGGCACCAGCGCTGGTACGACCTCCCAAGTGTAGAGGCTGGCCGACAGTGATACCATTCTTTCCGTAGTTGATTCGCCGGCCGTCGGGGAGCATGTGAATGTTGGCACACTTTGGTCCGAATTTGCAATTGCCCTGCGAAGTGAGGCGAACAGTCAGCAACCATCCATACACAGCAGCTGGATCAGAGCGCAACCGTGGCATGTGCGCCTTTGCAGCAGTGGCCGTCGGAGCAGCCTGGTAGGCAAGAGGAGGGAGGCGGTTGCTCAAAAGCACATTGGCGTACCTTTGCAAAGTACTTGCACACCGTCTCGGCGGCACTCCCGAGATCGTGACTGAACGGACAAGCGGTGCCGGCCTGGCAAGCGCCCTGCCGGAAGAATTTGCAGGGGACATGCGAGGTATCTAGAAGCCGGGCGGAACGGGTCAGTGGGACAATTACCATGTACGTGCTTCCACAAGACACGGGAAAGGGAGCAGGTTGCGATGCGATGCGATGCGAAGCGCTGCGTTGCATGGCTTGTATCTGGTGTAGCAGGCCGAGGGGGGTGGCAGACTCGGGCGTCGTCGCCCGAATGCACAAGCGACGGCAGGACAATTGGCACTTACTTGGGGGGCTGCGAGGCCCGTCGAACCTGCCGCCGGGCGCAGGAGCCATTGCGCTCGGCTGCGGAGGGATGTTGAGACTCCCAGATCTCATGTGTCGATAGTCAGACATTGTGCCGAAACCTGGGAGGAGCGGATGGAGTCGGAGGTGAGTTTTGTCTGACCGACCGGGAGGCAGGTAGATAATTCACGAGGCAAAGCAAGGCAGGACGCAGGTGGGTGGTGGCGGGCAAAGGCGGGCAAAAGGAGGGGCAGCGACCCCAGAAGCGCTGGACTGGACAGAAGCAGCACCGGTGCGGTGCGGTGCCGTGGCCGAGCTTTTTGACGCGTCCGGCCTCTTATCGTTCGAGGGTCTCTTGGGGGGGCTGTCCTGCGGGCGGGCCTCCTCTGGTCTGTCCCAACGAGGTCGGCCGTCGCTTGTGCTCCCACCTCTCGTCTGTCTGTAAGAGCGCCAAGCGTTACCTGAGCGACTACCACTCTGCCTTCGGTTGTATATGCCCTCCAGTCTTTGTCTCGTTTTTGTCTTTTTGTTTTGGTGTAACCCTGAGAGCAGCAGCAGTGGGCGTGGCCGGCACTGCTCTCTCCCACGTATCGGTTAAGCGATTGGCCGATCTTGATAAGGTAAGTTGCTGAGTGGGTTGCCAGAAGGAGAGTTTGGAATGGATGGAGGGGAAAGGTGGCAGAAAAGCGACCTTTGAACGACAGAGCCCAAAACCAAGCAGATCTGATGGGCGGTGGGCGAAGAGGCGGGGTCCCAGATGGGTTAAATCAGAGTCCAGTCGAGGCGGACTTGAGGCTGCAGATGCGCTGCGATGCGATGCGATGCGAGACAGTCCTGGCCTCTAATTGGGTTGAGTGGAATGAGATCCGAAGGCCCAAAATAGCGGAGCGGCTCACCTGGACGAGCTTCATTCACCGTGTAAGTGGCCAAGGTGGACAAGTGTGATGGCATGCAGCAGTGCCTAGAACTACCTAGTGTAGGCCACCTTGGAGCTCCAGCAAGTGGCCACTAGATGTGGAAACAGTACCACTCAGGCGGGATACGCTTTCAAGCCGAGATCTATTCCCTTTAGTCTGCCTTCAGTCTTTCTGTGAACGCAGGACTGGTGGATGTTTGGCACGATTTGGCAAAGGTCTTTTGGTGGCTGGGGCCAGCTGAGACGAGCAGCAGGGTTGGTTTTTGGCCCAAGACAACCAGTCCAGATGAAGAATGTGGCCCCCTGACGATACCGAAATTCCGGGTCGACGTTTGAATAAAGCAGGAGGCAGGCCGGCCTCGTCTTGACTCGATTAGTTGCGGTGTGTGACTCGGGGTGTGAAGCCTCGGATCTCTGGTCGGGATACCCTTGGCTAATCGACCAAGTATGGTCTACTATGGTAACTCAGGAACGAGGTCTGGTCTGTCTCTCCTATCTAAGTACTTGTTCCCGGAGACTTGCTGTGGTCGCGGTCTGCCTTGGAATGAGACGCTCAAAAGGCGGCAGACTATAGTTCTCCGTTTGCATGAAGAACTGTAAGTCTCGGGCGTGCTTGAGTCTAGAGCTACCGCTCACCGGGAGCCCTGGCAGATAGGTCTGCGCAAGTACTCGAGAACTTGTAGAGAGGTCAAACGAAAGGCGGGATGGTGGGGGTTGGCAGCGTTCCGAGTCCAATGGATTTGGCCAAAGAAGGTAAGCCGGATCGCCTTCAGGGTATGTCTTGGCAGCATGAAAGTCTGGCTGGTCCGTTAGGCGAGTCTACCACTTCCGAGACCATCAGTTTTCAGCTGCAGTCGCCGCGCGGGTATTGCGATAGTCTCAGAATTATGATGATGAAGGCTGTTTGATAGCAACCGTGAACTGCAGGTTGGTCTTGGGAATCTGACTAATTGGTGCCTACAAGACACCATGCAAAAATCATGAGACCGGGCCCGGATGAGTAATTCCAGTTAACGAATGTCATGCGGCCATGTATGGGGGTCTGAGGGAAGGTCCTGCGATCAGATGCGATTCAGAATCAAGGGCGATGTTGCCTGTGCCTGAAGGGGGCTTCCATCCGCAGGGCCACCTGCGCACCTGTGCGACCCGGACCTGCCGTCGATTGGGACTGTGCTTGGGCTTACAAGCCAATTGGGACGTCAACACCGCCGGTTTGAGCGAATCTGGTAGGTTGCGCAAAGTATTGCGATCTGTCAGATCCGACAAGGTCAGCGCTACGGCGGTTCGCCGTTGTCCTAGCTGGACGGTCAGCGAATCAGGTCTGAGAAAGCCCCCTCGATTGAGCTACGCCGGTCCGTCTGACGAATTGCAAGACAATACCAGAACCCTGCTACCCGACCGATCAAGAGTAAACTAGAGCATTGGGCTACCCAACTTAGATAGACTATGCTGACCACATGGATGGCACCGACTTCTTGTATTGATAAGTCGCAGCACGACTGCGTCTTTCGTCTCTAGTGGACTCCCTGCCAGGATTGCATAAACCCAACGGCGCCGTACCGTAGTTGAACAGGCGCTAAAGGGAGGGGGTAATCTCAGGCGCGCCGTTGTGTCCGATCTGTGATACTTGTCGTTGGCTAAGGGTCTTACTTACAGCATACAGTGATACAGTGGTAGCATCCGCTTACTTGCGGCGCAAGTCTGAGAATAAGCCGAGCTAGGAATCCTCACGTCGCAGCGAGTCGATAAGTGATAGGTAGGATGTGTGGATCGAGGTGATAAGCTGGTCGTGGGGATCTTGATGGTGCATATCAGTCTGGAGCATGAGAGCGGCACGGTGACGTCGCGAGACTGGACCCCGTGAAAGATTGGTGGGTTGGATCGTAGCTAGGGAGTAGGCTAATGTGACCTTATAGGCGGTGCGGATGGATCTATTTATGTCCCCATGAATTGTTTGGACTTCGAGGCTGCTTGCAAGATCTGGGCAGACTACCATCAGGTTTTCTTGGTGTGCCCAGGAACGCGGGTTGAAGAAGTAGTTGCGCATGAGCCGCTGTCTAGCCCTCTTGGTTACATGTCCCCCATGTGCACAACACGGATTGACGGGATCAGGGTTGTTCGTATCGTGTCTCGCATGTGCGCCTGGCCTTTGAACGCTGACGATCTGTGACGATCTCGACTGCTCCGTGCCGCAGCGGATGTGAATGGGTACCTTGGCGCCGCGACGCGTGGGAGTCGAGTCGCGCTCATCCATGAATCCCTGGTGAGACACGATTAACCCACCTCCGAGCTTCCTGTACAGGATGCCTATGAGGCAGAGTGAGGTACCACCGTCCACCTCAGAAGTCATTTGGTGGGCAATATGGCAGAGGATGTGGTGTGCCAGGGCCCCTCATCTTCCCAGTTCCACCTGTCGCTCTTCTCTGTTCTTGATGGTGATGACGAATGCTCAGGCGAGCAGGCTGTCAACTTTGCCTCTTGTTTCTCTTGGCCTGAGCAACCTAGCATGATGGGGGGAATAGACGCATCTCTTCCGTGTGGCATGGATACGACGAACACCAGTCTCACTCGGGCCGCGTGCGAGGCTCTATGACATTCCGGGTTAGTGATTCGCTAGAACAGGTAACCTAGCGCTGCAATACCCCCCTTCCTCTAACTTCACTGCACTCCGTGGAGCCGGCTTCATCATTGCCTCAGTTGGGGTCACACCGGGCTAACATGATATCCACATTACAGACATCACGAAACCCTTCGAGCGTCCTTATTGACGCCGGGTTCAAGGCGGATATCATGGGTGATCTGCATTCAAATCTCATCCCTGCACAGACGTGAGTAGCTCGCCTGCGGCGTTCAGGCGTTGCCATCAGGACTTGCTGGTATTTCATCGGTCAGAGAAAGCAAATGACAAGGATGTCTCTCCATCACTACCTGCTTTGGTTACCTGGTAGTACAGGGCTTCGATCATTGTCAATTTCTGGACTGACACCCAGACATGTCAGGCTGGATTTAGGTTTGGGTTTGTCAACACGACCAAGCCGGATCTGCTTGTGATCTCATGATGCTGTGTAATGCTACCAAGTCCCCCACACCCATTAGAGCCCCCTGTACCCCTGTCACAGCCTTTGGCGGCTTGATCAGGCAGTGACACCAAAGAGTCTCCACCCACTAAAGCCGCCCGTGAATCCCGCCCGGACACCCAAGTCAGTGCACTGCCGTACCCATTGTACCTGGCCGTGGATGTGCGTGAACGTGAACGAATGCAGGCCCGTTTTCAATGATTGGCGCCTGTCGCGTCTGTAAGAAATGCTGAGCAAGTTCTCCGGCCTGCATCTGCATGGCTCTCTCGCACTCTGCAGTTGAGTAACATAGGGATTTTCTCCGATTAGCCAGAGAGTTGACCTAAGTTCCCGACAGTACTATGGTACATAGTCCAGCATATCTAACTTATATACAGGCGGTGATAACTAATTCGAGTTACGCACTACCTGCAGGGCATGGGTGGATAGGCTTGACAGGGCAAGGTAGCCCGGTAGTGACGGGATGGCCTGCGGAAGCATGGGAAGAAGTGAACCCCAGAATTGATCGACCTTAACTGCCGAGTTAAAAACAAAACAGCAGATCTGAGCGAATGTGACCATAGCCACCGCGGTATCATTTGTGCGATACTGGGAGCAAAGCAGCCTTCCATTATCTTGATACCCTTGAGGCAGCTATCAGCTCATGTTCGCCACTGAGCTCGGTCGCTGTCACCACATCCTCCACGAGGAAAGTAGCTTGCAGCCTTACTCCAAGGACTAGTTGTGGCAAGTACCCGTCACGAATGGAGCACTATTTAACTCCGTACACTCTCCCAACAGCCCACGCAGCCATCCCGTTCATAGCCAAGCAGCAAGCGCCTATCGATCCTACACTTCCAACGAACTCCACACTATCTATCGCTTTGGTCTGCCCGCCACGGGCGCGGCCTAGTCGTCAAAGACCATGCCATTTCGTTGGCTCGGGGCGTTCGACAAGCGGCAGACAACCCCTGTAGCTCATGGTGGTGTATGACCTGGGAGGGTATGCATCCAGGGTATGTTTGTCTAGTTAAGCTGCATGTCGCTCCCTATCATTCGTATTGTACACTCCGCCTCAGGTGTGCGCGTCCGGAAACAGCACACAGGAGTTCGCAGATCCTTGGCGCACGTCCGCGGGGTGCATAGCCGGGGCTTATAAGCCACATGGTCCCATCCATGAGACATGTACTTGCCCAACCCATAAAACTGTTGGCTGGCCAGGAATGTACGTACTACTTGTCTTGTTCAATCCCGGCCAGTCGAACCTATCTTCTTAGGCTCTTGTATGTTTATGCGTTCCCTGAAAAGCAAGTTCGGCTATAGGCATCAGCTGTCTGCATCCTCCGATAAAACTTGACATTTGCGAGGCATGTATGCCTGAACTGGCTTCAGGACAGGAATGATCCTAGTATATCGGACCTCAAATCCATCGTAGCAGAATATTCTTTGTTCGGGGTCCTCGAGGGGACCCTTCTGATACAAGCCACTGGCCCAAAGTATAACGGTGTGGGCACACTGCATGCCACAGACAAATCACAGTCGAGGCTCCCGCACCATCGTCCAGCTGATCTATCCACACCATTCCTAGTCGAATCAGTCCGTAACTGTTGCAACCACTACCCACGCTCTACCTCTCAATGATCTAAGTAGTTTGTTTTCTAGACGCCACAGCTGACTAACCCATCGTACCATTTCCACGTCAAGACTTCTTCCGTCCATATCCCGGTTCATTATCAAGTATTTTATGGACAGGAATAGGCATCAACTTACAAGGAGACTTCAACGCATTGTTCCAGTTCTACACCGGCTTCCTCAAGTCCTCCTCCAAGCTTGGATTGTGATCACCTTGGTGAGACTCTGATTAGTCCCGGCAATATCGCCAGAAGCTGCTCTGTGATGTCAGAGACCAGTATTATTTTCTTTGCCACACACCCTTACACCCTCTTGTAGATCTCAACAGAGGGGGGTTGCCGCTTAGGTAGTAACGAATATCGACCAACCCTCACTGTGTGTTAGTAGCCCAAAGTCTTGTTTCAAGACCTGTATTGAGCCTATCACACAGTGTCTACCAAGTCATTCCACCCCGACAAGAGAGCCCCATGATCATCAATCAATGAGTGATCCATCCAACTTCAGCCTCGACTGGCATTTGAATTTAGGATTAGCTTTGATTCAATAATTTTCTTCACGAATTTGGCACAGCGGACAGCGGAGCACGCATAATCTGATGTGTTTCGAAGTAGCACGCGTTCGAACGCCACCACAAATTGCAGCAAAGCTCCAGCGTAGCGCCGGATATTCCGTTCGTAGTATAGCCGTCATACACCGGCCCACTTCAGCCACACGCACAAGCACATTATGGAAGGCATACGCGGGTACTTGCATTTGACAGGCACCGGATTCCGATTGAAAGTAGACAAGTATTTGCATCCTGGCAGACCTCGTTGCCCAAGCTGGAGTCAGTAGCCCATAACATGTTGCAAATCCCGTTATTTGTGCCCAAGACTGGTATGCCTGGCATAATCGACTTGCTTTTCGTACACATAGCCATGGCGCGCTCGGAAGTCTCGGAGAATGGATATATGCGTCTACACCCTCTATATTTGTTTGTGAGATAATCTACGAAGCTGTTGAGGGGCAAGCAATGCAGCTTTGTGTACGGAATCTAGCCAAGACCCCTCCACAAGATGCTGCTTCAGAAAACGGATAGTCTCATCATGAACACGTAACTGTGCATCATGTCTATGGAGCTTGATATGAATATCTCCAATGTGACTACACATGGGCAAAGCTTTTTTGGTAGATGTAAGTCACACTTCCTAAGCGAGCTCGGATGAGTTTTGCGGACCCCTTGTCAAATGGGCATGAACCCTACACCAACGGGGCGAGGTTCTGCAATCTATCATGTGGATGAAAGACCTAGGAAAGGTGGGCGTGACCTGCCTAATGCATCACCTTCGGAACCGAGCCGAGCCTTGAGACAGCATTTTGAAGAAACGTAGTGTGACTATGAAGAGCGGCAAATTCACCCAGTGTGTAACATCGCGGCTTGAATGCCGGCTGCCGCTGCAAGCTGAGTCTCGCCCCGGGTTACCATTCTGGTATATAAGTGGTATCAGCAAGTCAGCTACCAGTGAATGCTTACGACGAGATCGTGGCTGCGATCACGCAAGCATATTCCATGGGTAGTGGGCTTCGTGATGAATACTGTGTTGCCCAGGTACTAGTCACGAGTTGAGATTGTCGGGTGTCTTGTTTTGCTTATATTTGGAACACTTGGCTATGATTCGCCGGTTGATGTACACAAGCTTGTATATCTGATACATCCTCCTATTGGAGGGTATAGGGAGCCCAACCCATTCTACTTTATATCTGTTGGGCAGGAATCAGTTGATGCAGTTGTGATTCGGGCTCCAGCCATCAAATAAAGAATTTCTGTTCACATTCATGGAACAGTATTAGTCGAGTCTTTTCTGGGCTATGGTTCCGTTCGATTTGCGCCCTCTGGACACCCCTCAGAGTAACACCAGACGCACGCAAATGGGAGCAAATTTGAGCCACCCCGTGGAGAGCTTTTGGATCACCAAACGAGTTTAAGGCGTCTTCATCTTCTTGAGTGGATACTAGATGATTGACGATTTGAGCAACAAGGTTCATGGCGTAATTTACCGGGTTCATAGTAACACTACGACTAGGGGAAAGGCAACCCTGAAAGGCATGTCGTTGCTTGACTTTTGGTTAGTTCACCTGCCTAGAGAACGTGCCATCTACTTGGTGCAATGGAAGGTTATGTCAAATTGCAGGATGGTGAGTCGACTTGAACTGTTCCTCGCTGACCAATAGAGAGAAACATGCCTCATGATCAAGCAAAGCATTCCTCGATCAAAATCCAAACTCTATCCATTCCAATCCCATCCCTGCAACAGCTACATGCTACTTAGATAGCGATCCAATGCAGAATAAGAAGGCAGAACTCAAAAGGAAGTTTGTGCTTCGCCACTAAGCCTTTGGGCTTCTTGACAGCCTTAAAATATCAACACATCATTCTTTCGCAGCGGTGATGCACACGTAGCGTGTTGCCTCATGAGGCCAAACCATGTCATGGTGGTCATCAATCACATTCCTGTACACTACAGTGGCAAATTTCTCTCTTATCTGGGCTGGATGGCAAAGGACAACCATAGTTGCAATGAGGGAAATTTGTCCGTACTAGCCGTGGGCATGCTATGTTCGCGGCTGCTCTGTCTAGTAACTGCTGACCTCAAGAAATGGAAGGGGGATTGTTCCCCCTTCCATGGATCAAATGCTTACAAATAGTTATCTAGTGACAACATGGTTACTCACATGAAAGACCTGCATCCCTTTAAGTCCCTCCATCCCTCTCAGCAACGGGATGGTTCTGTTGAAGTCCTCAGTCTCACGATATGCCTTGTGGGCCTCCAGGCTTTCCCATCCTAGGACAACAACCAACGCGCGGCATCTCTCATCCTTGAAATCGACCTCCTCCAACACAAAACCATGTGCTGTCTCGCCACTGAAGCCTTGGGCTACCGGCTTGCTCTCATCGATGAACTGTTGAACTTTGATGAGAGCCTCCTGCTGCTGAACCATGGAGATGTCGGCAGGGAAGTATGCATGGAGAACCTCTGCAATAGGGGTCTTTCCCTTTCCATCCTCGTTGTTGAGAACAGTCGCCGGAAATGGCTCAAACGGAACGTGATAGACGACGGGGTCTGCTCTAACTAGCTGCATCATTTCCTCCAAGAAGGGACCGTAGGCCTCTGACTTCATGACAGCCTGGTGCGCCGAGACATCCTCCCAGTCAATAAAAAAGACAACCTGTTCCGGGTCTTCTATCTTCTGAGAGTACCGTACTCGCAAGCAACCGGCCTTGGGCAAGATACGCGTTGTCACCTTCTCTGTAGCAATGGTCCAGTCTGTACCAGGCTTGAGGTGAAGGGCCGCGATTTCAGTGACTGCAGGCATGTTTCTGGCAACAATAAGTTCTCCAGGAATTCTAGCAGGCTGATAAGTATAGTGATTGCGAGGCAGAGGATTTGGGCCGCCTTTCTTACCGTGTTGTCTCGGCAGTGTATGATCAACGAGTGCAATTGCCGCGCCCAATTCCGACAGTAACGTGGGGCAGCGTTCTTCCGCGGCGCAGTGATGTATGCAGAGGATGATGGGGGAACAGGAAGAAGGTGGTCTCTAGGCTATCAAGATGATACCGCGAGCGCAATAATTGTATACTTTATGAGGTGGTGACGGGCAGAAAGTAGTAGTTAGAGCAACTTTAAGGTTTGGCCGGAGATAGTACCACGTCACTCCGGGGATGTCTCTGCCCCGCTCGGCCCAGCTGTAGAACAGCTTCGGGACCGGAGATGGCTTGGGCCTATCGTCTACTGGCCACGACGCTGGACAAGACAATTCGCTCATGAGATAGACAGTAAAATAACCCCAGGATCGGGGCCTGATCCTACTTGAGCACACAACTCCCATCGCTGGAACGCCAAGACTATCCGGCGCCGAACGCCCATCTGAATCCCAACTTTGCCAAGCGGTCCACTCATAACGTCCACCTAGGTGGTAGTCGGTCACCATTCTCGGCCTATTCGGTGAAGTCGCAACTGCTTGCAGACACAAGCAGGTTGCGATGCTGGGTTAACTGACGAACCATGTGTCATCAAGAAACCCTACATCCAAGGACTTATTATCAATAATGGGACGCTAAGTCGGTAATATCGTTCGCACTTGGTGATGATGTTCGTACAAAGTGTTACTATACTGCGCATGAAGCTAGACAGGACTATAGCCGGTGAAACGGGACGCGAAAACGAAAAAGCCATACATCAGCGATGGCCCAGTGCCATTCTATATCAGGACTTGGTCGTGCGACCGCAGACAACCTGGAGAACAATTTCAAACCTAAGCGTCATGATCTAACAAAACTGTCAACGACGCCGCGTAGTTCTTTCGAATCAGACTGATATGTCGAGTGACAATGATGATGGTCTTAATAGGCTCGACCAATTTGGATCGTCCTAACACACTTGAGAGTCTGGAATTGCCTATCAGACTCCTGAGGTATTGGATTAAGTTACACGTTTACCGTCGTGATACATGTATCGTCCCGTAAATATGTGTAGCTAAAACCCCTATGGTTCTTGTTTCGCATCAAGTGTATCCCAAAGGTCGTCCAAGACTTCCATGACCGACCTGTACACCACCGCCATAAAGCGCGCGGCATCAAGCCATACGTCATATGCGGATCCTCGGAGAGTGTTTGCCATCACTTTGAGGGAAAAAACACAACCTGGACCGTAATATCGTCTCGTAACTCCCTCGAGAATGGCGGACCAACTGCAAGCGTCCCAGCTACCATTTCGTGGAAATTCCCACCCAGGGCATTTCTCACGAGGTGCACCGCCACGTTCTCATCTTGAAATGTTGCTCGGTCCTCAGTGTATCGGAAGCCTGAACTCCCCTGGCGATGTTTCTCCAGGTCAAAGCGACCGTGGTCTGTCACCGATATTGGCTTTCTCAACTCTCCACGATCTCGAAGCTCGATCCAGCGGCTGACAAGATTGACGGCCTGGTCGTTCGTCACTCTGTCCCAGAAACCGTCGCTGGCCATGATGAGGAAAGCCGGCGCCTTCTCGTCCAGCTGTGTGGTAGTGATAACAGGTTCAGCAGTAAGATATGGCGGTGTCTTGACAGTATACTTCAATGGTGGCAAAGGAGCAAACCCATCGTACTGCTTACTCAACTCCTGCAGTGTTCCAGCATCCCACTTGTGTCTTGCATCCCCAAAACCGCGGGACACCATTATCCCAAGTACACGTCCTCCCTTAAAGATATCGTTTTCACCGGGATGTTCCGAGTTGATTCGCGCAATCTCGTCCTCGTTACTTCCAGTTTGGTCAACAGATAGTGGTATTGCTATCCACTCTTCGTTGGTTTGTTTCTGGCCAAGGACCGCCCGCGAGTCCCCGACGCAAGCCACCCTAAGTATCCGTGTTGTTGGGTCCAGAAGAGACAATAATGCGCAGGAGCCAGCGTAGGCTTGTGCCAGGGAAGCCACCCTGTCTTGGTACGGGACGTTGCTCACAGCCAGTTCCAGCGCCCCCTTGACAATTCTGTCATCCAAGGATACGAAAGCATTCTTGATAGTCGACTCGACGACTTCATTCGAAGCCGTAGCTGGCAGGTGCTGGAGAGCCTGTTGAACAGTGGGTAGAAGTTGTTTCGTCAACAGCTCAGCAGTCTGAGATCCCGCATGTCCATCAAAAACACCCCATGCATTCCATGAGGAGCTGATAAGACCATCATCTGAAGTAATAACTCCGTGGATGAGTCGATCCTCCACTGGACTCGATGACCCAACCCGCACTGCATGATAAGCACCAACTGGCCCAGGTGAATTAAGTGAGTTGGACCAGCCGAAAGCTTCCTGGTTCAAAATTTTGGTAACCGCATCCTCGCATACAGCTGCAGCACCCGTGATGGATTCTCGCAGCTGATCTGTAGTCGGAACTGCAGGATACTCGTCGCCTTCACGCTGTGTATGTAACAACGAGTTCGCCCAGTAGCCAATGATAACCCAGACAGAACCAGTTGCAAGTTTTCGGTAGGGAAATCCAGAGCGAGATCCCGAACTAGAAGATCCTGTAATTTCTGGACCTAGAATTATTTAATCTTTCTGTGCGGGTTACAGAGCCATGCAACCGATATACACTTACTGCTGGATATTTGACCCGACTGCGAGCTCGACGAGCTCCAGAACCCCACGGGTATACACCGGCCAACACGAGCGGAGGATCTCGCGGGCAGCCCACTTGACAAGAGATACTTGCTGTCCCGAAGTTGAGACTTGGTCGCTATTTGGAACCTCATGTTGTGCTTATTTCGCAGAGTTGTGTTCAATAAATAAGAAGTAGAGAATGAGGGCTACAACATTGACACACGAAGGTGGCGTACGTGATCATACGAGAAGGCGGTCTGTTAGTCAATCCCAAGGGCAAGATCTTGCCTCAGAACCGAGATTCTCTTTTTATGACGGGAAGAACAAATTGTGGCGAGGCCTTTGGCCCAGTTGGGACTTGCGCCCGAAGGCCATTTAAATGCTGAGAAGGAACTTTCCAATTCTGGTAATGAGGAACTTTTGACGCATTGTCATTTTTAGAGGTTGACCCCTGGCTGCCCCACAAGCTTGTGCCTTCCTCTTGGATACGAGTTACAGCCTCCGCTATCGAGCAGAACTCTGGCTTCGATGCCCATATCTTATAATGGGAAGAGAAAAGCATTGCATCTCTGGTTCTTCAAGTCAATATGTCTTCCGCATTGGTATGCACCATGAAGAAGAGTGGCACAATATTGTAGTCTGAATCTATAACGTTGCTGCACGTTGTGAACGCTCACGGTCCTGGGGCTTGTTTTCCAGCAATCCTTTTTGAATCTGTGGAGGAGACGAAGAAATGCCAGAAAGAAGAAACGGAACTACACGGCGAAGCCCTCGGTGAAGCTCACGAGACAATCACAAATTGCAGTCCAACGCAAATGTCGGGCCCACTCAAGGAGCGGGAGCAGTGGGAAGGATTGCGAAAATGCGCAGATTAGCATGCGAACCTATAGAGAGACTTCTCCAAAGCAGAAGGAAACCGTTCTGGAAGTGTGCAAACCCGCTCGATATTAGCCAGTCTGGATAAACTGCTGACTACAAATTCGGGGTTCGAGCGTGCATATTGATATTGGCGGTAGATCTAGCGACACCATGAGTCTAGACAGTGATATGGAAGGTATGATTTTGTCTACTAGTGTTGCTGAATGAGGCCATGTTGAGTTTGCAACTGACCTAGATGATCTCAGAGCTTGCCAATGTTCCCTTTGACTGAGTGCTCAAGCAAGCCCGGCCATAGCTAGGTGTTGACTGGCCTGGAGAGAAATAGTACGCTTCATGAATGACCTCTGCAGAATTCACTCAGCGAGCCCTGAGTGACAGTGATCTGTATCATGCGAAGTGAACATATACCTCAGTAATATTGTTTTTGCACTCTCCGTACCACCCCTAAATGAACTAACGTCCACCGTACCTCCCAGCAGTATCAGGACGGTAAGCCCAACAATTGCACCACTTCTAACTTGATTACTACTGAACACATCTTCTCAGGATCCAGCGGCAAACCAACTGGAAACAAAATGGAGTTGATCAACATACTCTCCCTCTTTCTGCTGGCTGTCATGGCATGGGCAAATTCTCTTGACACCAACAGCGAGGGAACTACATTAGACCGCAAGGTCGAGCACCACAATGGCAGCGCAATACAGGTATACTATCACAACTCCTTTCGACCAACCTCCCGGTCGAGCAGTGCATTGGCGAAACGCATGGGATACATGGCCAATTACGAGGTGAAGGGCTCCAACAAGTGTTCCGAGGCAACCATGACATTCGACTTTGGGAGTCACAGTGCACCGCTCGCATCTGACTGTCTCGCCGTCATGTTAGATGTCCTGAAGAACCCCGGCTATTGGGAGACGTATGATTACTCAGACGCCAAGTATGGCGAGCTGGTCACCTCTGGCTCATGTACCTTCGGTATAAAGCTCCAGTTCGGGCCCGATCCGAAGGCGAGGGTGAACATTGGGTCTTATGATGTCGTCGATCAGATCTATGCCTCCATCAAAGCCCATGCGGACTACAAGTGGGACCCCGAATCTCACGGGAACGAGGGGGTTCGAGTGGCTACTGAAGGGAATATGATATGTGGCGGCGCTGGCGTGACCTGGCAGATCTACTCTGGCTCTTCGCCTAAGCTGGCCAAGCGCGAGGGCGACAGTGTGATGCCCTTCCGGAGGCCAGAGGGCACTGGGGCCTCGCAAGACCTTGTCGTCCCTCACAGTAAACGAGCATGGTATTCAACATTCCACTACTACGCACTGGGCAACGACACGTGCGACGGCAGAGAACCGAAGGACATCACGGACAACAAGAATTCGCCCTACGCGGAGGATTGCATGCAGCTGATGATCGATTTACTAGGCTACCCAGGGTCGTGGCAAGTTGGGGGTTTCTCGGACGCCGGATGGCATAACCTCGCAACATCGGGGACCTGTTGCTTTGACATCAACAGCCCCAACGGTCACGACTGGCCGTCGTTCATCGGGACCTCCAACGTCGCCGACGTGCTCTGGTCGTCGATCAAGGCATGGGAGAACAATTCGAAGAAGGTCGGCGCACAGGGACTGTTTGACTGCCACGGACTCCCCCCACAGCAACCCATAGGATGGCAGATTGCGCAGTGCCTAAGGTAGTTGTGGGTTGGGTCTGGATGAGCGAGCCGTCGTAGATGGTAGATTGACAGCACCAGCGAGTTCACAAATACGATGATGATGTACTGCCGCTTGGACGTACGTGACTATTGGATGGGAATGTAGGTCATGTACCCTATGCAGGCAAGCAGAAGTACCGTGACCGCCCCTGGCCAGCCAGGATACACATGTACATGGATGTAGTGGACAATCGCGGATGAGTCAACAGGAATACGACATGGTCAGACATTGCCATGATGCGGGTAGCGGATACATATCAGGGTCTGCAGTCATCGGTGAGTCACAAGCACGCGATGGTGCGTTCATCATCCTCACCAAGCTTCCAAAGGCGGCTTGGTGTGTGGGATGTATCGATCGAAAAATTTCTCCGGGACCAACAGCAGCGAACCGCGATAGACCGGAGGGTAAGTGATCGAAATCAAAAGATTTGACATTTCCTCTCTCCTCCAATTTCCCCTCCAAGACCTGCCATTGAAGCGACGTAAGCCAGAGTGAATATGAAGGATTTGTTTCAGTTTGAGGAAGGAAAGAGAGGAAAGGTCCAAAGCTCTGCGAAAATTGCGGCGTTGATATGGGCAGACGGAGGGACAAGGGACGGGGCTAACCTTTTTCCGCCTGCCCATTCTTAGTGCCCAGGTCCACTGCTATCGATAACGCGGGTACCTAGGTAGCCTCCAGTGGGTCTGGGCCCTCCGTCCTCTGCTCTGCCTTAGGCTGCATAGTAGGCGACTCGGGGGGGGGGGGGAGGGGTGGAGGCCTGACAATTTCCCAGGCTCTGTTTGGGCGACAGCAACCCGTGGAGCCGGCAATCTTTTGGTGGTCAAAATAGCAGCAGGACCCAAACAGCAGGAGGGGACAGGCCACCGACCAATTGCAGCCCAAGCACATCGTCGTACCCCGCCAATCCCAACGTCGGGTTTCTGTCCTCGTCTCCTGTCTGACTCCCTCATCTGCGCGTCTCGAGCTGTCGTGTGCTTCTTCCGAAAAGGCAATTTGCGTTGACCTCCTTTTGCTCGCATTGCCAGGTACAAAAGCTCGAGCCTTCGCCTCGTCTCGTATACTCATCGCGCTCGGACAAGTTGCACACAGCAAAAGTTCGGTTTGCTTGTCCACCGACGTCACCCCGCAATTCCCTGCGCGCGCACAACCCCTCCATCCTCTGATAGCCAGCAGGACCACCCCGCCAGCTTTGCAATCATGGCCCCTGGAGGACCTGGCGGTAACTCGCGTGGCCGAGGCGGCAAGTTCAAGAAGTTCACGAGAGGAGGTTGGTCTTTGATCTTTCCGCGCCGCAGCCGTGCTCTCTCTAAAATCTCGTGCTCTTACTATAGGTGGCCACCACTTTTCTCGCGACCTGCGACCCCTCGACGCCGACGGCAACGAGATCAGCATGTGGAGCGCCGATGCTCCAAACAAGGATGACGACGACGATTCGGACGAGGACTCTTCGGAAGAGGAGGACTCAGACGAGGACTCGGACGCCGCCGGCCCCGCCAAGCCTCAGGCCGAGCTGACCAGAGAAGAGCGCAAGAAGCAGAAGGCTGCCCAGAAGGCCGCTGCCATCGCCAAGAAGAAGAAGGTCGTCCAGGTCGGCGACCTGCCCTCCGACTCCGAGGAGGAGGAGAGCGACGACGATGACATGCCGGCCAACCCCAACCACTCCAAGGCTGCCCGCAACCAGACCAAGCCCCCGACGCGCGATGTCGAGGAGGTGACCGAGAGCGTTAAGAAGCTGTCCACCGCCCCGATGAGCAGGAAGGAGCGCGAGTCCATGGAGGCGCAACAGGCCAAGGAGAGATACCGCAAGCTGCACGAGGCTGGCAAGACGGACGAGGCCAAGGCCGACCTGGCTCGTCTGAGGCTCATCAGAGAAAAGAGAGAAGCCGAGGCCGCGCGGAAGCAGGTGAGTCACTTTAGGCCCTTTCGCCTGTGCCGCAATGCTAATAATTCATCTTCAGGCCGAGAGAGAAGAGCAAGAGGCACAGAATGCTGCTAAGAAGGCAGAGATCGAGGCCAAGGAGGCCAAGAAGCGTGAGGCTGCGCTTGGCAAGCCGTCCAAGAAGGGCAAGAAATAACCAGGCTGTACATAAAACCGCGTCAACTCTTTGCATTGCGCATTGTATAGCCTGCCACCCTTGCAACTGCTCCCCATATCAGATCGATCAATTTACAGGCCCCTTATTAGGGGCCCTTCGCGCATGGCAGACTATCGTTGCTTGGGCTTACATCTGTGCGTACCTGTGACATAAGAGTATACTCCTTACCTTCACACTATAGTAGACACTCTACATGTCGTCTGGGGGAAGTTATCTTTTGGCAGACAAGCAAACTACGAAAACGGGATTGCCGGTTTTGTTTTTCGTAGGAACCAAGAGTAAAAACATAACGTGCATTTACTTCTCGTTTGTCAGTTTCCCGTCCCATTGGTCCTTTCTATTACGGTAAAACACGAAACAGGTGTTGCGGACGTGCAGGAGACATGTACCAGCAGTATGCGACGACAATCTATTAGAAATGGAGAAGTCACACCCCAATCTATACAAACAATCGTGTGCCAGCCTGACACTAGACCAGGGAATAATATTTTACGACAGACGCCGAGTTGACATTCAAAGAAATTGCTCTGATTATAGAGAGTGCACCAATTGTCAATAGCGCAAGCTAACCTCATGCACAATGTGCACAGTTACCCGCCCAACGACCCAGTCTATGCTGTCGACCATGTTGATGAATGAAACTTATAGGTGTCAGCCACATATGACTGTAGCTACAAGTAAACTGTTCTTTCTGTTTGATATAGATTCTTGGTGTATATTCTGAGGAGCTGTGCGGGATCAGAAGGCCCCGGCCGCTCTATTTTTATTCCATGTTAGGAGATTTAATCAAGTTGCGGTGCCTAGGTGAATGACCAGTTTGTCTCATTAGCCATTCGCTGTTTTCCCAAGACACGAGGACCTTGTTCTCCTTCCTCTAAGCCATTTCTAATCTTATTGTTGCTATCTCTCCACTGCCACATGCTGCCATATACGGTCTGCTTGCCATTTCCCTCGAGAATCTTGACTACTTCTCTTCCTAGAATGGGGAGAAACTTAAATCCGTGTCCACTACCACCAGAACAGATAGCTACTCTTGGTTTTCCGGGGACGAAATCGACAACAAACGAGTTGTCGATGCTGTCGGTGTACCAGCACAATTTCGTCGAAGAGATTCCTAGTTCAGTCAACTCTGGCATGTTTGAGGAAATAATATCTGAATGCCGTATCAGTACTTTCTTGAATCTCGGGTCGCTGAAGCGTTGCTTACCTTTCGCTGCTTCCAATGCCTCTAGAGGAATATTTGCCTCCTTGTCATCTGTAACATGGGCAGTCTTGGGCACCGAAATCCTCCGCCCATCAATGTCTTGATAGTTGGTATATCTAGTCATGTTAGCAGACGCATCTTTAGCGAGGCCGATGTTCCTACTGACTTCGTCTTGCGGTATCCGATCTTCAACACGCCTTGCTCGGTGATTGGGAATGCGTAAATGCCCTTTGTCTTCATATTCCAGCTGACTACGGGGAATTTCTCTGGTGAGAAGCGTTCCCAGAGATCAGGACGGTCATCTGGGAGTCTGATAGACGAGACTGAGCCAGCCGTTGTTTCGAGGAGACCGTCTGCTTCGGGCACGAGGCTTGGCGTCCAACCCCCGCCGGCGACTACGACATAATCGCCGTGGTGAGTGGTGCCATCCGCCATCTCTAGAACAGGTTTTCCATCTTCTGTTGCTTGAATGTGTACAACCTTGCCCTTGGACGGGTGGAGTAGAAACTTGACGCCAGCTTTCGTCGCGAGGTGCTGCGCCCATGCGCAGCTTTTATAGGCGACAACAAAACCGCCACTGGAATCCAATACCGCCTTGTGTACGCCAAACTTGCTCTTCCTATTGCAAGGGTCAAGCTTCTGACCCCAACCAGACTGCTCTGCTCGCTGGATGTCTAGAAGAGTTGCATTTAGTCGACAGTCGTGCCTTTCGTGAGCACAGTGAACTCACCAATTTCATTGTCAACCATGAATTGACTCTCCCTGATGCCCTCCTTCTTCATGTTCTCCAAAGTCTTGAGCTCAAATGCATCATATTCAGCGCCATCACTCATCCTCAGGTATCCGCAATTCCACCAAAGTTTTCTAGAACCCGTCCGCAGCACCTCGGGCAGATCCTCCGTTCTGGATTCTTGGAGCTCAATGTTCCATTCCTCCCATATCTTTGCGGCTTCAAACGCCAGTCTCTGATACTCGATTTCCTCACCATAAGAAAATCGAATGATCTTGTTGATGTCAGCCGATGCGGAGTCAATACCGGCATCGGGGTTATATCCGGAACCTTTCGTATCTTGCATATCGACGACAGTGACATCGTTGTAACCGCTCCGTGCAAGCCATAGTGCGGTTGAGATGCCGAAAACACCGGAGCCGACGATAAATATTTTGGAGGCAGGCTGAATAGTCATGGCTGACATGAGAGAACGGTTCGAAAATTTCCGAAGCTATCTACCAATGTAGGCACGAAGGACTTTACGGGATCCAATTGAGTTCTTGGTTGGAGAATCTCGCGGAGCAGCAAGGTGCGTTATCTCTTAACTCAGCTGGCTCGTTCCGACGCCCGGCCAATGCCTAGTCAGCCCGCCACACCAAGTAGCCCCTCACATACCCGGACCGTCGCAGCTTCTGGTCCGAATAGTGGCCCCCTATCCACAGTTCCCACTTGCACCTACCGAAGAACGGCGCTCAGTAGGTTGATCGGCGTGAATGCGACATGATACCATAGTACAAAGCTATGAGATAGTTCAAAAGAACGTTGTAATCCTCACTTGTGCAAAATGTCTTCAGTAGCTGTTGCAGACTCTGTTATCATTATAGGTGCCGGCATCTTTGGCCTTTCAACTGCGCTCGCGATATCGCGCCGCTGGCCTTCTGCAAAGGTCACAATCATTGATCGCTTGACGCCTCCAGTTGAAGATGGTACAAGCGTAGATACGACAAGATGCATCCGCGCCGATTATGCCGATTCTGTCTATGCACGACTGGCTGCAGAGGCGCAGAGAAGGATCGAGGACGATGTTGATTTAAGCCGCCATTATTTCAAGCAGGGTATGTCGTTCATTTGTGACGGCAAGCCAGGCCGATTCTTTGACATCTGGGCCAAGGGTCTGGAGAACGCAAGAAAATCGCAGGATCCTAGTTCACTGGTTGAAATGCACTCAGCTAATGAAGTGTTCTCCCGGCTTCACGGTCCTGACGCCAAGCTTGTATCCGAGCAGGAGCTCGGCAGGAGTCGAAACTGGATTCAAGGCTATTGCAACTTGGAAGATGCCTTCATTGACGCACGTGAGTGTGTCGACATATATTACAAGCGCTGTTTGGATCAGAAAAGCATCACTTTTGTTTGCGGCTCAGCTGTAGACCGTGTTGTGCATGGAGACGGGGTCGCATCAGGCGTTCTCCTTGACAACGGCGAGAAGCTGAATGCAGACCTGATCATCGTCGCAGCAGGGGCCTGGTCCGCTCGGCTGCTTGATCTTCAGGATTCGATGTTCTCCTCAGCTATCGAGGTAGCTTGGGTAAAAGTGACAGCGGAAGAAGAGCGACGATGGAAGAACATGTCTATCACGACCAATCTGTCCACTGGTTTTAACATCTTCCCACCCCACAACGGTGAAATTAAAATGCTTCGAAGGTCAGCAGGTTACCGCAATACGGTCACTGTCCCTCATCCGGAGGATTCGAACAAGATGATCACTATCTCGTACCCCAGGACCACTATAACGAATCCGACCGATGTGATTCCACAAGAGGCCGAGGATGCCTTGAGGGATAACTTGAAGGAACTTTTCCCTACACTCGCAAGTCGGCCGTTTGATAGGACGAAACTATGTTGGTAAGTTCACGAGATTGATACATCGTTTTCATGCTTATTAAAGCCATTATAGGCTAGCCCAAACACCAACGGCTGATTTTATCGTCTGTCCTCACCCAAGAATCCAGGGGCTTCATGTAGCAACCGGCGGATCTGCTCATGCGTGGAAGCTTTTGCCCATCATTGGCGACTTGGTTTTGGATTCTATCGAAGGCATTCTGGATGAAGAGCTCAAGCAAAAGTGGAGATGGGGACGGAATGGCGGTGATAGTGGAAATGCTCCCAGAATGGAAGGAAGTGTGAAGGAACTTAAGGAGATCGTACGTAGTCGATAGAATGAGCAATATGTTTCCAGTACGCGCCAGCCTCGGGAGTATCTTTGTACAACTTCTATGCTAGTAACGCTGTCTGAGGTACTACGTTCCGTATGGCTCTTCTCCACAATAATGAACAATGTCACGTTCTCACTAACATCAGAAGTAGGTAGGTGATACTTAGATAACTCGTGGCTGCCTCTAAGAAAGCGGTCATCATAAGTCCTTTCCTGCCACACACGGATCTTCTAGGACCCGGTGATGGTGTACTTGGAGTTTCCGCCTGCATTGCCCCAACCCTCGGTTGCAAGGACCTGGTAATCCATAGTTCCCAAGTTCAAACCCAGTTTAGCCCATGCATCGAAGTGATTCTTGGTAGTGATCGTGCCGCTGCCAGGCCTAGCATCGCGCCGGTTCGAGATATACTGGGTGAAGGTGGTAGTACCGGCAATGGACGGCTGGTTGACCTGCGTGTGCTTCCAGATGTCGTACACAGAGCCGTCGCTCTCAACCGTTCCGACCTTGGTTCCCTGGGCCGAACCCTTGCCGTCCGATGTGTACTCTTGGATGTAGTACTCCACCAGCGGGTTTCGCGACCATCCATACACGGAAACGAGAACCGTACCACTTGAGTGGGATGTGGAACCATCGAAAGTGACGTTTCTAAAGTAGCAGGTATAAGCGGCTGGTCTACGTGCAAGTTAGTGTTAGGTTTATGTGTTAACTCACCTGGTGGTCCCAGTCTTCCAGCCCTTGCCCACGACAAAGTCCCCGGCCCCGGAGAAACTCACGGAGTATCCGTTGTTGGTAGGGGAGAAGTTGACATTGCCGCCCGTCTTGTAGTTCTGGTTGTAATCTTGGCGCCGCGCGAGGTTCCCCGGCCCGATCACGAAGTCGGGAGCCTCGGGGTCGGCGGTCGGCGCGGCGAAGACCCTGGTAAATGCCGCGATGGCGAGCGCAAGGTGGGTGAGAGAAACCATAATTCTGAGTTATTTACGTCTGTGGATCCGCACTGGGATTGGAGCAGGAATAAGGCGCAATGAGAAGCTGCATGGAGTTCCTATTCGGATTGCTTGGCCTGCTTGGCGCTGGCTCTTATGTATGCGCCCAAAGACGAACTCGTCCGGTTAAATCTGATAGGGTGGATCACACAGACTGACCTCATTACCGAGCTTCTATGGAACTTAGCATCCCTAATAGTGATCACGGAGTCCAATTTCCTCTGCCTCCGTACTGTATAGCAAATCAAATGCCAAGAAATATTTTCCCGTGACGCGGGGTGCATTTAGTTGCGGCATTTCTCCCTTTATCGGAAACAAGTTTACATTAACGTGCAAGGGTGTGCTTCCGGGAAACCTGGTTTTCAGGCTAAATCGTGTAGACGTGTAGATCTGAAAGCTTATTTACATCCCACCTCTTACAAGCGATTTCAGTATCCAGTCCCTTCATCGTAGACGGGAGCGTTGGTACTATGCGGACATGAGATCTATAATATTTGAAGCGTAGCTTTTTACAATCCCTGCATCTTGCCGTTTAATCCCTTAAATCGGCCGTACCGGTGCAGATGGGTTCGTATGCAGAGTCCGTGCAAGCCGGAGGGACATTCATGCCAACGCAGGGACCACTGAATGCCCATGCATGTCCATTGGGTGTCCGGCAAGGTACCAGAAAACATATGAGATTTGTACTGACAAACGTGATCGTGCGTTCACCACATTAGAGGTAGCATTGGAAGATACATCAGGGCAGCTGAACCTGATGACACATCAATAACGAGATCAATCTCTTTTTCATTACATTCTACGGGAAAAAGAAAATCGTACTGTCTCTCAACCAATAATCTTGTCAATCTCGGCAATGAAATCATGGGCTGTGCCTTCGGTGCGCGAGGTATCCTGCGCGACAATGTAGCGCGTGAACCGATGTTCCGGTTTGATGACATATTCCGGGATCGTGACTGTGCTGCTGGTCCAATCATATCCCTTACTACCAGACTGACGTGCGGAGCGAGTGAATCCTTCGAGCGGCTTTGGCCTGTAGTCAGTCCTGCTTCTTTTTCTATACTCGACACTGGGATGGATGTACTCGTTCGTCTGCCCGAGCTTGACTTTCCCGGACTTGTCTTCGGCGTAGCGGCCGGGAGTCCTGGGGACCGACCCGGCAAACGCCATTAACCCGGCGTAACTGTCCACTATTGGACCGGTAGCCCAACCGTTGATGACCTCCTTGGAAATCCCCTTGACCTGTGCTTTCTTGAGACCTGCCTTCTCCAGAAGCCCCAAACCCTTGCTTGACAGAGGACTTCCGAGTGCGTCCTTGTCAGCTTTGGCCATGGCATCTAATGCTGGTCGCATAAGACTATATCGATCTTCGACAGCGCCTCTGGCGAGGGTATCCAGATCTGTGTCAAGCTGAAGGTATGGCGCAACTTGTTCACACATCCAGGCAAATGTAATCAAAGCAAGTTCTGACCTCATCAGTAGAAGTTCGCAGACGAAGATTGGAGTGCAACCTACGTTCAAAGTCTCCTTTCATCTCAGTCAAGATGTCATCGCTACCGCCGCCAACATTGATGTGAACACCTGGGAACCAAACCTGCAGCAACTCAGAGTCTGTCCCCTTCAGCTCATCATACATCTCGCAGTCAATCAAAGCGGACCACGCTGTAGATAGTTCAGTAGCCGTGGCATTCTTGTCCGCATGGACTTGGTCCCATTCTGCTTCAATCTCGTCATGGGTCTTCTTGTGATTGGGAGAAGCAAGCTCTGGAACATGCCAAAGTGTGGGTGAGAATGGGCCCCTGTGCTCGTCGAGCGCCAAGGCATGAAATGCATGGCGGACATCTAGGGTAATGGTTAGCGATAAATGAGAGTAGACTCTCAACAAGGAAACGTACAAGGACTGAGAGCTACGTTATGGAAGCCAACATTGGGAATGTCTAGCCATTTCTCAAGGAATTTCAGGTGGTATTGAGTCCATGATAAGTCTGGAATTCCCAAACTGCCGACGGTGTCGAAAACTCCAACTACTTGCACGACTCTTGAAGATTCGGGGGCCGATTTATGTGGGGGTTTGAGGTATCGTGGTGACTCCTTGGGATTTGTCGGCTGGTCCTGTGCAAGAACACCATTCACCCATTCACGATACACGGTGGATTTTCTGAATCCGTGACTGTCCTCGTTCTTTTGATATAGTGCGTACAGGTCTGGGAAGTCTTGCATATCCCTCGGCGAGATGACCCCAATATCATTGACGAGGCCTGCAACCGCTCGTGCCGTGTACGCCCCACGGGAGAACCCGAAGCAAAAAATCTGATCACCAGGGGCGTAGTTGAGCACGATGAAGTTGTAAGCCTCAATGACGTTCTGGATGAAGCCAATGCCGAAGCCTCCTTGGCGGTCTTTCTCTTCCTTGGTCAGTTCGCCGGTGCCAATACCGGCATCATAGTGCACGATTTGTTGCCAAACTTGGCCGGTCGCGTCTTTACCGCTGCGTGAGATTGATCGAGCAAGTCTTGTAATATTGGATGGAATGTTCTTAAGTCCAGTCACCGAGGACTGCCAAGTGCCGTCGCAACAGACGACGATACGCTTCGGAGCAACAGGAGCTACCGCGGCTCGTTGGAAATCGGCTGGCTGGATAGAACCCATAGTTAGATTAGATTACTAATAATTTGATTTATTGTCGAGTTACTCAGGAGCTGAGATTACAGGGCATCTCGCGTCCTTATAGGCAATCTAGACAAACATGATTTGGGGTCCCACTAGGCTTGGCGCCGATGTTTGAGGTCAGCTTAAAGCCACTACGAATCCTACCAATCCGTGGCATTGCCTGTTGCCACGACTGCGGCTGTCCTACGCTGCGGTGAACCATTGGTCACACGATTGTTGCAACCAGGTAAGACAGACGCGATCGTGGCTGGCTACATCAGCTGTCGCGCATATGTCAGCGAGCGTAAGCTATGGGCAAAATGGGTGGCCTTGGCACGATGGCGTAAGACGTGAAAAATAAGCAACTTCTTACTCAGCCAGAGGCTGTCCAACTGCTTCTGAGCTCACCTGCCAAAATTTATCTAGGCGCAGGATGGCTGGGGACCGGATGCTTCCAGGAATACTTTCGTATGCTGAAGTATCTCGTGACACCATCACCGTCAGCCGATTCCGGTGATGCAATCGTCGGTTACATTGTCTGTTGCTTCGATTCGCTTTGATTAAGAAAATCTTCTGTCTTTCACTTTAGATTTGGCCTAGTCATTTTGATCTTTTTGTTATGTTCTGAGTGTTTCTACGGCGAAACACAGCTGCCAGGCGCCATGCTAATTATTAATGCCACTGGATTTTGTAGGCACGATCTTCAGCTGGGTCTCTGATTGCCTATACGTGCGAGATCATCCTCCAAAACTGACTTCGCGAACCTTTTATAGCTCTTGAACTCCTTGTACCTCAATATACGTTGTAAATCTTCCTAGGTATTCCTTGAGTTAGATATGTAGGTAGCTGATCAGGTGTAAAGTCAGCCGCCATCACTCCGCCTGATCTTGCACCCTGCCTGGCTTACTAATTAGAAGTGTAATGTGATTTGACCACTAGGACTAATAACGGTCGGTCTTTTTTCTTCTTCTTCTCTGATAAGACAATCTAGGCAAGTTTAATCGCTGTACCCAGAGGAAGAGACGTGTGACCAGTGTTTGGGTCTGCTACATAATTGAGAGGATACTTCATAATGGATGGTGAAGATATTTGAGTCTTTGCCGCTTAGCTGGGACCATGGGGCATTTTTGATCCAAGGCGCTACTTACAAGACCCGGACACTGGCACGGCACCTATATTGCACTACGTTTCTTCTACGATGTAACTTCTACGCTTGGCGGCGATGGATCATAGCTTTCTCAAGCCGGGCCATTAATTAGCAGATAGCTTGCCATAAGTGATCCGACAACTGGGTACAATGGCATGCTAAATCTAACCAAGTTATAGTTCACCAAGATTGAGCAAGTTCTCGTGATGGATCCCTGAACGGATTTTTTGGCCCTTGAGAAGGTCGGCCGAGTTACAGCTTCGCACAAGCTCATATTTACAATTACAGGAAATCGAGTGTTCTCGGCAAGCATGAGAAATTATATAGATTAGAATAGCATCTACCCATGGGCTGTTGCCGCTTGGCGCCCCACTTAGTCGATTACACAGCGATGTCGTTATAAACAACGAGAAATATTGCTTGGTATTCTTGCTACCTGGACTGAGCAAAAGAGCATATTCTCGATCTAGGCCGAAACGTCTCCGGGCATCTTCTAGCAATGGCTGGGCTGGTGAAGGTTGCATTCTCGCGTTGGGTCTTAGAAATGTTACCTGACAGAGAGCAGAAGCTTCTTAATAGAATAAACCGGCAACTTAGGTCAACATTCAAGTAGCTTCGTGACCATGTCAGTGCTTTCACTCCCGCTCAAAGTTGATGAAGACTCAAGGAAATTCGTCATAGTATCATCGGTAGCTAATAAGAGATACACAAGGAGAGAGCTCAGAACTGCGTAGGCCACCGAGAATACCGCCGGATCAGAGAGGTGGTGTGGCGATTGAAAAGAAGGATTCCTACAGATGCGCAGAGTCTAGTTCCTGTAAATGGCCGATAGGTGATTTTAGGGAACTCGCTGATACTAAGAACAAGGTCATCTTCAAATCTCCTACGTGTGCAAGGACCCGTGCCAGAATCAGTAAAAGAGGGTGAAAAGCACATTTTGCTGTATTCAAGCAGTTCAATACTCACTCCACCTAGTTCATGGATCAAGGTTGTCGCTTTCGCCAATCAATGAAATACACAACACGCAGACGATTTCCAGCGCAAAACCCGCTTTCACGGCACGAGGCAAGCGCACACACGGACGGCAGCCAGCCAACCTTATACAAATGTGACTTCCTTGGTCCCAAACTCTATCGCGAGAATGTCACAAAATGCACGCAATGCGCCTTCTAACACTTCAGCCTAGCGGAAAGCCAAGTGCGAAGCATGCTGTGCGAAACCTAAAACTCCAAAAGAAATTCCCACCGGCAAGACGCACCCGACCCCGACACTCGACGACACTCCCCTGGCATTGTAGGTATCCTACTTCCAAAATCCAGCCCTGATTCTTGTGAACTACGACAGTTGCCCGGCAGTAACTGCCCACCTAGGCAAACCTGCCGCTCGTAACCCATCGTTACCACCTGTGCTGCCACGGGGATCTGTCTGCCAGGCCAGCCGGGGAACGCCGTGTCCTCCTGTTTTTGGCATCCCTCATACCACCGAGCAGCACGACAAGAGTAGAATCCGAACAACCAAACTCCGAATTATATTCATAACAGCTCAAAAGGGCATACAGGGCTAAAATGGCAGATACGGTCCGTACTCGGATGCGCTATCCGCAGCGTCTCCTCGAAGATATCTTGCCCGGCACAGCGTACGACCTCCTCCCCGAGGACAGCCAGGAGAAAATCTACCGAGACCTGTACGGGACGCTCGAGGCCAAGACGTGAGTTCTCCCCTGTCTAATATCTGCCTGCTTTGGAGGATCCAGAGTTGGGCGTGGGCGTGGCCTTGGTGTGGTTTCATACTCATCTCATCGAACTATATATGGTGGCAGAGACCTCCTTTTCCTGCATCTCGGACTGCCTCGAAGAGGAGGGAAGCTGACAATAAAATTCGCCGTTGCACAGAATACGCAGCGAACAGGAGAGCGTGCGCACGGGCGAGCCGTACTACATGAAATGGCGGCCGTCGATCGACGAGGCGATGCGCGCCGTATTTGACAGGTGGGTGACCGTCTCCTTTTCCTCCGTGATGGCCGGTCCCTTTACCTGTTTCGTCACCTCACGAATCTTGAATACCGCCCCTTGGCACATGATATCTCCCTCAGCAGCAGATTCGGAGACGAACTGGCAGGCCTACTGACTACCGAACCGGGCAAACACAGACACGCAGAAAGCTTCACCTGGGCCGGCGACGCAGACGTCCAGGCCCTGTACGCCGAGGTTAAGACGGGCGTGGCGGCGCGGCTACAGCGGGAGCCGTGGGCCGGGACGCTGGACCTGGATGCGTGCGTGTCGAAGGGCGCGGGTCATTGTACGGTGGCCGAGATCATGGATACGTGCCTCATCCCACCGAAGACGGATGGGAGGACCACGCGGACGCGCAAGTATCGGCGCCATTGACCGCCTCGTTTTCGGTCCTGCGTTGCGATTTCCTGAAGGGCTAGCTGGTCTTCGGAGTGCATGGGATTTTGTTAGGCAAAAGGGGCCTTACTGCTGATCGAGAAGTATACCCTGTCTGCCCTGAGCGGAGTCAAGCAAGTCCGTTGGAGTTTGATTAAGGAACAGAATATGGCACGGCACGTGTTCAATCAAGATCAAGTTAATGAGACCCAAGACGAGAAGGACATCTCGGAGATTCGATATGTTTTCCCTCATGGACTTTCTGATGTGCCCGTCGAGGTAGATGCTGCGGGCTTGGGGACCCTCTTTATCCGAACAGCATGCCAACGCCAGGTAATTATGTACGCCGGTTCCTTTCCTGAACGCCATTGAACCAACGGACCAACCGATTTTGATGCCGCTTTGTACATTCCCACTCTTTCCATTCATGCGTCAGTCGATGCACCCATTAGTCTACAACATCATGACGTCCTCTTCGCCACCATCCGCTTCATCGTCATCGTCAACCCTCAGGAAGTCGTGTCTCAGGGCCTCCTCGGCACTAATTCGCCGGCTGGGGTCCAGTTCCATACAGCGTTGCAAGAATTCTACGGCTGCCTTCTCCTCATCGGTCAGGAACCTGGCCTTCTCGTTGCCGCCATCGGTTCGACACGTGCTCCAGAGCATGATTTTCTCAAAGGAGAAGCCCGAGCCGCCGATAGTGGGGATGTTAGTTTCGAATACGCAGCCATGGAGCTGGCCGGCGGCGCGCATGCGCCTGGACCCGAAGATGGTAGCGATCTCGATCATGGCCTCGATGTCGTCGGCGCTGTTGAAGAAGGGGAAGCGCTTACACAGAATGGTGAGGAGGATGACGCCGGCGGACCAGATGTCGATCTTGGTGGTTTGTTCTGTGCACTTGAACAGGACTTCAGGAGCACGGAAACCACGGGTTCCCGCTCGGTTGGCACGTCTTGACGGCCGGGTGTCGTTCTTTGGGTAGCCGGCTTGGGGGCCCGTGTTTGACGCGTTGACGGCGTATGACGCTCTTATCCGCTGTTTCCGGGCTTCCGAGTCGAGATGACAGAGGCAGGGCTTATGGTCGATGCCTTCCCTCTCAGCGAGACCAAAGTCGACCAGGACGCCGCGCTGCTTGTCGGGGTCGTAGAGGAAGTTTGTGGGTTTGATATCGCGATGGAGGATCCCCTTGTCATGCACGGCAGCCAGAGCCGTGAAGAGCGACCGGAAGTAGATCTTGATATCGGGCACCGTCATGTTGGGGTAGTATTTCCTGAAGTCCTGGTGGCGGAAATACGGCAGTATAGCCAGTACTTGGTCGGACTGGCGGAAGGCAGTAATGAGAGGACAGACCGAGGGCGAGTCTTTCAGGTCGTGGAGGAGTTCGAGCTCGTTGAGGATACGCGAGGGCGAGGAGGTCACGTATATCTTCTTGATGGCGACGAACTTCCTCTGCCGCCTGGGAGGGTTCGACCGCGAGTTGGACTGTGAGTGGGATACGGGCTTCAATGGAGGCGGGGTCCATTGTGAATCTTTGGCGTCGAGATCCCAGCTGTTGTTGAAGCGCTCGTACCGCACGTCCTCGGCCTTGTAGACGGTGGAAAATGTGCCTGCATGCGCAAGTCAGTAGGGGATGGGGGATGGGTGGGTGATGGCTCTGGCAGCTCACCCTCGCCAATGCGCTTGATCAGACGGTAGTTGTCTCGGAACTGGGCGAACGTCTCGTTGAGCTTCTCCATATCGTGCTGCACCGTCATATCAATGGGCTCGTTTTCGTCGGAAGAGTCCGAGTCGCACTCGTCGTCGGGTGCTTCCTCCTCTTCCGGCTCATCATCATCTTCGGCCTCGTGGTTTTCCTGGTCTTCGTCGCCCTCCAGTGACTCTGGTTCCTCGAGTTCAATGTTTCGGCCCTGGGTGTGGCTTTCCTCCGACTCGACGTTGTCGGTCAGGACATCCTCGGGGGTGTCTTCGTGTATGTGGAAAGGCTCCTTTGGAACGCGCCGCCTGCTTAAGGACGCCATGGTGGGCGACACCGGCGACTTGGGCGCGATGGGAGAGACTGGCACGACGCGTCTTTGAAAGCCGAGTCTCGCAGCAGCCTGTCGACTTCTGGCTGGTATGCCGTCCTCAGGTCTACCTGCCCACAGCTGCGACTTGTCGAGGGAATTGGGCTGGTGGCTTGCGACACGCAGACCTGACCTTGGTGCTCCCTTGCTGACCGAACCACACCGAGCTGGAGGAGGAGTAGTAGCAGTAGGTGGTATAGAACAGGGCAATAATACCACATGCGGCAACAACGAGGGAAGAGCAATCCAGGACGGACAGGGATATTGCTGGAAGAGGGTCAATTGGGAAGCATCAAGCAACGAATTGGATTGAAGCCGGGGGGCGTGTCGGCGACGGAATGGCCGCTGGGCAGTCAGTGTTGATTTACTTGGTGTGTAGCGAGAGTGTGTGTGCCAGTGCCAGTTGGGTCCCAGCGCCAGTCCCAGCGCCCGCGAGCTCTGCGAGTGTCCCGCGACTTGACGCGCTTGGCACCGGCCAGTGCTAAAACTTTTGGCGTCCGGCGGGGGAGCGACAGGGAAGATGGGGCGGGGGGGTTGTAGGGCGTAGGGGGTGCAGGGGGGTGCAGGGGGGGGCCACACCGCGTCGGGAAACTAAACAAAAACAAATCGGTTGCTAGAGGAGCCCCTGCCAACTGCCCGCCGTCGCCGCCGCCGCCGACGACCAGGGTTGGGGTTTGTTTGGCGAGAGGGCTGCTAAATATCAACACCACCCGAATCGGCAGCATCGACGACTTGCGATACCCGCCCCTCCCTCATACCAACACCGACACCGCCACCAACAGCGACGCCGACCGACAGCGGCAAACTTTTTTTTTTCTGTCTGTCTTTGCATTATCCCCCCCTCTTCTGTCTCCCCAGAAGGCACACCTCCGTATATTGGTAGACCCAACCCGTCACTCCGGCACCCGCCCGCCCGTCCGGCGCATCGTCGCGACCATGGACACCATCAACTTCGACATCAACGATGCGCTCAAGCACTACATGAGCGATCCTGCCAGCGTCGCCACCCCCGAGGCCGACAGCGCTCTGGTCGACTGCGAGAACGACCCCGAGGCCCTCACCAACGCCGTCATCAACCCCGTCCTCAACTCCATCGTCGACGCCGTCGCCGAGAACCCGGACTTCATCACACGCAGCGCATACTTTGACTCGCTGCAGTTTCTCTTAAAGTGCGCCCCCGCCTCCCCTCCTCGCTCCCCGTCCCACCAAGTCTCCTTCCCTTGCGCCTCCCCGTCCTCTTCACCCTCATGTCGCTGCAGCCCCAGCCGCAGCCATTCAACTTTACAAGATCCTGTTGCTGAGCTCTTCACTCTCTCCAGATGCGTCCAGGTCCTGCCCACACACGCCCTCAGCAAGATCTTCGACCTGATCATGAGCGGCCTGGCCGCCGAGGCCGACATCGTCAACCACGACCTAGACAGCCCCGACGAGCAGGAGCTCATCGCCCACCACAAGATGCTTCTCGAGGTCTACGGGTACCTGCTGCAGTGGGCCACCGCTTGCGTCGAGATCAAGGCGGCCGAGAAGTCGTCATCCGCCCCGGCCGCCCGCGCGAGAGGGAAAGGCGCCAAGTCCAAGGCCGCCGCCGGCAAGGACAAGGACGGGAGCTGGGACAGCGCCCAGCAGTTGCAGATAGCCCTCGACGTCATGACTAAGGTGCTGAAGTTGAAGTTGGGCAAGATCTTTCTGACCACGAGCGAGCGCGACACCTTCGTCGGCCTCCTGACCCGGCCTGTCTATATGATACTCGAGAGCGAGCAGCGGTGTAAGAACACGGCCATCCGGATGCATGCCTTCAAGGTGCTTTGCATGGCCGTCAAGCACCACGGACACGGATATGGTGAGTGAGCCTGATGCGGGCTTATACCCGCTTGGACTTCTGAGACTGACACGCTGCAGCCGCACAAATCTCTATTGTTCAGAACTTGACGTATTTCGAGCACTTGTCCGAGCCCATGGCCGAGTTCCTGCACATTCTGGCCGAACAATATGACTATCCCCAGCTTGCCGACGAGAGTTTAAGAGAACTGAGCAACAAGGAGTTCAGCACCAACGACACCAGGGGCCCCAAGTCGGTGTCCTCGTTTATCGTGAAGCTCTCAGAACTCGCCCCTAGGCTGGTCATCAAGCAGATGACCATGCTTGCCAAGCAGCTGGACAGCGAGGTAAGCAGGCTGGCGTGTCCGTTCCGGGGCTCCGTACTGACCGCACCTAGTCTTATACGCTTCGGTGCTCGCTGATCGAAGTCTGCGGCAACATGATCGCCCATCTTTCCACGCAGGAGGAGCGCAGCGAGAATCACAAGTCCCAGTTGAACGCCTTTTTTGACGTGCTCGAGGAGCGTTTCTTGGATATCAACCCGTATTGCAGATGCAGGGCCATCCAAGTCTACACAAAACTCTGCGATCTGGAGCAGAAGTTCCCCAAGCGGCGCCAAAAGGCCGCTGAGCTGGCGGCGCGCAGTCTCCAAGACAAGAGCAGCCACGTCAGGAGGAATGCCGTCAAGCTGCTTAGCACCCTGGTCAAGACGCATCCCTTCACTGTCTTGCACGGAGCGCAACTTGCCCGCAAGGACTGGCAAGCCCGGCTTGATAAGGTCGACGCCGAACTCGATGCTTTGCAGCCCCCGGCAGGCGAGCCCGGTCTGGGTGGGGACACCACTGTGAATGGGAATCTGGTCGACGAACCCACCCAGGTCGAATCGCCCCAGAAGGCTAGGGACCCCAAGGACCTGACCGAAGAGGAGAAGGAAGCCATCGTTCGCAAGGCCCAGGAGGACGCCGCCACATCCGAAGCCATTGAGAAGCTGACTCTGACCAAGAGGTACTACACCGACGCCCTCAAGTTCATCGACGTGCTGCAGGAGTCCACTTCTACCGTATGCCAGCTTCTAGGCTCTAAGAACAAGTCGGAAGTTATTGAGGCTATGGACTACCTAGAAATTGGCAATGCCTACAACCTAGAAGACAACATGGTGGGCATCCGTCGCATGCTACGTCTCATCTGGACCAAGGGCAACAGCGACGAGGGCAAGGGTGTTCAGTCCCACCTCATTGACTGTTACAAGAGGCTTTTCTTCGAGGCGCCTGACCACTTCACCTCCAACGATGCTGCTATCTACGTCGCGAGAAACATGATCAGTCTGACATCAGGAACTACCCCTGCTGAGCTGACGAGTCTTGAGCAACTCCTTGCCACAATGATGAAGGGTGGCATGATCTCGGATGTCGTCGTCACCAAGCTTTGGGAAGTCTATGGGTATCACAAGAGGGAGATTTCCAGGTCTCAACGTCGCGGCGCCATCATTGTGCTGGGGATGCTTGCAACCGCAAACCCAGAGATCGTCGTCGGCGAGATGGAGACTATGCTTCGAGTTGGCCTGGGTTCGCATGGACGTAGCGATCCTCAGCTGGCCAAATTTACCTCGATTGCCCTGCGAAGACTGAACCCCACGGGTCGCCAAGCCAAGGACTCGCCAGTCAAGTTCAACCGTCTGCCTAACGACCACGCGGTTTTGGCCAGGTTGGCAGCGATTACCGATGTTCCCAGCGACAGTAAAGAGTGGTTCGGTGTGGCCGAGCAGGCTATCAACGCCATCTACGCTTTGGCAAAACATCCTGACGTTCTCTGCGGAGAAATTGTGAAGCGCAAGACGAAGGCCGTTTTCGCAGCACAGCAGCGGTCATCATCCAGGCCAGAATCCCGTGATCTGGATCCGACTGTCTCACCCGAGGTGGCTGATGCTCAAGGGTTCACGGTTGCTTTGAATGAACCAACCCAGACTGTCAACCGCTCAAGTCCAGAACAGCCTGTTGAACCCAAGCAGAAGAATGCCATTGCGTTATCGCAGCTACTCTTCGTAGTAGGCCATGTGGCTATTAAGCAGATCGTGCACCTCGAGCTGTGTGAACTCGACTTCAAGCGTCGGAAGCAAGAGAAGGAAAAGATGGCCTCGTCTGAGCCTGCAGCGCCAGAAGCGCCGGCGGCTAAAGCCAGGGGTCGCAAGTCCAAGACTCCGGCACCGCCTCCGGAGGAGGCCGGAGATGAGCTTGACCTTATTGGTGGCACAACGGAGGATGACTTCACTGAAGCCATGGCACATATCCGGGAGCGGGAACTGCTATTTGGCCCTCAGTCTCTACTGGCAAATTTTGGCCCCATGGTCGCAGAGATCTGCTCACGCAACGACATCTACAAGGACAAGGGCTTGCAGGCTGCCGCGACGCTTGCTCTTGCCAAGTTGATGTGTGTGAGTTCTGAGTACTGCGAGGAGCATTTGCCCCTACTCATCACCATCATGGAACGTTCACCTGACCCAACCGTTCGCTCCAACGTCGTTATCGCATTGGGTGATATGGCTGTTTGCTTCAACCACCTCATCGACGAGAACACGGACTTCTTGTACCGCCGCCTGGCGGATCCCGACTTGTCTGTCAAGCGCACATGTCTCATGACCTTGACATTCCTTATCTTGGCCGGTCAGGTCAAGGTCAAGGGTCAACTGGGTGAGATGGCCAAGTGCCTCGAGGACAGCGACAAGCGCATTGCAGATTTGGCTCGCATGTTCTTCACCGAGCTTAGCACCAAGGACAATGCCGTATACAACCACTTCGTCGACATGTTCAGCTTGCTGTCTGCTGGTAATCTTGAGGAGGACAGCTTCAAGCGGGTGATCAAATTCCTGCTTGGATTTGTGGAGAAGGTAAGTCTTCCATGGCAGTCTGTGTGTAGAAATGCGAACTCACATATCCGACAGGACAAGCATGCTCGACAACTTGCTGAGAAGTTGGCGGCACGTCTACAACGTTGTGATACCGAGCGCCAGTGGAACGATGTGGCGTTTGCTCTTGGTCAACTTCAGCACAAGAACGAGGAGATCACGAAGGTGGTCGGGGAGGGTTTCAAGGTGGTACAGGCTACTGCGTAATTCTGTTGTGATGATCGATGACTGTCACGAGAGGCATGAGGCGGATTGTAGAATATGAGCGGCATGGCTGGATACCACACTGGGGCCACGGAGTTCTTGGTGTTAGTTCTTAATCTGTCTCAGGGTTCCGATTACCCATTTGAATGTCAAGATTTTTACCCACCCACCACGTCTATATGTTTCGTGAATCAGCTTAACATGACCCTGGCCTGCGAAGGTCCAGAGCCCAAGTCCGTGAGGGGAGTCTGCGGTTATATCATCATCAGTAGGGGCTGATTTGCATGACAGAACTCAGTCGGCAAAAAGGATGCTTGTATACCAGTTTTCACAGCTCCTGTCGTGAGGATCCATGGATGGGACGATGGAGAGTAGGGGTGATGTGTTCTTGGAACGTAGCTCAGTGCGAAATAGCACCACCGCCACAAAGCACGGCCACAGTTGTGGAAGCGGATGCGCAGCTGACGTGACCCTCATCAGTAAATCAACTCAGCCCGACCAAGGATTATAACACTCGATAACCTCTTTTCTCGATCTGCGCGTTTGACAACTAGGTTAGATATTTGAAAGTCGCTGGGATCACCCTTTGGTCGTTTCCGGGATGGCGCCAGCAGACGACGGAAAGGGCCCCGTAGATCAAGGCGGGGAATACTACGATCTCGGCTCGTATCGAAGACAGATCACCACCAGTAGTGACGAAGCGCAGAGCTGGTTCAACAGGGGTTTTCTCTGGAGCTATGGATTCAACCATGAAGAGGCAGTTGACTGTTTTGAGAAGGCCATTGCCTGTGATCCCAATTGCACGATGGCCTACTGGGGCGTAGCCTATGCATTGGGCCCAAACTACAACAAACCCTGGGAGTTCTTTGATGCGACGGAGCTGGAGACGACAGTCCAGAGAACCCACCGCATGGTGTCAGAGGCCTTCAGGACAGCTGAATCATCGTCCCCTGTGGAGAAGTCGTTGGCACAAGCTCTGTTGCACAGATATCCGGAGAGTCCGGATAAGGACATGTCGATATGGAATCAATCGTACGCAGACGCAATGGAGAAGGTGCACCGAGCGTTCCCGGAGGACTTGGATGTTGCAGCTCTTTATGCAGATGCACTGATGAATCTTACGCCGTGGCAATTATGGGACCTGCAAACCGGCCAACCGGCTTCTGGAGCGCGTACGGTGGATGCGAAGGCAGTACTGGACGGTGCTCTGTCCCAGCCTCGGGGCTCAGAGCACCCTGGGCTACTACATCTATACATCCATCTGATGGAGATGTCACCAACCCCTGAAGCGGCAAAGCCCGCCGCCGACCAGCTTCGGCTCCTGGTCCCCGACGGCGGGCATCTCAACCACATGCCCACCCACATCGACATGCTCATTGGCGACTATGAGTCCGGCATCTCGTCGAACCAGCGGGCTATAGCAGCCGATGAGAAATTCCTTGCCCGCGCGGGCCCGCTCAACTTCTATACCCTGTACCGGATGCACGACTACCACTTCTGCATCTACGCCGCCATGTTCGCGGCGCAGTCCCAGGTCGCTCTGGAGACGGTCTCGCGTATGGAGCGCTCGCTCTCGGACGAGTTGCTCCGGGTCGAGTCGCCGCCTATGGCCGACTGGCTCGAGGGTTTTCTCGCCATGCGGGTGCATGCGCTGATACGGTTCGGGCGCTGGCAAGACATTATCGACCTGTCGTTGCCTAGCGACCAGGAGCTCTACTGCGTGACGACGGCCATGGCCCATTACGCAAAGGCTGTGGCGTATGCGGCAGTTGGTGACATTGACCGCGCCGGAGAGGAGCGAGACACCTTCTTACAGGCCCGCAAGGTCGTCCCCGAGTCCCGGATGCTGTTTAACAACAAATGTGTTGATATCCTGAATGTTGCGGAGGCAATGATGGATGGCGAGATCCAATACCGCCGCGGAGACTATGAAGGCGCGTTCGCGCATCTGAGAGAAGCCATCGCGCGAGACGACGGGTTGCCTTATGATGAGCCCTGGGGCTGGATGCAGCCGACGCGGCATGCATACGGCGCACTCCTGATGGAGCAGGGCCACCTAGATAAGGCAGCTGCGGTATATGCGGAAGACTTGGGCATTGATGGCAAGCTACCCCGTGCCCTGCGACACCCCAACAATGTCTGGTCGCTTCATGGGTATCACGAATGCATGGTAAAACTTGGGCGTGTAAGTGAAGCCGCCAAGGTTGCGCCGCAGTTAGAGGCAGCGATCAAGAGAGCAGATATCCCGATCAAGGCGTCCTGTTATTGCCGCCTTAGTGCACTGCAAGATGTTTAGACATAATCTTGAGATGAAGACGCAGCTCTTATGCACACACACAGCGAAGCGTATGGTAGCGCACTATTGTGCATTCACCACAGTAGAGACTCGATGTTATTTAACAGATTCAATTCACGTCCATCGGGAAGACTCCGCTACGACAATGTTACACCCAAGTCCTTGCAAACTGCCTCGAATTGGCTCTTATCCCACGGCTCAGTGCTATCTGGCAGAATGAAGCCGGAATATGGTGACCCCGCCGCGTGGATCAGATACTCGATCCCAGGGCCATTGGTAAAGCATACGGCGCGCACGTAACGGCTTCCAAAGTCAAGCCTGAACGCCTGGCCGGCAGCTATCACCACCGTCTGCCCTTCTCTGACCTCACTCCAGGTTTCGTCTCCTCGCACCTTCACCTTCAACAGACCTTCTTGAACGCAGAAGCAGTGATCAACGGTGGGGAACGAGATCCATCCCGAGAAAGCAGAGTCTCCATACACTTTGGACGATTCGATACTCGAGATGGAAAACTTGCCCTCGCACTGCGCGGCGTTGATGAACGGCCGCGACATGACGCCGCCGAGCAGCCAGCGCGGGCCCGTGTTGGCGCGTAGGAAGTATGGCTGGCCGGGGTCCGGCAGCACGCTCTCCGTCTCCAGCCAGTCGCCAACCTCCGGCGCCTTGTAGTCGCGCTGAAAGTGAACGTCGAAGCGGTCCTTGGCCGCCATCAGCTTGGGTATCAGCAGGCTGCGCAGGTCGCGGTCGTCGGCCTCGGGCGCGATCGTCCCCGTGTACTCCTCTCCAACGTACCGGAAGAAGTCGACCCAGTCGCCTGGCGCCACCAAGCCCAACGTCTCCGTGTGTGGGCCCAGCAGCTCCGGGTTGTGGATTATGGTCTGTGAAATTGTGATGAGCAAGGCTTTCTTTTTCCATTGACTCCCATAACAGATCTCGTCGGCCAGAAATGTCCTGGACTTACCGGCGGAACGTAGGCGAAGTCGCCGGGGCCCATGATCCGGCACTTGTCGCCGTTCCAGAGTTTGAGAAAGCCCTTGGTCACGAGGAACACGTCGTGTGCTTCCTGGTGCCAGTGGAAACCCGGGGCATCGGATAGGACGGCACCGCTGGTGAAGACGGCGATGCCACCATTGGTCTGCTTGGACGAGGCTAGAATCCGGAACGCGCCCTTACTCCCCGGCAGCGTGATGCGCTCGCCCTCGAGCTGGTCAATGATGTAGTTGGTCCTGGCGTCAGGGGGTAGCGACTGCAGCGGGATGCCCATGGTGTCTGACGACTTTTCTCTCTTTCTTGATGGCGTAAGCTATTGTGCCAGCCTAGACAGTTTGTCCCTATCTTGTTTCTTGCTTGGTGTCAGCTCTCACGTTGAATATATTGGTATCCTTTGTAAAGAATGAAACATCTGTCAGACGTACCGAGACTTATGCTTGCTCGACTTATAGCAAGACCCGTTCTTCCCCAAATGGATTAGCCGAGCTCCTCTTATTGGACAAGGACCTGGTCTGTATGGAGGTATGGATGCTGTGTTATGGGGTCAGTCGCAAACCCCTTATTTACCCCACAGTCCCGAGTGGTACTGTTCGGCACTCATTACATGCATGAGTGAAGCATTGTAGAGGGGAAAGACAAATTGTGACTCAGGTTCAGGTGGCGGAAATTCCGGGTTTCAAGGGCGGATGTAGCTACTACGGAATTGCCGAGACACTATGGCCCGCCACATCCTGTTTCCCCACAGTATCTCAATAGAACTCCCCTGGTGGTTCTTACAAGAGCGTCGTAGACACTGGGGGTTCGCTACACGGCTGTTCAATGAGACAACTGTTGCGCTAGCTCCTTTCTGCGGAGTTATGATCGAGTTGCGGTGAAGCTTGGTGCCTACTCCAAACAATGGCGAAACCAACTTCCAGGCGGTTCATCTACAAGATCGTTGACGGCCTAGAGATTGATGTTGACGTCTACCTGCCCTCTTCTTCGCCGGGGAAACAGAAAACAGGCCATCCTGTAAGTAAGTCATCGACACCGTCATGGATCCACTTTGCCGCGTGCTCACCTTTGTGCTCAGTCGTTGACATCCATGGCGGTGCCTTTATGCTCGGATCATCCGCGATGGTCAACAAGGACCAGGTTGAGGACTGTCTGAACCGATCATGGATCGTGCTGGCGCCAAATCATCGGTTGTGTCCCGGAGTTGATCTTCTGAAGGGTCCGATGCAAGACTGCCGTGATCTGCTGGCTTGGATATACGACGGTAGCTTTCAGAAAGCTCTCTCCACCGGAGAAGAATGTAAACATCGAGTCGACCTTGATCATGTGTTTGCTTTTGGGACGTCGTCGGGTGGAACCTTAGCCCTCAGTCTTGTAAGTTGAGGTTTATTTTTTACTTGACAAGGGCAACAAGCCGATTAATCTCATGGAACTAGGGTTTCGATGTGCCTCGTCCAGTTGCAGGTATATTCGACATGTACGGGCCCTGCAACTTCTCGGACCCCTTTTGGGAGACTCCACTACCGCACGTACAGGCGCGTCTCCCAGCAAAGCCAATAGATGATTGCAAGTCCAAAGTCTTTGCAGAGTTTCCTGTGCCCATTGTCGGCGGTGTCTCGCTCGAAGGCCAGACCAACCCCGGCGGGCCCAATTTTGCTGACCCGCGCGTTACATTCGCATTGACGCAGATCGCCAACGGCAAAGTCATGAGCGCCGTGTTTCCATCAAGAGACTGGGACGAGGTCGACCCATTGCTCAACGTGGCCAAGGCCGGCTCGCGGTTTCCGCCGACCTTCATCGTCCATGGGGCCGCCGACACCATGGTGCCGATCAGTCTGAGCCGGGATCTATACGCAGCGCTCCGCAAGGCGGGCGTTAAATGCGGCATGACCGAGGTGCCTGATGAGGAGCACACGTTTGCGGGTACAATGAAGGTCGGGACCCGGACTTGGGACCTTCAGCGTGAGGGGTTCGATTTTCTGGAGAGCTTGATAGAGTGAGCTAAGAGTATCAAAACAATTCAACTATACAAGGCTCTTTCTATTTAGCAGTCGATCTTGTCGTGCGTGAATCACGGACACTCACCAAGTCGCCGGTCCGTGTAAGTCCATGAAGGAGATTAGGCTGAGGCGCGTCTAGAATATCGAACAAAGGTAAATAAAACGTACGTGTCGACGGCGTACGAAGTCAGGTATACTTTCTTGCTGCGAATAAGCAACACTTGATTGTTGATAGTAGGAAAGTGTTGTGATATACATTCTTCTGCTATGCTAAATGCGCTGTGCCAGGCTAGACATAAGACTGAAACTTCAACGAGTCGAAGCCAAATACTCAGGCAATTTGCATGATGAGGATCAAGAATTGGTCACGAAATGGCCTTCACGTTCAGCCTCGTCTTGAACCACGAGCTTAATCTACTGATAAGCTGCGAGTTCGTCTTCGCTCGTGCGGTTGGAACCGGAGAGCTTTGGCTGGGAACGGCGCTTTTCGAGAACGGATTTTGCTGCACAGCGTTCGCCACCTCCTTGTAGGCGTCGTACCCATATATCCACCGCTGTACCTGAGGACATGTCCATCTGCTAGGAAACGGCCCATCTAGTAGCTCACCGTTCATTTGTTTGAGGAAGAGCTCATCGCGGGCTTCTTGCTCTGGGCCATCTTGCATGTGGAATGCTTCACGCTAGACGGAGAGGACTCAACTCAGGATGCGTCCAACGGAGAGTTCAGTACTTCCAACATACCTGTTTAAATGTTTCCCTGACAATAGCTTCACCTCTGGCTTTGCGTAGTTTCTCATACATCTTCAGTGCCTGAGGAAGCTGGTCTTTTGAGGTGATATGCCCTAGAAGTTGGCCCAAGACAGCTCCATCTTCAATGGCGGAGTTGGCTCCCTGAGCGAGGTAAGGAAGCATAGGATGGCATGCATCGCCACTGGAGCATACATTTCGGTCAGTAGATAGGGGTACAACATAGAAGCATGGATACTTACACAAACACGAAATTAGACCTCTCGTTCACCCATGAGTCCATTTCATCTCCTGTTACATGTTAGTGAACGGCTTCCGGTACCAGGCTCGGTGTATGATGTACAACTGACTGTGCATAAGTTTCCACTTCTCAACATTATCCACTAGGTCCAAGAATCTGTTGAGAACTGGATCCCAATCTCGGAATAATGCCTTCATCTCCTCAGTCGAGCCTGCTTGTTTCCTCACACCCTCAGGCAGGTCATCTGGTACCAGGAGCACGATATTGTACACGTCACCCGCCCGCAATGAATAGCCGACAGCATGAGCCCCTGGTCCGATCCAGAAATGGCACGAAGGATATTTGACCCAAAGTCTCAGTTCGGGGTCCGTAATCTGGTCAAGCTTGAGCACGACCCGATATGCCAGATCACCAGTTGGCAGCGGCAGATCGTTGGTTCCCAGATAGCAGGAGCGGCACGTTGACCATAAGCCGTCGGCTGCAACGATGAGATCTGGGCTCAAACAGAGCCCAGAACCACACGTTATCGCTGGCTTGTCAAAGTCAATAGAGTCAACCTTCTCCCCGAGCTTGAACTCTACCCCTAGTTCCTTGGCACGCTCGTACAGAGACAGTTGCATGTCAACTCTGTGAAGATCGATGAACGGTGACCCATACTTTTCCCTAATGTTCTTATCAAAGTTCTTTTCCATCAAAAGCACTTCTCCGGAGTAGCGATGTATTATCAAGGACGTCGGCTCGGCAGCTGAAGTCCACAACCGATCGGGTAACCCCCATTTCTGAAGAATCCTGGTGCAATTGGGTGTTACCTGGAGTCCTGCGCCAACCTGCCGCAAGTCTGTCAGAACGTTGCATCTTGTTGTAAATGACCATTCCACTTCGCACCTCGAGGAGCTCCTTAGCGGACTCATAGACAGTCACATGATGTCCAGAGAGAGCGGTGCCTATCGCGGAAGCAAGGCCACTTAGCCCTGCGCCGACGACAGCAATGTCCAGGCTCACAGGGCTCTTGCGATGTTGTTGTGTCTATAACGTGTTAGTTGGAGGCTCGAAGACAAGGCTGGTAGCGGAACATGTACCATGCTTTTATTCTTAACCACCTGCTGTCAGTAGCCTTTCTCTCTATCAACCCGTGGGCTCGAGGAACAGGATGGGACAAAGACACGAATCAACGCTAGAGATCGTGGAACGTCGCTTCACGACATTAATCTGATAATATATGCGTTTAAAAATGGTGCAACGAGTAAGGCGTATGCGTATGCCACGCCAATATATTGTGGGACTAAAGAAATGCACTCCTTCAAACCTGCCAAGTGAGAGCTGAGGATACCAGAGAAGTAAAGGAAATCCCGGTAAAGAACGGCGACCCCGCTTGCCCTCACACTTCATGCACCTTCTGAATGCGGAACTCAAGAACTTGGAGATGATGATCAATCTGGGGAAAATAGAACGAGGGTCTGAACACCGGATATTCCGCCAAGCCCCCACTGTTGCATACCTACGGGAATTCCGGGAGACCCTGGGGTAGTCGGCAAGGCAGGACGCAAGAACTACCGGCGGGAAATGGGGCCGCGATGATCGCCGAGGGCCGGGCAAGAAATTGGCCGATGCAAGGTCTAATATACGCACGGCGACAGTCTGATAGCGACAATTCAACTTGTCAATCACATGGAGGGAATCCCAGTGTGAAATTCTATTATTACGAAAAGATGGCGCCCAAAGGCCCCTACCGGCTTGTTACCGTGAACACCGCGCCTGACCGGGCAAGGAGGCTTGTTGGTCGGATGGTCGAAGGTCTAAAAGACCAATATACCATTGAGCATGTTGCAAATTGCGAAAGTAAGGTACTTTCCGGTCCTTGTGAATCCGAACTGGAAGTCTAACGATGCTCAGAAATTGACGAAGTTGATGGGAAAGTGAGAGAGTTTCAACCCGATATACTCGTGAGCTGGCCGTGGACAAAGCCCAGCTAGGACTAAACCTGCTGACCTGGTACAGTTCTGCGCGTCAATGTGGACAAGCGAAGAGGCTGCACAAATTCAGGCAATAGCAAGGTCAATCAAGCCAGGTATCAAGACTCACGCACTACCTGCTGGTTTTCAGGTCAAGCGAGGGCCGGATGCAGTGGTGGAATATTTGTTGGAGAAGGTGCCTCCATTGCTGGAGTCATAAGGCTCCCAACAGCCTGACTACGTATAGATAGAAAGGACCCGTCGCGCAGCGTCTCGACAACTCCAGAGATATCAGCTATAGAGCATCTAGATAAATATTGGCTTGATTTTGAGGCTCGTCGATAGACCTCGAGCACGGGACGAGAAGCTCTAGAAACTCAGCACATTCATCCAGCAGCTTAGTTCGGTTCAGCCCATCGGATAGACCGGACTTTTTTCTTAAACAGGTGCGGGGATGGTGGGGGAGACCCTTAAATCAAGCAAGCATGCACCATACGATGGTACGGCCGAACCCTGCTGGGCCACCCGAAACTCCAGGTCTCTTCGTCCCTGTAGAATAAACAGACAGCAATCGTCTTATCGCCCATGTGAAGGGATTTGCGTTCGCCATAACCCCTTAACCAAAGCCGTGGGTGATCGAGAGCCCGCTTACTTCTCAGCGCTCCAGTCGGTACCTAGGTAAAGAGTAACTATACGCGACTTAGTGGCAGAGCGCTATGTATTCGTGAACCAGAGCAATCCCGGTTGCCATCCCCCGCATCCGAACCCCACATTCTCCATTCCAAGTCCGGCACGTGAGAGCTCTGTCCAGATCTCATGCCTGGACCACCAATAATCTCCTAAGCAGATCAGCGTCGTAATTTGGCACCCCGGCCCCGGAGTTAGTCAACACTTACAGAACAAGCCTGCCTGCCAATCGACCGGGACGATTATCATGATTCCGCAGTGCTCGTATCTGGAGCCGATTCCGGAATCCAAACGCATCGTCATCGGTTCCTGAACATGGAGCAAGCCGGCGTGCGACCTCCTATGCAGAATTCCGGCAGCAAGGTCCGGCGGCCCCGGGCAGCGCGCGCTTGTGATGCTTGCAGAGTCAAGAAGAACAAATGCGATGATCTATATCCATGCACTTATTGTAGAAGTGAGAGACTGCCGCTCTCCTATGGTCCTGTGTCTAACCTATCTTCCAGACCACAACATCGAGTGTGTGTACAGAGGCCAAGAAGTAGGGAGAAGGCTATTCACACCAGAGTACGTCATTGCCAAGCCCGAGCCTTGCGCAAGTATGTTGCACTGATACATACATACACCAAACAGCTACGTTCGGAACCTTGAGGAGCAGGTGAGACGTCTGTCCGCCTTGGAGAGGCAGGCAAATGGAGGACAAGCATCGCCCCATCTGCCATCCACAGGAGAGCCTGATGCTGGTACGCCCGCAACCCCGCCCTCAAGAGGGACTGCTGGGCAAGAAGTGTCAGGTATAAATCAACACACAAGGAATGTAGAATTCTACGGCAGTTCGTCGTCCGTGGCGCTCCTCTCTCATGTTCAACGTGCGGGGGATGCGCCGGGAGGGTCCACAGAGGATGCTGACGGCGAGGCTCTTGTTACCAACTTGCACAACGATGCGTTCTCACCGGCCGTGGACGCTGCTCTGTCCAGCCATCGCCTTGTAGGCCACGCAACTCACTACCCGCAATGTCGAGTGTTTATTACGAGTTATTTTACCAGTATCCATTATGTCCACCCCTTTTTGGATAAGACAGAGTTCATGTCTCGTTGCGAGAATCTGTGGTCACAGGATGGCAGTGCGTCTCATGCCTCCAGCTTTGCTGCTCTTTACTACAGCATTCTGTCACTCGGTGCGCTTGTAGGGCCTAGGGAAGATGAGCCAATAGGGGGAATTGGGAACCTCCAATGGAGTAGAAGGTTGTTCGATGAGTCGATTGCACGCTGCCACCGGCTGGGCATGGTCACGGACCTGGATATGGTCCAGTGCTACTTCATGCTGGTAAGGACTATTTGTCGTTCGTTTCTACTACAGTTGGCTAACATCTCTGCTCCTCTAGGCAAAAATATGTCAGAACGAGCTGAACCCACATTGTATGTTAAGTAGCGATACAACCCTGACCCGATGTTGACTGTTAACTCAGGGTCGTATATGTATGTGGGCCTAGCAGTAAGGACTGCCTTGGCGATGGGAATCAACCGTGAACCGAGTGCACACTCTAGAAAGAATGTTTCCCAACTCAAAGCTGAGACCAGGACATGGTGGTAAGTCTGTTGCATGAGTACTGGGGTCTCATCATCCACTAATGCTTTACCAAGGGGCCTCTATTCGCTTGAGACGTAGGTTCGGAATTCCAAAAGTGTTTCCACGTTCTGACGATCAGTCCTGCAGCGAGATGTCGTTCGCAATGGGCAGGCCCGATACGCTGGGAGCTGATTTATACCATAATCGACGTTTTCCCGTAATTGGGAACGAAAGCTGCGACTCGTCACCGCCTTCTGAGAGCTTCGACCCCCCTCATGTTGCTATCATCAAATCAATGGTCGACCTGTCGAGGATCACCAGGAGCATATGCCTCGGAATCTATCTTCCTGAAACCATAACCCCCAGAACGGTGGCGCTTGCTTATCAGCTCGAACAGGATCTCGACAGATGGGTTGAGAGCCTACCCGAGAGTATACGTCCACGACAGTCTACTGCAGGTCCACTTCCACTGAAAAGTGTTCGCGATCCTCAATGGGCCAAAAGACAGAGGCTAGTGCTCGGCATAAGTGAGTTGCCTGGGCAGCGGCATTTCCATGATTCTAACTCTTTGACTCGTAGGGTATCATAACCTCCGAATACTTACATTCGGCTCGTTACTCCTTACATCGTCATCCAATGAGCGTAGTTCCCTGCCAGGCTTACGTGAGGGAATCAAGAAATGCCTCGACTCGGCAAAGGAAACCATCGATACAATATACGTAACATATCAGCACCATGACTTCTTCCGGACATGGTGAGTGTCCCCTTTCTATTCCTCTCAATCACCAACGGGCAGTGATTAATCAAGGATAGGTTTTATAACACCACATATACTGTATTCGCAGCTTCTGTGATTTTAGTATACGTAATGAAAGAAGCTACTGAAACTGAAATCGACCCTTTGCTAAAAATCGTTGGCATGGCAATAGAGATTCTCGAGACTATGGATGAGTGCGTGGTTGCGTTGAAAGCGGCAAGATTACTGCAAAGGGCTACCGAGAAAGCAAGGCGGAAGTTTTCAACGGAACCACCTCCGGACATACCAGCAATTATGGATGCTAACGAGGCTATGCTCCATTTGAATCACTACTGGGGACCCCTAAATCTTATAGATGGAGAGATGGACCTCGACTTCGCGTTTCAGTTAGAGGACGTCGAAGGCTCTAACTCGATATTTGGCAACTTATGAAATACCAAACGCAATTACAGTCACTTCCCCTTTTGAATTCAAGGATAAGTGTAAACTAGCTCTATAGTCATCATACCTCGTTCTCGAATACATTAATGAGGGTCCCAATATGCGGTGTGATCTTCACGTCAAACCGATCTCCATCCCGGAGTGTTACCTTGGGGTTTTTTCCCACGCCCACTCCCGCTGGAGTGCCGGTTATGATAACCGTACCCGCGGGTATTGTTGAACCCTGCGAAATGAAGCTCAGTAACTTGGGAATGGAGAAAATCAAGTCGCTGTAAAGTTGGAGTTGTCAGCTTCTCGGATTTATGCGGGGATATTGATGTGGGAACATACTCAAGCCCGCAGCTCTGCAAGACTTCGCCGTTCTTCGAGCCCTGTAACTTTAGCTTCGATGGATCTGGGATGGCAGACTTGGATGCAAGGACCGGTCCTAGTAATCATGTCAGATGCAGGGCATTATTGGAATCGCATGGGACCGTACCAATGGGACATGAACCGTCAAAACTCTTGGAAAAGCACCACTGCGACTGCGCGAACTGGGCTGCACGGCTGGACACATCGTTGGCAGCGGTGTAGCCTAGGACATAGTCCATGGCATCCTCCTCGGACACGTTCTTGAACGTCTTGCCAATAATGACTGCGAGCTCGGACTCGTAGTCGCCACAGTCGTCCTTTTGTGTGAGCTTCGGCAGGGCGGTTTTGGCTGGCCACGGGTCTGCGAGGGCAGTGCTGGGCTTCATGAAGAGAGTCGGCACCTCTGGCAACGCCACTTTGACTTCTTGTGCATGTTGCACATACTGCGAGCGACCGCATCAGCGCGGACTTATATCTTAGAATACTGAGTTGACTCACGTTCAGACCAATGCAGCGAATGGTACCGACTTCACTGCTGTCGAGCGGTGATAGGACCCTGTCAATGACTTCTTTCTGGCCGGTCGCCGATCCCGCTGCCAGGACTGATGTGCCAGAGAAGACATTGACGGTAACCTCCTGGCCATTCCAGAGCGCTTCGCCGACGTCCACGCTCTCCGACTCAGGCTCGCCCAAAAGAACCTTCGAGGCATCTGATTTGGGGACGAAGCGTACAAGCCCTGTGGTTTCGTGAACTCAAGAATCTCATGCGTGGGGTCAAGTTACTTACGCTTGAAAGAGGGGGCCGCCATCTTGAAGGATTTCGTTACAAAGGAAGGGCTTACGTAGAAGGTATAAGTCAAATGGAAATTTGACAGTGTACTTTGAGGTAAGTAGCTAGCTTTTGTGTACCGAGTAGAATGTCCTCTGAGTACAAGTATGGTGCTGTGCAATAGACGTGGCAGACCCCGGAGCAGTTTGGTTCGGGTGTAAAAGTTCCCCCGACAGCTACCGATTCCGCCATCCGGCCGTTTCTGGGTCGGGGTGCGGAATTGGCGGAATACCCGGCTAGTCTGTGGGAAACCCGCTGGGGTCCAAATTCCGGATTACAACCACCGAGGCCGAGTCTATCCCGGTCGGTCGGTAGCTATATCTAGTGCTCAAAAAAGAATAGAATATCTCGTCTTCGTTTCCACACGAGGGTGGTTTGCTTCCACGTTTGAATTAGCGAGGCTCAATCAGAGCACTAAAGTATACAAGACGAGGAAGTTTTGAACCATCCCTTTAATGACACCGGTGGAATCACGGACTCAATCGTAACCCTTTTACTCTTAATTCCTCTTCTAAACTTCGAAAAATATCGTCTACATCTCATTAGTTTAGTCTCTAGCAGTAGTTCGAGCAAGATCAAGCGTTAAAGACGGATAGACTGGATGTTCAATTGCCGCTCTCGCTCCGCCATTTTGTGGCTAGTAATAGAAAGCATTAGGAAGAAAGACTCAAAGATGCTTGGTGGTGCATCCCAGGGAAGCTCACCTGCTGTGGGCTTTGCTATGACGGCAATGCCAATCCAGACCCAACAATGCATACAATACCAAGAAGGACCACAGAAGTGCGAAACTATAGCGAATACCCATGTGGCCATGCATTGGTTAAGGGCCGAGTCTATACCTTTCCATCTAGTAGGGTTCAGTATACGCAAATTGTAGAAGCACCATTACTGTTGTGGTAGATTCCTTCAAATGCAGCGACCACATCGGATTACAGGCGTGAACGCACCCTGTCTAGAACGAAGCCGCGGTGTATTCCCACCAATCGAGCGGATAAGGGAAGTAACAGCCCCGTAGTATTTCTGAGGGACATGAGAGGCACCATAGCGAGCCAAACCGCGAGAGCGATCGTCAAGGGAACGAAGCCAATCATCGTTCCAGCAACGGCAGCATCGTATAAGATAGCGTACCTACAGAGCTTCACCTCGACGCCGCTTTCACGGCTGAATGCCGAGGACTCATCCCATCATCCAATGGCAGAAGCCTCGGGCGCCTGAGGGTCGAGGTAGGTGCGCTGGGTCATCGTCAGTCAGATCAGGCACTTTCAAGACCGGATGATGTGTGATCCCGTCCAGAGAGGGGATAACACGCCGCTCGCTCTATGTGGCGCAGGTAGGATGCAAGGGCTGTGTTGGTTGGATGTGGGGCGGGGCAATGGCCTGTGAATCCATAAGCAGGACAGCACCTAGAATCAGATGTTGCACGGGGCCTATAAAATGCCCATTTGCTAAAGATATAACCAACAGCCACACAAAGAATGGGCCTGGCTCCCCCGGCCACTGTCCCCGCTCATCTTCATCGGAGGCTCTACAACCTTGACCCGCCTGCGCGACACTATGTCATGTCTACCAAAGCCAATTAATCACCCATATCCAAATCATCCAAGAGTATCTGGAAACTTTTTTGACTTAACTCATGTCATTTCTCATGCTCAGCTTGGGCTTCTACCCGGGAGCCGTGGTATATGGTACCCTCGGCCTCGTGGTTTCCTACGTGCGATGACATCCTTCTAGACGCCATGTAGTGTCTACTAACACAACAACCAGTTCATCATAGTAGCCGGCTATCAAGTTGTACTACATCCGCTCAGTCGCTATCCGGGACCCTTCCTTGCCAAGCTCACCGATGCGTATCCTGGCTTCTACGCCTTCAGGCGCCGTCTTCATTTGACTACGTACTTGGACCTCCAGAAGTATGGTATGATTAATATATCTTACACTCAGTGCTACACGCAAGGCTTCTTTCCAAAGTAACATTCGATAGGCCCTGTCATGCGTCATGGGCCCAACAAACTCGTTTTCAACTCCATCACAGCATTGCGAGGTATGATGAAAAGTATATGCCCTTACTGTAGCTGCTAACGCATATTAGACATATACCAGAATGAGAAGGTCACAAAGGCTGATTCATATCTGGTTTCACAGGCAGCACCAAACGTGTTTAACTTCTTCAATGCCATAGACAGGGATTTGCACCGGGTAAAGCGTAGGCTCATAGGTGGGGCCGTCTCGGAGCGCTCCATACGCGGCTTTGAGCCTACACTATCTGCCCAGGTGGACATCTTCGTGACGGGGCTTTTGACATCTTCTGGTCCTATCAACGTGACGGAAAGAAGCAAGCGGCTAGGCTATGATATTGTCGGCCACCTCTCTTTCGGATACGACCTTCGACTACAAACCCACGAGACCAACCGGTTCCTCATCAGCGCCATTAGACTCGGAAATTACCGGAGTAACCTGAACATGCAGTTCCCATTTATCCACAAAATCCACCTACATGATGTCGTGGGCCGTTTCTTCTATCCGTCATGGGACAGGTTCACCAGTTTGTTGCAAACCATGATTAGATCCCGCCTTGCTCAAGACAAGGACGCCCAGAACGACTTCTACGCGCATGTTTCCAATGCCCTAGCGACGGACGACGAAGACCCGCAGCAAATTGACCTCTGGACCGAAGCAATGTTCTTCACGATTGCAGGTTCGTGTCAATGCTCCTCTCAAATTAGAACGTGGTTAAACTGACAGACTAGGTGGTGACACAACCGCGGCAGCTGTTGCTGCTACTTTTTTCTATCTATCACGCAACCAGGAGTGCTACCAGAAGGTAGCTCAAGAGATACGGTCTACTTTCAATTCCGGCTGCGAAGTGAGAGGGGGTCCTCTGCTGTCGGGCTGTCGTTATTTGCGTGCCTGTATTGATGAGTCGCTGAGAATGTCTCCGCCAGGGCCCAGCACGCCGTGGAGACAATTGGCTCCAGACGAGAAGGACAGCGTAGTGATGATCGACGGGCACCCTGTTCCAAAAGGCATATCATTTGGTGTGAATATTTATGCATTCCACCATAATGATGAATACTTCCCGAACCCGTATCAGTTCTCCCCTGAGCGGTGGCTAACCCCGAGTTCTGATACCCCAGAAAACCGCGAGCCTTACAAGCTCATGCGTGAGGCCTTCTCTCCTTTCTCTATAGGTTCTCGTTCATGTGCCGGAAAACCGCTGGCTTATCTCGAGACCAGTCTTGCGCTGGCTAAAACACTATGGTACTTTGACTTCAAGCCGGCTTCCGGAAACCTTGGTCAGGTTGGCGCAGGTAACAGTGGGGCAGAGATAGGAAGGGAGCGACCGGGGGAGTTCCAATTGTTTGATACTTTTAACTCTGTCCATGATGGTCCCTACTTGACTTTCAAGCCTCGGGGCGATTTTGTATGGCGCGACCTGCACCTTCTGAAGAAGGCTGAGACCTTGTCCTGAATTGCCGATCTCTGGGAAGTTCATATTTTTGCGCCCCTCTCTCGGGTACGCACAGATGAATAGAAATTTCAACCCATGCTGTATTTTAATTATATTTCCAGTCGTTGACGTAAGTTCTAAGAGACGCTTGCTCGTCAACAATGCCAGCACCAACAACTTGCGTAACTCAATGTTAGACCTGCTCCACACGCTTATGTACAACTTGGAAAAAATGTCAGTGATTTTACCAAGAGCCCAACGTTGACAGCTTGAGTATCATACATGTAGCGACGCGACAGGGGACACTGCTTACAGTAGACGATGTTGGAGCATTCTCCGATTGATTTCTTTATTTCTTAGCTCCTTTCCAGTGAATATGCGCATAGAGGAAATTTACATGCGGCAGAAATCTCGCATTGTAGCATCTCAACAGAATGTCTCGGACTACATCCGCTGGTTGAGGATATTGTATTAGAAGTCAAAGCAAGGGACTTATCTTCCCATCTTTAGGGTTGCCACATCCATAGTGTTTCGTGTCTCTGAAGTAGAAGTCCATTTACAAGGGTCTGGCGCGCTATTGAGTTGGAATTGAATTACTAGTTGCAATATAAGAGACCGGGTTTCGCCACTTGGGATTCCTAGAATATTCCCAATATGTAAACTTGGATGTCCCCGGCGCTGGGAGAGCTTCCACTAACTACATTGTACATCCTAAGGCAGTTTGGTATATAGCGATTGATTTGGCATGTAGATCCAATGGCCACAATCCCGACTTCATGGAAGAGTTTAGATGCTAGAAGTCCGTGCCAACCCCACGCTATGACAAAAGTACTGGGAATTCATATACAAGCGGACATAAACTCAGTGTAAGCATAATCAGCGAACGTCGTAACCTTAACCATGTCGAGCGCCAGAAGATTGCGACTGTCTAACTAGGCCGGCCGGAGCCCCGTCATCGCGATAGATACAAGACATTAAGCCTCGCGGCCAAGAGTGCTTTAACGAAGGTAGCTATTGAAGTCAGACTAGGGAATAACGTGTTCCCTTTTTATCACCACTTATCAGGTGTGGCATTCTGCCAGCTCAATCGATTTAGTCCCCAATGTGGAGCCAAACGTCAATTAAAGCGCCAAGCCACTAAGTCATTAGTCAGGGGTCTCTCTGTACATAGTACGAGTAAGACGCGTTTTGTGAGCTACCGGTACCGCGGGTCATCTGAGATATCAACTAACCAGCGCAGTGTTGAAGATGGAAATTCTGGGGAGAAGTGACCGGTGGCTCCGCCGAACCCCTCGATTGTATATGAACTTACGCAAAACGGCATCGTACACTTCGCCTTGATGGCTGTGACACCAGGACAGGCAGTGTTTCCCTGTCTTGGCAGGAATGGAGCGATGGGGCACAGGCTGACACTTAGCATCCTTGGCCGTATGCGCCAAATGCGGATTAATGCGGCCGATCCAAGGGAGAAGGGGAGCTGCAGAAAACCGTTCGTGACACAAAACCGTTTGGTGCAGCGTGGATTGGGTCATTTGGGTGATACCCCAGGCAACTGCAACGGAAGCATCTTCAAACGGTTTCTTGCCCATCGAACGGCTCGACGGCCTTTCCCCGTTTGAATCCAATGAGCTATTCGAGACCTCCCCTACGCCCTGCTGCAGAGTCAACGGGTTTCAGACGCGCTCGTAAATGCCATCAAGCTGCGACTGGAATCACAACTGCAGATGATGTGGGCACCGCAGACCGGCAGCATCGATGTCGCCACATCAGCCGGTGCAGCCCTAGCATGCACAGCGCTGACGCAGTTCGTACATTCGAGAAGGTCAGAACTCTGCGCTGAGACACTGTCTTGGATTTTGCTGCCCATCTTATGCAGAGCTCTGAACAGGGCGGATGATGGTACAGTCCTCAAAGCAACTGTGCCGATAAGCCCTAGAGCTCAGTCTACGTCCTTCAAGGCATTATGGCTGGTCTCTGGGAGCATAGTATGTGCGAGCTGTCTCCGGGCGGAGTACGATGTACTGCAGTATTTCGTAAGTAGTCCACATACCTCTAATGAACCGGAATGCATAGGAAGCTAAAACGCAAGCAGCCTGCATTGACTCCAATACTACTAGCAATTCAGATTCACCAAGGGTCTGAGCGAGCTGCTCCGTCCAATTCCAATCCCCGGTGGTGCGTTTACATCAGTGACACGGTTTCAGGCACATCGGCCGCCGCGCTGTTCGCTATACTCAGCCTGACGGATTGGGATTACCGGAAAGCCTTTCTGTCCTTGATTTACCTTGCTGCTTATCTTATAATTTACGTTGCGCTCACTCCCAGAGCACCACAAGGTAGTCGCATACCCAGGCTTGACATCGACAGTGCTATTGGCCCATTATCATCATTCACTGCATCGATTTTGGGCTTCATACTGGCTGTAGAGACCATCGTTTCGGGCTTGCCAGCCATGAACCTTGGATACACACTATTATCAGCCTTTGCCAAATCATTGTCTTGGTTCTTCACCATCCAAACTGTATGTATACCTACACCTGCACTGCCCTGAGATACTTATCAATTCTAGGCCCGATTAACATCATGGCATATTGCGCCCGCGATAGGAACATTCGCCATCATTTCAACTCTCGATCCGTTCAAACAAACATCGAGCTTTCAAGCGGCGTCACATGTTGCGGCATCGGTCGTTTCTCTTGGTCAAGTCATACACGCGCTTCCGCGGCAGGAGAGAGGCAGGTTAGCTCTGTGGACTTTCAGCCTTTTCGCGATCATCCCGTATGCAGCGAATCTCCATGCTATCAGAACCGCAGAGTCTGTCGTGAGGGAGACTGCCCGCTCTGGAAATCATCCTGTCGAAAAATTGATAGGCGAGGCTAGAACTGACTTTCACCACCTGTTACAGAAGCAGTCCCAGAACTACACTGCAGCGGAAACTGAATACCGACGCCGATATGAAATAGAACCCCCAGCAGGTTTTGAGGCCTGGTATGACTTTGCTGTGTCGCATCAATCACCCATTATCGATGACTACGATACTATATACGCGTCTGTGTCTCCGTTTTGGAAGCGCAGTGGCGTTGAGATTGCTCGGATAATGGTTGAGGTACAAGATGCATTGGACAGTGAGCTGTGGCTATGCCAATTCACCAGCGAGAACGCGAAGACTCACTGTACTCACCCGTATCGTGTTTTCGACAGGCACACTGGATCCATGTTTGAGAGCTTGTTGGCCAACCTACCTGGTGTTATCCCTGACTTGAAGTTCTTGGTAAACCATCTTGATGAGCCAAGGGTTTTGATCCCTCCGGGATCCAGGAGGAACAATCCGCCCTCATCGCATGCCCAAGTGGCTTTAGCGGATATGTCAAGGCAGTATACTTGGGATGCGATCACCAAGTTTTGCGACACTAATCCGCAAGATGAATTCAGCCGAGACCGATACCATGCCAAAACTCCTACTCTACAGTTCGTGGCGCATCCTGCTTCGGACAAGGACCTGTGCCAACATCCCCAAAATCGAAACACGCATGGCCTCTTCATGAGCCCAACTTCGTTCCGACTGATTGAAGGCCTGGTTCCGGTACTCTCAACCGGCTCGCCTTCAACTATGGGCGATATATTGTTCCCAAGCCCAGCTTACATGGAATCGGAGTTTCAGTACGACACAACAAACGACATAGAGTGGGACAGAAAGCATAGCACCCTGTACTGGGCTGGGTCTAATACAGGCGCCTATACATCAGACAATCAGTGGCGACAGTACCACCGACAAAGGTTTGTGGCAGTTGCACAAAACTTGGAGCGGAGAACGCATTACTATCTCCGGGAGGTGGCAGGCGCAATCACTTCTGTGAAATCTTCATTCCTGAACACCAGGTTATTTGATGTTTCTTTCACAAGGATATTTCAATGCCAATGGAAATACTGCAGAGACCAAAGCTCTTACTTCAACATTAAGTCCTGGGCAGACAAGGATGAGGCATTTCGATTCCAGCTGGTCTTTGATATGGATGGAAATGGGATCAGTGGACGCTACTACAAGCTACTGGCTTCAAGATCCGCGCCCCTGAAGCAGACCCTTCTCCGCGAGTGGCATGACGAGCGTCTAGTTCCGTGGGTGCATTACATCCCTGTGAGCCAGAGCATGGATGAACTCCCGGAGTTGGTGCTTTACCTCACGTCGACGGATTCTGGACAAAAACGGGCCATGGAAATCGCGGAACAGGGGCGTGAGTGGTTCTCGAAAGCGTTTCGAGAAGTTGACCGAACAATATATGTTTACAGGCTGTTGCTGGAGCTAGCGAGACTGCAAGATCCAGCGAGAGAAGCCATCAAATAAACCATGCTTCAGTTTTAGATCAGAATCAGATTTTGACGCAATGGCGGTAACTATTTTCATGCTGGAGTGCTTGATGGAAATGTGAGGCATTGAACCATCAGCATCCCGAGCTGTCTTTTCTATGATAACATCGCAACCACCATGCTGGAGCCAAAGCAGACAACGAAGAGATAGGTGATAAGTTTGGATTAGTTTTAGAAGTCAGAGCTGAAGAAGTGTCTACTACTTGAACGATAAATGAATGTTACCCATAGTGTCACCAAGGTGTCAAGATGCTTGAACCTCTTCGGACACAATTCAAAGAATCATGGACTGTCACAAAGTGATTCAGGGAATTCAAGGCTGAAAAGCCAATGTCAGTAATGTCCCACTGAATTGAATGAGACACTTGTGTCAAGTGACAGTAGTGCTACCGAGATGTACTTACTCGGCAGTAGTATGTGTCCTTGCACGCGTGGCCATTGCCATCTACATACAAGACTCGGTCGCTGCCCCTCTTGCATGCGAATGTCTTGAAACTATTGTTGGCAGATCCCACGTAAGTGTTGGCCGACTTGGATTTAGCACCGCTGATGAGGTTGTACGAGAGCTTCACGCCGGTGCTGTAGCTGCAAGAGCCGGAGCTGCCCTCGCGGAAACTGTTTGTAACGCATTCGTTGCTGTTCCCGGGGAAAGAGTTGCTATTATCATCGTCGGCGTAATAGTCGATAGCCAGATAGGTGACGCAATCGGCGAAGTGGATGGTCTCTGGCCCGCGCTTCTCTAGACCAGAAGCTTCGATACCACCACTCGGAGCGGCGAGAGCAGTGCCAGCAACGGCGAGAACAAGGGCCTTGGAGAAGAACATGGCGAAGTTCTTTGTCTGTCGGTTTCTCTGTGTAGAATGGTGCACTTGTCAAGTTTTGAGGGCTGGATGTGAGTGGCCTTTTGGTGTTGATGTGCTCTTTGGGGATTTACGACAGCCGGCTACGCGGGTGGACGCAGCCTTTTATACAGATGCTCATAATGGCACATGGCTAGAACATCGAACCTTTCAGTCCAGTCCTAGACGGTCGGTCCTGCTTGGAATAGACTAACCCATTCGCCTGCCCGTTGGCTTAGCTTCACAGCATGTTGACATGCGTGCGGCTGAATCAGATGGACAAACAATTCTGCGAAGAGACATGCTGGCGTAATCCAGATAGGCTATATGCCGCCTGCCCAAAATTGAAAACAGATTCTTGAACTATAACTCGTCCAATGAGCGAATCTACGTAAGCTATATATTAATATAGAGTGACATGTATATTTGTGGCTGAAGACTGCCCGTATGACAACAATCTCATCAGACGCGCAACCAGCAAAAACAGTAGTGCTAACTAGCCTTAACCATCGATCCTGATGGCGCGGGTTCTGATAAAGCCTCGGATCGTGCTGCTACTTGGAGACCCGCTCCTTTAACTTCGACCTAGTGTCATTGACACGCGGACAACCACCTGCCCTTCTGCCAGTGCCATTATTAGCTGACGACGGGTTCTGATGTTTCCGGGTTCTGCTTCAGTCATCGCTCTGGGCTCTTAGAGTAAGTGGAAATCAGTATAATGCTTGAAATACAGCTCTATGGACCCATAGCAAAGCGTTTGGCTGGGACTTTGACCAATTCGCAATCTCACGTCCAGGCGCTTCTAACGATCACATATTGTAAGCGTCGTACAAGCTGAGACAGTTAGGTGGAATGGACCTGATAATTCGAATTCGATCACTGCGAACCCCCGCCCCGGTGTTGCTGTGTTGCGTGCAGAAGTATCGGAATAGATGGTGTCTTCTGCCATGCCAATCGGCGTTTGTGTGCCCCTTTGCGTGGTGCACTATTGAACTGCACATGGCGCAATTTTGGGGTGTCTGTGGTTCTGCAGTAGAGCGGCTCAGCAATTCGATTGTGTGGGGTTGTTGCGTGCATATCCGCCACGGTATGAGTACATTCATCTGTTAACAATTTGCTGCTCGCTCATGGCGAACGGCATACCTACCTATAGGCGGTGTTGGTAAGTTCAGTCCAGTACATGCGAGCAACCTGGAAGCCTTCTCTTTGGCTCCCGAGGTCCCTACCTAGGTATTGGCCTGAACTGCATGCAAAGTACTTCTTCAGGGTCAAGGAACCGCTGGGCCGCTCTGGCGGGATCGGCTTGGCGCGTCAAACAGGTGGCTAGCAGCCTATTTAGGCAAGGCTGGTGCCTGTACGAGCCAGCGAGCCGACCAGATCCCTGGATCAACAACAACCAGGCTGCCAGGGTTCTATTACACAGTAACTAGCGGTAGCGGCGAGCTCTGAGCCTCTGACGTCCAGATACCGTACGCCAAACTCCGGGCTTGCGGGCGATCCAATTCCGATCCACTCAACTCCGATGCGCTCAGTCACCTGCCGACAATATGTAAAGCTGCCCTCCTCCAGGCTCCCGGGCTACAGAACATAAACACGCGCAATCCGAGACGCTGCGCTCAAGTCATGTTGCGCTCAACCCTCCTCGAAGTGGTGCTCTTGTTGGGCGCCACGACGCTCGGTCTCGGGTCACCAGCATCCGACCAGAGAGTCCTCGCCTCCCCTCCAGACAGTTCCAACGCACCGGTTCGGCAGCACAGCGTCGACAGCGCCATCCTCGCAGCACTCGAAGCGCACTCGGATCCCGTCGATGCATACCTCGCCCTCCACCCAGAAGCTGCGGCGGAGCTTGCCGAGCCGCGACTCCTACGCGTGTTTGGGGAGCAGGAGCCAAGATGGATGACCGAGGGCGACAAGATGCGCTTGCGCCGCAAGGGCAACAAGTTCATGGATGTCACCGACTATCAGCAAGGGTACTTGGACGACGTCGAGGCATTCTCCGGCAAGGCCAGTAAGTGAATTAAGCTGTTAGATATCTAACCCGATTTCGACGACTTACATGGTTGTAGACCTACCCAACCTGACGCACCAGGCGCTCGTCAAGGCCCTCTTCCCTCGAGTCTCGACCGACAAAATGCACCATGTCCTCAAACACATGACGAGCTATTACAACCGATTGTATAGCAGCGTGATTGGCGCAGAAAGCGCTCGATGGCTGCATGACGAGATTGCCAAGGTTAGTGCTGTTTTCTGGAGACGTTGCCACGCACAGGCTGACCACTATGCGTAGATTATCGACCAAAGCCCCGTGAGCACTTATATCTCGCTCGAGTTCTTCACCCACACTTTTGCCCAGCCGTCGATCATTGCACGCTTTGAGCCGAAAGTACGGAACTTCTCTCACCCGTTGACGATTCTGGGCGCCCACCAGGATTCCGCAAACTACCTGTTCCCTCTTCTGCCTGCCCCTGGTGCCGACGATGACTGTTCGGGTACTGTCAGCATCTTGGAGGCATTCCGCGTCCTGGCTCACAGCGGTTATATCCCTGAGCATGGCCCCGTTGAGTTTCACTGGTACGCTGCTGAGGAAGCCGGACTGTGGGGCAGCCAGGCTATCGCGAGATACAAGAAAGATTCACGCGCAACGATTGGCGCCATGATGGAGTTTGTGAGTTTTTGAGACACCCGGAACCATTACTGTGGCTAATGCGAACTAGGACATGACTGCATATGTTTCCAGAAACGCAACAGAGTCTATCGGCTTCGTCAAGACCGAAGCAGACGGGCCCTTGACGGAGTGGGCCGCGAACCTGGCCAAGGAGTACATACCCATCAAGTCTGGAATTTATGAACTCAGCCCGTAAGCAACATACTGGGTCTACGATTCTAGATTATCCATGCTGACAATATATGTGCCTAGTGGTGCCGGATCGGATTACATGTCCTTTACTAAGCAAAACTACCCCTCAGCGTTCGCTACCGAGGGCAACCCTTTGTCGCACAATGGCCCCATGGGTGACTTTGACCCCTATGTCCATACTGCCAAGGACACCATGGATGTTGACGATGAACACGGTTACTTTTCAATTGACGTAGGTTCACTCTCTACTCCCAATTGACCACAACTGATGTACGGCAGCATATGGCAAAATTCTCGAAGCTGGCGATTGCTTTCGCCGTTGAGCAAGCTGGATGGGATAATCATTGGAGATAAATCGGTTTGGCCGCCTCGGTGAGCAGACACAGCTATTACCTTAACACCTGACAATGCCATGCCGCAACATATTGGAGGCATTATCAAGTATTGATTCAAGATAGAACCCAGACGTGCCTAAAGTTTTATGTGCTCATAAGAGATTTTATTGAGGCAATAGCTCTGTATTTTGACCAGGAAAATCAGCGTACGAGTGTCGTAACGTTTCGGGAGCCGAACTCCTGGCGCGTTAATTCAGGAAGGACATCGCAGCTCACAAGCAGAGCGAGCTCGGGAGCATGTATACAAGGAAGCGTGCTTTGAATCATGCTGTGTATGATGCAATAACTATGACCGCCTCACATGCACGTACTTTGAGGCTATAGGTACAAGGGTGGCGTGAAGACTTGCATTCCGCAAAGCCATCCGCTTCGAGCGCATGACGGCTACGCCTTACTCGAAATGCGTAATTCATGCATTTCATATACTAGGGTGGTACGCATGGAATTAGGATCCGCCTCGGGCAGCTCAGCAGTACCACGATCCTTAGACCCGCTCCCCTGCTGCCGTGCAGCAACTCCCCATGAAGCAGGAAGGCGAACATCAGTCCAAGTTGATTGTCATTCTGATATACGCTTTGATATGGTACCTGTCATAAACCGTAGGGAAGCCTCGCTGGAGGACAGGCAATCGTGCCACGCGCATGGCCTATAACCACCAGCTTAAGTGGAGAGTATACCAAGTAATTAGTTGATAGAGCCATAGCCAAGGAACTCTGGTCATTGGACAGTACCTTAGAGTGTTTCAATACCATCATAAATACTCATATGAGGGGTAACCCTTCGATCTCTTTACCGCTACGTAAATAAGTACATTTCTCTCTAAGTGCTTACAGCATATTGGCTGGTAAGCCTATGTCATGCCAACTGACGTGGCTTTGTTTCCAACAAAGATTTAGGAAAGACATACCGAAGCAAAGGTAACCCGCAAAATAATCATGACAGCTGTGATAGAGTCAGCGGCCGAAATAAGCCAAGTCAAATAGTCGCGGTGGAAGTCTCCGGATGCACACTAGCGTAGCATGTATGTAAGCAGAACCACGTCAGTGAGAGTAACATGCAAAGGTGCATTATCTCAGACGTCATTGGGCTATGACCTTCTCTGTCTTTCCTGTTGATTGGAGCTGATACTAGCCTTGTGCTCGTATATTCCTTCCTGACTGCAGGTTGAAAAGCGGCCAAGCGTTCGAAGGATTGTCATTAGTATCACATTACGTTATTAGGAAATAATGACGTTAAATATGCAGCTCTCGTTTGACTGAGCTGCCGCCTGGAAGCACGCACTTATATGCTTGAATTACTTTTTATATTCTCTTGCGGAAAACTATAAGTACCAGCGTCTGTATGCTTCTACGTTCTAATTGTGGCAATCAAAACACCCACTTTCAAAACATTGTAGCAAATCCATTGTTCATCAGACCATAGTCATGAAGACGACTTTGCTGCCAACGTTTCTCGTTTCATTCCTCGCAGCCGTAGGCACAGCTAAGGTCCAACCAGTAAGCACGATTTAGTATTTCCATCTGCGGCCCCAGTACAATTTCCATGTATTAAACATTCCACTAATAGGCTGCCCGGGATTCGAATGAATACCAAAACTACCAGGCTGGAGTGCGTGCGCTGCCTCAGCACAAGAGGGGCTATTATCACCTCGCCGATGACGGTGTGATGCGCTCCCTGGGACCTGGCAACGAAGTTCTCGGATTCGTCCAGGCATCACCTGCGGTCCTCGCGCGTGTGATTGCCGACGCCCCTGAGGCGGATCGAGCCCATCTGGAAGCCGTCTGGGATGGCATTGACGGCCGCGACGTTGCCGACCCGTGGACCATCAAGCGTGAGCTGATTAACTCGGCTCACGCAACCCCCAGTGGTCGGACACGGCGGAACGAAGTGCTCGATGCGTCAGACATTGTAGTCAGAGACCTGTCGAGCCCGGTTTGGAAGCGCGCTTGCAGCACGGCGGGCGGTGCGTGCTCGGGTAATCGTGAGTGCACGAGCCCCGTTCCCACCGACAATTGTATCTGCCGGTTTGTGGATAACGCTCTTATTGGAAGTTGTGACGAGGCCTAAGTGCTGTAGGTATCAGTTAACTGCGCGGATCAAGAGATCACCACGTAGCCATCTATACGGCGCCCAAGTAAGGTCACGCACCCTCAATGAAACACCCCCCGTATTCCAATACCGTGAAAGTCCCTCGCTGCGTGGACAAAGAAGTAATAAATGCGCTGCAAGTAGCGACCACCATCTGTGAGAAAGCATGTATGACTAAAACTTTGTCTGAGGGTGCGAACCATGAACTTGAAGCAACCTTGCACAATCACGACTTGATGTATTCCTTCGGGATATTGCCCGTCAATTGGCGACAAAGTAGAGGAGGCTGAACCCACTCCAGCCCGCTCTGCAATCTTTTCTACAGCTGTGAGTGTTTGCTAGCCTCGAACAGACTTCAAAGTAAGATGTTATGAGAAATGGACTCCGACTGGTACAAATTGTTACAATAACTCACTATCCGGATGTGTTTAGAGTCACTTTCATAGTTCACCGTGCAATTTGCTATCTATAATCGAATACCTTGAGGATGTTCAATACATCATCTGATATATTGGGGCTAGTTTCGATGCCATCCTACAGGTTGGCATTCACTAAAGTTGGGAAACGTGGAATCAAGCAATTGAACGGCGAAACAAATGCACGAGAGTATAAGGGCGTCCAACTTATAGTTCTGCATTTCAGCACGCAGTTGTCTTATAATGGGGTATATGGGTATCTAACTATCAATCATGGAACATGCGCTAGTATAAAGCCAACTACTGCCGGCATGATACATGTTATACAGCGGCCAAGAACCCTGCAAGACCAACAACTCCAGTGAGCGCCCACATGGCCATCGACCTCGTGTTCAAGCCCGAGGCCGCGTTCGAGCATGCGTTGGTCGCGCTAGCTGTTTTCTCAGCACCAGCCGTGATGGGGACGTCGAAGCGGTAGTATTCGCTACCAGACATGGTGGTTGTGGCTGAGGTCTGGGTTGAAGTCTTGTCTACCGACAGGCCGAAGGTGGGCGTGCAGACAGCAGCCGTCGTTCCGGACAGGACGCAGTTCTCTGCAATGGTTACGGCAATGTCGTGGCCTGCCGTGGACGTTGCGACGACACTGGAGGCAGCGAACGTCGAGGGGCCTTCCGTGACAGTCACGGCCGGTGCATTAGGACCACAGCTAGGATCAAGCTCCAAACCCTCGACTGTGATCGTGGCTGGTCCTGCGGTGCATCGCACAGCGTAAACGGTTTGGTCTTTACATGCTGTTACAATTGACGCAGCGTAAGAGAAGTCATCGGTGTATGCGTCGAGGAAGAGGTTGACGGTGGGGGCGTTGCTGGTGGCACTGCTGTTGTCCCTTGCAGCGAGTTGGGGAAGGGACTCGTGCTCGGCACGTGGAAAGAAAGCCGACAGCGCACTGAGGTCGCCTAGGCTGGCGGCGTGGGCGGCACCGTGCTGGAGAGCCATTTTGGGCAAATTGAGTTGATGTTATAGTTAGATAAGCGGGCCAATGATGCTGATTGAGTTTCGAAGCTCTTCTTACGATTCCACTGTGATCTGCTTGAGCTGTGTGTCCCTACGACGTGATGTGGCCTTTTCCCTCTATATATTCTCAAGAACAGACGAGTATTCTCTGTCCATTACCAGGACATATGATATGACTCCTCGCAGAAACAGTTTTCGTTGGACCGCGCCAGTGCTGTGCCGTGCGTATCAGGTGGTTCTCAACCTTTAGCGCAACGGCGCTAGACCTCAATTCGCACCGCCGTCTATCTTTAGCAGCGAGCTCCCCTGATCTGTCGAAAATGAGGCTGCTGCGCCGCGCAGCGGGCCCAGGTCAGTGGCTCTGCTTCCCGTTGTTGGGCCCACGTTTGCAAAGCCTCTACAAGGGGTGTAATTTGAGTCGACCAAAAGTCCCTGCCAAGGTAAGCGACCTAGAGGCACGCTCCAGGATACAGTACATAGTACGGCGGACGATGAACCCGGCCCCAGGTTGGCCGACCTGCTCGAATTACTTAGCCAAAGGCGTGTGGCACATTCATGCAGCGTAGAAATTCAGGGTGGATGCATCAGCGGGTGCAAGGAATTCAATGTCCGAAGGATCTAGTGCGCTGTCCAAGGCTCACAAGGCTACACACATGCACTGGCTGCCGACACTCGAAGACAACGGTTCCTGCCGTAGTGCAACGATATGTTTCCTTGTCGTTATCGTAGCGACTTTGCTCGGCAGGAAGGTATGCGATTAGCAGGAAAAATACCCAGTCGAAAATTTGGGGTCTTTTGCAATCCACAATCCAGTAAGGGTGATGTAAAGTATTCCCCGATACCGAGCTGGAAAGAGCTGTGCCGAGAATGGTGCTCCTGTCAAAGGCGAAAAATTATGAGAACTATAGAAGCAATACACACCTAGATATGCCCTGTAATCGGTTGGACTCAAAAACTTTCTGCTCTGATCTCATATGCTTCGCCAGGCTTTGCTTTCGCTGGATCTTGATTAGGATAGTCTAATATTATACTTACTTCCGTAATGGGATGTTGGGATGCAAATCAAGCCAGGAACGGGGAATGGTAAATATATCCGAGTAGGAACGAATCTCAGGATGCCTCTCCACACATTACACATCCAGGAGGTCATTACGAGCGTCGAAGATAGAGTAGCCGTACAGTATATCATCATACTATCCGCCGATGCTTGGATTTGGCGTTGCGCTAGTCTTTCGCCGTGTACAGTTCTGAAATCTATCGCAGATCTGGCTCTAGCTTCGCACTTTTAGTCCGCGCGAGATGATACGATCGAGGGGAAAATTGCTCATACGCAACGTCGAAACAGGTCAATTTCGTGCCGCGTCGGGGTAAGATTAATAGTGGCCCCTGATGCGGACAATTCACCACCATCTCTTTACAACTATTTGAACCATCCATCTAACCGCCTTGGTTGATACAGTATCTAATACCCTCGGGAATTTCTACGCCGGATTATGTAAACCAGCCGTCTCAAACAGACATGTCGAGGAGTCAATCAGCGAGTAGGTAACTCTGCAGCCGTTTGATAAGCGGCCATTTCTTGCGGTAGGTGCTTGTGTTCAGAGTGCAGCTCCGAGAAGTTGGAAGGGCTGCCAGTCGGGGTTGGATAGTAGTATCCGGCATTCGCGGCCTGTGGTGGCGTTGGCCCTGCTGACATGCCCCTTATTTTCTGCTTCCTTCTCGCGAAGAAGCAGATGAGTAGACCAATGAGCGCGACTGCAGCGATAGGCCCGATGACTGCTCCAGCAATCCATGCATTGCTCCCCGATCCACCACTGTTGCCAGCGCTACTGGCCGGTTGCGTCGTGCCTGCTGTTGTTGACGAGACTGATTTTGTAGTTCCAGTTACTGAGGCCGACAATGTCGACGAAGCTGGCGCAAGGCTCTTAGTCCAAATTACATCAAAGACCGCGGCCAGCCTTTTTCATTCGGGAGTTCAAAACTTACACGTAACTGTCGATGTCACAGTCGATGGCAACTCTCTATAAACAGTATTTGCCACCCAAGCAGCGCGGCAGCCTATATTGGTGGCAGAGGGAAGACCGCCAGGCGAGCTCTGGAAGATGGTGAAGGCGACACATGATAAGCCATTGGAACTGTTGGCGCGCAACACAGTCAGCGTTGACAACTTTAATACCTCCAGAACAGCATGGTGGGCCTGACAACGCACCATACAACGCTCCCGCCGTTGTTGTATTGGGCGGTTTCCCCAGCGCACGCGGTCGCGAATACACAATCCGATGTCTCGGAACAGTCACCCGCGTACTTCCCGGAGGTGACCCAGGATGAGCCAGAGCCAGCAGCCAATCTTTGAACTACCACATGAGAATTAGGTTTCCAAAGAGCAGTTTGCAAGGCGGAAAAGACATGGAGTGGGCTCGCTCACCAGTGGTCGGGGCTACATAATATCCTATGAACGCCGGGTCCTCAAGATCAGGGACAGAGGTTGCCGGTGTCGTGGCGGTCGTCGAGGATTGCGCGGTACAGCTTGCGCTCAGCAGGAAGACGGCGACGAGCCGAGCAGCCATGCTTTTTAGTTGAGATGGAGCCAGGATAAATATAGCTGACTTGCGTCAAAGCAGCAGTTCTCGTGCGAAGGAGGCCTTTGGAATCGGTGAAGATCAAACATTCTCATGGACAGGGGTTCATCACTGTGAAAATTGGATTCAGGAACTCCAGGCTGTCAGGACTAATCAGGTATACAGCCGATGCCGCTAAAACCAATTAGAGGCGATAACGCCGCGGGCAGCGCTCAGCCATTGCCAAAGCCGTGTCTAGTGCTGACCAGAGATTGCGAGCACCCTGTATGTAATCCCAACCAATCAGAGCCATTGAGGTACCCTTGATCAGACCACCGAACTTGCTCTGTGGCGATCATGCCTTCATAGGTTTGCTGGTGGATAGTTCCGTTCGAGACAAGTTAACTGTTGTCTCACTCGTAACCTAGCAAGCTCGAGCATTCTCAGGACTTCTGGGGCTGTCCGGGTGGACTTTTCGCAACCAGCTCCTGGCGGCCTATTTGTGGGGTAATTAGTTCAGGACCTGGGATCGCTCGATGAGATGAGTTGCTGGAGACACGCTATGTTCCGTGTGTGTCTCCCGTTATTCTGTTTTGTACTCAGCCAGAGCCGGGACTGCGTCTTCATCTGCGGGCCTGTTCCAGACGCTGGCTTTGCTCATGGTCTTTTTGCGCATGGTCATCATAATTTCGCGCTCCATCTTGTCAATGCCTCTTTCTACATCAAATTCCGCAAGCGCAGTGAATATCCTCCGCCGCCATTCCCAGTAAAACCAGGAACCTAGGACGATCAAGGTAACGGGTGTGGCTACAGCGAAATAGATCCAGATGTTGTTTGACATTGGGCCTTGTGTGTCATCTATGATCTCTACATCAGCTTTCAAATAACACCATATCCTCTCTATACGGGCGTCACTTGCCTCCTTTGAAATCGAAAAAGCTCATGCTGAAGATTGAGGCTAGGAAAGTCCCAGGAAGGAAGATGACTCCCACAAGGCTGAGCGCCTTCATCGAGGAGCTGTCTTGCTTGCTGAGGTGGGCCAAGCGGCGCTGTTCGGCATTGTTCTCCAGGTTCACTTGGCCATCCCTCTGGGCTGAAAGATTGCTGAGCTGCAGATATTATCAGGTGGCAAGCACCATGTGATTCCTTCGTGAGAACGACTCACAGCAAATTTCTGAATCTCCAAGCGTCGTTGCGTGTTTCGCACGTAACCCTTCATGCCTTGCAGCCGATTGTTGTACAGACTCAGCCTGCTTGAAAACTTGTGGTGTGCCTTCGTAATCTCTGGCGATCTCGCGCACTCTGGTAGGTATTCAAAAAACAGAGACAGAGCTTTTTGGGCATCGCCAATGATGCCCATCCACGCCTCCGGATCGCTCCGCAACATAGCAGAGTTGATTTCAACCAGATCACGGCCAATAATGTTAAGATCCAAATCGTTGTAGGGTGAGTCCTCCATCGGGGTCCGCGAGAACGTCAAGGCGTCTTCGACCTGCCGGAGCGATTGCCGGCCATCGAGGGTTCTCTGCTCGAGCGACCCATTCAAATAGAGTGCGGCCAGAGTCATGGGAAGAAGTAACGGGTGGCAGATCTGTGACGGACTGTCTTTCACTAACTTCAAGCTTTCGGAGACATTTGAGCACGGCGTTCCCTTCAAGAAAGCTGTCGTGATCTTGTCGCGGAATGAGTACGATAGGACAAGTTCCCATCCTCTAGTTTTCCCCTTCTTTCTCATATCGGCCTTGCGGACTATGATATGCAGTTGAGGATCCGACTCATCGTGGTTGTAAGAGCTCCAGAACAGAGGCCCAACTGTGGAGGTACACTCAATTGCACTTAAAGGTAACCCGAAAGACATCATCATGGACCTGTACACATCTGGTGGGAGAGTGATGTAGTGGCTAGTAAAAGTGTCGCGGTGCTTGGCATTTTCTTGCACTCTAATTCACTGGTTAGGATTGTCGTGGTTGATCTGGGTGGGGTTCAAGATACATGATTCGAAGTCCGGCCTTCAGCTGCACGTCCTTGGGAATGACTGGTGCAGCATAGGCACCTTGTCTCTGAAGGAAATTTTGAAACTCATCTGGCGTGAGAGGACGCGATTCAATTACGTCGTGCACTGGATCGGTATAGTTGAAGATTTCCAAGTAGGATGTATTTTCTGGAACGTATTTGAAGCCTTGGAGCAGTTGGTCAAAGATATGGTCGTCCATCGCTCCGTTACTCAGTGTGCCCAGGTTCAGACAGGGCGTATATCTCGTGAGACCAGTTTATCGCGTCGTTCTGGGAGACTGAAGACAAAGACAAAGTTCACATGAGCCTGTGCAGAAAAGTGAGGTTTCGTTGCGCAGCGGCTGAAAGGCTGGTTCAGCTGGTGCGAGGGTTGTGCAGCCCAGGCTGCAGGCACAGCCTCGTCAAACCCCGTGGATCAGAACAAGACCTCTTTATCCACGAAGCTCGAGCCTTTGGCCAACAATAAATACCACTTAGGGATCTTTGAGACTTTCCATCTTGAACTGCGTAGACCGCGGCTTTTGACAGCCTAATAAACACGGCATCTTGTTGATACTAAGGAGATTTGCGAGGACTTAAGCTGGGCACGGCATTTCCTATATGATCTAACCGCCTACGGCGCGATACAATCGCTCGGGTTAAGGGCGCTGGGCCATTATTCAGGAGCCAGGGATGCCTACTGGTAACGAATGCATAGTTGCACTTGTAGAGATAGATGGCGATCTATCAAAACGCTGAATTCTGAATAGATGGGGTGGCAAGTCAACATCGGTGCGCCTCCGGACAGTGGCCCAATTAACGCCACACCAAGTACCACACTTTTGGGGAGGCTCTGCCCCACCGGGCGAGCTCTGGCCAATCTGAGGCCGCCCTTTGTAATCGGGGGAGCTCCACCGCCCGATTTCCCGAAATTCCAATTCATCATGACCTCCAAGCTACCTGGATTCGCCATCTCGACCTCCAAGTCCTTCGCGACGACGCCTCTCCACTCCCCGCAATCCGCCCAATTGCACTCCCACACCATGCATGGGCTCGCACGATCCACGACGACCGCCGCCATGCTGTCGACCCGCCAGCTGGTGCGCCGCAACCCGGCTGCGGCCAGCGCTGTCGCCAGAATAGTCGCGCAGCGCATGTACGCCACGCCCTCGGGCCCGCCGCCCCCGGGCTTCAGACAGAAGCGGCCGACGTACTGGGACGAGGAGAAGGAAAGCACGCTGGACCGCGCCGGACGATTCTTCCTGATGACCGAGATGTTCCGCGGCATGTACGTGGCGATGGAGCAGTTCTTCAGACCACCGTATGTTTGATGGCCCCCCACCCCTCCCACGGGTTGGAGAACCGAGGGAGGATATCACGGGATGTGACACTGATGGGCATGCCAGCTACACCATCTTCTACCCCTTCGAGAAGGGCCCCATCTCCCCCAGATTTCGTGGCGAGCACGCCCTGAGACGGTACCCATCTGGCGAGGAGCGCTGCATTGCCTGCAAGCTCTGCGAAGCGGTATGTACTATCTTTCACTTCTGTGGACGCGTTGCTCATCGTTTTGCCCAGATCTGCCCGGCCCAGGCCATCACCATCGAAGCCGAAGAGCGTGCCGACGGCTCGCGTAGGACGACCCGTTACGACATTGATATGACCAAGTGCATCTACTGTGGCTTCTGCCAGGAGTCGTGCCCCGTGGACGCCATCGTGGAGTCGCCCAACGCAGAGTACGCCACGGAGACGAGAGAGGAGCTGCTGTACAACAAGGAGAAGCTGCTGGCCAACGGCGACAAGTGGGAGCCCGAGCTGGCCGCGGTAATCAAGGCGGATTCCCCTTACAGATAGGAGAGGGGCAGTGTTTGTTTTCCACCAGTAATGGGCGCATGTGTGCTGGGAAGGACTGTACATATTAACGTAGACCCCCGCCAAAAGAGCAATTTCTCATTTGTGACGCATGTCGACACGCCGTCCCGGGACTTTGATTGTATCTCATCGGGGCTCGTCACAGCTCAACGGCACAGGGTCGGAGAGGCTCGATTGCCATCTGCGGAGCTGCTTCAGACTAGGATTTGCATAAAGAATATCTTCCCTTGAGACCAAGTGCGGGCAGCCGGCCGATTATGTGCAATTGGTCATTACTACAGTATGTGTCGCCATGTGTTTGTTTGGCCTCATGCGTAATTGGATATGCCATGATCCTATTCGCTGCGCCGGCTGTGGTGGCCCAGCCTACCGTACCTACTGGCGTTAGCGCAGCAGGTTGTCGGGTCACGTGAAACTAGTAGATTTGGGCCCCCCAGTGGCCAGCTAGCAGCCAGCAGACAGCAGCCAGCGGCCAGCAGCCAGCGCCTTGGGGGCTTGGCCAGTAGCCCCCGGGGGTTCGAATGCTGGCCGTGCGCTAGCTCCGAAGCTCGAACCTCTCGCGCTGTCGCTCCCGGGGCGAGAAATTTATCATGACTTTGATTTGCTCCAAGCTCCATCACGAAAGGACAACCCACGTCACCACATCGAGCCCAGCCATCAACAACCCGTGTCTCCTGCCCCTGACTTCGGTCCTCAATTGAGCCGCACACATCCGTCACAATGTTCCGATCAGCATTAATCCGCACTGCCGCCGCGGCTTCCCGCGCTGCCGCCCGCCCCGTCGCCCGCGCCCCCGTCTCCAGAGCTATCTTGGCCGCCCCTGCCGTCTCGAGGGTCGCCGCCTTCAAGACCGTCCGCCTGTACTCGGCCGCCGCTGGCCTGAAGAAGGAGGAGGTCGAGGGCCGCATCATGGGCATCCTGCAGGGCTTCGACAAGGTCAACGACACCACCAACGTATGTGGCTATCTCTGTACTTCCTGGCCTGGCCTGGCCTCATCCGTCCTCCATCCGTGCCCTGGACCGCTGAGAGCCAGGCAATCTCCGGAGACACGCAAACATAGACCAACTGACGCAATTTCGAACAGATCAAGCCCACTGCTCACTTCTCCAACGACCTGGGTCTGGACAGCTTGGACACCGTCGAGGTCGTCATGGCGATAGAGGAGGAGTTCAGCATTGAGATCCCGGACAAGGACGCTGACGCCATCCACAGTGGTGAGTTCCTGGCATGAACCCAGGATTTATTCCTGCACGACATATCACTAACGTTGCTCCCCACTTCAGTCGACAAGGCCGTTGAGTACATCTTGAGCCAACCCGATGCCAACTAATTCTCTCCCGACGTGTATAATAAACTACGCCACTCTGCCCATCTCACTATTTAGAGCGGAGGATTTGCGGGCCGTGCATATGGATGTGTCAAGGAAATGAAGCGCGACGAGTCAAGCCCGAGGTGCTACGGCATCCGCTTGATGGTCGGGGAGCCGCAGACAGACACGGAGATGTCCTTGGTGTGTGATAGCGTATGAAGCGCCCTGCGCCAAATGTACTACTGTATAGATCTTTTCTCCGTCTACGTGCGTCTCCTTCGAACCGAAACAACATGCTCTGGTACGTGATATCTGAGCCGAGGTGGGAGGAAGCTGGGTGCTTGGTATGGTGCACTGGGCACTGGGCACTGATTCCAGTCCGCATGCGTCAATTCCAACCCATGGGTCACCTCAAGTGAGGCTCAGTCCTTCCGAAGGTCAATATATTTGCTATCATGCTTATGCCAGGCGGGGTGTCTTGATAACCTCAAAGCACCTCTGCCCTTTATGTCACCAAAAAGGCGCGTATGTACAGGGGGTTTCAATCTGACTGTGTGCATAGCTGATTAATCACCCTGCAGCCCACTTTCTTTATATGAAGGATAGCTTCTTGCTCCAAGCCTCACCCCCTCATTTGACCCAGGTGCATATATAGCCAAGAGCCCATCAGCAGCCAGTTTTCTAACATCTAGCTGGAGCTGCGAAATCCCATCCAGGACATTTCAGGAGACTATAGATACCATGACGGAAACGAACATCACTCTCTACACCACTCGCACCCCCAACGGCCAGAAGGCTTCGATCGCACTGGAGGAGCTCGGGCTCAACTATAAAGTAACACTGCATCCCGGCGTTCCTCCGCCGCTGCAAGGCTCAGTGTTTCCATTAATCACATGTACTATAGGTTCATGCCATAGACCTGTCCAAGGACGAACAGAAGGTGACAATCCCAACTGGGCCCAATCAGGCAATTATCTGTGATCTAAATCGGAATTACAGGAGCCGTGGTTCCTTGAGATCAATCCCAACGGCCGCATCCCTGCCATCACGGATACATTCACCGACGGCAGCGCCATCCGCGTCTTTGAGAGCGGTTCCATCCTGCAGTACTTAGCCGATCGGTATGACACGGAGCATAAGATCTCGTACCCTCGCGGGACTAGGGAGTACTATGAAATGAACAACTGGGTAGGTATCCGAGATTCACTTTGACTGCTGCGAGCTTCAGTATGTGCTGACGAGAAGAGGTATAGCTGTTCTGGCAAATGGGCGGGCTTGGGCCGATGCAGGGGTTGGCGTCCATCTCCTTGCTTTCACCTCCACGACGAGAGATTAAGGGCTGACGAGATCTTGTAGTCAAGCAAACCACTTCTTCCGTGAGTGTTATTTCTAGAGCACAGAACTCTAGACTAGGTTATTCGCAGGGTGCTCACATAAACCGAACGAACAGGATACGCTCCTGAGAAAATCAAGTACGGCATCGACCGCTACCAGAACGAGACCCGGCGCCTGTACCGTGTCATGGACAAGCATCTCAGCGCCTCGGCGTCCGGGTTCCTCGTCGGTGACCACTGCACCATTGCGGACATTGCGTGCTGGGGCTGGGTCGCCAGTGCTTGTAAGACCTCACTACCATCCCCCTCCCTTCCCTTTTGTTCTGTACACCTAGACCTTCGTGATCCCGTGAGATGATGCGGCTGACATCCTCTCGTGTAGCGTGGGCGGGCGTCGACATCGATGAATTCCCCGCGCTCAAGGAATGGAAAATGCGCTGCTGGGCCCGACCTGCCTTCGTGACCGGCCACGGTGTACCTGCGCCTAAGGAGCAGCAGGAGAAGAAATCGGAGGAGGAGCACGCCAGGGAGGCGTCCAACTGGATTATGAGGGGGATGAAGGAGGACGCGGCGAAGAAGTGAGGATTTGACGGCCCAAGAGGTTGATTAGTTGATACGCTCCTAACACAATAGTCTCAACTTTCTTTCTATGTGCTCTACTTTTGGGCATGGTGAAGAGGACTCGTGAGCTCAGATAACATGTCCTCTACATCGAAGTGGAGTATCTTCGACAGCCATTTGACGGCGACTATCCAATCCGAGCGCCCAGGAACCAGCACTGCGGCCTCAAACGGGCGCACGAGGCGCAGAGGCGCGGGTGCTACCTGTAGATCATCTTCACGGAACTCAGTATATGCCTAGAAGACCGCGAGGCGTTCATGATCGTTTATTGAGTAGGTTTACACTACCGCTCGCCAGCATCCAGCAGGATAAGTGCCATCGCTTGGAAGACCCACCATCACCATTCCAGGGACAGACATCAAATTGACCACCTACCATGACCAAGCCGTGACGCATGTTCCATGGAGACGATAGTTCACACCATGTGTCGAGCATCTACGCATCGCACAGTCACTTCTTTTCCTCCCGCTGGCTGATCTCTCGGACTGCAGATCAGGCAACACGGCCTTAGCTGCGAGCCCAGATGCGAGATCCAGACTCTGATGCTCATTCTGTGTCCTCGTTAGTTGACAGAATTGACGACTGCGTTTCCTGGCTACGCACAAGAGTGCCACTCTGACACGCCAATCTGCTGCCCAGCTTCCACGACCGGGTATGGCCGCTGCAAAGCTTCAGGCCTTGCAACATCTACTTAACTGTGCGATACGCAGGACGATGCGCTATGTAGGACGCTTCCTTAGCTCCATGCTATCGAGTTTCAAGATTTCGGCTTGGGCTGCTTGAGTATGCTTCTCTACACCAGATGAAGGCCTGCTGGTGGCGTTCTGTATCGACTTGGGTCCTATCTCACGACCATCAAGCTCCTTGGCCGACTGGACGCTATCCAGTTCTGGCAGTCCCGCTGGCTGGCTGTCGAGCTCAAACGTCTCTGAGTCTGGCGTATATGGTGACTCGTCACCGACATTGGAAGGTGATGATAGGTTGACACCGAGATGAAATGGGGCTCCAGACACCGCCAAAGTCTCCCCAACGCGACTGTGACTTGAACCGTCGATCTTGGCCAGGACGGAATTCCGGGTCTTCTGAAGGACTTGGTTGACAAACCCAAGCCGAGACTGCTTGACTTTCCTCTTCACAAACGATCTGAGTATAAATTTGCACTTGATGTCACTCTCCTGGGCAGCTGTCAATTCAAGCGCTCTGGCTGCTCATACCAGTGGGCGGCTCACAACTTTTACCCAGAGTGTAGGCCCCCCGCTCGACTTGGACTGGCTACTCTGGATAGTCCAATGGTCGCGGACTTCAATGCCCAACTGTGAGTAGACATGCGAGATCATACCGTTAGGTAAATCCAGAAACCCGACTTTACTGCTGAACTCCCCAGACCCTACGTCTTTAGGTAACCTGAACTGCTCGGTGATGCTGTACCATTGCCATGCGCCATGGTGCTCCTCTGGCGGCGCTTCAGGCGGTGGCTTAATGGGGTGTCGCTCCTTGGTTAGAGAGCCCAGATCCATCAAATCATCATGGTTTTGCAGGAGCTGAAGGACAGTTGCTGATGCGGTCCCCTCGGGAAGCGGTTCAGCAATTGTGATCTTGGCCATACTCTGGTTCTCTAATCGGCCTTATCGACCGACAGCACCGCCCCAATGAAGAAACAAACTCTCAGTTAAGCGCGAAGTCGTAACCGACGCACGTATTGTGGGATGTGGGCCAGTCTGCCACGCAGGAGCTTCGTCAAGCATGAAGCCGCGTCCTGCTCTTGGCGCGATCACAATCAGAGGTTGGGAAATCTCCGGCTTTAATCCCTGCTTCCCCAGTCGCCAGGACCCACTTACCTTGCGCCGCACCCAAATCACTCCTCTGGAGGCATCATGGCTATGGCCGCAATGAACCGCAGGCCAGGCATACTCAGAGTATCACATTGGGCTTACGGTAAGCTACATCGCGCCTCGTCTCCCAAGGCTTCCAATGCGGCTATGAGAAATGCGGTTAGAAGCTACTTGAGCTTGGAGGTTTTCAGCGTCAATTTGCGACAAGCCCTTTCTTTGACCGAAGATGATTGCGTCTACTGTCCCGCTTCAAGGCTGTAGCGCCCGCGTGGTCAGCGGGACCGGATTTACCACCGCCAAGCACCATTACAACCGTCAGACATGGTTGATTCCGCTGTTGTTAGGCACGAAGAAAGGCGAGGCTACTAGGAAGCATGAGGAGCTGGTTGTGTCCTTAAGAAACGGGGAGGGGGATCCATAGGCGACAGAAGCCACATCTGATAGACTTAACAAGCTGCAATACTGCTATGCCGCACTGTGACAAGCACCATATACAAGAAGTCAAACTGGAGCTGAATCCCAGGTTTGGTCGCCAACAGAAAATGAACAGGTTAACCTAAGATTAACTACAATGGTGACATTCTTTTCGTCACTTTTGGGGGGAAACATTTATACAAAGGTCTCTCGTATGGACTGCTGATGTATGTAAAGAGAAAACAAAGATTCGAGGTGAGCTTCGTTAAAGAAAGTAACATGTGCAAGAAGAATGGTGCGCCCCCGCAAAGTAAAATGTATACGAAGCTGAACTCTAGCGTCGGAGTTTGGACTTCGACGAGTGTATGATCTTGGCCATCAACCAAGCGTCATGTACCTGGTCCTGCCGGATATATTTGTCCTAATGACGTGATCTCCCTACTGTTCAAATACCGGAATCGATTTTGGGCGGTGCATGTGGAGCATAGGCCCTCCAATCGGCACACTGTTGTTGATATGCTGCGAGATCAGTCTTGCTGATCAAGGCCACTTGCTCAGATCTGCGCTCCATGAAATCAACGGCAAGGCCGCCGCTCACATGCCATGCAATGTGACAGTGCATCAGCCAGTTCCCGGGATTGTCCGATTTGAAAGCTAAGATCAAATACCCTGAAGCCGGCAACATAGTCACGTCTCTTCGCGTCGGGTTGTCGAATTTCAGGCCGGACGAAAGCGATGTAGTGAAGGTGGTTGAGGCAGCATGCCCCAAGATGAGAAAATCATGTCCATGGAGATGCATGGGGTGCGGGAGTGGCGACAAATTCTGGATCACCCAGTAGGTCCAAACATTCTTCTCGTCGACAAAAACGAGATTCTCTCTCCGTGGGTACGAGGTATTACCGGTAAGTATGTAGTCAAGGACGGGCTTGTCCCACTGCACGTCAACAGCGCTACTGTTCACGAACCATGTAACCGGCGCTGTAAAGTTAAGCGATATATCCAGGTTATGGGCTGGATCATTGACTTGAGTAACCAGGTTGGTCGTGTCAGCCTTCCGAGTAACCACAGGCGTGAAGTCAGTTCGGTCTTGGCATGCAGCATCTGGAGGGATGGTGCCTGAATTGGTAGGAAGCGCATTTGGAGCCCCTTCATAGCGAAAGATAGCCGCTGGTCGAGGATTGACGGAAAGACCACAGAGGCCCGTCGGAGACAACGTAACATTAAACCAGTAGTTACCCACAGCTTGAGAGGCGTCGATCAGGACGTCGTACCGCTGACCCGTCCCGAGATATATATTGTTCAGAGTCATGGAGTTGACTGGGACAAGATCCGTTGCAATAACTGTCATGTCGTGGCCGACTAGCGACACTTGGTAGTTATGTTCAACAGAAGGATTGATGAGGCGAAGTCGGTGACGACGACCGGGCGTCAACTTGACCACGGAATACTGCCCTTGCGCAGGGTTAAGCGGGTTGATGTTAGTGCCGTTAAAAAGAACGTTGTCGCTTGGTGGGGGCCCAGCGGACTGAGTCTTGAGTACTATGTCATCTGCGGAATCATAGTAATAGTCTGTAATAGGGTAGGCTCCAAGGTCGATATCATAGTTGTTCGAAGAGGGACCGTCGATAACAATGGAGCCAACCACTCCATTGCCATACTGCGCTGAGAAGTGTGAGTGGTACCAAGTGGTGCCATACTGAGTCGCCTTCAGGTGGTATGTCCTGGTCTTGCCGGGGGCCAGCGCGCACTCTGTAACACCATTTACACCATCTTGAAGATTCGTTCCCAGCTGCCGGAGGCCGTGCCAGTGGATAGATGTGCTGTTGTTTTAATTAGGAATGATTGTGAATCTGTGCGAATCTCAAGTGACTTACCCGTTAGTAGGCATGCTGTTCTTCACATTGACGGTGATAGTGTCCCCCCACTTGGCAAATAGGGTTGGCCCAGGGAACTGGCCATTAATGAGCTGAACATAATTCTTGACCACACCATCGGGGCCCTTCCAGTTGCGGACTTCAGTGATCTCTAGGTTGTAAGACACGGAGCCGCCAGGTGGGGTTGATTGTTCATAATCGGTGGTTATGTCGAAGTTGGAAGTCCAACACCGACGATTGCTCGGTATATTGCAGCTGGCCTGCCGGACTTCGAGATCCTGAGAGGCGGGTGCTGCTAAAGCAATGCCAACAAGTAGCAAGCTGGACACGAGGCCCCTTATAGAAAGAATTGAATACATGGCCACGTTGAAAGAGGGTATCAAACCAGTATCAATGAAACCCAAATTTGGGTCGACACCCAAAACTCGGAAGACAAAATAAAGGCAATGGTTGAAGGTCTAAAGCTGATGTGATGATGAGAATGAATTTCAGGAAACATCATGGATTTATAGAAAAGATAGTCATACCGAAACAGGTCACAACCAGCATCCAAGCTACACTCCCGAGCTTCTCAGGGGCTCCCTCATCCACCAGGGCTCCGGAATGGATGCCCGAAGATTCCTGGCATGCACCTCGGTCATCACGGCACTGCCCTCTTCATGGATTCGTTCTCGATGATATCCATTTCTATCCATGATAATCGATAGTCAAAAGAAATTATGGTGTGGGAAGAAGCCAGCATTCCTCAAGATGGAAGGGAAGCGGAGATCATCAGCGCAATTCGTGCTCCATCTCGCATAGACGAGGATGGATGCATGCTCCAAGTATCAGAGGGTCACAACTAGCGCTGAATCAGTCGAATCTGACGTCCCATTGGCTAGAATACCTTGCGAGGGAGCCAATAGTTCGTGCGGCGTTACTGGCGACCGGGTGAAGTGTCGTATTACCAGCCACGGGACGACCGAAACCACTAGGATAGGGAAACAACGAAGGGATATGAAAGTAATTTAGATGCCGTCCATGGCTAGACGTTTCTTCAGACGATCCGCCTCATAACACTCCGAGCCATAGCCAGAGGTGTTGTGAGCACAGCCATTGTGTGAATTTCAAGAACTCCAAGGGGGGACCGGGCATATCTTGTGCTTCCAGAGTTGTGTTGGATCAAGTCTTGCATATCCCGAAGTGGAAAGCCCAGGGTGCAAAACCGAGAGCGGGAATACGCGACCAGGTTGAGAACATGTTGTATGCAGGCTGCAAGTGCTAGATTGTACGAGGGTACCAAATGACGCTGACAAGTTCGCACTTCTGCGCTGATAGACCGTGTTCTGTCACTTTTGACTGGGCAGAGCTCAACGGCAGAATACGGATTTTGCGTGGTTGCACCACATAGGTATTTTAGGCGGTACGCCATTGTGTGACGACCAACGCCTCAGCCTCAACCGAACCAGGGACAACTTTGGAAGCGTCCTTTGCGATCAACCCATATCGCTGCACGATGCATGCACGTAGTGCAGATTTTCTCCGGGCTGCCCGTTGCAGGGATTATTAAGTGGATATGGTGATTAGGCATGCCTCGACGAGTTTTCCGAGAAGCTTCCGATTATTGAGAATTTATCTGCTAGTCGACGCCACACGCGGGTTGTAAAACTAATTATAGTCCTTCTGCCGCGCATTACAAGTCCTCCTGTTCAGCCTCAAGCCTCACGGCTATCAGAAATCGCTTCGTTGCTTACATCCTAGAGGAAGACCAAGCGGTGAGATGTCCCGCGCTAACCCAGTACAAATGTCAGCGCTTACAGAAAGACAAGTTTTGTTTGCGACGATTGATATGTTCGGCATCAATATACGAAAGTTGTGAGATGGTCACTGGAGCAAATGCAAACAGGTGACCAGGTTCTTGGCAAAGTAGCTCGTAATGACTGTCACCAATAAACCTGCCCAGGCTCCAGAGATTAAGTCAGAATATTCTGGACGCATAGCGCATCGCGTTTGAGGAGAGCACTGTGAACCTGCATGTGGCTGCTGACCTCACCTACCGATTGGCGAAAGAGTTGGCGAGGTCACCGTATTCCTAACAGCGCTATTGATATGTTGCAGTTAGCGAGTTCAGCTCAGCTGACTAACTAGGGGACTACGTTGTGGATAGAGCAAAGATGCGGACAGTCGTTGATATGCTTCAAAGATCGATAGTAACGGAGCCACAATGCGGATAAGGTTTGAACAAGCTTTATTCAAGCTTCTTAGTATAACAGAGGGTTCACCACACTTGGATATGTATTCAATATGATCGCCAACCTACATGCCTTAATGTCACTGCGCCGTTAGTGTTCAGCGCATATTTTCCGAGATCGTACCGATGATCCATAACTAATATCAGGGTGGAACGACCAATGGATCCAGAGCATTTGTACTCAACCGCAATAAGCGACTGACAAGGGACGGCGTGGCACTAAACCACTTTGAGAGCTTATCTCAGGGGCCGACGCACGTACGCCTCTCATGCAAGCCATAAACCGCGAACATTGGTTACACCTAGACGAGAACATTGAGCTGGTTCAGTTAGTTCTAGAGGCAACCCAATCTAGTGCGGGCACGTGGTTCGAACCCACCTTAACGGCTGAAGAACCGCTGAACAATTCCAGGCTGAACCTGCTGCAACCTTTCATGGGGCGGGACGAAGCGAAATCAAGGGAGGTTGCCAATCCCACAGGAATGGTACACTAGCCAGTCTACAAAGTACGGCATTTGATGCTGACTACTAACCATCTGTCTGTTGTGGTCACAAACGTGCATGATTGGTTGACCGACGGATGGTCTAAACACCTGCGTCTGATGCCTGATTCACGTACTTATCAGAGATCTTCGAAGCAGCCTAATTCAGCTTATCATCGTAGTTGCTTCAGATATATTACAAGGCACCTTTCTAGAGGGAATGAAGTGATGGGATTGGAATGGAGCTGGGCATTGCAGAACACTGACTCTAGGCCGCGTTGCCCGCTGGTGGAGCAGTCTCCAGCTGCAAAGCACGCGACCGCCTAGGCATGCATGAGGCGCCAACCTGCTGACAGTATATTGGACAGAACAACACAAGACTACAAATTGTCTTCGCCCCTAATGCGTCATAACGAAGGAGTGGACCGCGTGCCGAAGGAATTATTGAATTCCTTATTGAAACTCTAAAAATACTTTTTCCACAACTCGACGATGACGGGGCAAATGTTTGAATCTAATGCACGTAAGCTAAATAGTTGCACAGAAGACCCTATTCTCATCGGTCTTGAGAGAATCCTGTCGGAAGGCGCTTCGATTCGTTCCGAAACATGCAACCCCAAGAGCCATTTGAGTCGATGGATTATGCACGGGTCACCAGAGTGCCCAGCTGCCCACTTGGGCTTAAGTATGATCGATAAGGAGACTATCAACCAGGTGGGAAAGGCTTTTGTCAAAGCCGTGGATTGGTAAATAAGATTCGATCGAGACGATGGTAAACAGCTGAAATACTACTTAGCTCACATCTAGGTCGAGGAACTGAAAACGAAAGCGTTGAAGCGGTGAGCGTTGTGGCCGCTTCCTTGGGATCAGAATTGATCCTTGAGGCGATTGAGCTGAAAAAGGCACTCGTACACCCGACATATTCACTTACTGCAATGGATGGATCATAATTTTTTTATAATTCTTCATGATTTAAAAATCAGGTACAACCGTGCCTACTCGAGGACAGTTTGCATGTCTTAAGCACTGTATAAATTATAGTCGATCTGTTTATTACCCCTTAACCGTGAGAAGGGAGCAGAAAGAGCTCCTATAGTTCTCTCGGTAATAAGTTAAACAATAATCTGAAGGATTCTTTCCCTTTGTCTTCCGAGTGGTTTCCGAGCCACCATAGTAATTCAAGGTTCTGAATTTCTCCTCAACTCATTTCCATATTTACAGTGTATCAACCAGAATTCGACAGAATCTCTTGAGCAGAAGATGTTTGCCCTCGAATACCTCTCATTAGAAACATTGTTGACTGATCTTTCGGTTCTGCTACTGGTTATTCAAGTCGAATTCGTCGTAAACCAAAACTACTTAGTTTTCCCGTGCCTTCTCGACTTCTCACTCCAAAGGCTTAGAAGTGGCTAGAAAATGATATGTTTCCTACCTAGATGTTGCCTGTTTGGTTTGATCATTGTCGCATAGTGGCTTGAGTCACAACTGTGTACATATTTGGAATGGGATTACTTCCAACGACCCCAGACCAGGCACACAGTCATCAAAGTGGGGTTAGTAAAACCAAGGCACTGTTTGTATTGAGAGGTAGATACCCTTGGTACTATGGATTAGTTAAAACCAGTCAGGAATGACGGTTTCGCTCGTATAAGGAGCTTATAATTATTTCCGTGAAAGAAACCTTGTTTCCTCTGTGTGTCGGAATGTAAGAAGAAAATATACTTTACAATAGTGAGAGTTCACTAGATCTACAGAGAGAAGATGGGGTGCCACTAGCACGTTTTCTAATCCAGAGTTATTCAATACTTCAAATGAGCTGGATTCTTGTGCGGTCAAGGAGTCGCCGCTCATGACAATATGATCCGCGAAGCGTCGTGCGCTAACGCATCGCTTGGTATGCCCCGGCCAAAATTATGGTTGCCACAATCTGTCAAGGTAACTCGAATTATTGGCTAGTTTATACTTGAAATCCAGCTGTCTAGAGGCGACCTCGTTCCTCTCAATGCGACGGCGACGGGGAACGAAATGGATTGAGGCTTGATGAATAGATATTTCAAGGTAAAGCTTGTTGAAAATATGTACGCACCAACCCGAATCAGGCATGCTATGCTCTGTTTTAGTATCTGTAACGCATGGGCTGTATATATTTCAGGCCGAGTTGTGTCGCCAAACGGGTGGCAGGATAGCTCACGTACAAGTTCGGGTGGATATTGGGCGGCTGAGTCTATCAAGGTCTGTGATGCTAGACTACCTGTGAAGCTAATGGCTGCCAGAAGTGGTACGAGTTCTCAGAAGTGAGCATGACAGCAGTGGTTCCGTCAGAATTCCTAGGTTGACGGCCAGGGTTGAAATTGGCACGGTGAGGGGTTGCTGCCAGGTCGGTGGAGCACATCGAGCGGCTTCTTGAGGCCTGAGTTATATAGCTTAGTCCTGACGAGCCATACCTTGTTTCAAATCATTTTTTACTTACTCTTAGGTATTATGGATTCAGTCTGGAGGGCTGGTCAGCACGTCGACTACATACTCAATCTTCAAAAAATGGATTGGGCTCCTTGAAGCCACACCTTGTAAAGTGCCGGTCATCACTGACGAGTATCTAAGTTACTCCATGGTGATCATGGACTTCAGAGTGCTGTGGGACATTAACGTATTGGTCGATTTTGACCGACACTCAGTGGCCCCATTCCAGATGGAGTGGCTTCAGTTGGAATGCGGATCGAGTCTGTGAGCCTCACAACCAGTCTTTTGTTGAGTGGCATGCTTGCACAGAAGCAGAATAGGCATGTGCCACAATTTAATATACAAGTAGATGAACATGTCGCATGGGTTAGATTCAATGCTAATTCTGCATTGTCCTCGTTCCACACCCATATTGCCTCCTGCGTCCTAATGAGGCGGGCTGGGGGTATCTTGCCTATGGCGTGCGGAGTACACACATCTCCGGCGAGCCATGATTGGCGCCGGCATTGGTACAGCGCCTTTGCCGCTATTCCGCTAGATAGGCCAGCCACGATGTCATCGAGCCAACCATCAACACGCTGTTCCTGCATATGTGCTCTGCAGATCATAGGGCTGAATCATTCCTGAATTTGACAACCGTAACAGCTGCTGGCTGGCCAGTGTTCATCTCCAACTCTTGGGCATTCTTTCTGCTTCGCAGTCGTGGACAAAGGAACCATACAACTAACCGAGTTTTCAGCGCGAATTGATGTCCATGCATCGAAAGACACAATGGCTTATAGAGTAGGCAGCTGGTACGTTGGGGGTAGACAGGATCAGGGGTTCGATCTTAGGTCATACGCATCGCCCCTAAGTTAGAGTTTGTGTCTCAATCCGAACCACCCTTGGATCACTATTAGTTAATTCAGGCGTCCCGAATGAAAAGACATGAATCGGAAGGGAGGAAGACCTGCGCCTACCAACACCAAGTTCACGTATTAAGTCTCGATGCAAAATCTAGAGGGACATTGTACGTTGCCTGATAAGAGGAAGCAGAATTCACGAGTTGCTCCTCAAGAATAATGGAGAGGAACTGCAAACCATCAACATGCTAGTCTCGGAGATGATGAACTTTGCTTGATGGATACCGACTCTACCATTTTGCGACGATCGTCATCCATAGACACTCGCCCTCAATAGATACCGTGCCGAGCGCCGTACCCTCTACCGTTCTGGCCCGTGATGACTTCGTTCTGTGGACCTTGGAAATGCAGCAGTGCTTGCAGTCGCTTGCTCAAGAAAAAAACAGTTCGAAAGAAGAGCCGCAATATTCGAGAAAGCATCCAATGACGCAACCCCTCGGCGCTTCGGCCTCCAAGGTGATCTATTGTCACTAACTGATGTAGGCTATACCGACATATGGACTACATCCAGAGTGGTACCAGACATCGGCCGTTGTAGGCTTGGCAAGGCCTGGTATGGGTATGCACATCATCGTTGTGGCATGGTTTAGCCATGGTTGCTCCCGGTTACTAGCCGCCCGAGAGCCTGGTTGGGCAATGTGGACACGAGCCGCGAGACGGTGTCGGGGAATCGGTGGGTGGACGAGATACATCGGAGGTTTTTCTACTGCAGAACTGATGGGGCACCCCAGCTTGTATGGATGGCCGGGGGATTCTGCTGACTGCCCAAGGTCGAACAAGGTGCCATTCCCGCTCTCGGATCCGCTCAGTTGGGCCAAGGGCGGGGTGCCTGGAGTGCCTCTGCCCTTCACCGCGGTTCCCACGATCTTGTGACCGTTGCGATTTTGCGTGCAGACAAGGTGCCAAGCGTACAAACGGGCCGACTGGAGTGCGGGGGAGGCTGGAAATTGGGTCGCATTTTCCCCGGGCTGGAGTCGAACGTCATCAAGTCAAAGTTGTTCTGTGGGTCTAGAGAAGCTATCAGAGAAGAACGCACCCCATGCCGACCAGACTCTGGCATGTTTGGCAGGTCTGGCAGGGGTTGGCCGTGCAGGCCATGCAAGCCATTCGTGGGGCCCCACAGCGACGGCTAAACGTCGGTTTCGGCGGAGAGCCCGACTTGGGGCCTTCGTCAGTGCCGATGTGGAGACCGGGGCCCCGATCATGACCGACACGACACAGCACTGCTGTCTTTTTTTTTCCGCACCTGCAGATGGTTGGTATTAGCGCTGCCGATGGATGTGCATTCATCGTGCGCCTCGTCGTCACGAGCCGTCCAGACCAGCTCCTAGCCTGGCAAGTGGCCCGCCAATTCTTCGGCAGATCCTATCTGGAAACTGATCCGGTCGCCGCTCGCGTGCGGCTTTGGGTCCTCCGCGTGGGGAACCATGGTATGGAACACCTATTCTCTCGTGCTCTCATCTAAGGCGGCCTTGATCGGCACCGACCCCAAGCTCGCGGAGGAAATAGTCTGATGGCCCAAATCATGGCGTGGTCCCTCAACCCTTGCAGCCCACCCATGTTTGCCATGTTTTCCCTCCCAAGAAGCCCGCACTCCATATTCTACCCCACACATCACGAACCCACGCCGGAGACGGCCTTCTCCAAGAAACTGGGGCGCGGTCTGATTTCGGTGCTTCTCTGTCTACTCATCAGAATGTATCCGTTTGAGGCTTTGCTTTGCACCGGAGTGACGATGTTGGGTTTTCAGTAGCGTCGGTAAGAATGGGTACAGGAAGATTTCTTGCCCGTAACAACCGGGGTTTCCTGGATTCTGAGCAAGCCTGCAGGGCCTCGGGTCGTTCAATCCGCCATGAGCGGGGTTCCCAGGTATCGATGCAGAGACATCATCATGGTCCTGGGCGAACTGGGAACCCCGAGATATTCGTTGAGTCGTACGTATATTTAAGCCCGCGGGCCCCCAGGTCGCTAAAGAAGTTCCCGCTCGTTAGCTGTGCGCCACGCTTCAATTCATCATGGCTTCCGCAAAGTCACTCCTCCTGTCTTCGCTTCTATTAGCCCCTGCTGTCAGTGCTCAGGCCTACGATTCAGGAAGCCGCAATGAAGATGCCTTCAGCTATGTCCAACCCTTGAATACTACTATTCTTGGCCAGTATGGACACTCGCCAGCCGTCTTCCCGTCCCGTATGTTATCGCCCAGCGTTCTTGCCTATAGACGACTAACAGACTATTAGCCAACGCCAATGGTGCTGGAGGATGGGAAGCCGCTCTCGCCAAGGCCAAGGCGTTTGTTGCCCAGCTCACTCTTGAGGAGAAATCCGACATGGTGACTGGTGCCCCGGGTCCCTGCGTTGGAAACATCTACCCCATTCCTCGCCTCAACTTCTCCGGCCTCTGTCTTCAGGACGGGCCTCTGTCTATTCGTGTTGCCGACTATGCAAGCGTTTTCGAGGCCGGTGTAACGGTAGCAAGTACGTGGGATAAGGACATCCTCTACAAGAGAGGATATGCCATGGGCCAGGAGTTCAAGGCCAAGGGAGCCCAGATTGCTCTCACGTGAGTCCAGCATATGTCCTGACAAGAGTGATGGGGAACGGCGAGCTAATGTCTTCCAGGCCCGTAGCTGGCCCACTTGGACGATCAGCCTACTCCGGAAGAAACTGGGAGGGTTTCTCCCCTGACCCTTACCTAACTGGTGTCGCCATGGAAGAAAGCATCAAGGGCCTCCAGGATGCTGGCGTTCAAGCCACTGCCAAGCACTTCATTGCAAATGAACAGGAGACGATGCGAAACCCTACTTTCAATGAGAATGGCACTCTCACAGACGTAACCTTCGAAGCCCTTTCTGCCAACATGGACGACAGAACCATGCATGAGCTTTACTTGTGGCCCTTTGCCAATGCCGTCAAGGCCAACGTCGCCAGCATGATGTGTGCGTACCAGAGAATCAACGGATCCTATGCCTGCCAGAACAGCAAGGCCCTAAATGGCCTGCTGAAGGAGGAACTTGGTTTCCAGGGATATGTCATGTCTGACTGGGGTGGCACCCACTCCGGTGTTGCCTCCATTGAGGCTGGACTGGACATGAATATGCCCGGTGGTCTTGGTAACTATGGTATGGTGCCCGAGGCCGGTTCTTACTTTGGCGGCAATGTTACTATTGCTGTGAACAACGGTACTGTCGATGTTGCACGTCTCGATGACATGATCGTCAGAATCATGACCCCTTACTACCATCTGGGTCAAGATGTTGACTTCCCCACTGTTGACCCGTCTACGGCCGACCTCAACACTTTCTCGAACCGGTCGACCTGGCTCCGAGAGTGGACCCTTACGGGTGAAGCCAGCCGCGACGTTCGCGGGGATCACGGAGCTCTGATCCGCAAGCACGCTTCTGAAGCGACTATTCTTCTGAAGAACGAGAAAAACGTTCTCCCACTGAAAGCGCCCAAGTCCATTGCCGTGTTTGGTAACGACGCCGGCGAGGACACTCAAGGCTTCCTGAACCAGGCTAACTTCGAGTATGGTACTCTCACTGCTGGCGGCGGTTCCGGTACAGGTCGCTTGACTTACCTTGTTACTCCTCTTGATGCTATCAAGGCTCGCGCTGCGCAGGATGGAGCCCTTGTCCAGCAGTGGCTTAACAATACTCTGATCGCCACCACAAACGTCACCAGCCTCTGGATTCCCAAGCTCCCTGAGGTGTGCCTTGTCTTCCTGAAGACCTGGGCTGAGGAGGCGGCCGACCGTGAGCACCTCTCGGTTGACTGGAATGGTGACGATGTAGTTGAGTCCGTTGCGAAGTACTGCAACAACACTGTCGTTGTCACTCACTCGTCTGGTATCAACACCCTCCCCTGGGCTGATCACCCCAACGTCACTGCTATCCTGGCTGCACACTTCCCTGGCCAGGAGTCTGGCAACTCCATTGTCGACGTCCTCTACGGTGATGTCAACCCCTCTGGTAGACTGCCCTACACCATCGCCTTGAACGGTACCGACTACAACGCGCCCCCTACCACTGCCATCAACACTACGGGAGTTGAGGATTGGCAGTCATGGTTTGACGAGAAGCTTGAGATCGACTACCGCTACTTCGATGCCCAGAACATATCGGTCCGCTACGAGTTCGGCTTCGGCCTGTCGTACAGCTCCTTCGAGCTTGCAGACGTTGCTGCTGAGTGTCTGGCCGAGGGACTCACCACCGCAGCGGAGGCTCAGCCTATCATGCCCGGCGGTAACCCAGCCCTCTGGGAGTCGATCTACAATGTCACCATCTCCGTTAGCAACACTGGCGAAGTCGCTGGCGCCACTGTACCTCAGTTATATGTTACCTTCCCTGACAGTGCCCCTGAGGGTACACCGCCCAAGCAGTTGAGAGGTTTCGAGAAGGTTTTCCTCGAAGCTGGCGAGACTCGGACTGTCGGCTTCGAACTCATGAGAAGAGACCTCAGCTACTGGGATGTTGTCTCGCAGCAGTGGTTGATCCCCACTGGAGAGTTCACTATTAGCGTCGGATTCAGCAGCAGAGACTTGAAGGCTGTAACCACCATTACCCCGGTCTCCGCATGAGCGATGGATAGACTCAATGAGTAATGATAATGACACTATAGCATAATTGACTTAATGTTACTACCCCAGTCTCGGGCCCAACCTAAAGATGCATGAAATGAACCATTTACTTGTTTGGCCAACGATCGTCGTTTACAATTAACCAAAAACGTACCAATAGGGGTAGTTACTTGCGAAGCAGGCGTCTTAGTTCAGTTTGAGCTCAATAATTGCTTACTCGAGTCAATCCTTTCAGTGTAATGAAAATCAAAGAGGGCTCTCTCCGTAAGCCAAGCGATAAGCAGTTTCTGCCTCGGGCCCCGCGGGGGCATCGGTAGCACAAAATCTGCAGCACGGTACTTCTGATCGGACAGAAATGGCCAAGAAATTACCGTTTTCTGCCTAATTGCCATGGATTTCTCGCTGTCTGCCTCCAATTGGGTCAAGTTCCAAGCGAATAAGGTTCAATTGAGATCCAATGCAACCCCCCACCCCGGATATCTACGACCACCGGAACGTGGAGCCGCGGTACTGAGGCTAAGCGAGATAACTACCTTGGAGAACCTGGGGAAGTTTGGGGGCGGTCTGGCGTAGCGTTTCTTTTATTTTGGCTTTCTTTTTGACTCTGGCTACTATCGTTAGTAATCTAACGATCTGTTAGAGGCTGGTGACCATTTCGTGGATTGAAAGCCTTGAACCCCATTGTCATTATGGCTAGCTGGAAGCATGCCTTCTCCCTCTCCAAGGCTGAAGTTAAGGAGGCAAAGCCACCAGGCACTGTTGTTCTCATAGGTTAGTTGCCCCGTGCTGTTTATCGAAGCTGCCCTTGGGTACATAAACTCACCGCTGCTAGAACATCACGGGAAAACGGACACTGAAGCCTCAGGAGATACCGACACGAGAGTCCGACACCCGATACCGTCCGCAGACCCTGCTGATCCTCTCAACTGGGCGCCATGGCGAAAGCATGCTGTGCTGGCTGTGGCAGCATTGTACGCATTCATCTCCAACTTCACCGCTGCCTGTATCGCTCCTGCACTAGAACTCTTTCCCGTGGTGTATCCGAATGAGCACAGAACATTCGCGGAGGTGTCCAGACTTATTGCTGTGAGTTATAACTCAACCTGCAGTGCCTAGTGAGCTCTCTGTAAGCTGTCTACTCACCACCGAAATTAGGTGCACGTTTTGTTCCAGGGTGCCGGAAATATATTATGGGTTCCGTTGTCGAACATTCTTGGCCGCCGACCTGTACTACTTGCCGCAACGCTTATGTTGACTCTGTGTACGCTCTGGTGTGCCGTGGCGCCAACGTATGACTCTTTGCTCGCAGCCCGTTTGTTCCAGGGACTTGGAAATGCTGCCGCCGAAACGGTTTCGCCGGCACTTATTGGGGACGTATACTTCATGGATGAGCGAGGAAGAGCAATGGTAAGTTCCAAAGAAGTTGCAACTTCGATCACATCTGATACCAACTCTCTCTTAGGCCGTATACACAATCTTTTTAGTGGCCGGATCACTCGTCGGTGGCCTGGCAGGTGGAAAGATAGCATTTACGCTGGGATGGACCTACATCTTCTGGATTTCGCTGGCGCTGTCGGCGCTGACCTTCCTCGGAACTCTCTTCTTCAATCCTGAAACACTATACCAAAGAGAATATATCTTCCCCAGGGACCATGAGGTTGACCAGAAGGGGACCAAGGACGGACGTGCTCACGTGGAAGGTACCGTGTTGGCACCCACCGAAACCTCGCCAACCACCTACCCGCCCTACACTTTCGTGAGATCGCTCGGCTTCATTAAGCCCCCAGGCGGTTGGGTTCACCAGTTCTTGCAACCGTGGCGCACACTGAAGCTGCCTGGAACTTGGGTAGTGATGTTTCACTATGCCGGACTCGTCGGCGGCATCGTCACCATATCAACCATTGGTCCACAGATCGTAGCCATGCCTCCCTATCTCTGGGGCGCCAACGCGGGCTTGATCAATATCGGAGCCCTTGTCGGCAACTTGCTGGGTGCCATCTATACCTACGTCCTGTCTGACTCGCGCCTGGCGAAGCAGGCTAAGCACGAGAGCCACGGTTTTGCGGAGCCTGAAAGTCGTCTCCCTACCATGCTACCAGCTCTCTTCATTGCTACTGCTGGGTTTTTCATTTTCGGATTCTGCGCCCAGAATCCTGGACCGGCGGTCTGGGTTGGTCTCCAATTTGGGTATGGAATGGTTGCATTTGGTCTCATGCAAGTTCCCTCGATCGGTTTCAACTACGTAAGTGTATTCCGGCTCACCTACTATGGGGTGAAAATGACATCTGACACACCATCTAGCTGATCGACTCCTATTCATACCTCGCCGCGGATTGCTTCGTAATGGTCACCATTCTGCGTGCTATTATTGCGTTCGCTTGGACATTCTTCGTTGCGGAATGGGTCGCTGCTAGAGGCGCAGCAGAGCCTTTCGGGATCTTCGGTATGCTGATGGCAATCTTCTCACTCTTGACTATACCCCTGTGGCTTTACGGGAAGCGTATGAGAATTGCGACTGCAGGATTGCTGGAGCATTAAGGTTGTCGCAAATGCAGCGTCATAGTGGAGAGGCGGAATTGGAGCTGGGTCCATATTATTGGATTTGGTTATCTTCATCATGCTATGGAGGCATATAACCTATCCTCTGCTCTCAGGATGTTCTCGAACTGCCATATGCTTGCTCTCAAAGCTAGCATGCCACACCAAAGTGCGCCGTACAATGCAGAAAGATGTCCCAAGGCTCCTAGCTCGCTGTGTTTCAAGTAATTATTGGTTTGTGAAATGCCGACGCATAGCTTCATGTCCGTTGGGGTACTGACAGCTTGCAATGGAATGCACCCCTTCCTGCTGCATACAAATGTCTTCTACTAGGTATAGAGGCGTCTAAAAAGAATTTGAGGTCCATAGAGAAAGGCTATTACGTTTTACGGCGACTGTGGGCACGTAGTTGGCCAAACCAGAAAGTCGCAAATAGGCAAGATTAACTCGATTTCCATTTATAAGTCTGAGATCACACCAAGTTATCGCGAATCATGTCTGTTTGTGACCTCGCCGCAACTCTTCAAAACCCCTTAAAAGTACAATAAAAGCATACATACATTTAAAAAAAATTTCTTTAACGCAAAAGCACGACGCAAGTATAGCTTTATTGATGGATTTGGCAGATTCTTAAGTTGGGATACAGTCCGGGTCTAACGTTGGCTTGGTAAGTAGGTTTGCCCGGCGAAAAAGAGGTTTGGTGATGACGACAATATATCCAACCTGGGTGATAATAATGCCTTCTGTAATTCCCCGCCCCAATGGAACAGCCGCAGAAAACCTCTTGGTCACAGGGGACAACTCGGTTTTGATGACCACGTTAGCTCCCTCAGCTGCAGTATATTTCTTTCCCGCTTCCAATTTACCGCACCCCGTGATGCTTCAGAACGTCGCGGGAGACGCTGCGGCGTTCGGCATTACCGAATATGCACCAGACATATTTGCTGTATGTAGTGGTACCTTGTCGCGCTGAGGCGACATTTTGAACGAAACCAGTGTTGCCTGGTCATTGGATTTGACTAACTTCGGGGTTCAAGACAACGGATCCGTCACATCGCCTGTCGATTCAACGAGGCTTGCCAACATCACGAACGCGGGGTTTCTCAATGGAGCTGCGGCCTTGGACCCAAGCCATGTGTTGAACGCTAACCGAGCCCCAGGAATCATCATTTCAGTGCATACACATAGTGGGAAATGCACGATTGTGTTTAATGAGATTACTAGACAGATGGAAGCAAACCCCACATATTGAGCATTTGCGGAATTGTCTTCGTGTCGTACACAAGCTAGGTCAGGTGCAATCGGAGATTCACAATATGGGATAGGTATTGTAAAGCCTGAATCTTGCTTCCATAGCTGTTAGACAGCTGGGAAGACAAGTATATGCAGTATCCCCCTTGGTAGATCCTCGGGACCCCATCCTGATACTTCAATCATAATCTTGCTTCAGGTCATACCGGATACTGATCATCGTCGTTTACAAGGGAGATGGAAGTAGGGATGGTTATGTGGGGTCCAAAATCATAATTAAATAGTAGTTGTTGAAACCAATTGTAATGATAAAGCCTGTGAGTAAAGGGAACCCTCTGCGAACCGTTTATAAATATTGCTTCTCATGTCTCCAAGCGAGCTTAAGTTTCAACTGTCATCCTTCATGCGTAATCGTCTTGCGCAATCTGGAGGAGGTAAAACGTATACATCTTACTTTTTCGGTTTGCATTTTCCTTTCTTGTCACAGCAACCAACTTCCGAGTGACGGACTTCGCAGTACTCGTAGTGAGTTTCGATGTAGTTTATACCATCATCGTCTTGAAGTTCAGTATTAGCCGGGTCATAATCTTGATTTACAGCCTCATTATGGATATACTGCTTACATATTTCATCACAATAGATGATGACAATCTCGTCAACCACCAGTCTTCGGCAGCATGCTGGCTTCTTGGGCTTTTTGCAGCTAGGTTCTGGGGTCGGTGTGTGCTTAGGCTTTTTCTTAGTGCTGGTCTTTTTCTTTGTAGTTTTAGTTTTCTTCTTAGTGCTGGTCTGGGAACTAAACACAGATGTGGTTACAGTCGAGAGTGTGCTGGTCGTGCTCGAGGTCAGGACGAAACTGGTTGAGGGAACCCTAATGCTCGTGCTGGGCTTAACTGTTCCGGTCAGAAGGTTGGTAGTTGTATAAGCAGTGGTGATCGAGGTCGAAGTAGTAGATGTGCTAGAGCTAGGTGCTGGCTCAGGGTTCAAAGTCGAGCCCGAAGTAGCGCTCGACGCATATGTGGCAGTTGTGCTAGTGGTAGAGCTCCACGCAGGCTCAGATGTAGATTCAACCGTGAATTCAGGTGAAGTAGAATCTGGATGTTCTATAATACTGCTTACGCTGGCCTCAGTAGATGATGCGGACCTCGTCAATGAGCTGAAGTCAGTGGTAGTTTCAGTGGTAGCAATGTCCTGTGCTACGGCCGACGCAGCAAGAAGGTTACAAATTAGACCCTTGAGATTCATATTGAACCCTCTATAGCATGGCCTACGTAGGGCTGCCACTTCGAGAGAAGATAGTTCAAAGAAAGTATTAAAATAACCAGGGACGAGTGACTGCAACATAGAAAGCTTGAGTCAGGCTAATTGATTAGAACCACAAGCATCAACAGGAGAAGTACGAACTTATATAGCAGAGAGTGTGAGAATCGAGAAATGAAGGGTGGAATTTCAGCTTTCGGTCTCGCGACTATCATGCAGTGTACTTCTGTAGGTCACTTTGTTTTCTCTGTTGCCAACCATCGGCTGGACCTGGATGGCACGGAATAACGGCAATGCCTCAACGGAGCATTATATTGAACTTAAAGAGCCAGCTGGCGCTGTCCTAGACATATCTGGGCGGTTGCGCAACTGAGTGGGTGGGCTGATTTGCTATGCATACACACACCAATAGAATATCTCCACCATTGTTCAAATGTGCACCTTTTGATAACATGTTACAGTGCCGAATTAGGAGTACGACCAGCTAAAGCATTCCGTCATACGCTAAGCTTGGCATTTAAATTGAGGACTATATGGCATGTCTACTTCCCCCTCCTTGTTGTACCTCGTAAACAAAATTGAAGAAGATTCTAGAACTGTTAGTTGCAACGTTGCGGGCGCGATCCTCCTTCAACTATTCAGCGATTCAGGTTTGGTCTTGGAAGTCGGACGGTGCAGTCCCGCTAAAGTTAATCACGGACGCGCTGAGCAAAGTTCTGGCACCGTCGAAGTACAGAAAGAGGATCCACGGTTGCGGCTGAACGTGCGTGATCCAGACATACAGTAACTAGGCTGGAATTTTGAAGGTGCAATGCGTTCCTAGTTGCCAAGACCATGCCAAGACCGCCAAAAGAAATATAATACTCAGCTTCTCCAAAGAAGTATTTCAAGAGACAGCCATTATCTTGACATATTCCCATCTTCTTCTGCTATTATGATCGATAGTGATAGTTTACATGAAAGCGGCTTACAAGACTTGGCAAATTATTATTCGCTTGCGATGCGTGGAGGTAAGCGAGTGTCACTCCACGTGGGCCTATCGTAAGACCTGGCGGTATAATAAAGTTCAGAATATTACTACGTAGTGCCTGTGGGAAGTGGTCGGTAGTCCGGTGACGATGAGTTTTGAGTTTCAGGTCGTGAAACATGGCCCTCTACATCCGCCCATGTGGCCGCCTCCTTTTTGCATGTGGTTTTCTAATTTGTACCACAATTGAGCTTCGAGGAGGAGGTTTCAGCCAGTAACTCTTCTAAAGTCTGTCCAGACAGGAATAAACATATAAAAAGAATAAGTATCTTCAAATAGGAGCAAGCTAGGTGAAAGAACGTAGCGTGTTTGATCACACAGGTAGTACACAAGGGGCTGTTTCAGTACAAAGACTGCCAAACTTAAGGGTACGTTGGTTGAGGACCTGACTTGAAGATAGACATAGAGGTTCCTACTTGGTGCCTGCTCCGCTGGGTTAATATTATTTCTACACAGATTAATAAGCGAGAATTCTGATAAGAGGGTAAGGAGGTATACAAATCGGTTACGTAACGCCGCTTGACACCAATAGAGGCTGACACAGGCTGACAAAGTCTGAAGAAGGATGGGCGAGGCTGATACGAAGAACCACTCAAGGCTGACCGGGCTGGGATCTAGACCTCGAAGTAGCCATAAGACATAGTCCTGATTTGGTCTGATTATATCACAATGTCTTATCGCAATGCCATACTATGCTCACCTGATCAATGCAAAACACGCGCCGGCCAAGACTGGAAAACATGACTTTGATACATACCAACGTGATCAAGAAACTGGTGTAACGCCTGAAGCTCAGCGTTCACCACGTGGTATATGGTACTTGGGGTGCACCGCTACGCTGGAGCGCATTTACACTGTACCTGGCACGTAGGTCGAGTGGGTCGTCGGTGGTGGCGGAATCCGTGACCGGACAGCATGTCGGAGATCCGTGCCAGCCAGGCAATAAATGGAGAAGCATTTCAATGATACCCAGTCCAAGGTATTAGAAGCGGTAGGCCTTGCAAACACGGCGTCCATCCGCCCAGTCTTCGTGAGATCAAGATCAGGAGACGCTCTTCAAGCCTACCTACTTATGTAGTCACATGGCAAGATGAAAGGGGGTCGCATAAAACCGATAAATCCAAAAATCTCAGAGATCACAGTCCCTACGCAACTTAAATGAGACAGATTTAATTGTGTTCGAAAGTGCTGATTTTTATGGCTTGCACGTATGATCAAAGTCTGGAATGCAGTGGTCTTCACACGGTCCAATCGAACAGAACATGATATCGGTATCAAAGCTCATCTGCTTGCAGACAAAAATTCGTAAGTCCCTTCCTCCTCGCCACGTTTGATAACCGCGGTAATCACAAACAGTTAAATCCTACTGCTTACAAAGATCCCATACTGTAATTCTCAAATAAATCATGCTGCGCAAAGTCGGTCAAATCTGGCTGAGCATACATCCTGTCAGTATCGCCTGCGTCAGAGTATGGGCCAAGATCTGGCCCACCGCTCATATAATTTCCAGAAAAATCTATGTTGGACAGGCCACGCTGGAATCCGTACCCTGGTACGAAGATGGGGGCGTGCTGCTCTGCGTTAGGGCCCGCCACAAGGTCACAAGGAGCACAAAGTTGGCCCAAGTCAGCACAAGGGCATTTCTGCTGCGACAGGATGTGGTCCTCGAGACCCACTGCCGGGGTGAAGTCCACATCATTCATGGCCTGACTAGTTGAGAACTCGTCTATCCCAAGCATGTCAGGGTGGATTTGCGACATGTCGTCGCCGAGGTCTTGCTGGAAGCCCCAGGTCTCAGCTGAGGTAGACTGAAGTGTGGTAAACACCGATGTGTCTTCGCTGAAGCCTGGAATCTGACAGAAACTTATGCTGGGCTCAAATGACGCCAAAGATGACGGCGTAAACGGTGTGTTGTGGTCTAGTTCTCCTTGAGGTACAACTTGACTGCTCGCCAACTCCGTTACATTGGAGTAACTACTTTGACTGTTGGAATTCAGGTTGCTGTGATTCTGGCTGCTTTGACTGTTTTGCTTCATTTCCAGGTGCCCATTAATAGTTTTGATGATCCACTTTTCGACTGTGTGATCGAATCTCTTCACGATGAGAGGCGGGGGAATCAACCCTTCAACCGCCAAATTCTGGCACAAATCTTGCACTAAGGCAGCTCGGCTCTTCTGCAGCCATAGCTCCAGGGGACGCGCCGTGGCACGCTCCATGTCCCTAGCAAAGTCACTTACGTACGGGCTGACCAGTCCGGAATCTTGATCTGGAAATATTATCTCGTAAATTTGCCGCCACTTGTGGTCGCGAGAATGGGTTCGATTAGAAAACTCATCGAGCCTAGCCAGATGTTTTGGGGTTAGGAACTCCGTTCGTGGCTTATCATCTCCTAAAAAATATGGAGTACAGTCATGAAACAAAGCATAGCTGGAGATGAGTGGCAGTAGACACTTGGTGCAGTAAATTGTCGTGTGCGCCTTCCTCAGATGCTTTGTTAGATAGGAGATGCTTCCGAAGCCGGCTGGTGGGCAAATAAGTGCGAACACACGAGGGTACCGTTTACGAAACGGGCAGTCGACATGAAACTCTCTCCTAGACCTTGACGCAGATGGCTGTGAATCAAGTTGCTCATGGTCACCATCATCGCCGTCCTCAGAGCCACTTGTTTGCTGACGACGTGATGAGCCTAGTGCGCGGGATCTTGTAGGAGCTGTACTGTAGGGATTGGCGGACCGATGGCTATGCTGACCATTCTGCCGATCTACTCTGCCCTGGCCGCTCACTCTCTGCGGAGTATGCGTTCGCCAATAATGGTCGTCGAGAATATCCATGATCTGTTGGTCGATATTATGTAGGAAATCGGCAATGAGATCGTTGCGCAGAGCGTCGCGCAGAGGATCGTCCTCCACTGATTCAAAACCAGGCGGAAAACGAAAGTCTGCATCGTGAGTCATTTGTTTCGCATCGTTGACATCTTCAAATGGAGCCGTATCATGAGCGGTTCTTCTGGAATCGCCCGCATTAACGGTGACGCTGGATATGATATCAGCAAGCTCAGATGCGAGATCTTCTTTGACATCCAGAGGCTCGTTGGCAAATAAAAGATGATCGGAATTCCAGGTGAATTCAAACTTCCATGGATATATTGGTGTTTGTCTTCCCTCAGACTGTACTTCAGAATGATCTTCCTCCGGGATTATAAGCTGAACCATCCTGTCTGAGTGTGGTCCTGCGTTTGTTCCTGCAACTCCATGTATACCAGACAGATCGCTGGCTATGCTGTGGGTCTGCGGAGGGCGAGTCGAAGTGGAAGCCTCTGTAGGCGTTGAGAACGAGTTTCCAATTGTAGTCTCGGACTGGATCACAGTCTCTGCGTATTGCGCACTGGGCCCCGTGTTTCGGAGAGGCAGTTCATACCGCGATTCGATGCCGGTTTGCAGCCCGGGAATATTCGACCGAGGCGGGTTGCCTCTGCCCACATCCATTTCCGGAAAGTCTCTATCCAAAGAGAGCTGATACGTATACTCTTCAGCCTGAAGAGTATCGCCGATATGTTGAAGCATAGGTCCATTTTCTAGATCATCTTCACGATTTTTCGCTTGACTATAGGCATCATTTACCTGAATAATAGTTCAAATGTTAGCATGATGTAACAAAGCCTTCCTTGTAAGACCTAGTGTGGCGGTGCATTGGGGATTCATACTCTAATGGAGAGCATTTGAGCCCCAGAACTTATGTCGTTCCCATCACTAGGAATTTGGCCTTCCATACTTGAGAGCCGTGAGTATTCTCGCGTGACGGGATTGACCTTGTTTCCCGTGGGCGGTGGTGGCAGAGTGTAGCAGAGTCCAAGTGATGAGATATATGTCAAACGCGGGTATGAAGTGTTACGGTACGTCTTTGAAAGACCAATTAGAGACTGCGCCTGGGTCAACTGATATGTAGTTATGAGCGAGATTCATATAGTAGAGGCCTCTGTGAAAAATCAGAAATCGGAACGATGGCTGCTTAACTTTTATATGCCTACTGTTTTCTAACAAGTAGTCTCGTCGTACAAATTCTGCTTCAATATCGAGCAAAAATATGTGGGTCCGCTGCAGGAACGAAATTATTCTTCGTTTCACGCAGCAAAAACCTTGGCGAAATGCATAAGCCAGGCAAGCCTCGCGCCCGGCATGAGTGAAGCCCAGATTTGATTGGCTGGGGGGTCGCGGAAGATCTGCCTGTTGGTTGTCACGATCCACGGACCAGCGGTCAGTCGTTGCTTTTTTGTTTCCCTGACCCAATAATCGCTGCAGGACAGAGATCTTACTATCCAGGGCCTCATTACTTCGGGGCAGTTCCGCAACTTGCAGTCTCGAAGAGATACTCTTAGTGGCTTACATCGTGACATTTCGACCGAAGCTCAAGTTAGCTGGGCAGGGCTCGTGAATCGCGGTGTGGAAGGAACCAACAGAACAGGGAGGGAGGGCTGGAAGCTCAGCTACTCAAACGGCATCGTTTCCTTTTCTTTGGAAACATACCCTGCTTGATTAGCCGTCTTTCAAAGTCGTATTTTCCGCTTAAAGATTTTATTTCGGTACCAATAATACCTAACGAACCAGATCTCAGTTGTTTACATGCGGTGCCAAGGTCAATGTAGCGAACAACAAACACCACAAACCATTTTCGGCAGAGTTGAGAACTACGATTCTACTTTACCGGTCTTCTTTGCCATACCCTTCGCGAGAAGGGTTATGAATTGTCTCACCTCGTTCGCTCCTAGCTGGAAATGTATATCCATCGCCTACGGCATTCAGCTGATTGTATCAGTATAAATTAGGCCTACCGATTTCGACATGGGAAAACCTACATAGTGCCACCATCCACTTTGACATACGAATAGACTATTTGAGCTGCTAATCGCGACAACTTCAATTTCCGCATTGAGCCCAGGTTCAATGTAGTTAAGCCCCAGCTTACCAGTAACACATCCCTAATGATATTTCATCCTGCGTTTCATACGGTTTTGTCCTCTACACCTTGACATACCAAACGAGCACCCCGAAGACTACCTGCATCCTCACGACCTCCTTCGTGCAGGTGCATCGGTCAGGGGCACGTAGCGCACACCGTACAGCTTCTTCTTGGTCACCTTCCCCTTGCGGTCCTTGTCCACGGTCCATATGAACTGGTCCCAGCCGTCCTTGCCGCCGACGGGGATGAACATGCGGCCGGGACTGCGCAGCTGGTCCACGAGCTCCTGGTGCAGCTCCAAGGCCGCGGCGCCGACGTGGATCGCGTCCCAGCCGCCCTCCTCCCCCTCGTCCCGGGACCCGCTGGTGGCCTTGCCGCCCACTCCGGGCAGCGCATCCCCCGGGCTCGGCTCCGACCAGCCCTTGCGCCCATCGCCGACGCGGAACCGTACGCGACCCGACTCCAGCAGGGCGCGGCCCTCGGGTGACTTGGCCATGTTGGCCTCGCCGAGGTCGCGCAGCTCGTCAATGTGCTCGATGCCGACGACGACACTGCCCTCGCCCGCGAGCTCGGCCATCACATGCGTCAGGTAGCCGCTGCCGCTGCCGATATCGAGCACGCGGCGGGGGCGACCGCGCACGCCCTCGACGTCCAGGCCCGCGACCTCGTCGTCGATCTTGGAGTCCTTGCGACCCGGCGCCACCTCGCGGCCTTCACCGTCCTTGATCGCCGAGGCGTCTCCCGTTCCGGCGACCGCGACCGCCGGCAGCACGTACTCCAGCAGGCTCTCGACGGCGTTGGCGTGCATGTGCGGGGCGCTGATGGTGGCGCCGTGGCCGATGGACTGGGGCGAGTCCTGGTAGGGTGCCGAGGGCGCGTAGTGGGCGCGATCGACCTTGAGGAAGGCGGCCTTGACGATGGGCGACGTCAGCAGGCCGTGGTCCCACATGTTTTCCACCAGGGCGGCGTTGGACGAGCCACTGCTGCGCCAGGCCATGGTTGCAATCCGTCCGGTGGAGTGATGGCGTGCGGGTAAAGAGACGGAAAGAAGAGTGGACCGGAGGAGTATATGGTCTAGGTAGGCACGAAGCCGGGAGATAGCGTGCGGTACTGGCACCTTGAGGGCTTCGTGGTGGGTGACCTGAGGGGAAGGATGTCCCGTGTTTAGGGTGAGGTGTGATGCCTAAGGTTTGCGAGTGCAGCCCACTCCAAGGAAACAGATGTGTTTGAGCCAAAGCCGCGTAGGTTTTGTGATTTACGAGCTCATATCTCAGACTTTGGTCACCTTTCCTAACCCATGCCCGGATTCTCATCCATGGGTTTGATGTGTGTAAGTGGATGCCCGTCACTTGGGCTAGAATGTGGTTCCCGCACGAGGTGCAAGCAGAGCTTCGAGGTAGTTGTAGATAGGGTACCTAGGCGATGGCTGTTGCCGTAGATCACAAAAGAAGACACTGGCTTTGAACTGCTCGTCTCATCGGCTGAGCTCGATGCGATTCTGACGTCTGTTGGGGGCAACTAGGAGGGGATCGACGTCAGATGGCTAAGTAAACGAGTGGAGTGCGGAGTGTGGGGTAGGCAGGGTGAGTAAGTAGGTTGAGGCATGGGATTAGTTACATGGGCACTAAATTAGTAGATTTTGTCTAGTTACCGTTTCCCCATTTGAGAACTCAGAATCGAGCCTGTGTGGTAGCAGTCAAGATGCCCCGGCTAACGTCGCTGTGTGCTAGCATGGGGCTCAGTGCCTACAGGGAAGACAAGGGCGGGCTGTGGCCGCGCGACTCGAGCAGTCTGGTTCACCCCTGAGAGGGACCTGAAAAGGGAGCTCTGCATTTCCCAGGCATTGTACCGAACGCGTTCAAAAGTTAAGAGTGGCAGCATCAGTGAAATGGACAGTAGAAAGGACCCAAGACTGTCCTAGCATCAAAAAGCTAGTATTTGGTATTCGTTACCAAACTCATATCCTAGGAGATATCCATAGCAGGAGACCCAAGCCAATACTCCTCCGTCCCAATCGAAAACCCCCTATACCAAAAGACACAATTATTGATGTGCAACGCCATAGCCATGCTTTACTCTGCAATATTCGATAGACCGCCTGGTCGGTACCGTACCCTTATTCTACCAGCCACATCATACAACCCTCACGGGCTGCTCGGTCTCCGTTACGACGAACCCTCGGTCTGGGCTCTGCAGAACCAACTGCTCATGTCGTCTAGCTTTGATGTAGTCGCTGACTGCGCGGATCAGGATGAACCAGCCGATGATCATCAAAATATAGGCCACCCATTCCGAGCTGGCAATATCGCTCAGGCTGTTTCCGTCGCTGGAGCCGCCACTGTTGTTTACGCTGTTGGGGTCGAAATCGTGGCTGTTCGGGTCCGGCGGCTGGGCATAGCCATCTTGGGCGTCGCCGCTCATGCCATCAGGGTTGGAGTTCGGCTTCATGTAGAATCCGAATTGAATCAAGGTGATACCCAGACCGGCGCGGGACCCATTCTTGGCAGCGTGCGAAGAGTGCAGGAGGTAGGTGAGCAAGAAACCGATAAACTGGAAGGACATGGAGATCATGCCGTTCCAGATGAAGCTAAAGATGGAACCGACGGGCATGCCGTCGATGTAAACCTCGTCAGGGCCGCCCAGGCCAGGAGCAAGGATGGTGGTTTCCCAGTAGGGAGGAGCGGAATCAGCAGCGGCTTGTTCGTATGTCTGGAAATGGTATTAGTGTCGCATCCTAGCAAGAAGGGTGACGCAGATGTACATACTGGTGGCTGTTCTTCAACGATCTTCTCGCCCCTCTCTGGCCTTGCCATCATGTTGGAGAAGACACCGTCCGACTGGATACCACCGCCATAAGTCCTCGATGAACTCTGCGCATTGCTCCCGGCGGGCTGCGATGGCCACTGGGTCGTGTGCCTCTCGGGAACTGCTGGACGATCTGGGGAGGCTGCGCCATGTGGCGTCGAGGCCGCCGATACGGGAAACGAAGTCTGGCGGACGAGGCGTTGTCTGTCGTCGGGCTCGTCGTCGCTCTCGTCGTCGTCATCAGCGTCGAATGCGTCGGCTAGCGCGGGATCGACATTCTGCCGTCTGCGCTCGAAGGACGAAGCGCGGGAGTGAAATGATGGTGGCGGCGAGTTGGGCGCTCGCTGCCGCAGGGACGGCGCGGTGGACGAGATCGGGGTGTTGATGTCGTCGTTGTCCTGGGTGTTGACCTGATTGAAAGCGGCGTCAGCATGCGACGGGACCTGGGGTGCCGACGATAACGGGCGGGGAGGCCTCCACGACGCAGGGCTGGGTCTTGCAACTTACCGGTTCGTAACGGCCGGGCATCTTGTCGGATGCTTGAGGGTATCTGGCTCAGAAGAAAAACTAAGGAGAAAATAGAAAAAATGCGGGCGATGCGGACTGGGGGACCTGTACAGCAGCAGAGGCCCAACCAGAGTGAGATGGGATAAAGTGAGTCGGTTGTCGCAGAAGGGCGTCGGCGAGTTAGCGTGGTGGTGGTGATAAGGCGTTGGGGTGGACGCGGGCCAGGCGAGTTTCCGCAGGCGATCGGCGTTAGGTTGGTTTGGAGGTACCTAGGTAGGGAGTGAACATGTAGATGAGACGAGACAGGAGGAAGAAAGTGGCAACGGCAGTGGATCTTCTGCAGCAGCAGCCGAGAACTCAAAGGGGCAGAAGGCAGAAGGCAGAAGACAGAGGCCAGAGGCGGAAGGGTGAAAGCGCAAGCAGCGTCGCCGTCGTCGCCACGGTGCTAAGGAGGGTGTCGAATGAGAAGGAAATGGGATGAAAACGGGCGCACCGCTCAGCCAGCCGGGGAGACTGTGCAATTGCAATCGGAGAGGCCAGCAGCGTGAATTCACAGGTTGAGGAGTTGCTCTCTCCAGATCAGCATCAGGCCAGGAGGTCAACAGTCGAGTTCCCCCATGAGCCACGAGCCATGAACGGCTGCTCAGGCACCTGAGCACCTGAGACGGGCGACAAGCCAACACGGACACAGGCCCCCGGAACGCCTGGAACCATCTCTCCCCACCTCCCTGTCTCGTGCCGCTTTGCCGCTAAAATGAGCGCCTTGGCCCCAAATTGCCAGAGAGCGCAGCCGACCACTGACGCTGGCTGGCGCTGGCTGAGACTGGCCCCAACCAGGGGTGACTGACTGCCCAGGTGGCTGCCGCTGGCTGGGTGCGGCCAGGCACTGCATTGCATAAGTCAAGTTTACATTGCACGGACCGTCAATCAATGGACAAATGCGGTGCACAGGGAACAACAGGAAGCCAGATCCAGAATTCCAGGGTCCCCCCCGGTTCCCGCTTTTTTCCCTTTCGGCCCCCGTGCCTTATCGGGCTTATCCGGAGACACGCCGCTGCGGTTTGCGACCAAGCTCAGTATCGGCATCATCAATTTTCTGGAGCTCGCTCGAGCCACACGGCTTCGCGACAGACGGCGAAGTAAGAAAGACCTACCAAGTACGGTCAAGACGCTCGTGCAGCTCGAGCACAATCGCTTCCTAGGGCCCCTGCCGCTTACAAGCAATGTCAAGTCCAGCAGGCAATTTCATTACAGCACCAAAATGTCCAAACCAGCAGTCGTGAGTCGTCGCTCGTCCACACCCACAGGCGCCGCCTACCTTGCTCACACCTCCTTGGCATGCAGAGCGCGCAGTTGCACATCCTCAAGGCCCTGAACCGGTGGCCCAAGGACTCCCTCCGGCCCGCCGCGCAGCTCCAGGATGTACTGAAGAAGCGGTTCGAAGGCGGCAGCGGCCCGTCCCTGTCCGAGGAGCAGAAGCTGAAGCAGGCGAATGCCCTCTACTCGCTACTGGACAACCGTTTCCGCAAGAGGGTATGTTCCGCCACCGAGGCCAAGACAAGTTCAACTTACACTTACACCACCACAGTATGCCATCACCGGCGAAGTGTCCATCCTCAAGCCCCGGAGCAACCCGACCTACTACACCGACCTGCTCACTGAGTTGCAAGACGCCCCGACCCGATCGTGGCTCCAGAGGTTTATACTGCGAGTAAAGGGCGTTGTTCGGTTGCAATAGCCACACCGAAGCTGCCTGGGAGGATCTGTACAATACTGTAGATAAAAGAAGCCAGTCGCCTGGCCCACTGTATTCCGATATGCAAACATACCCCATGTCACAACTACAACTACATTTAGGCGCCAAATCAGAGGACTCCAGAAACGCCGTCATGCTCAGTCCCTGCTCCTGCACCCAGGTCGAGGGTATATTTTCTAGACTCTATCCAGCCTCGCAGCATGCACAATGATATTCGTTACCTCACAAGTATCGCTCCTCTGGGTCCATCTTCTGGAACAGGTCTATCGTCTTCTCGTACATGGTGAAGACGATCCCGCCGCTGAGGATCAGTCTGCCTAGGCGCGGCACTGCTCCGCTCCAGAAAGTGAGAACTCCCTCCTGCTTGAAGATCATGGACGCGCATCGGAAGCTGTTGCCGTACACGCTCTTGGCCTCGATGCTCTGCATCCTCGTCTTGATCGTGTCGAGCGGCTGCGTCGCGTAGACCGTGATGGCGCCGGCCACGCCTCCTATGCCGAAGGTGCCGAGCGCCCCGAGTTTCTCGCCGGGCGCCGTGTAGCTCTCAGCCAACTGTTTCAAGCTGGTGTAGGAACCGAACCGAACCGCCGAGTTGGCGCTCTGCCGGGCGGCCGTCGGCACCAGGCCCTGGAAGAAGCCCTTGATTCCTCTCTCTTTATAGATGATAGGGATAGCGTCGAGGAAGCCCTTCATCCGGGGGTTGGCCCGCTTGCGGTCATCAATCAGGGACGTTTTGATGGACTCGGTGGGCGTCACGGCAATGAGCGACTCGGTCACACCGGCGAAGAAACCAGCAATCACGTTCCGCGGTCCGGTGACCTTGCCATTCTCGTCGGCGAGCAAGCGTTTGTACTGCTCAAAGGAGACGAACCCTGAATATCACGGCGGTCAGTCACGCGACCACCTTCTCTGGGCAGCACCTCGCCGGGGCCCAGCGCCTTCTCTGGCAAACGTACGTATAGCGGCCTTGGCCGAATTGCCAATGATCAACGTCGTGCAGCCGGCGTACCATTGCTTGCCAAATGAGGGCCAGGGGAGCTTCTGGCCCTCTGCTAGCTTGCGGTTGAGTTGCGACCTCGTCTTCGCGACTGCAGGGTTATTAGCTAGGTCCAAGGGGCCGTCTCAAGCCATGGAGGACTCTACATACACTCGGCCGGATACGTGATAGCTATAAGCGAATGTTCAGTGAGCAATTGGCACTGCGCGACCAGGGTTGTGTGTTGGACTCACAGATTTCCACAGCGCCTGCGAGGGCTCCGGCCAGGATGGACCGCGTGGTGCTGGGCTTCTTGGGCGCCACGGACGCGTCTTGTTGCGCCACGGCGGTCGCCATCGTGCCTGGGAACGCTCCGGTGAGAAGCTGGCGAGCGGGAGAGGAAGAGAAGCCGGGTTCGCGGCCTGGTGGTGCAGCTGGCGGGCTTGTAGGGTGGCTCACTCGCGAGATGGGTTGGCAATGATGACGGGGGTTCCGATGCCGCTACTCAAAATATTTTTGGACTCTGGCGGGGCATTTCCCCATAGCGCTGTCCCCCCAGCTATGTCATTCCCAGCTGTCAGCCTCGGAATTTGTCAACCGTGGCATGGGTTGGTCGGTCTTCCACAGGGCTACGCCTTGCACGAATCCCCATAGGAATTACTATAGTACCTGCAGTACCATAGTAAGCAATTCGACGGTGGTAGATGGAGTAGGTCGCCCACTGAACCACACATTGACGGTCCTGCAAGCATGAAGGCCCCGAATCGTACATTGACGGGTGTTCCGCCTTTGTGAGTTTCTATTGGCGCCGATCAGCGTCGCAGCCCTGGAGTGGGTTCACCTGCTACTGTAGAAACGGGCTCGAGGCGTGATCAACCGCTTCAGAACAGCAGGCCCCAATCAATGCGTCTCGTGACTATCCCCTTCACTACTCGAGGCTTCCTATGTATGACTTATTTCGGGAAACTCTTCGTACAAGTTAGCACTGGTTCTCGCGGCTGCCTACCCGCAACCCAGATTTGCCCCTAAGTACATGCCTAGAGCTGAGTTTAAGCACCTAAGTCAGGTAAGTGATTCGGGTTCCACGGGCAACACGGGCACCCCAACTTATTGCAGCCCAAAAGCGACCAAGCATTTCCAGCTTCCACCTGTGAGACACAGCCCCCGTGCGCTGACGCAGGCTTGTCTCTCTGCGATTGCGAATGCTATCTGCAAACGACTGACATCACTGCGCTGGGACAGGCAGTGAAATTCGGATTGACGTGGCCTCCGCTGAGCCTCCACCTCGGGTGCTCTTGACATCCCGCCGTCGTCTTGTCTAGTTAAGCTCGAGACCCGGGCCCCCGGGGACTCCCTGGACCCTTGAGACCGATCTTCCGCGGTCCTGCATAACTACCAAGATCCCGGAAATCAGGTTTCCACCGGGGCGCCTACGACGTTCAGACTTTCTGAGTGACGCCCAGTATCTGACTTCTTTCCCCGACGAAACCAAATCACGACGTATTTCTCTTGAGCCGACAAGTGCGTTTCGACGTCTCGGCAGCAGCGGTGGAAGCAGAGAGATGGGCGATTATGTCGAGGCTCGTTCGTTGGCTTCACTCAACGCTCTAGCCAGCAACCCGCCACAGTATCCTACCAATCCGGCCGAAAAGAAGCAGGAGCCCTTGACTCTTTACATCTCCAGGGTACCTGGCACGAGAGGTTAGCGGTCACTCCTTGCGCTCATTTCACGATGTTAACGTCTCCCAGATGTCATTCTGTCGACCTTCAAGCCCCAGGTCAAGAATGTTACGGCAGAGGACGTCGCGAGCTCATTGTACTACGTTCATCTCGACACGCCAGAAGATGAACAGCTCATGAACATATCCCCAGTCGACATTCCGTCTAGGCCGAGCCTGGAAAGCTCCAGGAGCGGGAACTTGATCAACCGAAAACCAGTACCAGGTGCCCCTCATGTGTCTGCCTTGGGTAAACTCGCAGAGCCTGCCGCATGGACACCCGGAACTCTCCCAGGAGCACCGGGAGCACCAAACGGCAAAGAGAATCACCCATTTGATGCTCCGCCGCCAGTGCCGCCTCATTCGTCTGGCTTATCTCACGCAACACCTGCGGCTTCATTGGCGCCTCAAAGGCCACCCCAACCTGCCATCCACAGAAAACCTATTGGCTCTAGACCTGTCACGGTTGATACTCAAGCCAAACCCCCTGAGCCGCCCCCACGCGAGTATCTGAATTTGCCCCCTAGGCCGGACGAGATCGATGACCACCCAGATTACGGAACACATCTCACAGCGGACCCCGGAGTGCTAAGACCAGGAAGCCGCTCACCATCCCCCTCGAAAAGGAAACCATTTACCCCGTTCTCCCTCACGCTCATCCGCCGTGATCGCAGCTCCGGGCAGCAATGGAATGTGGGAAAGATAGGTTCATTCCAGCTAGAACACCCAGAGCAGATCCCAGAGGACAAGTACGCACCCTCGCCATCAATCAACATCCACCTGGAGACACCAGGCTATTCCAAATTCCGTGGCATGCCGCCGCCGGGAGCCACGTTCGATATCAGGGATATTAGAGAGAGCCTCGACATGATGCGTCCGGGCAACTCAACTGCCCCCGGTGCAGCTCCATCGCCACCACAACGGGCTCGTGACAAGCCAGTGGATTCCACACCGCAGTCCCACTCATCTCCCATTTCCTCCCACGTCTTTGAGCGCCAAGTCAAGATGACCTACGCACCGTCGTGGACTTCTAACATTCGCAACGCATTTCGTCGGCCGCAATCTCGCGAAGGCGACATGTCCACATCTCCTCGACGTCCCGCTCACGACAGGTCTGGCAGCGTAGCCTCCATCGGTTCTTTCGGTGGCGATTTTGACGGCGGCGAGGCACCAGTACTTACCGTGCCCGGCCATGGACTCAAACCGCAAGGCTACATGTTCACGAGTCCGTGGGACGGGCGCTGTGAGTTCCGGACCGGCAACGGCGGGCGCAGTCTTCGATGCCGACACGTCCTGCCCACGCACGGCACCCAATGGAACCCACTTGCGGACGGTGGTGCGAATATGGAACTGGCCGGCCCCGAAGGCAGAGGACACCGCCGCAACGGCTCGAGGAGTCCCAAAGCCAAGGGCAACGATATCTCGGAGCTGCGGTTCAACCTTCCATCAGCGGAGCTGTTCAATACGAAACCCGCGGATTCCAACAGGCCTGCCGGCCTCCACGAGGCACGCGAGCGCACCAGGGATAAGATACTGAACGCCATGACGAATAAGTCAGAGGACGACGTCGACGACGACGAGTACGAGTATCTCGGGTTCGACCTCAGCCTCGGGCGGGAGAAGGCCGGCGGCGGCAACAGGGGCAAGCGGGCCAAAATGGGCAAGCTGATCATCTGGGAAGAGGGCCTCAAGATGCTGGATCTGGTGGTCGCAGCAAATATAGGTATATGGTGGGGTGTCTGGGAACGGAGGAGTGAATGAGTTGATCAATTGAAGAAATGAGCAAGTCGGTACTAAAACTTGACGGCAAGAGTTATGGTGTTGGATCACTGGGTGGGTAATCAAAGCCGCATGAGATTTGTTAGATTATTTAAACCATAGGGACCCGGTTTGCATTGGATACGATACCATTTGCCTGGAGTTGAATACGGAATAATTGTCAAAGATTATCACCTACACCCTAAGTTTCAAACGGGATGTTCAACCTACTTGAAACACAAAGCCCTCCTATGTAAAGCCGTTACTTGGGAACAGATTTATACCTGACTCCTCGGCGACCTTGACGGTGTATATATCCATAGGTCTGCTTAAAAAATAAAGGTACGAGAAATCAGCGCCCGTACGTTGTGGTATTTAATCACATGACTGGGGCCTGTATGCATTGTGCATAGCGGGGCGAACGAACTCTCGCAAGACTGCCATCGCCTCCGAGGTCTTCTCTTACCACACGGCAGCATCTCACCTGCGAATGACCTCTTCTTCTTCCTCCCCAAATATTGCAGCCATGGCATCCACAACTGACAGTACTTCCTGTGCCAGCAAGGGTAACTCCACCGATTGCCTCCTTCAGAGCTTGATCGACGTTGTCGGCGACCAAATCGCAGCCGAGAATGCAAAGACTGACTGGGACCCAATCACCTTCGCCTTCACCGTTCCTGTCGGCATCTTCGGGATCTGCGCCACGTTATTCGCGCTGATCACGGTTCTCCAGGGTATCTTCGCAGCCAGTCCCGGTCGTCGGAAGTCCAGCCGGCTTGTCATCGGCAGGTATGGTTCTTGGAGTAAACACGTTATCAAATTGTGGGAGTTGAGGACATACACTTACGCATTAACCCCAATCTTGCGAGCCGATAGGCTTTACACTATCTTGGAAAAGGCAGAGAAAGTGGGTGATAATGCTGGCAGCGTTTACGGAGACCGTGAGAAACATAAGCCATTCCGCTATGCCGTCACACAGCAGCTTCTTGCTCTGCAGAAGGCCGTTGGGACTCTTTTATCAAAACGTTTCTTTACAGGGCAGGACCGAACAAATGAAGATGGTTCAACCTCTGAGAGACCTTTGCGTCATTATTGGAAGCCATTTCAACAACTTAAGCGTCGAAGACGCAAAGGCTGGGCCGGATGGACATTTAAAGACGACACTCTAAATACCCCTGTCACCGAAGCTTCTTGGCTCCAATTTCTCTCCCTCTTTAACCTTGTGGACCTCGAACTAGAGGGACCTGACCTGGCCGTCACAGCTGCAGATTACCTTCCAGATGACTTGCGGGCTGTCCCTGCTTATGCGGACGTCCACACCATCATTGCATTGGCAGGAGTTGCAGGTGTCCGGAATCTCGAACCCGAGACAGGGTCATCCTACCCGATACTGATCGCCAAAGAGTTCCAGGTCGACTTCCGTCAGCACCCAATTCTAGGTACGGCAGCGGCATTCTCCAGCTCCAGCCTCTTCAGTTCACGACTGAGCCCATTGCATCGAGGCCTTATGGCCGCACTCAAACATGCCAATGGCCATATCGAAATTCAACCACGGAATACAGCATCAGAAACTCCAGGATCGCATACCACCGCTGCAGAATTTATTAGTGCTTTTGGATCCATAAGGTCCACTAACACCAATGACATCAAGGCTAGTCTCCACAGACATCACGACCAAATGAGCACTTGTGGTACGGACTCGCTCTGTAACTGTTCTCTTCTCTACGATAGTACACATACCGACAATATTCTGTGGCTATTTCTTGCAAAGACTCCAGAAGAGGCGCCTGCAGTCTTCCCGTCTCGTGGGATCCCTTTACACACGTATCTCACAACACTTTGTCTGCAAAGCAAGTTTTGGTCGGAAGACAGGGAATACCAGACTTTTTCTCGTCTCGTCTCTGGGAGAAATGCGCCAGTCTCCCAGAACGACAACAGGAACCACAATGACTCGTATCGTATGCCCAGGTACGGTGTCCATAAGCTAACAACGGAATTTCTTGGACCCGGCGTTGATGTTAGGGACGCCTTTTCCGCTTCCCTGGACTTTCTTCACGGTGATGATAGCTTGGAGAATATAATGGTCGCGTTGAATCGATCGAGTGTACAAAGAGTCTTGGCAATACTGGATGAAACTCTGAGAAACAATTCAGGCATCTCAGATTCCCTGCAAGGGTGCCAGAGATCCATGCTATGTCTAACGACATCTTTACTCTTGAAAATCGAGGATGATGAGGACAGGAAGCTTAAAGGTAATTGGCCGAGAGACTCAAGCCGATGGAATTCGTATTCCAGAAAAACGATATCACGTTCGATATTACGGAAGCGATTACATTTATTGGATGCCGTCAACAGTCTTTTGAGCCCTGCTAAGAATTCTATGGTTTTACTTGGTCGCAGAATAAAGAACGAATCGGGGGTAGCTGGTTTTGACGCGCAACCGGATATGAGTGAACGCTACGCATCCATACACCATCGGCAACAGGCCATTTTGTCATCCGTTGCTGCGGTCACAAGGCTTCGCGAAGTTTTCAATATTTGCAAGTCCGAAAGACATGAAACATGTGAGACTGACTTGGATGTGGTAGTCGACCTAATGATATGGAGGGCTATACTAATAGGTATGTTATTTTGCTCTGCGCCTGACAACACCACCATTCTTGAGTCAGGCGTTTGGCACCATACTATCCCGTTATTGTAGTTTCTTCAACATATGATTCTCTGCCCCAAGAAGAAACAATCATAGTCTTAGGACTATTTCTTATGATTAATAAATCCGAATTTTTAATATAGCAGGTATGTAGCGCCATCGGAATGCCGGCATGGGCTGGTTAACGAAATGTGGTAGCAGCACTATTTCACAACGGGGTCCAATGGATTTGGCTGATAATGGCCCGTGTCCCTGTTTATTGCGCGTAGTGCACTCCCCCTTGCTTCCTTTAAGTGCTAGCCACTTCCGTTTGGCCCCTGGGCGGGTGGCGCGTCAGAACTGAACAGCCACGCAACCTGGCGAAATTTTGTTCAAGAGAGGCAAATGACACTATATAAACGACCTGTTCACCTTGGTGATGGAAACCTGCTTTATCTTGACTACGAACGTCAAACTAGAATTTGCTTCAAGGGCATGGTGAATTTTGAACAGGTTGAGGAACGAGAGTGGCCGCCTTAGCTCAAACACCATGCATGAGTTATATAAGACATCCTGTTTGTGAAAATCTATTTGAGAAAATCTATTTGATTAAAAAACTGTGTAGAAATGTAGCTAGTGCGACGACGATCTTAAGCACGCTTGTCCCCTAGTCCTGAATTAACGATTTCGAACGAGTATATGTATATCTAACTTCCTCCCAGCGTGTGAATGAATGATTTGTTGTCTCTCCTGGGAAATTCTGACTAGAAGAGCGATACTACTGATCATTTCTCCGCTTGAGTGTGACGGCCTTAACGGTCTTCTTCTTGTTATTTTCCGCACGCAACACGTACTCCACGCCAGCCTTACGATACTAGCTCAACGCTCTAACCATGTCGAATGGTTTGCTGCCGTCTTGCATAAGTCCCATATATTTTGAACAAGCTGTCTGAAAAGGAACTCTGCTTAGCTTCTCGTATGGGCAAGTTAGGTTGCAATCAGGAACTTACATGACGGATTTAGCACCACGTATACCAATCTCCTAGTTGACATATCTGACGCCTATGCGTTTCGTTGAAAAGTCGAGCCATACCATAATACCGCATTGCATGAACTCGAGTCACTACAAGCCCACTAGGCCGAGGATAGATGGTCTGCTGAAGTATTTGCTAGGTTAGCATTGCAAGATTTTACCTACCACTGTGGTTACGCGTGCATTACGGCACATGGCATTTGGGTTCTCAAAAGATTGTTGCTCAGCCCAAGCTTGTCTAATTATTGCGGTGTGGTTGAGGCAACAATAGGGATAACAGACATCGGTATGGAGACCATTTTCAGCCGTCAGCGGGTTGGAACTCGAGAGAACCAATCAAAGTGAGTGCTCGGAGCCGACATCGGGCCAGATTCGGGGAAACCAGGAAGGTTCTCGGAAGGCATCATGAGCTGACGCCGTCTGACTCTGTTCCAACATCGGTCGTGTTATGCAAACATCAACCTTTAAAAACTTCGAAGACCTTGAACTCCAATAATTTGATTGTTCCACCTCATCCCTTGATCTTTCACTATTTGGCAAGGCCGGTCATCGTTGTCATGCCAGCCAACAGTAGCGTGGACCGAGCTCTGGTGGAGCTAGAAAAGAGCAAGGTGACAACACTTGGCTTGGTGGTTGGCAAGCACGTCGGATTCGAAACTGGGGCATATATCCCCAGAGCAGGTACGCCACCTGTTATAGGATTTCTTGAACATCTCTAATGTCCCCCACAGACGCACAGTCTCCACCAGAGCTCACTTTTGATGCCGCATCGCCGGATAAGACTTATTTAGCGGTTGGACTAGACATCGATGCTCCGTTCATCTCTTTCAATGTGCTCGGTCCGATTCTGCACTGGATCCAGCCGGGCTTTAAGACATCAGGAGCTTCCTCCGGAAAGCTAGAGCCGACTGAGCCTTTCATTGCCAATTACATAGGGCCAGCTCCGCCACCCCTCGCCCAGCCACATCGTTACATCTTCTTCTTGTATGAACAGCCAGCTACCTTTGACGGCAAGAAGTATGCGCCTCCTGATGGACAGCCACTAGCCACCACGAAGAGGATGCGCTACAGTTTGGACGACTTCGAAAAGGCAGCTGGGTTGGGAGAGATACTTGCTCTCAATTATTTCAAGAGTAATTGAATGATGTAAAGTGACAACCTCCATCCGCCTTCCAAGATTATTATGCTGCAGTCGGCAGGAATTGACACTACACTCGAGCGAACCGCGGGGGACTTATCCCCTCAAGTCACTGTCCATATCAATACTTAGAACCCTTGCACGGTAGACAATAATACGATACTGCGAGCATGCCGACTTCAAAAAATAATCGTATGTTCAATTCATAGAACACATACGTAATCACGGAAGACCGTAATGATGTTTCTCCCTGGACAGATCACAATTTATATCGTAGCAAACTTCCTCGTTACCGATTGCTCACGAAGTAGTACGCGGTCCCGCGCAAGGTGCAGCCGTTGTTCCAAGCCACATGCACTGTAAGCACCGGCGCAAATGTACCACTGCAGGCATCAGATCTGTAACGTTGCCGAGGATACGGTTTTTATTCTATAGTGCTTCTAATCTGCCATGGGTACATATGCAACATTTTAACCCTCCTTTACGTCAGAAGGAAACGAGCTACTATTAATCTCATTATTCGTTAGACCTGTCTAGACATATCAGCTACATAAATGTGTTTTGCCAACCCGAAATGTAGAGTCTGCAAAGTAGGATAGATCCGCCAAACACGAAGCAATTCAGTCAAAGCATATCCTCTTAAAGGGCCGTCCTGATGCAGGTACAAGAATAATGCATGATTTTCATGTATTACTTTAATCGCATATATTTCTTGTAGCCATTACTCCACCCGTGGAGAGTCTGTCATGTGTCACTGCGGGGAATTATTGGTTCCTGGCGCATCTAGAAAAGGCAAAGAGGGAAGTCCACCAAGAGGCACAAGGTGGAAATTGAGTGTCATGAAATCTCCAATACCTATATCTTCCATTTTGCCCAATAAGTCTCTGAAGTCAGCAGCGAACCGTCTGACAATCCAATGTCCAACAGCATCCTTGTCCCGCTGTTTTCATCTCATGAAAGGCAGATAGTCAAAGTTTGTACCTGTCTGGTCTGCAACTGCATTTCATCCAATCATAACCTGATATAATAATATGAATTGATCTTAAACAGGCTGAGTCAAGTGTTGCTCCATCAACGTTGGCCCTTGTTGAAGGACCCTGAACTGAAGGGACCAGAACAAAGTTGCTGAGTTGAATTCGTCAAAGTCGTTTAAGTACAATCGCACTTGTATGGGCCAAACCCATTCTGCTGGCACGCGTTATCCTCATCTTTCCGTTTTTGAACCGAGAGAAAGCAGGGAGGACAGGTGCAACTGGATTGGCCTCCTTGGCCACCTTGATTGTTGCGGCCGTGAATTATGACAAGTGGTAACGGTATGAACAAGGGGAAGAATAAAAACCCTTCCACCTGGCTTGCTAGCAAGCTAGCTACCGTGATACTGAGACTGAGCTTCATGAGAACGAGGGGGGAAATTTGGCTCAATTGGAGAGATGATGGGGAGATGATTCGGGTGGTTCTTTGAACGAAGGTCGGGGGAGAGTAATCTGCCCAAGCCTGAGTGATTATAGATACTTATACGAATCCATGGCCGCCCAAAAGCACACTTACTCGTCTCAGACTCGGCGGTGGCCTGGGTGTGCATTATGGATCACCCTTCCTCTGGATCCCCAGCGTCTAGGAATGGCTGAAAGTCAATCAACGTCAGATATCTGACTCCTTGCACTGATTTTGATTCTCCCTTACATGCGTATGGTTTAAGACCTGCTTGGCGTAAGACGTAACGCGGCATGGGCCTTAGACAACTGTTTTTGAGCAGGTGACCCAACGGAGCAGACTGAACCCAATTATGGATGTAACTATGATGAGACTACATTGTCCCGTCTCCGTGCCGCTGTCGTGCCGTGCTCTAGCTGCAGAAGAAGAAGAAGTATCATGGAAGATCGTGAGGTGGGTCTCACCATATGAACGGCTCCGAATTGCAGTTTGTGTTTTAGTCAACCGATTGACAGTTGGCGGCCCGCAACTCTAAAAGCTGGCCCAGCGCCCCAATATGCAGTCCCAGCCACACCAGCCCGTCGGTTTTGGACAAAATTCCCAATAAGCAATCGGATGCCCAAGAAGTCTCAGACATCGACCGAACCCCGTGACAAGCGGTCAAAAAAAGTGGATAACAGCGGCCCGCAACTCTAAAAATCGGCTACGAAATAGCAATAGTAAGTCTTAGACACGACCCGAATGTAGTCGCCGAATGTCTTAAGCCGAGCTTTCAAGGCAGCAACCCATACTTTCCGCAACCAACATTTGAGTGCGTTGGAATGTCTCGGTCACTTCCTGGGAACTGAGAGAATGGCACCTATAACATGACGAAAAATGCGGTTCGCGCTGGGCAAGTAGGAACGAGCCTGCATTGATGGTGGATTATATAAAGCCGGACTGAGCCAACCACTCTCACATCCGTCTCATCCAAACGACAAGATCAGAATCCTGAAATCCGGCAGTTCACCATGGTTTTCCTTCGAGAGTACTTCGGCTGGGCGGTCCTTGCTGCCATCCTGACGCCAGCTGCCGCGTACGCATGTGACAAGGACCAGGACCATAAAGTCACACGCACAGTGTAGGCAATCCCCTTGCAAATTCACTTCTCCTTATTTCTAATCACGTCGGCCAGAAATGGAAAGGTGTACAGACTTTACTGCAGGAGCGCCATTGTAGCCGGACAAAACCCAATAAAGTTCACCAGAAATGTTGGTTCTACCGAGGAGTGTCTTGATTCCTGTTCCCAGACCAGTGGTTGTTTCACTGCTGTCTATAATGCCGATAGGAGCATTTGCTACCTGAGGGAGAAACACACGTCCATCACTGAAAAGAGCTTGACCGGGAGTATCTTCGGTTGGGTATACGAAAGCAACGCCCCCGCTACACCGCCTGCTGGTGCAGGTGGTGGGCAACAGAGCAGTGGTGGTCAATCAGGAAGTACTGGCACTGGCACCCAGCAGCCAATTCAAGGTGGCGGCTCTGGTGGTTCTGGTGGTTCTGGTGGTTCTGGTGGTTCTGGTGGAGGTACTGGTGGTACTGGTGGTACTGGTGGCCAGGGTGGCACGCAGAATCCGGCACAAGGTGGCGGTTCTGGTAATTTGCCATCCTATGATTGCACTAATTCGAAGGATCACGGTCAGCTCTACTCTGCGTACGGTCAACTAACATACCTTAACTATCACAAGGCTGACTTCCTGCAGAAACGGAAGAACGTTCGAGCTGCTTTGCAACCACGGGAATCCCGACCTGGGATTCAAGACTATTCCAAATGTGGCATCCTTGGCAGCCTGTGTCGATCTGTGTGCTCAAGAGCCCAAGTGCGGAAGCGCAGAATTTCACATCGGCAGCAACAATTGCGAGCTTGAAAACGACTCAAAATCAACTGCCAACTCTGGTTATCACCTATGGGTACCAAAGCCGTGCCCGAACACGCCTCGAGCGAAGGCGGCAGTTGCTACACCACAGATTGCTACAGACTTGACGTGCTCAGCCAGTAAGTTGGACCTTCTCGCATCAAAAGAAGGCAACTGACATAGTTCATTTAGATGACGGCAAGATCTACGAAGGAAGTGACGGTACTTGGTACTATATTCAATGTTGTTCGGACTCTGGCGGGGCCACAGTCAAAGCGGTCCTGCAAGCCAACAGCCACAAAGACTGTGTGGAAGCTTGTGTGGCCAATCCGGATTGTAAATCGTAAGGATATGACCACACTGCTGGTATTGAACATTACTAATGTAAATAGTGTGGCGTACGAGCCCAGCACATCTGGGCAGAATTGTAAGCTCTATGGGCAGGGCAATTACTCAACAGCACATGTCCCAGGCGTTCACTACCTTTACGCCACTGATCCACCAACTCAACAGCCTTCTATATTCGATTCAAAAAGGTGTTCGACTGAATGCCCGGCGGCAGATGGCCAGATTTTTCTGAGCCCGACCGGTGAGGTGAGCTGGCTCTGACACAAGTGATCTATTGATCAAGCTTTGGCTGATGTTGATATCCTCTAGAACTTTGTGATGTCCTGCAAGAAACGACATGGAACAACATACCTTAAGCGCGAGCGTCAACACTCATTTGCGGCTTGTATGAGTGCTTGTGGGGCCTTGCCGGCCTGCCTCAGTGTCGATTATGAACACAAGACACAGAACTGTTATTTCAGCACCAACTCCAAGCACCCAACTATCCAGGCTGTGGCCTTTGCAAGTGCCCACTCTGCAGGTTGCGCAGGTGCTTGTTCAAGCTGCAATGGCTCCAATTGTGACACTCTCAACCAACCGCCCCTCTCGCCCGACACATATCTCTGCCCGGACCACCAAGGCAACTGGCTCACTGCCAACAGCGTTGACTTCCGGATTGCGTGCCAGCACTGTATCAACACCAACCACGGGTCTCTTGTGGCAGCGTCTGATCACGCTGAATGCGTGAGGCTGTGCGCTGACCAGAACAACTGTGATGGCGCAGAATGGAAGAACGGTCAATGCCGGCATCACCCAGGCAGCAACAGTGACGGTAGTCGCGTCACTGTTACTCAAGGAGGTGCCTGCAATTCTTTCCTTAAGATGCAGGGCACCTTGGCCCAGAATATCATCCCTTAAATTGCATTAGGGCTGTCCTACTCTGAGCGTCAGGAAAGCCAATCTAGACGATGCTACTTGTGGCTTCTCCTATGGGATTGATTTTGTGTTGGACAAGAAGATGAAGAGGGACTTACAGCAGAACCGTTAGTTGATATTTTCAAGGTAGATGAAGAAAATTATGGCACTCACTTCTTTCGCGGATTGATTGCTTTTGCTTGTACAGCATGAAATGGAACGCTTCCGTACTAAAATAGCACAGTTCCTTCCTTGGGATGCGTGAGCCATTTTAATGCCTTGCAGACCTCATTGCACCTCCTTGGATACGGGGTTGTCATATATGTGTAAGATATATTTCAAAGGTTCGCTACTTTAAGTCGGAGCATGCCTTCCTGAACACATGATAAAATGAGACGGCCACTCTCTCTATCCCACATAGTCTGCTGTATCAACACCCTTCCGTCTGCACCCCAGGAGGTCTTTCTTTCGCAGACCATCCAGTTGTTGACCTTGACCGTTGGTGAATGGAACCACACGGAGTGGTTTACTGTGGTCTCTATCACAATACTCCTCCATATTCCCAGTGGATGGTTTCCAGGGCTCGCGAGATTAGCTGTGTATATCAACCACGCGTCGGACATCCACGCCAGTGCCGTTAGATGCGTGGCATGATCGTCTGTGGACAACAGCGGGATACGGACAAAGCTACGGCGTCGAAATTCAGTTGGATTTCTGATTGCCTCTCCCGGAAGATGACGCCACTCCAACGGATCTTGAGGACTTTCCTCGGCTGACTTTTGTGGTACGCCCATCTCGGCGAACATAGCAAACCCCGACCCCAAACTCTCGTCCTCAGGGGATACTTGAGTTGCCCATTGAGGCATCGCCATATCGTACTCCAGTACGCGGACGCCATTTGCAGCTGACTTGGCCGTTCCGCTGTCTTCGGACCGCTGAAAGCCGATTGTGGCATGAAACAGAAGAACGTTCCCCTGCGTGGCACGCACAAGACGCGTGGCCAGCGTACGACCGTCTAGTATGCGCTCAATACGGTACATGATTCTCTCGCGCGGATTTCCGGGTTTGACGAATACAGACTGTAGACTATGTACCTGAAACGTGGCAGGCACGGTTTTCTTGGCTGCGGCAACAGAATGCCCTACCAGAAAGCCTCCGAAAATTGAACGGACGCCCTCGCCGAGGTCCCATACAGGACTGGTAACGGCATGAGTTCGAGGCTTACTGGAAATTTGCATGATATATATAAAAGGAACTCACTTCTCATTCTGGAAGATATCTAGTGCTGATTCTCCCAGCGGCACAACCGCTATGAGTGGCTCGATTGGGGGCCAAGATGACATGGTGAGGGGACCGAGTCAATTGATCCTGTATCGCGAAAACTGTCGTCTACAGTGACATTGAGCACCCGAACTCTGCAGTTGAAGGTGAGTGGTGAGCACTTACTTATTCCCGGGTAGCGGACTTGTACATAGTTGCACATCCAAGCCGGCTCAACCTCGGCCCGCCTCTTGTGCCAGCTGCCAAGAGATAGTCATATACCAAATCATCACACGCCGGATTCGGATTATCAGCGTCAAGTTGCGTCGCGGCATGGCACCTAAGAAGCAGACCTGAGTCTTCGTAGGCGGGAAGAGAAACGATAGCTTAACCTGTGCTGGAGGAGCTTTAGATGAGCAACGCTATGAAATGTCTGCTTTCTGTGCATCAACGACCGACCATTACGGTTCTGACCATTTCACTCTTTTCACCATTCTTTGTTCTATGATCACTGCCTAACGTTACTAGTCGACTCTTGGTTAAAAAGAATACGGGAAGTGTTCGTTCGTTAACTTTGCTAGATAGCGATAGTCTCTAGCTAGTCAGTACAGTCATGCGTTGGTTCTTCCTGAAAGTATATATGTACATATGATACAAGGAACAGTTTCGCGGTAAGGATAAACCTGTTGGCGATAATTTGGATGAGTCAGTCGCAAAAGTTCTCCGGTACGCAAATATCTGCCTTCAGTAGCGGCATACAAGATAAATTACCTGCATTAGTTACATGTCCTCAAAGAAGCCATTCTCCGACGAGTACGGACGTATCATATTAGACTCTGCCAGCCAGGAGTCCCATTTATCCCAGTCTATCCCGCTTGTAGCACTATCCCCCACACCGTCTTGATCCTGCAAGAAATCCCAACCCATGTCCCCCAAATCATTTGCTATGCCGAATTCAGCGTCGCCAGACACTTGTTTGGACCAAAAGGCATCTCCTTCAGGAGAACCAGAGCTGTTAGGTAGACCGCTGGGTCGAGACCAATTTGGTAATTGTGTAGCCGACTGCTGAGCTTGTGTTAGTTCAAGGCGTCGCCCAACTCAATAGCGCTGACGCCCGGTCGTAGCTTTCTGTTGGGGGCTCTTACCTGGCTTCCGTCTACTGGGTCTTCTTGTTGGTAGCTCTTGGAATGTACTGCCTGTTTCTTGGTCTGGACAATCTTGCGTTGTTGGCGTAGCTGGACGATGAATGTGGGTAGCGGAGAAGGACTGGTACCACTTTTCTGCAATACCGCTTCCCGACTGGCGTATGCCTTTAGACAAAGGCTGCCCACGGCTATGTGAATCGGCTTTCTCGTGTCTAGAATCATATGCGGATTATTCTCATATGTGCTGGCCACAAGATTCCAAGCCTTTTCGGTGCCCGCTGTGTCTGGGCTGGCGCGGAGAGTATCAAGTACGTGAATGACAGCGTGCCATTGTTGGAAATATGGGGCATACCATGCAAATTGTTTTAGCATTGGGTTGGACTGTAACATGCTGTGTTGCTCTAGAATCTTGATACTAAGATCCCAGACGGCCTGTCGCTCAATAACCGGCGTCTGATCCACGTTTGCCCATCTTCGTGGGTGGTGTATAAGGAAGCGAATGAAGTTCATGGCACTACGGGCCAGGAGCATCGTCATGAGATGCAAAGGCTGTGAGGGGTCACAGTAGCGTAAATATCTTGTCTCTAGGAGCTCTTCGATCTTTGCAAAAGACTGGTCGGTATTTTCCGCATCGCTCCCAGTCGCACAAAGCTCACTGGGCGTGAGCCCTGCTCGGCGCAAGTGATCACCACGGCCGATAGCAAGCTTGAAGAGTTCGCATTTCACAGAAATGAAAACGGCGTCGGTCAGTTTGTCTGGCCCATTCTCGAGTGAAGGCATCCCTGGCCTAAGCTGGTCATCGTTCGCATTCGTCGGCCATTTTGAGCTCTCTGCATCAACACGAATATCTCGAAATTTGTCAACGCCACAAAGCTCGGCGGTACGGAAGTCATGCGTCTTGAGCAACCACCATATGCGTCGTCGTATCTCGGTCTCAAACGGAGGCAGACCTAAGAGCGCTCCGTCGCGGTCGAGTCCCATACCCTGCGCAATGCGGACTGCCACACCTGTCAAAGACCAAACAGCACGTGGCTCATGTGTATCTCGCACCGAGTGCAGATGGAGGACCAATGCTTGAAGAACAACAAGGCTGGTGGTTCCCATAAACCGCGTTCGGGATAATGCAACTTTGGTGCAGGATACGTATCGTGAGAGGAGGGATTTGCGGGCCTCGCCAAGTCTTTGATTGCATTCGTGATCACTTAGTGACATGATCGCTGTGCTATAGATGGCAAACATGAGTGCTTCGAAATCTCGTGGTATTGCTCCGATGTTTCTTGCCGCCATTTCCATTGCTGGATGAATTGTCGGCACATGTAGAGCCTTCGTCAAGGGATCAACGTTGTCTTTGAAGGCTTGCCATAAGTGAAGTATGCCCTCAGGGGGCGGGTGACAGGACCTGAGGTTAGCCCTTGGTTTTCGGGCAAGAACATAATCGAAATCATCATCAGATGGTTCTGTGTCATTTGAATCATTCGAAGAATCGATCATAGCACCATGCGAATCGTGAAGCTAAGGAAGGTATCAGTGTGTATGCCCACGCGAATCAAGGAAGGGACTTGCCTCTTCTACTACTCCTGTCCATAGTAAGCTGTAAATTCCGTATGAGCTATGATCTCTTCAGGTTTTCAATTAGTTACATACTTATTAATAAACTTGGAGCCACCTTCACTCTGTATTACTTGCGGTTTTCGGACAGGTCGGCTTGATTCAGAAGCGACAGGCAAATAATTGCTCGGGTACGGCTCTTTCGGAGTCACAGCCATGGCACGGGTGGAAGGTTGAGATGTTTCAGAGACGACAGTATTTGGTAACTTGCTCGGGTCAATGCCCTTCTCCTGGAGCAGTGCTTCATAGTGTTTCAGTCGGTCAGTCAACACCTGCTCTTTGCCGCGTTTTGGTCTACCTCGAGACGGCCGCGAGGGTTTGAAAAGACATTCAACTTGGCGTCTAACACATGAGCCACATGGCCTCTTTCGATCACATCTTCAAGAGATTGTCAGCAGCAACGAGCCAGCGCACTTATTCAAAGGGCGACGCTTTGTGGGGCAAGGGCGAGAATCAATCGAGACACGTCGGCATCGGGCATCTCTCAGAATGTAAAGTGCACATTGGTTGCAGTGAACAGATAAATCATTGCGCATGAGAGAACGGGATTGAGCATACTTGACTTTGCGGTCTGCGCAGCGGATGCAGGAATAGGTCGGCCTGCTGGGATTGTTTGGCAAAGACGATGCCGTGGCTGCCGTAGCATCTGACATCATAGATGAGAGTCCACTGCACAAGGCTGCAGTATTCGCGATGGTGTAGTTCCGGAAAACACGTGACAATCACGCAACCGTTCCTCAGTCCTCATGACCTAGGGGTCTGTTCAGGAGTTCAAGAGGATTGGGATGAGAGCAGCAACGGGCATCAGTTTAGTATCGGCCGGGTCTCCACGCAGTTCTCTGATGTGGCGTTTGATTGGTGGACTGCCTCGGACCCGACCTTGCCCAGCCCGAGCTGCAAAATGCCCGAACCCGAACCTTAGTCTCAAGCCATAAGCATAGAAGTCTTCGTGCTCCGAACCCGAAGATGCTTCCCGTCAACATTCGAATGACGGTCCAGAAAAGTATTTAACCGATATCATGCTCACACTCAAATACAATGGAAAAATCGAATATAGAACAATCATTCTCTCCCGCACTGCACAGCCAAGCACTATTCTTACACCTTCAAGTGCACTTCGAATTCCTGGTCATTTGTCGTCATGCGTGTCCTAATCAGTGGAGCAGGCATTGCAGGGAATACTCTGGCCTGGTTCCTAGCCAAGACGGGTGCACGTGTAGTCATTGTCGAAAAGAGCCAGTCTATACTCCCTCACGGGCAAAGCGTTGATGTTAAAGATGACGCGCTTACTGTGATCAAGAAAATGGGCCTCATGGACCAAGTGCTGCGATTCAATACGACGGAACAAGGCACACAATTCATTGGTGACAAGGGGCAGCCACTTGCACGCTTTCCGCTCAGAAAGGGTTATGCGAGTAGCCCTACCTCGGAATTCGAGATACTTCGTGGAGACTTGGCAATGATCCTTCACGAAGCTGCGAGCCGTCTCTCAGGGGTCGAATATATGTTTGGAACCACCATCCAGGATGTTATTTCCAACGACGATGACACTGTCAAAGTCTCGTTGAGCAACGGCGAGGTGCACGAGTTTGATCTCCTGGTCGCAGCCGATGGCCAGTGGTCAAAGATTCGTAAGCAGTGCTTTCCTGCCAAGGATGTCAACGCGGTCGATGTAGGCATGTATGCTGCATATTACACGGTTCCGCGTCTTCCCAGCGATAATGACTGGTGGAATGTCTACCTAGGTCTTGGCTCGAGGTTAATCAGCACGAGACCCGACCCACACGGCAACATCAGAGCCATGTTCACTCGCGTGCCCCGCTGCAAAGTCCAGGAAAATATGTGGCTGGAGGCATCTAGGAGCGGTAGAGAGGAACAGGGAGAACTTTTGAGAAAGGAGTTCGCCGACGCTGGATGGCAAGCATCGAGGCTACTGGACGCCATGGATCAGGCCCCTGACTTTTACTTCCACGGAATCCAACAGATCAAAATGTCCAATTGGTCAAACTCACGAGTCGTCTGCGTAGGAGACGCAGCTTATTGCCCATCGCCGCTCACAGGAGAGGGGACGCCGCTGGCAATAACCGGGGCCTACGTGCTTGCAGCTGAGCTAAGTAAGCTTGACGAAGGTGAACATCCTGCAAAGGCGCTCGTGGCCTACGAAAGCACGTTTCGCCCATTTGTCGACGAGGGGCAGAAAATACCCTCGATTCTTCCGGCGATGATGCATCCTGAATCGTCGTGGGCTAGATATTTCTATCACACCATTCTGTGGGCGCTTTCCCGAGTATTGGTAGTGCCAGGGTTGGCGATCAAATCCTCAGATATTGATGGCCACGATAGTAAGTTTCCATGGTCGAAATGGGATCTATAGATATTGATTGGATTCAACTCCCTGCTCTCTATTCTTACGATCAGAAAGGGGGGAAAGGTTATGATAACCGCCTTACCGGCATGATCGCTGCGCCCGCTCTACCATAGCATAAAATATATCTAGATGGTTCAAAAATGATTCAAAGGCATGTGCTGTAGTTTGGCCGGACTTACCTGCCATACTTTGATCACACAACTATCCACCTGGTTAATTTCTAGTCAATATATTCAGCGTCTTGCGCGCCCAGAATGTCAACCGGACCTAGTCAGGTACGGCGTCAACAAAATGACAACTTCAGCACAGAGATCTGTCCGAATGTATGACTTGCAAGTCCTCAGATGTCTAGCAATTTCAAGGGGATAACGTAATAGGCGTCTGCGCAACTTAGACAAACGCGTTCTCGGGGAGATTTTGACACCGAACCCCAGACACACGGCACCGTGAACATAACCAAGACAAGCTGAGTACAAACCAAACTAGACGAGCGCTTTTAAAATGAAGAAAGGAAAACGAGGGTTAGGAAAAGAGTTTTGACAATAAGCGATTGGACCCTCAGGATCCTGGCAGAATTCTACGCGTGTAGCTGACTGTCTACTTTTAGATGTAGCCAGGCTGCAGAGGTACTTAAAGGAAACAACGGCAGGCCTATAGCACACAACATGATCATGGTTGATTCCACATTCGCCGTGCACTCGGTGCGATTGATTATGTATAAGTCTACTTATCGCTCCGACCAGGATCGACTGACCTCCCGCAGTTATGTGCAGCACAAAAGACTTCAGCCATAGAGAACTCCAGATCAGTCACTAGAGTAATGGACCTTTAATGGATCTGCATCCCCACGTCTCACCGGCGCACTCCCCTTTCACACCACAGTATGGATGGCATACCAACTGAAGGACCAGAGCCGAACCCATTGCAACCGATATACGCAACAGTTGGGCAAAGACGGCATCAAAAGCACGTCCCTTCAGGTCAGTATCAGATACCATTTTCCACAGAAGTGCAAAAGTGGAAAAGTGCTATTGGAACGATGCAGAAGTATAATTCAAATCTCACAAACATGGTTCCGGTTTACCCAGCTGAGTCTTGCTCTGGCTCAGGGCAGCGGACACATTAAGCTCCGATGGAGAAATCTTGTACTGGCTTACTTGCGAAGTTGCATTGATAATGAGGGAGCTTCATGATCCGAGGTTTGATAGTGTCGTAATTTGCTTCGCTGTGCCCTCGATGTTGTCATACGTCGGCTGAGTCACTGTCCAACTTCGTCTCAGCCTAGAGGGAGATTCGAGGAGTTTCCCTTGCTGCAAGGTTTCTGGACTGGTGAAGGACCCACATACCGTTGCTGTCCCATAGGATTCCAAGATACAGCTTCCTTCAGAATTCCGTGCAGCAAGGTGGATATTGTTCTTCTTTTCCTTGGGTTCATAGTCTTCCTATGCTGCTCCAAGCAGGCTCAAATATACCCAGTATTACTTCAGGTAACGCACCGCAGTGTTTGGCGTAGTGTCTATGGTTTGTTGGGGAGGTCGTGTTGCAGACCTCGAATCTCCGCTCGGGAGTATCTGGAGACAGACGTGAATGCCAACCAAGCGTGGAAGGCGTTGTCATGAGGCCGATTCCTCACTGTGACTGCGCAAAAGAAAAACACCGAAACAGCAGAAATTCAGAGCCTCAAGGCGTATGTGAGAGAAGGGAGAGGCACGCGAGCTCCTGTCGGGCCGCCTATCTGGAGCCTCCAGGTCTTGATTACAGGAGACAGATACCAGAAGACGTGTATGGTGGGTGGCATGGGCTCCAGCTGCCACCAAACATGCAAAAAAAAAAAAAAAAAAAAACCCGCCGCTGTGACTCTGGCATCTCCAATATCTTTCTTTCTATCATTGGAATATTTCTCGATCAGTTGCGCATGCTATCAAAGCATGGCTCTGGCTGGATCATCACTCGGGTACCCACGGGTGGGTTGGTTCGCTGGATCCGACTGCACACCGTGGTGGAATGATTATTCTGCTTTTCTTTTGGGGCAACGGCCGAAGTTACCGGTTTGTTTCGTCCGAGTCGGCTCCCCTCCGTTTTAACTATCACCTGCTTCCTTCTCCTCGATGCTCCTGCAAACGCCATCACTCTTCGTCGCGTGAGCAGGGTTTTCGTGTCTCCATTTCGCACTCCCACGTCCCGCAACCATCATTTGCAAAGTTCATTTCGTTCCCACAGATTGTGACGCTCAGCCACGTTCACTGGCGGTCATGTAAACGGTCTTGGACCACGCTGCGCGTCGTTTGATTGTCCTCACTTCGAAGGCGATTCCCTGTTTGTCGTTTACCTGACCTCCATGTTCTCCCGCCATCATGAATTTCCAGTCCGTCATTGAGAACTTCTTTGGACGAAGCCAAACGCCCGCCATCACTGCTTCACAGGCACCCCCGGCAAATCCGTTTGCTCGACCAGAACGGCCTGGAGAGCCTACGCAACCAGCACCAACCTCCACCGCCCTTCAGTTGACCCAGGCAAGACTGCCTACGGGTGACGTTGGCCCGACCACAACTGAGCGCGGCTTTGCCATCGTGCCCTATGTTGTGGAGCGAGCTCCAGGTACCTCAACCAAGGTTACCCTGGATGGACAGCCTATCAATGTCACGGACCCTCAAGCTCTTGCCATCGTACAGCAGGGCATTCGCGATGGGTCTCTCGCTCAGCAAGGTTTAGCTTCCTCAGGCACAACAATCCAATCGCATGTCCCTCTTGGACCTGGCAACGACCCAAACTCGTTCTGCAACGACCCAAAATGGAAGTTTCGCATCATGATTCAATGGGTCAACGAGATAGACCGCCTCCGCCCAGATCTCGAGTATGCTCGGGCACATGGTTGGCAGAAGCATATCGCCAAGTTGTCTCGACAGATTGGTGCTCTTGAACGACAGATTGCAACGCGCCTTCGAAAGCTCGGCCACAACAAAGTTTTCACTGAGCTTATCCCAGCTTATCCACAGGTATGGAAATATCTAGACCCTTCGTACCGACGTCGGCTCGAGAATTTCCCTGCTGCACACATCCCGCCCTCTCGCCAACTCGAGGCACCTGCCTGTGCCCACGCCAAGGAAGAGGATGACAATTTCATGTCCCTTTCCTCCACCATAACCAACCAACCAAGATCGCAGGCTAAAGAAGCTATTCCACACGAAACCTTCGACGGCCTACCGATCAAGCGAGAGGAAACACAAGCCCAGAACACCTCAGCGTCGAATGGAATCCGAGCTCCACAAACAGCTAGACCCCACGCTTCTCAACTCACTGCACCCAGCTCTTACTTCGACGACATCCCCATCAAGAGAGAGACTGATCACACAGGCCCTGACCGAAGTGCTCGCACGAGATTGGAAGCTGATGTGTCTGTGCGTCAAGCAACTCAGGTTCCTCGAGTAGTTGAGGAGGTTGAGAAAATCGAGTCTGACGATGATGATTGCTTTATCGTTGAAGTTCGAGACATCAAGGCTACACTCCCTCCACGACGCGGGAGTCGAAAAGATCGCACACGTTCACGATCATCTACAGGTGCGCAAGGACATGCTCGTGCACGAGTTGGTACGCCGTACAGGGACCGCAACTAATGGGTTTAAGCGCGACGGCGAAGCAGTCATTGTGATGTCTATGCTCTTTAAAAATTCAGATGTACTAGTGTGGCTGGCTTGCTTACGATTGGCGGAAGGACCGCTATTTGGTCGACTCTGAGCAGTATCAGCTATACAACTGAGATCTGAGCCTCTAGAGCCTGAGAGTTGAACGAAAAGAAGTTCCCTGTTGAAAGAGTGACAAAATCCACGAGATGGACTCATGGTTTAGCCTGAGCTCATGCATATGTCTGTGTGTGGAGGTGGAGGCATCCCATCTTGATCAATTCCTGTCTTGATAGAGCATGAACACCCAAATGATACAGTTCGAATCTCATACCTACAAATGGAACACGGTTCTCAGCACCTTGCAATTAATTCCTCTCTCACACCGTATCCGCCAAATGTACGATGTGCCCTTGTGACACATTGTCCTACAGATAAAACTGTGTTGTAATATCGCAGGTGACCATATGAACACCATATTTCGGCTTGGAAAAGTACCCTCCGAGTCAAATCGATACTCTTACAACTGGGCTCTACATCGAAATGAACAGTTTCTGGCCAGTCAAGTGATGTCCTGCATGCCACTCATCTTATAACCCTTGTGATATGATTTACTTCCCATTAATGCATGCCAAGTATGGCGCCGCCGCCGATTTGAAAGACTTCTAAATAGAATCCATGGGCAGACTACCTATCCGCCCTCCGCACAAGCCTCGATAACTTCCCCCATGGAGAACCCACTATTCTTGACATGGCCGCGCCTGTCCGCGAATCTGTATCGTCATCGCCGCTGATCCGGCTCACTAGCTCGTCCCAGGCAGCGGGATCGGGTACGTCGGGATGGATGGCCGAGTCCTTGGCCTGGTTGCACACTTCCAGGAGGTACTCCCTTCCTCCATTTTTATGAACGGTTGCACCACAATCCATGAGCTTCAAAGCTGCTCGCCATCGTATCCTTTGAATGAGCGCCTAGCAGAATGGAACGCAGTCAGCTTGTCTCATTCTGCGCAATAGTATTGTGCAGGTGGTAAGCAACACAAGTTCTGGCTAGCGCTAGCATTGCCTTGCAAGTGATTATAAAAATATGAGGGAACTCCTCGGTCGAACAGGAGATACCAACGTAGATTTCTTCAGCGTACTTACCACGAGCAGAGGAGTTCCGGGTCCACCCTGAATACTCACGTGTATGTTAACGTTTGCCCCGAGCTCCTTCAACACTCGCAACGAGATGTGACCTTTGGCACTTTCAGCAGCATATACCAGTGGCGACTGTCCATTGCAATCGGCCGCGTCAACGTCGACATCAGCTAACATTGAAGCATGAGTTCTCGCTATTCTGCGTATTGGGTGGTAATTACAATGTCCGCAACGCACAAAGGGATGTGGGTAAGCAGCTTCATTGATCGATAGAACTCACAGCGATGGCATATTAATCTAATCACAGTCTCTATTCCGTATGCCGCAGCCAGATGGAGAGCTGTGACACCAATTTCGTAATCCTGACGCAATGGCCGGAGTCTGATGTCTGCGCCGCGCGCAACAAGTAGCTCTGCTACAGGAGCATGGCCGCAAATGATGGATGTGTGAAGTGCTGCAGGTAATGCGCATCTCTCATATGTGTGGCTGTGGAGGTCGCGTGCGTCATTGAACACAGTGAGCCCATGTGGTGTGGTCTTGAGCGAGCAGGCGTCGATATCCGCGCCGTTGTCCAACAGGAACTGGACCGCCTCCAACTGTCCCCCCATGGCCGCCATGTGGATGGGCGAGGCGATCATTTGACAGGACTGCAAATTGCCCGTGCTGAACGGGTCTGCCGTGTACGTGGACTTGTCGTCAAAGGTCCATCTGACGTACGCGCTCAGACTGCCCCTGATGCCGCCGTCTTCGTTGCGAATAGATGTCCATTGCTTCAGCGTGCCAATGGAACCGTGGTAAGCAGCCCAAAACAAGACCTTCCAGTTGTTCCGCGCGACTTGAGCCTCATAAAGCATATGGCCGACAGTCCTGTACCAGGACGCACTTGTTCGCGCCCAGGCTGATGCTGACTGCTCATCACAAAAGTCGAAGATGAGCCTCAGCAGCTCGCCTGGCAGTTGCTGGATAGGGAAGGGTTTGGATTCCATCTTGAAAGCTAGACTCTCACCCTCACAGTCGTGAAAGGAGTGCTTCATTGGAAGGCAGATCGAATGCAAGTAGGATAATGAGAAATCGCGGTACGCACATGTGCGTGTTGCATGTAGATGGGCGTTTTCATGCTGGGCCAGGGCTGAGAAAGGCGGGGCTGGAAAGGAGCCAATCCTACAACACCTGCACTCCAGTTTCAGCTTAGATCATCGTCCTGGGTCTTGGTTTTGATCCTGTTGCAGCTCTTTTTGACTGTGAGCCTTGTTCAAAATACTATGTCAACACGGTCCAAGCTCGACGGTATAGAAACATGTGTACTCGACGATGTAGATACGAGTGAGCGATGTTACAGCCACGGTAGGGTAATGGCAAACTGCCTTGTCTGCGGAGCTGACTGGGCCATCCGTCCCATTGCTCTCCTACTGGCCTTTCCATCTCAGCCGACCAACCCACTTGGCAAACTGCACAATCTCGTCCTGTTCCAGTAGTAAATCAACTGTATAGTAGTACCGTGCGAGTTCCTCGTGGCTGGCGAAGTGATGCACGAATCGGTGGCAAGCGCCGCACAACCACGCAACATTCTGCAAGTCCTCTTCTCGATGCCAGCCGCGTTTCACCACTTTCACATGCACGAAACGTGGTATTAAGTGGTGATATGTCAAATTTATCCAATCCCGGCCACATATCTCACAAGCCGTCACTGTCTTCTTTGTCGAGCTGGGTGCGGGCGGCGGCTTGGATATTGAGGTCATGAAAGCCGTCAAGACCGGGGCTAGGAACTCGTCAATCCCTTGCCTATCTTCATGAGTGATACCATAGGTCTGAAGCGATTCTGTTATCGACGGATCTAGTGACGGTATCAATGCCCCAACATCTGCACCTGTGAACGGCAGGGCGTATCGGTCCTGCAAGTCTACATCCTTCGAGTAGGCATAGTAGTCCAGGGTCTTCAACTCGCCAGGGAGAGATTCGAAGGTTTCTGCGGCAATGTACTCTACAAAGTCTGCAAGATCCTCTGCATCCTTGAGCGAGTTCTCTGACGTCGGTCTGGACGCCGTACTTTCAGTGACTTTCTTGGACTTTGCTCTGCGCCTTGCCTTGGGCTCTGGCTGGGTGGCCTTCTCGATCAACGCGGTGGAGAGGAAATCCCTGAAGAGTTCGTAATTCTTATGTTGATCTTCTAGCAACATTGCCATGACAATGGAAACAGGTTCAATGTGGCGTGTCGCTGGGCGTAAAAGGACCACAGGAAGTTACTTGTTACCTTGCAGTGACGTAAATGGAGTGGTCGCGTTACATAGCGACTGCCAGCGATCTCGGGAGCTGTCGATGCGCTAACTTGGGCCGCTGAACCCCGCATTTATATAGCGTTCCAATCCACTGGGATAGGCACCCAAACAATCTACTTCAAGCCATCAGCTTCTATACACCGATTGACTCAGGTGGCCGTCGAGAGTAGCATCACTTGATACGATGGCGACTGGGAAGACCGTCATAGCTTTCGATCTCTACGGAACGCTGCTGTCCACCGAGTCCATTGCTCATGAGCTCGCAAAGCTCTACGGCGAGGAGAAGGCTGCATCGATCGCTGCATTATGGCGTCGATACCAGCTGGAATACACCTGGAGAATTACCTCGATGGGTGAGACCCGCTTTCTCCAGCTGTTCTGGGGTCGTTAACTAACTCCAAATGATCAAGGCGATTATAGGACATTCAGTGAAATCACGCGTGGTTCATTGACGCATGCACTTTCCGAGCATGGGTTCGAACTGTCTGCTGGCAAGACTGACCAGCTGATGCAGGCATACGATTTTCTGCATGTCTTTCCCGAGATACCTGCAGCTTTGAAGTTGGTTCGGGAGAACAGCAACCTGGTGGACGCCTACATCTTCTCAAATGGCACACTAGAAATGGTTGGAACTTCAGTCAAATCATCGCCAGACCTAGGACCCCACGCGAGCCTATTCAAGTCATTGATCACCGTCGATGATGTGAAGTGTTACAAGCCCGCTGCAAGGGTCTATGAGCACCTTGTGAAGGAGGCGGGAAAGGAAGGCAGCAAAAGCGATGTCTGGTTGGTCAGCGGTAACCCCTTCGACGTCGTCGGTGCGAAATCAGCCGGACTCAAGGCGGCTTGGATTGACAGAGCTGGCAAGGGCTGGGTCGACCGTCTCGACACCTTACATGTGCCTTCGATCATCGCAACCGGAGTGGAAGATGCGGTGAAGTCTATCCTCGGCTGGGTAAAGGATGCCAAGGCAAGGACGAAATCATGATACGATGTATTGGCACGAATAGTCCAAGATGGCAATGCAGACTGCATTACTCCTTCCAGTTTTGCGTAGTCTTCTGCACGAGATTAATCGCCTCTGAGGACGAGAGCCCAGCACAGTCGAGTGATTGCCCAGTGATATAGTTGTGCGGCTCGTCCCTCACAACAAAAGGGAACAAAGGGTTAGTATGACATGCTCGATTGATTTGAAAGCTTATGGCGCAGTAATGAGGTCCGCTCAAATTATGCATTTCTGGCCAAAATTCTTCTCAGCTATGCCGATCTCATCAGTAGTCCGCAAGAAATGGGTGTCACCGCAATACCACTGTGACAGACAACTGAAGTGACCTTACGGCTTGGCCGGCCAATGGGAAAGGTTACCCGCAGATGATGTACAACCGTTGATTCTGTGACGGCTCAGACCAGTTCGTCCTGTCTGCCGCAAGGTCAAAGGGCATAGGCGTGGCGGTGGAGGACATCAAAGAAAGGGGCTTCTGCATTCCATCACCCTTCAACAATCGTTGCGAACACATGCACAACAGAACTCCAGGCGCCCTGTTCCGCGATTAGAACTGCAGTCCGTCTTCGATAGCTTTGAGCTGCTTGGCACGGAACGTCATACGAGAAGCTTCAGGGTCACGTCCTCGAGCATACATATATCACATCTTGGCGGATTGCCGGTTTTGCTCCCGAATGACCTTGAGGCCTACCTCCTACATCCATGCGTACGGAGCAGCGGCTTCTGTCCGCCGATGATCATTAGAACCATGATGAGATGCTGCGATCTGAGGTGCTCACTCGTAGGGTCATGGGACACAATTGGTCATCAAGACGTGGACTGTCGGCACGGCCATGTCCAAACACCGGTGCCAGGGTCCAGTGCCCAGGAACTCTGCATAGGTCGGTGAAGCTTATCATTCTTCGCAGGATCGGTCCAATGCAAAATTCGATAGAGCTTCAAAACCTGACCAGGCGTCCACGTTCAACGCTCTTCGTGTCAGTGATGAGAAGACCCTGAATCGGCGTTGGAAAAACTTAATCTGCGTGGTTGAGCGTGCCGTCTGTAGTGGTGCGCCGGCTACTGCAGGTCTCACACCCAAGCCGATGGGCCCCGGAGTTCCCACCATCGCCGACCAAGAGAGGAATCGCCCACAACCACCATCTCTGCTGGCCAAAACCTTGAGGGTGACAATTTTTATGCACCCTTTGAAGCCTTGAGTAACCATCTGCAAGCCCAAATCCATTCATATGCCAACGAACAGGTTAGGTCTTACCTGGTACCTCGCAATTCGATTAATTGCGCACCAGCCCGATGACTGCATCTTCACAATCGACCTATCTGCATGGGAATGCAAATGCATGCGAATTCGTAATTCTGAGCCCATCGATGCAAGGTTGTAGCAGGGTCTCTGCGTATAAGGTTAATCGTTTGGGGCATTGCGCCCAGGAGTTCCGGTATTAGCGTGGGAGGCACGGGTGGCACTGGTCCTCAGTTGAATAGAAGCAACTTGGGCTTGAGAGTCATGAATAATTTGCCTGCCAGATCTCCCATGGGCTGGGCTAAATATCTCGGTAGCCGGTTTAGATTCGAGCCGTTGGCCTCGCCTCGTTCCCGCCAACACAAGGAGGTTAGTCGTTGCGCATATAGGAAGCTTGGCGAACTAAGGGGCGCTGTCAATTGGGCTGTTGGGAGTGTAAAAGGGAATTCAAACAGCCGGCATCCCTGTGCCAATGGTTGCTAATTCGCTGTCTTGCCTCACAAGTGCAGGCACTATGGCTGCAAACACCTTAAAAGAGGAATCCTCCTTTCTTGGCCTTTCCTTGCAACTGGCAGCCACATCGTAAGTCTTGCGATAATGCACAAGAGGTCATGATGAAACACATGCGGGTGGCGAGACCCTCGATACCGCAAGAAGGCACCTGGGTTTCCCCCGTCAGAGTGCGGCGGACAGGACGCGGGTCGAGTAGTTTGATACCCGAACGGATGACATACGTATAAGTCAAAAGGAAAGTCTGGGCCGCCTTAAAAGAGAGCCACAACTCTTTCCGGCTCTGCTCACTTGTGGCACTGTTCTATCTAATGCACTACTGACCGAAGTACAAGATGTTGTTGTCTTGGAGATTCGGTGTATTACCCCTACTACTTCACGGCGTACTGGCCGCTGACCGCTACTACAACTGGCATCTAACCTATGAGGCGCTTGGTGATTCGAGCAAGAAGGTGATTCTTATCAATGGACAATGGCCCCCCGAAGGCATCGAAGTCGACTTGAACGATAAGATCATTCTCACGGTAACAAATGACGCACTGAACGGGGTCGACGAGGGAGTTTCTGTCCATGCACACGGATTTCACCAGAGGAATAGCAACGACCAGGACGGGCCGGTCGGTGTGACGCAATGGTAAATATAAATCCAATCTATCGTGAAGAAGGATCATGCTAACGATCAGTCAGCGATATCAAGAAGGGCGGTACTCAGACGCAAGTCTTGCCGTGCTGGAGTTGACCTTTGAGAGACTTACTAACAAGGTGTAGGTATGTATGGAATGCTGTTCAACCTGGCACATTCTGGGTTCACAGTCATCATGTTGGGTAAGTCACCTGAGCATCAGCTGCCCATTAGAATGGTTAGACTGACTGCCATGGAAACTAGCCAATACCCATGGGGTCTCAGGTCCCCCTTGATCGTGAGGTCACCAGATGATCCAGAGTATTACGGCTATGATTTGGCCTCGGACTTTGTAGTTGATATGGCCGATACGGTATGGTGTTAAACTTACCATCACTTGTGATCTCTGCTTACCCTTTCCAGTGGTCGGCTTCAATGGAGGATGTGGAAAATCAGTTTCAAACCGGTCAATGCTGTTTTGATGGTCGACATGAAGATTTATGTGGCATGGAGATTCCACCGGATGGTGAGGCATTCCCGATTCGAGAGTATCTTTCTTTTAAATCACTGACTCAAATCCTACGAAGGTGCGATTGTACACGATACTTTGAGCGGCAGCTGTTCTTACGACGCTCTTAGCACCAATGGCAAACCCATCCGTGTTCGACTCATCAACATGTCCGCATCATCGACGTTTTACGTATTTTCCAACGACCCAGGGATCGACTTTGTGATCATTGAGGCTGATGGTACCCCATTGAAGAACACGGGGAACCCAGTAGCCAAATCTATCCAGCTGCATCCTGGGCAACGCTACAGCGTTTTGATTAACAGCAGTAAGAGCTTCTTGTTATACTCAGTCATCGATCCAGATCAATACTCGGGCAACACTTGTCAACAGATGAATACGTACGGTGGTGGAAACAAATTGCTCAGAGATGGAAAGAGAGGTGGAGGCGGCGGTGGTCGCGCGATCAGATGGAACTATGCCCTCACCGCCGTCGCTGAATTCAACATTGGTGGAGACATGCCGACGCCATACTTTGAACCCAACGAATACTGCACCGAGTCATCTGTACCCTGTTACACTCGTAATGATGACGATAAGTCCCAGAGCTTGGTCAACCTTCCTGCCCACGCGGCAGATGTCGGACAACGACTCTCGGATCATTGGGCAGCTGCCGGTAAGCTGGCGCCTAAATACGACGTGCCGAGGCTCACCTGGGAGGATAACTCGGCCATCATTACGATCGATCTGACGGCAACGAAGGGCACTATGAAGTTCGCCAACTTGAATAACAAGGCTTTCTACTCGCCTCAAATCCCGCTGCTCTTGAGACAGGTCCAGGCTGGCCCTAACTGCACCAACACGGATGTGATTCCTCAGCCTGGCCCAGATTATTCAGTCGACGGCTACTTTGGGGCTAACAACACGTTCTATGTGAAGAGGGATACCACTGTATTCTTTGTCGTTGGTTCCGAGACTGGACGTCATCCATGTGAGTTCAGTTGTGAAGTGCATTGATCGAATGTAGTGAGGTCTAATACTCTTCACAGTCCACCTTCACGGGTATGACTTTCAAAGTGAGTGAAGCGGAGACATCAGTACTCTTGGACGTTATGTTGACGGATGTTTTAGTCCTCTACCTGGGAACTGAGCCCAGGCCACTCAAGCCCTTTGACCGATTCTCGCCGTCGGGTGTTTCTTGGCCTAGCGAAGAGTCAATCAAGACGAACTCGTTTCCTGCCCCCGAAAACCCATTGCGCCGCGATACCCTGCAGATCGGCAGCAAGACCTACGCCATCCTGGCGATCAAAGCCGACAACCCTGGCGCGTGAGTCCTCGTGAAACTTCGTTCCTGAATCATTCAATTAACGTCATACCAATAGATGGTTCCTCCACTGCCATAACGATTTCCATTCCTTGACTGGTATGGCAGGCACTGTCATCGTCGACTCGCCTGACACGGATACGTGGAACTCAGCATCCATCGGCCAGTCGGTGTGGGATCAATGCGGCTTCAAAACAAGCTCTGGTGGAGGTTTCAGTGATTGGCAGAACAATTGCTGTGCGAATCCTTCGTCGTGCATGGCTGGTGCCTATTTTCGATAATCGCTGCATGTATAAATACTCACTTTAGACGTAGAAAAGGTGTAGTCATTTTGCCCAGGAAGCAACGGGGCAGCGGAGTTCCTTACTTGTATATAGTGTAGATTAGACTGCTTCCATTCATTTATATTGCTTTACATTACCTTGCCCGACACTACGATGATGGATGCCATGAATTTTACAGAATGACTTAAAACCAGAACACCATGCTGGCATAGAGATATATCTGACTACAACGTCTCAGCCCTGACCACGCCACCCACATCTGGCTTTATAGCGCTAGGGAGTTCGGGGGGACTCTTCCCATTTCTATAGAGCCAGAGCCTACTTAGATCCTTCACTCTCACTTCCCTATTCAGCAACCTTCCTTCATGAAAACTCCCATGGACGGCAACGTCGGAATCCAACTCTGACCCTTCACGGCCAGCCAGCTCAATCATGTCCCAACTATTCTCAATCCCCTCTCGCAGGTCCTCTTGCTCGGTTCCTCTCTTCGCCTTCTCAGCAATGCTGTCCATGAAGTCGTTATTGTCCTTGCAACCGATGAATTCACCGGCAGAATTCTTTTCTAACGGGAACATGCCGTCGAGATAGTGCTGGCAGAATTGGTGACCCCCACGGGAAGACGTTCGTGAGAAGACGCGGCCTATGAAGCGCGGTAACATTGGGGAAGCCATTTCGTTCGTAACGAAGTGCAGGACGCCCCACAGGGCGACGAAGTCAGTTGTATGTGCATAGTGCTCAATATGACCGATCGCACGATCGGCCGCCGGTACCGTAGTGATCGGTCTGGGTGCTTGGCCCTGTCCCGGAAGAGATGTTGGCGTTGGAGGGTCATCGGCAGATTGTGAAGATTGCCTGGCATCACCTGTGGGGCTTTGACTCAAGGATGGTATTCTCATATCGACTGGAGAATCCGTAATTACAGTCTGCACTACATGGGTGGTAGTTGTACTAATGGTGCCTGGTGGTTGACTTTGTGCCGCCTGTGACCCTACATGTCGATGGGGATTATTAAAGTGATTACTTAGAGGAGTTAGTCGTTCGAATCAAATGTGAGGGAGCAAGAAGGGCTCACGCTGCGCATCCAAATGTATACACCTCAAGCTTGGCAAGCAAATCTTGAGGGAGTTCCTGAAGAAGCCAGTCTAAAACCAGGCCGCCCTCGATTCCACCTTGGGAATGAAGAATGAAAACGACTTTGGATAAGCTTGGGTTGTACAAGTGCTCTTTGACGGTCTTGTACGCTATCCGCACATCTGAGGTTGCATACCCGAAGTTACGCTGGATCAGACACTCAACGACATCAAATATAATTCCGGTGGTCTTGTTGTGGATGCCCTCAACCGGCCGCTTGAAGGTCAGGGCCAAACGGTCGATATTCCTCTTCATCCACATTTCACTGTAACGAGGGAATTAGCCACGCCACGGTGATTTGTTGGACCTGAGACTTGCCCGACTGCGACTCCATTCAGAAATATCCATTTCTCATGCGCATGCTCATCAAGCGCGGGTGCGTATTTGGGGTCCGATTTGTAAGACAACGAGCTGCCATTCAAAGTTCGACAGAGCAGCCAGTTGATGGTGAAGAAAACTAGCATTCCCAAAGCCGTTATCCACCCTGGCAATAAGATGGCAAGAGGCAAAAGCAGGATGAAACCAAGTTGTAGGGCGATCAGAACGCCGTGTATGAAGAGGCAGTAGAGGTTGGATGGAGTGAATGAGAGTTCGTCGAACTCGCCTCCATCAATCGGTCTGATGGGCCACACGACCCACGGCAATGCCCACGCAAAAGTGAAGAATGTCCGGATATCCCATATTAGTAGCTTCAACGGCATGTCCGTATATCCGTAGTTGATCACGGACTGGCCTCCGACCTGAGACCCGTAAAACTCGGTGTGGTCTGCAACGACGGGCTTCCGCGCCCGCTGGCGTCCAGAGCTGGGCCCATCTTGCGCTCGCGACAACGAAAACAAACCCGCCGCCATGGCTACGCTCATAAAAAAGATGGAAATAAAAACAGGTATCATGAAAAAGGGCTCTCAAGGCGAACGGGGAGCTACGTCCGCTTTAAACGACTGTGCAGCTGACAGCCCTCAGCCTAGAGTAGCTGCTCACATGCCCTCCAACATAGCGTTGAGCGGTAATGGTGTCACGGCGGTCGGTCAAAGGAGTGTACACCAAAAGTGCGTCACACAATGGGCCACCCAGCCTCTCAGCCGCCAAACACAGCCAGTCGTCTTGGCAGAGGTGGGTTTGCGTCCTCGCCAATGGGAAATGATCTGCTCGCCCCTGCGAAACAGGTGCCACTTGGGGCACTGTTGCAAGCTGACTAAGAAATACGGCGACAATACCCATTGTTCGCTGTCGACTCGACTTTCAAGGCTTGTAGTAAGATGTTATGTTGACTGGCGATTGTAGAGGCCGTTTGGGGCGCCCAAGCTAAAATACTTCGGATATAATTGGGTGCATTGCGAGACAGCAGACATGCCCCCGGAATGTGGTTCAATTTGGCGCCTTAAAGGCTGGACGGTTGGCGGATAACTGGCATTCCCCGCCTGTAAGGCGACCTATTATGACCGCTCCAAGCACAGCCGCGGTCAGACCCCATGAAACCAGGTTCCTAGTAGCTGGAGGTACCCGAGGCACCGTATTCCAGGGAATCATCGCCACAGCCTGGGCACTGGCGCAAGACTGCAACAGGTGGTCCAGTAATTACCTAGGGAGGCTGCGTTTGGGTTTGGGAATTGGTGCGAGCGACTCAGGCAGGGTACTAGAACTCTATGTGCTGTGTCAAGAAGCTGACAGGATGTAGTTTGAAATCCCTAGCCCCCACAAACGCTGGCTTCGAAGTCGTCGAGTTCCTGTTCCAGTCTTTGTTTGAGACCCTCATCCGCCCAGCACATCTCGACACCATATCGTGCGAGTCTGATCATATCTGCCTCTGTCATGTGGCAGTAGCGATACACCTTTTCCATCGCTCCGTCAATCCACACATTGTGCATGTACGTAGGATCGTCGCTGTTGATGCAAAACTTGACCCCTTCGTCGTAGAGTCTTCGCAACTTTGGGAATAGCACCTCGGTCGCTTGTCGTCGATGGTATGCGTGGGGACACAGGGTGAGAGGAATGCCTCTTTTCTTGAGGCCCTCGATCAATTCCGGGCGGTCAATGACATTGAGGCCGTGATCGATCCGCTCTGTGCCGGCTCCACCGCATACCGAGAATATAGCCTCGTGCACGTGGTCTACTGCATCCTTCTGGTCCACATCGCAATGCATGGTGACATGCAAGCCGTCTTTCTGTGCCATCTCATATGCGGTTTCGAACAGGAGAGGTGGTCGGTCATACTCGTTCGCTGCAAGCCCTACAGCATGAAAGAGCCCCTTCCCCCCTGCGACTTTGGCCCATGGTCGAGCCGCCTTGTATGCAGATATGCCATCTTCCACCGGCTGGTCTCTGATGAAGCACATAATCCAATTGCTGTGCACCCCAAGTCGCTCAGCCCCTTCCTTCTGCGCTCTGAGGTAGCCCTCGCAAACCGTTTCCGCCGAAATACCGCGAGGCAAGTAAGCTTGCAGGTCGAAGAACGGCTCGACATAACGGACGTTCATCTCCTTGGCTTTCTGTAAGAACTCCATTCCGAGTTCGTAAAAGTCTTCTTCTTGGCAGAGTACTTGGGTCCCTGCAAAGTATGTTTCCAGGAACGTCGGGGCTCCATTGTCGCCATTGACCTCTTTTCTGTGGTTGTAGAGAACGTTATATGACTCCAAGAGTGCTTCATACGTCGGGTATGGCAGAGGCACATTGTTCCGGTGGGCCAACTTCCATCGTAGAGACGGGCTCAAGGTTCCCTCGATGTGAACATGCAGTTCAACCTTGGGTAAGGATGCAATAAAGGGAGACACTTCGAGCCCGTTCATTGCCTCAATTCTGCACTGTTGCAGCCGGGACCATAATTAACCTTCACGAGTACATTCTTGAATAAAAACGACTACACTCGCTTCTTCTTGAGGAACATTAGATCAATTGGGAGAACCACGATTCGTTTTTGGTTTCCTCCGATTCGGGACTTGCTGACTCCGCTTGGGGAAGTTTGTAGTCGGGGTACTGCCCGACAGCGGGGCAATCAAGCGTATTGGTTAAGACTCATGAAACCAGAAGGCCACAAACATATCGACATGATAGCAACAAAGTCCCTATCGGATAACTAACGGGCTGGTTTGATTGATGGTTCGCATCTTATAGTGAGCATGGAATATTATCAAAGTCATGTTTTGAGCTGCTCGTACTGTAAGACATATCATTTCTGAGCTACGCCTGAAGATACGGGACCGTAGAGGTTGGAATGCCGTCAATTGACCATGGATGATTGATCGGCAGACCTTTGAATTGGCCCAAATGTACTTCGCATGGGAGGTTGTACTTCAACATCGAAAGCATATCATCGAATGCATATCATCGTATGATGTACTCTGCGGAAGGACCCATCTTTGGGCTCAAGCAGTAAATTCATCTTCGACGTGCTCCCGGCAGGCAGTCCAGCGGTGTCAGTAGTGCTCGGCAACGTGCTAGCGGCGATCAGCAAAGAGGCGTCGGAGAGGCCCTAAAAATGCGTCCAACCAGAAGAGCCGGATCTCTGTCGTCTGTATCTTGGGTAATGGGGACTTGCCAGAGATACGCCCTTGGCACTAACAAATCCCCGAATGACCCGTTATCAACGGTCGGCCCAAAGGCCGGCGACACAATAGTCCAAGATACGACGTCGGCACATCACCGCCGATGACATGAGCAGGGCATCGGAGAGTACATATGATGGCTTCGCGCGCCCCTGAAGATGCTTCTCACGAGCATCTGCTTAGCCAATCAAGGTCATCATACTCCACGATGGCAGACCCTGAGGAAACGGCCCCGGTGCCTGTGCATCACGCCCTCCAGGACATTGATGATGCGATCGCCGGTCGCATCATGCGCAAGATTGACTGGCGCATTATGCCGCTATTGTTCATCACATACGGCTTCAACTTCATGGACAAGACCATCTTGTCTAGTGCTGCTGTGTTTGGGTTGAAGGAAGACAACAATCTTGTTGGACAGGGTGCGCATCTATTTTGGCAAAACTATTGTGCTGCATTGGAGCTAACTGGTCGGCAGAATACTCTTGGGTCTCGAGTGTGTTTTACTTTGGGTATTTCCTATGGACTTACCCAACGACTTTGTTCATCGCCCGACTGCCTGTTGGCAAGTACCTTGCGGGAACAGCAGTTTTCTGGGGTATAGTTGTAGCCTTGACAGCAGCTTGCTCGAACTACGGAGGACTTGTGACTGTCCGTTTTCTACTCGGAATGGCTGAGGCTACTGTGTCACCGGCGTTGATGTTCATCACCAGCACCTGGTATACACGCGACCAAATTCCGAAGAGAACTGGCATCTGGTTCGCCGGAAACTCGGTCGGTGGCATCGTCGCATCACTTCTGGCCTACGGCATTGGACATATCGAGGACAAGGTGGGCCCATGGCGCTGGATGTACATTGTTCTCGGTGTCGCCACCTTTCTCTGGGCTTTCTTTCTGCTCTTCCTCCTCCCCGATGAGATCTCCAAAGCGAAATTCCTCACGGTTGAGGAGCGCCAATGGGCCATGGATCGAGTTGTCATCGCTGGAACTGGAAAGACCGAGAACACAACCTGGAAATGGGACCAGGTGCTTGAATGCCTTCAGGACCCAAAGACTTGGCTCATCTGGTGCATCGCTCTGCTGTGCCAGATTCCTAACGGCGGCACTCAGAACTTTGCCAACTTGGTTATCAAGTCTTTCGGGTTCACATCGCTGCAATCGACCTTGATCAATATTCCATACTCTATCATTACGGTGATCGCTATTAGTGGTACCGGTTGGCTTGCTGGGCATTTCCGTTCACTTAACTGCATCCTAGCTGCTCTCATCGTTGTGCCACCCGTCGTTGGCAGTGCGTTGATCGTCAAGCGAGCGGCTATCCCTTCAGGTGCCTCCCTGTTCGGGTATTTCTTATTGTCTACGGGTCCTTCCGCCTTGCCACTAATCTTGTCGTTGATCCAGGTCAATTTCAAGGGCGTGACCAAGAAAATGACCATGACAGCATTGATTTTCATTGCTTATTGCGCTGGGAACATTGCCGGTCCGCAACTCTTCATATCGACTGAGGCACCGACCTATCCAACTGCCTTCAGAGCTATTATGACATGTTACGCGCTGGCTATCTGCTTGTGCATTCTGCTCAGGTTTTACCTCCAATTTATGAACACTCAACGATGCAAGACTGAGGGTATTGAGGGTAGCGCTGGCACATCAGGCGCTGTTGGAGGCAAAGTTAATGATGCCACTGACGGTCGTACGGTCACTGAGATTATCAACGAGGTGCAGCTTCGGCCGGAGGATTACGACGATGTCACTGATTGGAAAACATTCGGATTCCGTTATCGCTTATGAGATACCCGCTCCTGTACTCCCTAGCAAGGCACTCGACCATCGCTTTAATGAGAAAAGATAGCCCTTTCACCAATACTTTATATCTCGCCAACTCCATCACTCATTGGTGCTAGTTCGTTTCTGATCAGAATCAAATGCACGGCCTCCCGAGCAGGGCTGCAGTCGTTTTGGGCTGCACCTAGTACCCAGAGGTTCGAAACTCGATATCTTTCCGAAATTTCCAGCTATTTCCATCTGCAATGACGCTCTTGTATCCCAATACACCTTCAATGAAAGACAGAACAATCATCGGGCTGAGGGTAAAAGTTGTGTATCTGTTCTCGACGGAGAGTGTGAGCCGATCATATATGAGTCCCAGACCAAAGGACGATTGGTGGAGTTTAATTTCGACACCGGGAGGCTATAGTGAAACTTAATTTTACAAAATCGGGTAGTATTTCAAGGCTATGGAGACGTACCTTGCGACTATCTTGGTGGTTAACCCGGCACCACTTCTTTAAGTACTCTGCCAGTAGCTGCAGTGATGGACTATGACTGCCATGTACCTCGATCAATGTCGTCCCTCTATCGTATACCGCAATATGATATGGCGGTTTGAGAAGCAGCTCATCTGGGCGCCCAAGGATACTACAAGTTGGCAATCTTTCGAAGTCGGCGGTCACCGTTGACACAGTGCGATTATGGGAGTGGTCAATCAGCTCAGGCTTGCCGGTTTTTGCATCGAGTGACACATCTGCCCAATCGTCGTTCGGCGCAGAGCGGTGCGCCATTGCAGTTGCTGGCGCAACCTTCTCGTCAAAACATGCAAGGGATTGGCTTTTGAACAAGGGTTCCATCTCCCATGGTGAGGGTACATGTTCCTTGGGTAGCGAGATTATGAATCCAGTCCGTTCACCCGACCAGCTCAGAGCTGGCTGGGGTCCTTTGTATACCTATGGCCTGAATAAGTACGCCGTCCTCACACGAGCATTGGGGCACCTTACTTCCAGAAACACTCTGAGCCGGCCTTTCATGTGGTCAAGCAAGGCATCAGTCCATTCTTCGTTGGCGCTATCGTCAAGAATCGTTGAAAGAGCTGTACACCATGAGTGGACACATCCTGCAATGCTGGGAACAAAAGTGCTCTTGTCAGGGTATAATCCGTCTAGCTCAGAGAGAAGAAGATGCCATTCTGGCTCAATAATGGTTTCAACACCGATTGTCTCTTTGAGGGCGGCCAGTGCCTTTTGGACTGGTGCCTCGTTCTTGGACCAGAAGTCTCTGATGCCGACTTGGACTTTGAGGGGTCTAAGAGCCTGTTAGATATCGCTTGGCCACATTATTGACAGTAGCAAACTAACAATTTCGACATGCTTGTTCCTCAACGTGGGCGCTTGACTGCAGGATGTGACTGGCGATATTTCGATTACTTGGTGCACCTCCAATTTGTATATCAAGGTCGACAATATATCTCAGATGATCAGTATTTGACGAGGCAGTATTGTACTAATAAGCTAATAGACCCGCCTTTCTACTAGCAAGTCATGTTAGTTTCGATGTCCCAATAATGGGGAGGCCGCAGAGCGAGCCCAGGCCTTGAAGCAGCCCCTTGCTTTTGTCCCTGTTGAGGACACCGTCTTTGGGTTCATTAGAGAATGCACACCTGTGAGGCTGACCCCATGCCTAGCATTAGTCACAATGTCGTGGCAGGGTCCAGCTCCAGCCTCAATGGAAAGGGAAAGGGGAGATGGAGTCTACATGTGAGCTAAAGGATGCCAAGACTACCTAAACGTCGCCCCACAATATAACAATTCAGGGTGTTCGGATACTGCAGCCAATAACATTGTGATATAGCCGAGTCAGTCACATTGGGGCAGATGCATAGCCTCATGTTCTCCGACGTCACAAAATTGCATGTCTGTAGGCAACATTATCCAAATGACGTTGTATACCCCATGCTGAGATGTAACTTAGGTGCTGAGCTACGTATTTGAGATGCCGCTTGTTTTGAGGAAGTTATTAGGATCCAAATTCCTGTCTGTGGACGGCCACATTCCACTCACTTGTGGTGGTGGGACGGAAAGGGCTCCTGAGCCGCGTAGCGCATTCAGCTGAGCCAATTTGGCGCGAGCAGCTCATTTCCACAGCCACGACCAGAACTCTGCAAGACCCTGAAGCTGAACCTCAAATCAGCCTTGCGATGGGGCCGTTGAGGATAGTCTGCCTGGAACTTAGTGACTAGACATCGTCAGGCAACAAGCTCCCCACGCCTACTGCCGGATATGGCAAGCTGGAATACCAATGTACCGGCCGAGTCAGCCGCCAGAGCCAAAACCCCTGTGCTGCCATAGATGGTTATGAAAGAGTTGATCACCTACTCGACAGTTTGGGAAATCCAAGACACATATTTAAACACATTCGTCACGCCGCCAATTTGTGTACGACACAGATCCTTCTTCTCAACAACACCAACCTTTAACCCTACAACATGGCTCGCCTTCCTCCCGTTGAGAAACTCCCTCTTGCAGTTCGCAAGAACAGTCAGTCGCCCTACCACTCTCTAGTACCACGTCCACTCACCTGACGTGTATAGTTCGTGATGAATGGGATAACAAGAAAGGCGATATTGAGAAAGACCTTTCCGATGTCCTGACCGTGCCATGGACTGTGGATGTGAATCCGAACCAGATATATGCCTACGCCAAGGATGGCTATGCCAAGGATTCACTTGGAAGCTGTATTGCTGAGTCAGTTTGCAATAGAACTGATCAGAGACCTTTGCTGACGTATAATTTAGATACATCAATAGCGCCATTTACCAGCTGAAGTACTACTCTAGCAGCTTCGGCGAAGACGGTCTCAAAGAGCTTAACAGCATTGCCTACAAACACACTGTGACACTAGATATCGATGAGTCCAAGAGATTCACCTACGCAGGTGTCGACATTCACGAAGGTACCCTCCGCCTGCTGTTCGCCCCTGACAACCTCGCCGTCAACATCAGCTACGCCTGTGAGAAGGATACTCTCCTCAAGGCCTTGAATGAAGCACCTGCCCCCGAGGGCTCTGCTGAGACTCTCAGCGTTGCTGCTCGCACAAGTATCCGCCAGGACTATGACCCAAAGATCGAGGAGATTCGTGCGAAGATTGCCGCCCTCCTTGCTAAGCCAGACATCAAGCTGAACCCCAACTTCGAGGACACCTTCGCTAAGCTCAAGCAAGAGAGCCAGACAAAGAAGAGCGAGCTTCGTGAGGACTGGCAGTTAAACATTGGCAGAGTGGCCTGTGATTACTTTGACGGTCTTGTGAGCCAACTCCAATGGCAGAAGTTTGAGGAAGATGATCTCCTTCAGGAGGGTTTCAACGAAGCCATCGACAAGGGCGAAATCGTCTTCAGAATCGTTGAGAAGCTCACTGATGACTCATACGGCGAGTGCCAGGTTGAGGATGGTTTCTTATATCTTCAGGTGTGTATCCAAAATTCCGATCCAGTCGATGTTGTCGTCGCTAACCCAGATGTAGTGCACTGCCAAGACATGGGGAACAAATACGACGTACGCTGCCCAAAAATTGGTCGACAAACTCTAAGCAATGTGCTCCACGTCGACGATTTCGGCTTGGCTCTTCCTACCTCCGGGCTCGATTCACAGGCCGTTCAAATAATAATAAGTAGGACCACCAGTGAAGGAAAATGCGCTTGACTTTCCGTGCAGAAATGTCACGCCAAAAGCCATAATTGATTCAATTACCTCTCACATGTGATATCTAAGTTTTTCCTCGTCACGCATGCCCAAGACATACTTGGTGAATGGCGGATTGAAGAAGTGGTCGTGGACTGCATGAAAGTCTGCCCAACGCGTGGTCGTCTGCATTTTATCATTCCAGGCGGGCTGGAGCTGGCTACAGGTCACCTATAGATTGGGCTGTCGATGGTACTGTTTTTCTTTACGTTCGCAGGACACCCACAGAATTGATGCCATTTGATGAAGAAACGAAAGTAGCTTCTGAAGACATTTTACAGTTGAGCATCCCGAGGCCATCTCGCAAGCACTTCAGCCATGCCGTTCAGCTCTGGGGACCTGGAGAGTAGCCCGACCTCTCCACAGCTCCACATCCGGCCTGCCAAGGTGCAGATCCCCCCACCTAGCGCCTGTGCTGCGGTTCACATGCCCAGCTCCAGGCAGCCCTCCGGGGACCGTGCTGAGTACAGTGCATGGAGTACCTAATTGCGATGCGACACACCGTACAGACGTCATGTTTTCGCGAGAGCTTCACAGCCAGAAGACCACCGCCAGAATATCAGCGTTTCTTCCAACAGCCATCATCCTGCAACTATGTCCTCGTCTTCTCGCGGCCACCTTCACCAAGCCGCACAGACTTTTGAGCGGCCTGCGAATTATATCACAAGAGCTCTCGTTGCGGCATCCTATCCTCTCCGAGGCATCTACTACTTCCTCCGCCATCCAGCCTACTACCCACTCTTCCTAAGCCGTCTCCTCCCCCTCTCCCTGATTTCCGTGCTTGTATATACCATTCTCTTCACCTTCGCGTTCCTACCGCAGTATGCCTTCCTTGCTATATTCCACGGTTGGGGAGCGTGGGTAAACGCCGTGGTTTTGGTGTTGGGGGAGGGTTTGGTGATCATCCAAGGCTTGTTCGAAGGGTTCTTTGTGGATGAGTGTCGCGTGGATGTCTTTGATGTAAGATTCCTCGCAAGCGCGTTCCATGTCTGGAAGATACATTCTCGTGTACTGACAAGATTTTGGCAGGCAACACTCATCGACAAGGGTCTGGTCGACCTCATCACGCCGCATCGCATCATCTTCCCAGACGCTCCAACCTCGGTCAAGATGCTGGGCAAACCCTCGACCGTTGCTGTCTACCAACCGTGGAGCCTCGTCCAGATTGCCGAGCTGATCTTTTTCCTCCCTCTGAACCTTGTGCCGTATGTCGGCGTTCCAGCTTTCATCTTGATCACCGGTGCCCGACTTGGGACATTCGCGCACTACAGATGGTTCGAGTTACAGAGTTTGACCAAGAAGGAGCGCAAGCGCGAGATCAGCAGGAGGAGATGGGACTACACGTGGTTCGGGACTGTGGCAATGTTGTTGGAACTGGTACCCATCTTGTCGTTCTTCTTTCTGTTGACTTCGACAACCGGCTCGGCTCTTTGGGCAGCTAAGATTGAGCACAGCACACGTCAGCCATCGCCAGCTCCAGCTGAGTCAGGCATAACTCCTGAGCATGCGGGAGAGGAGTCTCCTGATTCGCCACCTCCACCTTACTCTGATACTCCTGTGTGAGTAGACGTGGGTTTGGGTCCTCGGTCACCAGTTGGCTGCCGGACACGATGTTTGGGTGGTTTGCGAATGTACCACCCAACGTTGTTTTCCGTGTCCTTCATGGAGATGAATTTACCCACTGTTGGCATTATGGAAGTGCAGAGAAGGTGTTCCAAGCATTGACCATCTACTTCTGGTTTCAACCCACCCACCGATCCTACAAATCGGAATGCGAAGTTACTGTGACTGTCTACAAACGGCAATAGAAGCCTAAATTATGGTCTGCCGCGAGGAATTGTCGGTAGACTGAAGTCTTAGCGACAATCCATCACCGTTACACAAATCACTTCTGCTTTATGGTTTCTCCAATGACTAACAATGAGCCAGCATAATGATATTGGCCGAGATCAAGCCGCGAAGTTGCAATTCAAGGGAAGGCTGGCCTTGTAAACATGGAGAGGCATTTTGCAGCGTTCAATGTTCTCCATGCCGGGGCTGGACACTCGGAAACAACCACCTTTGTCTAATTGAGGCAGCAGGCGTCAACGCCATCGATGTGGGTTGCCTTCTTTCCTTCTTAGCTGCTGGCTTCAAGAGTCCGAGGTTTGTTGGGGGTTTTAGCAACCTGCGGCCGGTTCAAGGTCAATTGCATTGACATGTATATTTGTACAGTGGATACCTACAGCCGCAAATGCCGGTACTCGTAATCTATGCACAATTTGATGGCGGCGGATTTTGATATAGTTGTCTTTTGATAAGAACGCTGAGAATCTGACATACCAACCCACGCGTAGGACTAAGCCGTTTGCCACGCCTTCAGTGGCACTTTGGCCCTGTTGACTAGTTCCGTCGATTCTGATGCCATGAGGGCAGAATTTTTCTGACGTTCATTCCGTATCACCTGTATGTGTGCTCCTTCCTGGCCTCAGGGTCATGACGAAATTTCCCCAACACCCAACTGCAAGTACACCCATACACGTAAATTCATGGTCATTCTCATGGATGGACTGCTAAACATGCCATCGCAGAATCTCTTGGCGGTATGCTCCATGGCTTGATGGTCACGCATACGTAGACGCAGGGACGTTCACCGTAGTTGAATGGTGTGGAAGATATATTTGACGCAGCGCATCACAGCTCTCGTGCAATGAACAACATTGCGCTGGTGTACATCTTCAGCATCACTACGGTTCCGTCGGGTGGTGCGCTTCCTGCCTGGGACATTGTGTAGAATCTGTTGGGGGACGACCCCGAGCCTGGCTGTTGGTGCTCCTTCCCCGTCTGCTGGGCGTTGCGTCACTCCAATCCCAAATGCACCATTTCAATACGAGGACGCGGTCTAGCGCCTGCCAGCTCGACTGATCCGAGAAGAAACAGACAGAAGGCACACCGAAACAGACTGCTATGTCATCAGAGAAAATTCCACCCTCCTCAAATTTCCGCCTTTTCCCCTCTCTCACACTCATCTCCTCTCCATTTTCAACCTTCATCCTCCATCCTTCGTTTCTCAACTCCATTTCCGTCCCGATTCTCCTCCCGCAGGGACATCGTCACTCCTTCAGGACTACCATTGACCCCGTCGTCCATTCGTTCATTCTCTTCCGTTGTCTTTGACTCTACTACAACCATGAACCCTCACGCCCTTCTGGGCTTCGTTCTCGCTGTCCTGCTCCAGGTAGCAACAGCCCAGTCCTACGGCAATGGCTCTGGCGGTGGTCAAGGCCAGGGTGGTGGTGGCTCCTCTGGCGGTGTTCCTCCTAGTAGTGGCGGCCCTGGCAGCAGTCCTGGTTCCCCGTTGTCAGTTTCTCCCGTCGTTCTCACCTGTCCTGTTGCTCAGCCCACTACTGTGTTTGTGACTCTTACTCCCGCCGCTCTGTCCACCATCACTGTCACGGCTCCTGCTGGAGGCAACGGCCCCAATGGTCCTCATGGCTCGGCTTCTCCTCAGACTGGTTCATACCCATCCGCAGGATCTGCACCAGGTTGGTCCCCTGCCAAGACTGCCACTGTTCCCTGCACTACCGGCACTGGTGCCACTGCAGGCGTTGGCAACAGCCCATCAACCGGACTGTTCACCACTGATTATGTCACCATGTCTCTGCCCCCTTTCAACGGTCAGACTGCTGGCAGTCTCATCACTTACACCATCATCACACCTCTCGTTTCTGGCGGTGGTGCTCCAGGTTCATTCGGTGTCTCATCTACTCCTGGCGCTGGCAATGGCGGCAGCTACCCCTACCCTCTGCCCACGGTCACAGTGACCCAGACTCTCAACCCATCGGGAGCCAACGGGCCTGGCAACGGCATCCCCGGCAGCAACGGTGGTCCAGGTGCTTCTGGAAACCCCAACGATCCCAATGGTACTGGCGGCCCAGGTTTGAGCACACCTTGTGACACTGCCACTCTTCCTCATGGCCCCAATGGTCCTGGCGCAACTGCCAATCCCGGAGGTAACGGCAACCCCAATGGCCCCGGTGGCTCTGGTGCCTCTGGAAATCCCAATGGTCCCAACGGCCCAGGTGGTCAAGGTTTGAGCACATTCCCAGCTTCTGGCCTCGCTACTGTCACCGTCACTGTTCCTGGTCTTCCCGGCATCACTAGCAACCCGGGTGGTAACGGCAGTCCCAATGGCCCGAGCAGCTCTGGAAACCCGAATGGTCCCAACGGCCCGAACGGTCCCAACGGCAATGGAGGCTCAGGTCTCAGCACCCCTTGTGTCACATCAAGTCTTCCCATCGGCCCTGGAGCGACTGGCAACCCTGGCAGCAACAGCGGCAGTGTCAGTCCTGGAGGTGCCGGTGGCCAAGGTCCTTCCATTTTCCCTCCTGGCAATCCTGGAATTCCTGGAGGTCAAGGCTTGACGTCTCCTGTCACCGCTCCTGTTCCCGTCACTGTCACGGTCACTAGCCTTCCTGGTGGCGCCGGCAACCCTGGCACCAATGGTCCTGGTTCGGGAGGCCCGGGCTCTCCGTCCGGTGTCTATGGAGGAGGCTTTGGCAATGGCCCCAACGGTTCCAATGGTCCCAATGGTCCCGGCAATCCTAATGGCCCCAGCGGTCCCAATGGTCCAGGTGGCCAAGGCATGAGCACCACCTTCTTCACTGTGTCTTCCCCCATCACTGTTACTGCTCCCAATGGTCCTGGTGGCACTGTCAACCCGGGCGGCAATGGCGGCCCAGGTGCATCAGGTACCCCTGGGAGCCAAGGTGGTGCTGGAGGCCAAGGTTCACCTTCGGGCGTCTACGGCGGAGGCTCAGGCAACGGTCCCAATGGTCCCAACGGCCCTGGTGGCCAAGCCGGATCGGCAAGCCCAGTCACTGTCACTGTTCCCAGCAACCCTGGTGGCAATTCAGGCGGCCCAGGACCTGTCACTGTCACTATACCCAATGACCCGAATGCCAGTAGCTTCCCAGGTGGCTCCAATGGTCCCAACGGCCCCGGCAGTCCACTCACCATCACTGTACCAAGTGGCGGTCTTCCAGGAGGTCAAGGCACTGGAGTCACTGTCCCAGTTCCTCAAGGTACTCCAGCTGGTGGGTATGGAGGAGGCTCTGACAACGGTTCAGGCATTCCCAATGGTCCCAATGGCTCTGGCGGTTCCGGCAACGGCTCAGGCAGCCCCAATGGCCCCGGGAATCAGGGTGGTTCGGCAGGTCCAATCACTGTCACGGCTTCCGGTAATCCAAGCGGTGTGCCCGGCGGCCCTGGCGGCCAAGGGACTTCTGCTGGTCCAATCACTGTCACTGTCCCCGCGAACCCAAGTGGTGGCGTTCCAGGTGGCTCTGTCGGTCCTGTCACCATTCCTTTCCCTAGCGGTGCTGCATCAGGAGGTCAAGGTCCCAGCACATTTGTCACTGTTCCAGTCCCTCAAGGCACGTCTGGAAGCGGTTATGGCGGCAGTGCTCCTGGCAGCGGTTCAGGCGGTCCTGGTGGTCAAGGTATTTCGCCGTCATTCACCATTACCCAAATTTCCACCTTCCCTGGTACCCAGACCATTGTCATCTCCAACTCTGTTGCTCCTGTCGCCGTCACTTCTATACCATCCAATGGCTCAGGTGGCCCAGGCAGTGGTTCAGGCACTTCTGGATCTGGACCAGGCAACTCCGGCTCCGGCAACCCAGGCTTCGGCTCTGGCAGCCCAGGCTCTGGTAACCCCGGCTCCGGTAGCCCAGGTTCGGGTAACCCTGGATCAGGCTCTGGTAACCCAGGTGCGGGCAGCCCAGGCAATGGTTCCGGCGGCCCAGGAAATGGTCCTTCAACCCCATGCCCTGATGAGATTACCATTTTCCCAAGTCAGACCGGCAATACTCAGCAATCCACTGCTTTCCCTTCGGCGATCACTGTTACTGCAGGACCTTCATCTGGTGAGTCAACACCTTGCACTACTTCTTCCACTGCCATTCAGACATCGGGTGCAGCGCCGTTCACCCTTCCGTCGAGTGGATGGAACGCAACCATGTCGATGACTGCTTCTGGCACCGGTGCTGTCTTTGGAACCGGTGTACCACCGTCTGTCACACCTGCTGTGACTTCAATCCCTCCTGACTGCCCTTCTTTGACCTCCACAATGATCTCCAGCTCTGTGATCACTTGGTGTGCAATACCCCAGGCGACTTCAACGATCAACATTGGCTCAACTCCTTCTCCACCTCCTCTCAAACGTCAGGTGACTAATTCGGATCTTCCAGTTGTGCCCACCATATCTGCAGGTGGTTATCAGTGGGGTCAGAAGGTCAACAGCGGGTGTGGCCATGCAGCCGACAAGGGAGATTTCACGCTGAAGGTATGTGACTCATCTGTGTCCCATAGCTGATCACTCACTCTGATAACAGATGGATGACCTCTCTTCCCACTCTGTCAAGACTGCCAGACGAGACTCAATGCCCATGTTCAGTCCTTACCACCGGGTCTAGTTCTCCCAGTCGTTCAAGGTTACTGGTCCCTCTGCCACTCGCTTCCGTCCATCATCTGGAGACGCAATGCTCCAGTTCACTCCTTTAAATGCTTCCGACACTGTTGTCACGACTGAGAGAGCCAGCTTCGGCATGGGAGGTGGGCAGACTGCCAACTGCTTCGCCTTCAACTTCTATGGAGCCAGTGTTGGATGCGAGTCCGACCGTAGCGGCTGTGACTTCACATTCACCGGTATGAGGTTCGATGACAAGACCAAGAAGCAGGAGAAGGTTACTACTCAGACCATTCACGTTCCGGCCTGCCCCAAGAAGGACAAATGCGATTTACAGCAAGTCTCTGTCGCCGATTTCAAGGATGTGACATCTGTTCTCATCGATGTTGAGAGTGACGGCGAGGCACGTACGTGGTGGGCCGATGATCTCGAGCTTGGTTGGTTCGACAACAACTGCGAGGCAGCCAACTGCCGTTCAAAGGTACGCGACACCACCTTGACCAAGTCTCAGGGAAGACGATGGATCGCCTGAATCCACTCAGGTCTTCGGTGAAGATGAACGGTCATAGAAACACCTTTTTCATTTGCTGGCAACACGATTTTGCTCAATGTAATCGATGGAGGTAATGCGGATAATATCTCTTCGGGATGGGCGAGGAACAGAGGAGCCGACTGGCGGAGATGAGTCGTTTACATTTTGGCATTTGGTCGATCCATCACTTCGACTGTAGATAATTATGCTACCTACGTAGGCTCCACAATCTAATCATATCAGTACATTACTTGCCGTTCTCAGTTGGTGAATAAACGTGATTGAATCTGAAGCGGCAAGGCCCAGCTCTCCAAGATGTGGCTCATGGCACATTCGACCCACGAGCAGGTGCTTTTTGTGTCGGTTGTCGTGGGTGGCCAGCTGTCCGACTACCTGGACAGTCGATCAACACTGGCCAACGCCAAGTAACGCCATGACTTGAAGAGCTTTGATCCTTTGATCCTTTGCTGTTTCTCGCTCCAGAAGTGCCAAGTGTTTGCTTGTTGCCGAGGTGGAGTTGTCAATTGGCTTCACGGGCTCGCTGCATCTTTTCAGCCTTGCGGGCGGGGGCTTGTGGCTCTTGCAGGTTGTCTCACAAGCTTTCTGTTCTCTCACACGCAACTTGTCGCCAGACTGCGCGGCAGCGGTTGAGGGTTTAGCGGCATGGCAGCAAGGGTAGAGTAATTTGAACGGGGCGTCTTGCATCGGCAAAGTCACCCGACTCCCTGAGTTCCATGGCTACCCGCTACCCGCTACCCGCCAGCCCGCCAGCCCGCCCCTCTACCGGCGAATCTTGGGACAGCAAATTGTCACACGCATAGTTGCAAGCAGTAACCTTCACTCGATGCTGATGGCCCACCGGAAATAACACCCGCGCAAAGGACTTCCTTTCCGGGAATGACGCGGATGCGCGGCTGCTTGTTTACCGTCAAATCGGACTCAGTCTCGCCATTTGCTGCCTGTATCGTCGGTTTTGGGGCCATGGATCGATCAATCGTGGCTGCTGCAGGCAGTGAGAGGAAGCGAGACGTCATGACAAGGAGACAACCTTTCCCCAGTATAGCCCACGGCTGCGTCGCTCGACCACGGCGTTCCATTCGTTGCGCCAGCCTAATAAGAACCCGGCCATAATAATTCCCGGTCACCACCTCTATCGCGCTCTCGCTCACTCCCGGACTTCGTGCGCCGCATTCCATATCTCCAGTCTCTGCGACCCCGCTTTCCTTCCCATGTTTGGCCGCCCATGAAGACTTTCGGTATCCACCAGTTGCCCACTTAACAATGTGTCAAGGACCCTCCGATCCGGAGACCCAGGGAGACTCGCTCTGCTCTACGCCCTTTATTTCGAAATGTCAAGGGCTGATGGGGCCATGACTCCCATACCTCAAATTTTTTTTTCCCTCTTCCTCTGTTGGTTCGGATGTGACTCTTGCCAGTTTATTAACATTTCCAACATAAAGTGGACGTTCTGCCTCAAGGCCCATGGGTTCCCAAGACCTACATTGTTAATCAGTGCCCATTGACCTCATGACTGCAGACTAAGCTTATTGCCTTTGGTGTATGCCCATGGAAAGAAGTCGCTCATTATATCCAACGCCCAGCGTCACTTTATCCCACTTGCTTTCATTGTCAATAGCTTGCTTTAATCTTGAAAAGTATGCCTCCTACAAGAGCTTCAAACCCCGGGGAAGGTGAACTACCATCGGATATCGAGAAGCAGGTCGAGCCCATCGACGCTGCTCAGGATGGGCCTTCGGGAAGCGACAAGGATGATCGATCAGGATCAACTGACCACGCCTCGACCGATGACGACGATAACGATTGGGCAGTACCGCCGGAGCCAGAGTTCCTGAACACGGAGGCTGGCGGAGTTACTGGAGCATTGAGTCGGGTGCTGAGCCGGATCTCCACGAACGCCAGCTGGAATCCGGGTCCACCTCCGGATGGGGGCCGAGAGGCGTGGGTATGCGGTACGGCATCCTCCTGGTACTCCGATGCGGGCCTTTGCTAATGATCCCATAGCGCTCTGCGGACATCTTGTCATCATGAACACGTGGGGTTTTATCAACAGCTTCGGCGTTTTTCAGACGTATTACACGTCGCTCCTCGACAAATCGCCATCCGATATTTCATGGATCGGCTCGATTCAGGTCTTTCTGACATTCTTCCTGGGGACATTCACAGGTCGCTTCACCGATGCTGGCTTCTTTCGACCGGTACTCCTTCTCGGCACTGTATTCGTCACGATCGGCATCTTCACCACCTCCGCTGCCACTCAGTACTGGCAGTTGATCTTGTCACAGGGCTTGTGCATGGGTGTCGGAAACGGGTGTCTCTTTGCTCCAACCGTCTCGGTCGTCTCGACGTATTTTGAGAAGAAGCGCTCATTGGCCATTGGTCTTACCGCCTGTGGCTCCGTGACTGGCGGTCTGGTCTTCCCAGCCATGGCTCGTCAATTGCTTCCCTCTGTCGGCTTCGGCTGGGCTGTCCGCGCCATCGGTTTCGTGCAACTTGCGACGCTTCTGTGCGCCAATGTCTTCATGAAATCGCGAGTTCCGCCAAGGAGAACGGGTAGTCTAGTCGAGTGGAACGCATTCAAGGAGCCTGAGTATACCTTTTACGCGCTAGGCATGTTCTTCGTAAGTTCAACAAGTAGCTACCATTCGCAGCCTACTTGATCGGCTAACACACAGTAGAATTTCTGGGCCGTCTATTTCGGCTTCTATTACATCTCGTCGTTCAGTCGTGATGCCATTACTTCTGGGTTTGCGTACACCGATTCGTTGAACCTACTACTGCTCCTGAATGGCATAGGCGTGCTAGGTCGCATTCTGCCTAATCACATCGCCGATACTGTAGGGCCGCTGAACATGATGATTCCCGCGTGTCTCATCACCGGTATCGCCCTGCTTTCCTGGATGTCCGTACAGACCCCGGGCCAGCTGTACGCTTGGACAGTGTTCTATGGCATCGCGGCAGGTGGAATCCAGTCGCTCTTCCCGGCCGGGCTTTCAAGCCTTACCACCGATCTTAGGAAGCGCGGCACCCGCATGGGCATGACCTTCACCATCGTGAGTTTTGCTGTGCTGACTGGCAATCCCATCGCAGGAGCTATCATCACGGCCGAAGGCGGCAAGTATTGGGGTGCTCAGGTTTTTACCGGTATCAGTGTCCTAATAGGCATGTGCTTGATTGGGGCGGCGAGATTAGCGAGACAACGGAAAACGAAGAGCGGGTGGCGGATGAAGATTTGAGAGGCGAAAGGGTCGAGAATTAGTCCATAGGGCTCCGACTGCGGAATTTGACCAATAGATACCCCGATCCGTGGGATATACGGACATTACTGTAGATACAACTGCTGCATATAGATACCATCAGCACTCCGCCTCTGGATAAAGGCAATATATAGTCTCAGCACGTGTTTAAACGAGAAAATGCATTAATACTTACTCTGGGAGACCACCAACCCTGTCGGACCGGGCCTGATTGTGACATTGCGATTCCAGCAACAAATAAGGTCGCGCAATATCTGTTCGAATGACGGAATGCCGTTTCGGCCACTGGCGTGGCAGCATGGAACTCGGTGTGGACCCGGACGCTCGGTGGGCAACCCGCTGAGGGGTCGTGAATAAGCCGGAGGTAATGTGTAGCTCACTTATAGCGACATTGCTACTTCGTATTGCTGGATGTCATTTTCCAACTCATCTCCCCGTCTTATATCACACGAAAAATATTCTCTGTGCTTCCTATAGTTACTGTACTACAACAGCCATATTTTTGTTGATACCCTTTTGTACATTTTAGGAACATCGAAACTGTATTCTATAACATTGCCAAGACAACTCTGACTTACAACCAAGATGCCTCACGCTACCCCTCAGCTTTACCAATACTCCCACGTCCAAGAGACTAGGGAAAATCTGGAATGGGCAGATTGTAGGTGTCGAACATAATAACATGCCCCGGGCTGTATATTGGTCAAGTATTTACATGCGTCGCAGTGTCGAACATCGATCTCTTAAAGTACGGAACCCCTGAAGGCAACACCGAGCTCGCAGATACCCTCATCGAGGCTATCCGGACCAAGGGCTTCTTCTACGTCACCAACTTTGGAATATCGCAGGAGAGAGTCGATAGGCAATTCGCGCTGGGCCAGGCGTTTTACGAGCTTCCACTCGAGGAGAAGCTCAAGTACACCCCGGACCTCGACTCAGGCGATTACAATGGCTACCGGCCTGCCGGGAGGCGGGTGCTGAGCGGCGGCATCGTTGACAAGACTGAGGTTTGGAACATGGCTAGTGAGTGTTTTTCTTTCCCCCTTTCTTTTCTCTCTTCCCGTTTCTATTCCCTAAACTCTATACTCTATACTCCTGCGATTCGCGGCGCGTGATTGGCTCAAAGGTAGGATGCTAACACGGGCCCCTTTTAGCCAAGGATGGTCACATTACTCAACCTATTCCCCAACTGCTTAAGGATAACTTGGAAGAAATTGAGGTCTTCGCCAAGGTATGTCGCACATACCCTCAACTACCTCCTTTTGTCTGCCTAACGCAAACTTCTCAGGACCTGCACGACAAGATTCTCGACCCGCTTAACCATCTTATCGCACTGGCGCTGGAGCTGCCGCCCGACTTCTTCACCAAGGTTCACAAGTGGGAGACGCATGACGAGTCTCACCTGCGGTACATGAAGTACTCAAAGTTCAGCGAACGCGAGATCGAGCAGCTGGCCGACGGGCTGTGGTCGCGCGGGCACACGGACTTGGGCACCATCACTCTGCTATTCCGGCAGCCAGTGGCCGCGCTGCAAATCCGCGACCACAAGACTGGCAACTGGAAATGGGCCAAGCCGCTCGACGGCAGCCTCACGGTCAACACGTGCGACGCCCTCAACTTTCTGACTGGTGGCTACATCAAATCTACCGTGCATCGCGTGTCGGTCCCGCCCAAAGATCAGCGTCACGTCGACCGCCTCGGTCTATTGTACTTTGCCCGCCCCCAGAACGACCTCGTGCTCAAGACGATCGACTCGCCCGTACTGAAGCGCGCCGGCTTCACGCAGAATGAGTTCGAGCAGGGCGGCCACAAGGTGCCCACGATGGGAGGTAAGTACACTATCGGACATCCCCTTTCTTTGCTAGGCATCGTACCATATGCATAACTGACACCGTGTGCCTTTTTTAGAGTTCACCACGCTTAAGCAGCAGTGGCAGCAGAGGAAAGGAACCAGCTACGAGTCCTCCGAAGGCCAGCAGATACTACCGGGTTTCAAGGGCCAGTACTTTGCATGAATGAAGAGTTTCGGGTAATCGAGATGTTTTATAACACCGATATTCCAACGAGGGATAACAAGGATATCAATCACCTAGTATACAATTTATACTTATACATTGAGAGTCAAATCTGTACCCTCATTGGACCCAGAATTGCCGTGCTAATCTTTTTTCAAGATATTTGGCGTTTTTCAATATTTGAGTGTGAACATTGCCATCAGGATCCTCTCTAATATGGCATTTGGTACGGTTTTCGAGGAGGTCGAAGGCTGATCTATTGCGGAACTTGAACAAGCTGAATATGACACCCGATATCTGGCCCAGGTCTCCCTCGCCGGCCTTATAGAGACGATCAAGTGCCTCAAACAACTGACGAGCAGCGGCAAGGCATAATCCGAGTTTTGACCCAATGCCATAGTCATCATAGCCAATAATGGTGTGACAGTATGCAAAGAAGCTGCGGTTTCCCCCTCGGAGGAGTCCAGAGATAGTAGGTACCATAATAGTATCATAAACCCTAGCATTGTTGCTTCTGGGTCGAGCGCGGTACTGAATGCAGAGGAGCTTGTCCACGGAAGACTAGCACCTGGGTTCGGGCTGCCAATAGATACTGACCAAACCATTCCACCAAATGCTCTTGTACTGTGTGATATCTCGCCACAGGCTCTTTCCGACCCAGTAAACGACCGCCATCGAGCACGTACATTAATGGGGTTTGTGTTGGTTGCCCTTGTCTTCATTTCGCACCCCGAGAGAAAAGCGTTCTGGCGTTGGCCAACATATCAAACAAACCCCCCTAATCGAACGACCGACAGGCAAGGAACTACGATGACCAGAATTTGCGGCTATCTGGATATATAAAAGTGTTATGATAGTGAACTTACCCTGACTACCTTTGCCAGGTAACCCCTTAGTACGATGGATGTCAAAACGTTATGTAGCAGCCTGCTCGACAACTGTCCAGCAGCTGCTCATACTCCTTGAGCTTCCCTTTCTCTCTCTATCTCTCTCGCTATCTCCTCTTGCACTTTGGATATTATCTATTGCCAAGGTGTTTGCGGACTGCTCGGGTCATAACCGAGGTTCTGTTCTAGTTTGGGCCACCAGCGTGGAAGACGTCATACTTCAGTTCAAGTAATGCAGATCCCCGCAAAGACCGACAGGCCAACCAAGTTACAAGGTCAACAAGATGTAAATGAACCTTTATTTAACCAAAAATTACAATTATCACGCTCTCATCTTCAATGCTTCAAATCATATCATAGCCCAATAATAGCCAACCATTTATTATGCCACCCTCAGGACTCGCGATACTCATTGGCGCTGGTGAGCCTTACTCTTATACTCTACATTAGCATGTATCCGGTTTTGACACACTTTCCATCCAGGCCCAACATCAGGGGCTGGTATCGCCCGCGTCTTAGCTAGCCCAGCACACGGGAACCTCGCTGTGGCCCTGTTAGCACGGAACAAGGATAACCTCACCAGCTTGTGCGAGTCGCTGCGCCAGACCTCGGGGGGTGGCCTTCTGCATGCATTCCCATGCGACACCAAGCCCTCGAACCTGCAGCAGACGTTCGCGGACATCGGTGCACACCCAGACTTCGCGGGCTTGAAGCTACGCGTGGCCGTATTTCACGTTAAACACTCACTCAAGAAGCCGTACCTGCAGACGGCACCGGACGAGTTCGAGCGCAACGTGGCTGAGTACACAACGGGGGCCTTCGCATTCGGGCAGGAGAGCCTGAAAATGATGTATGCGCAGAACGGCGGCGAGACCACGCTGTCACAGGACCCGGCCAAGAAGGGCACCATCATCTTCACGGGCACGCTGGGCGCGTTGCGCACCAACGCCGAGTTCAACGCGTACGGTGCAGGCCGCAGCGCCGTGCGCATGATCGCCCAGGGCCTCGGCAAAGAGCACTCGGCCAAGGGAGTCCACGTCGTCCACACCATCGCCAACGGTGGCATCAAGGACGAGACCGGGGAGAACAACAAGAACATCAGCACGGGCAAGATGATGAGCGCCGAGAGCGTGGGGAAAGTATATCTCTGGTTGGCTAATCTGGAACCCGACCTGTGGGTTGATGAACTTGACTTGAGACCGGCACAGGAGAAATGGTGATGATGAAGGTGCATCATACAGCCTTAGGAAAGTAAGTTCTGCTAAGGGCTCCTATCAGGACATAGAAACATGTCCAATTCCAATTGCTTATTATATTTGCTTAGGAAATGTTTGTGATTCTGAGTTTCCATATAATTATGGACAAACTAATTAAAACAATAACCAATACCAATGCGGAAGTCGTTTCGATGATAAACCCTTAGCAAAGTAGTTTGGTGAGTTTTGCATCACCCTCAAAATGATTCATAGGAGCGGATGGGACAAAACTGTGTCACCATATACTTGTTCATCCAGCCTTGCATATATAAGGTGAAATCCCAACCCATATTTCGATGGTCGTGTCCCGGCGATTGTAGAGTGAAAAGCAACAACCAGAAGCATAGCTTAGTATTCCATCTGACGCAATTATAGAATCAACTCCTGTAGGTTTTCAATGGCCTCTCTTGCCATTTTGTCTTCGTCCTAACTTGCTGCTGGTACTAATATTTCCGCTTTCGGCCGCCGTTGTCCAGGTACAATTCCCATTGCTTCGGAAACTCCTCTGGAATGATGCGAGTAAGACCAACGTGGGCCATGACCTGCAACAGGCCGAGAGACATCTTCCCGCTCATAGGCTGCGCCTTGATCAGATTCCTCCCGTAAAGTTTTAGCATCTGATTCACCCGCTGGTACTTCTGAAAGTCGTTGTGATCAGGTGAGACCGGAGCCGGTCCACCGCGGAGCCGAAATGGTTCCAACGTGCAGAGGTCATCGATACCACGTCCCTCAATGCTCAGAAATGGAGAAATCCAGCTGTACAGAGCGAGGGCTATCTTGCGTCGAACAATGAGGCCGGCAGGCTCGATGGTGCTGAGCTCCCCATTTATAAACTCTAGATAAATATCTGTGCCCTGGACTTGAACGACCGATCCGAGCTGGCCAGCCATGAGATTTGGCGGGTTCACAGTAAGTTGGTCGTGAGGGCTCACAGAAACATCAGTTAGGTGTCCGGCTCGTGTGGATGAGACATGATTGCACTTTGCATCCTCATGACTAGCTGGGGCTTCTGGTATGTGAACCGTGTGTTCCGAGGAGGTGCTTCTTTTCGGCGCCTTCTTCCTTGAACGCCCTCCACTTATCGGGTTGATGGAAGATTTGCGGCGCTTAGGCATCATGAGAACGTGATGAATTCTGGGCCACCTGTAGTAAAGTTCTCACGATGCCGCTCTGGATTGGGGAAGAAGAGAGTTTGTGGGCGTTGTCTCTCGCTGATATGATGGACGTGCGCAAATTCGGGCCTTGTTTGGCTTTCTGGGCCAGGTCTTGAGGATGTATTAAATTCCAAGAGCTGTTTCCACCGACAAAGAGCAAGTTGACGCCTTATATCTGTATGCTGGCCCACCAAAGCTTGACGCTGCCGTCTAGTTTGATGGTTCGTAACTATTCGTCTGCCAGCCCTAAGTTTCACTTCAGCCCGTGCGAAAACTCATTGACGGACGCTGCATTAATACCTAGGCTTGCTGCGTGTCTCGAATAGTATAGGCAATATATCCGAGGGCACAGCTGCCGATGGTGTGCCCGGGAACTCAGTATAACAGGAGCCTCCTGCATGGCTGAAAGTGTTCAATGGAGGTCCACCCAAAAGATGGGTAAGGTGGGTAGTAGCCCCTTACCATACCAGCGACGAGCAAGAAATGTTCCATGCATTGAAGTACCAATGCCATGACAAGGTTCTGATCTGAAGGGCCAAGGGCGCCAAACATGCAAGAGAACATTCCACAACTTGCTCTTAAAACTCCGGGTCGAATTGGATCCGCACGACTGGCTCCTCGAACTGTCATCACCGTTCAAGACTGGGTCGCCCAACTCTTTAGGTACTTATTGAGCATACCGTGAACTCGCTACGGTTCATCGTGATGGTGGCCGTTAAGCCGCTGAGCCTTGCACACAGTTCCCCATCATCTGAACTGTGATAACAACGCGTCAATACTCTGGAGCTTTTTCCCTCGAGATCGGCTGGGCTGATCTTGGTTCTCAGCCGAACGCTTTGCAGGCACGACTTGAGGAGACGACTTTTTCGGCTCTGCCATGCTTGAACGTATGAAAGTCCAATGAACCTCCGGCTGGTTGTCTAGCATTTCGGGTCGTGGACAAGGGACATCGAAGCAATCGATTCTTCCAAGACTAATGGAAGCAAATGGTCGCGAGGGTGCAAGCAGTTGAGGAGGATCGGAGTCACCGTTCGCAAGAGCCACCGCCTCCTCAACAGAGAGACCTGTAGCTCGAAGATCTCGATCCTTCAATAACTTCCCAACTTGAGAGTAGAGAACATAGCCCCAGATGCCACAGTTGAGAGTACTGATGTGGCTGTTGTAATGCTCTCGGGATCGTATTGGCCGGGCCGGGTTTATGAGGCCGATTGTCTGATTTATCTGATCGACTGGAATAAACTTAACCAGTTGTTCGGTGGCAGCTAGAGCATCGATGTAATCAACGACGAAGTCCATTGAAGGTAAATCATCAGGGTTTGTCAGAGCAGCTATCGTTGCGAGAGGGGCATCGATTGTGAGTTTCGTCTGGCCACTGCGCCAGACTTTGCCGATGCGACACCAGCCAGAGGCGTGAACAGATAGCCTTTTCCAGTCTTCTCGCCTGCCAGCAACATCATACACGGCAAGGGATGGAAACCTGGAAACGAAACCGAGCGATTCTGCCGTCGTGAAATCGTTCCCCCATATCTTCAAGACTCGCAAGCACGGAAATGCGCCAGGTTGCCGTGACCATTCCCTGAGTACGCGATCGCTGACTCTAGGAAACTCCGATGCCTTGGAGAGGTATCTGGGTTGGATGATCTCAAGGACCCCAAGGTTTTTCAACTGTGGCAGGCTGAGAAGCTCGTTGACGGAGAAGGATGCACCACTGGCGAGCGTCAGATGAACGATGAAGTCAAAAGATGTCGAGGTCATCGGCTTGATGTATGACAAGAGAGGGGCATCCGGCATTTCTATCTCGAAATCATGGCTGTAGAGTTTCAGTGGCATGCTCTTCAGTCTGGGATGTGTTGACCCATAGAGGTAGGTCGCACACAACTTCCAGGCATGGAAGCTGATTTCACTAGAGCAACATGGTCAACCGCAGGCCGCGAAAGTAGTAGGGATTTGAACAGTAAAGTGAATGCACGAGGCCTAGTTCTGCATTCATGTTGTTTGAGAATGTAAGCAAACTTACCTATGAGAAGCCTGGCAGTAATCCCATATATCCCATACCAAGTGCTCCGGCACGTCTCGTAGATCGTCGAGGTAGCCGAAGTTGTCCCCACAGACAGTCACAGCCATGGCCTTCAGGCACCGCGGGCCCTTCGATTGAGCTCGACGGATAGCATCCAGTCGCAGTGTCGCTCTGCGATGCCAGTCATTTGTCCAAGTCGAGGGCTTGCGTTTCGTCGCCGCGACCTGGCTCTCCCGGTATATCAACCCGGTGTCCGGGTCATAGCGCCGGCCCTCGGCATTCATCGCCATCGCAGAGATCTTGGTACAGGCTCTGTGCCAGTTGAGCAAGCTGTGCTCAACCGGAGAGGCTGCACGACGTCAAATGACTGCGCAGTGGATGTCAGGTGACGTTGCCGGTGGGCTGGTTTCGGGGCATCATATCATCACCATTTATGCGTCTAAACACGCCATGACGAAGGCACGCAAAGGGGAGGGACAACAAGGATCTCCCAGGCCCAATTCGAGAGGATACCAACGGAACTTGGATCAACCAGGATTTTGTCAAAATGCGACGAGCCCCGAAGCCTGCACCGCCGTACAATGCTGTTCGAGACCTAGGACTGAGTACGTAGTTGTAGGTGGACACCGTCCAAGGCTGCATTTCTTGAAGTGGACCGTGCATGCATGCTGATATATGCACTACTCGCACAGTGGTACAACCACGTAGGTACGGTTTACACTACTGAAAGCTACGTGAAGGCAAGAGCTCGGGGATTGCAAGTAGGGGAGCATGTCGTGGTGGTATCAATCATGTTTATTTCCCAACTCCGTGAGGCTCAAGACAAGAGACTGGATGCGGTATCATCCTAGCTACCCACATATGTAAATGGCCGTTTGCGTCTCAATTTGATACAATACAGGTACGCCCTCAACTTTGCACGCTTACAACATCGGCTTCAGGTCCTCTGCAACTGTGAACGGCGCTTCGGTCTTGCTCTTGATCTCATCGACTGTGACACCGTCGGCAATCTCAATCAGGGTCAAGCCGTGCGCAAAGTCAACATCGAAGACACCCTGCAAAATCGCATTAGTACTGCTTGGGACGTGCGGGGGAAGTACGGATCAATGACTTACAAGTTCAGTGATGATCCTCGAGACACAGGCACGGCCGGTCAGGGGGAAAGCGCACTGCTTCATGATCTTGGGGTTGCCCTTCTTATCGGTGTGCTCCATCGTGACGACGACCTTGGTCTTGCTCGGGTTGCTGACGAGATCCATGGCACCACCGAAACCCTTGACCTTGCCTGGCAGCATCCAGTTTGCCAGGTCACCAGTGGCGCTGACCTGCATAGCACCCAAAATGGTCAGGTCGATACGGCCGCTGCGGATCATGCCGAAGCTCTCTTCGCTACCAAACACGGCGGCACCGGGGTTCAAGGTGACGGTCTCCTTGCCGGCGTTGATCAGGTCGGCGTCCTCCTTGCCCTGCTTCGGGTAGGGGCCCAGACCCAGAATACCGTTCTCGGACTGCAGCTGCACCTCGACCTCAGGACCGACGAAGCTAGGAGCCAGCATGGGCATGCCGATACCCAGGTTGGCGTACATGCCGTTCTTGAACTCCTTGGCCGCCCTGCGGACGATCCGCTCCCTCTTGGCGGCAGTGTCACCGGTGCCCAGCGCCTTCTTTGCGTCCGGGTCGTTCTCATCCTTTGCCCAGGTGAACTTCTCAATGTTCTTCTCGACTGTGCTCTGAATCACGCGCTTCACGTAGATGCCGGGCAGGTGGACGGCCTCTGGGGGGATCTCGCCGGGCTCCACGATGTGCTCAGCCTCGACGATGGTGATCTTGGCGTTACGGCCCATGGCGCCGTTGAAGTTGTTGGCAGCCAGACGGAACTGGCAGTTGCCGAGCTTGTCGGCCTTGTAGGCCTTGACGAAAGCGTAGTCTCCGTCAATGGCGTGCTCCAATAGGTAGGGCTTGCCGTTGAAGACCTTGACGTCCTTGGGGTAAGAGAACTGCTCTGCCGACCCGTCGGGCTTGTTCTTGAGGGGCAGGTCGCCGGTCTGTACTACGGTTCCAAAGGCTGCTGGCGTGTAGAAGGCCGGAATGCCCTTGCCGCCCGAGGCACAACGTTCCGCCAGCGTTCCCTGGGGTGTGAGTTCCAGCTCCACCTCGCCCGTCAAGTACATCTTCTCAAAGGTCTTGTTCTCGCCAATGTAACTCGCAATCATCTTGCTGATCTGTTTCGTCTTCAGCAGCTTGCCCAGCCCCGAGCTATCTGTTCCGGCGTTGTTCGACACGGCAGTGATGCCCTTGATTTCGGGCTTGTTGAGGACTTCGTCGATTAGAGTGTCGGGAACACCACACAGACCGAAACCGCCACACAGAAGCGTGGAGTCAGACTTCATATCCTTCAGGGCTTCCGAGGCGGACGGGTAGACCTTGTTGATCTCGGCGCGGCGGGAGGTTGCCGAGAAAGCTCTCGCGAGCACGAGGTGATGCTGCAAAACGAATGGTTATCAGCTACCGCTGCATTCACACGCTTCCGGAGCACCTCCGGAGCACCTCCAGAGCAATTGGATGCGGCGGTGGCACTCACATTCGCGCCATACTTGGAGTATGCCCTCAGGGTTCGCATACACATAGCAGCGGACGGCATCTCGGCGGGTGTGTCAATTCAGGTGGCTTGTGATTTGGAGGTGGGAGGATTAATGGGTACGACTTCACGGTCGGCGAGACTGCAGCGACAGAAGCACACAAAAGATTGGTCAAGAAGACGACAGAACCCCCAGAAGATCGAAACAACTGTATAGCTTTCCAAGTGCGAGTCGGAGACAGGAGACGTGTAAATATTTACCCCATGGGAGCTCGAGCCGGCTCCATCCGCGGGCGCCTGCTACTCCGCGCTCGGAAGATGCCACAGCTGGGTCGGGAGCGCAGTTCGGCAATAGACCTGGGATACCCGTCCTGTCGCTGCTGTGTATGGTGCTAAGGGCGACCAATTCCGCCAGCTAGACTGCAAATCTGGCTCGGAATCGGAAAGTGGCGGGACAAGACCCCGGCGAACATAGCCGACAAGACAAAAGCACATTGTGCTGTCTACGTGTAACCCGTAACTAGACCTTTCAAAAGGCAGGTATAGCCATCTTAGGTGGTGATGAAGTGTATGTATGCTACGGTCGACTGACCGAGTCCCTGGTAGTAGCTGCGCACGAACAGTGACATTGCCCTCCTCCGGTCGTACGGTGGACGTCTCTGGCAATTGTTTCTTCCGGGCGTGTTCTCTGGACCCTGGCCAAACCCTCCCGAATGCTGCCGAACCGTGGACAGGCCAACGGCGAAGGTTTTACCCCACAGAGCGGCTGCATTTTGTGGAGAGATCGCTCAGCCAGAGCTCGACGACTAAACTACAAATGCAGATGGTCGAGTCAGCGAGGCTGCTGCTTGAGGTTGGGGGAACCTGGCGACCGGCAGATTAATCAACCGCAGCTAATGCTGAGCTGCAGGACGACGATGGCGGACTAACTTAGCCCTGGAGGTAACTGAGCATTGGAGGGTCGGAGGGTCCTTCGATTGCACCGCCTGCAGTGCACCGCCATGTGCAGGGAGACGCGCTGTGGCTGGAGCACCCAGAGTATACCAGCGCTCTGGACCTCCGGCAAGACACAAAAAGACCCCACTGTCACCTTATCGATAATCAGATAACGCTGCAGCACCCCAAAAATTTCTAGGACGGCGGCTTTCGTTCTCCTGCTTGAGAGCGAGAAAACGTAGCACGCCGACAGGTCGCAACCTTTCGCATCCAACAGAAATCATGGAGGCGAGTACGGCAAAACGGCGGAAGCTTAGCCACGGAGGCGGAGGACCTGCTTTCCTGGCTGGGGCATCCTCCGGGTCAGCATCCAGTGCCCTCATTGAGGCAACTCAGGAGCTGGTCAACGACGTGCAGGTCGACTATGGCCAGGCATTCGAGGGCGTCGACCAGACATTGCGCCAATTCAAGGAGACCATAGAAGCCCTCGAGCCACATGATCCCGAGCTCGTGAGTTTTGGTCCCAGGATTTGCCCGTTGGCGCATGCACTGACATTCACAGATTACCAAAATCACCGCATCGTTTCAGAAGAATGAGAAGATCACCGTACCCTATCCCAGCCCCAGGCCCGCGAAGGATTCGCCATACAAGCTGTCCTTCGCCAAACCCTCTCAGGTCAATGTCGTTGGCTCCTACCAGCTCCGCACCATGGTCAGGTCCCAGCCCGACATGAGCGTCGACATGATTGTCGTCATGCCGGCTTCAATCTTCCAAGACAAGGACTACCGCGATGGCCGTTACTTCCTAAAGAGATCCTACTACTGCGCCTACATTGCTGCAGGCATTCGCAAATCTGCTCCGTCGTTTGATATTGCCTTTGACCACCTCGAAGGAAACCAACTGCTTCCCGTTGCGGTCGTGCGACCCAAAGGTACCAAGTCCGACAAGAAGGGCTACGCCATCCGAATCATCCCTTGTGCCCCCGACGGCCTATTTCCGACGGCCAAGCTTGGGCTCACCAGCAGTAACACCAAGGATTCCACAAAGCCTACCCCTTTCTACAACTCAACCCTGAGGGCCGAAAGCCTCTTCGTGCCGTATCTCCGACTGCTGAACAACGCAGCCAAATCGTGTCCTGCCTTCAGGGAAGCATGCATGCTAGGCAGGATATGGCTTCAGCAGCGAGGATTTGGTTCCTCCTTATCAGAAGGTGGTTTTGGTCATTTCGAATGGGCCGTCTTGGTCGCATTGCTGTTGCAGGGAGGGGGTCGTAAGGGTGAGGCCGTGCTCTCCAGTGCGCTGAACAGCTCTCAGCTCTTCAAAGCGACGATGCAATACCTCGCCCTCACAAACCTGCAGAAAAAGCCTGTCGTATTTGGATCTCAGTCAGCGCCGGACAGTCTCCGACAAAACGGCCCCGTTGTATGGGATGCAGCCCGAGAACACAACCTTTTCTTCAAGATGACATCATGGGCCGTCAACTTCCTTCAGCAGCAAGCCAAGTGGTCTCTCGCCGGGCTCAAGAGCGACTCGCTGGATCAGTTTGACTCACTATTTGTTGTCAAAGTCGACCAGATGCTGCAAACGTTTGATCTCGTTGTCAAGATCCGGTCAACTGCTCAATGTGATGATTCCGGGGGCGACACCAGTCGCGGCGTGGCTTGGGACTTTGCCGAAAGACTACACCGTGTGCTCAAACGGGCCCTTGGCGACAGAGCCCAACTTGTGCATGCCGTACTTCCCAAACACACGGCGTGGTCTGTCACGGCGAACCCGCCGGGCAAAAAGGGAGGCGATATTCTCATTGGTGTGGTAACTGACCCGTCTCTTGTCGCTCGAAAGATGGACTTGGGACCGTCGGTCGAGCAGAAAGAAGAAGCGGCAAAATACCGAGACTTCTGGGGGGAAAAGGCTGAGCTGCGACGGTTCCAAGATGGCAGTATTCTAGAGTCCATTGAATGGAATTTGGACTCTGAAAGGAGTATTCCGGAGCAGATCATTCGCTACGCCGCCAAAAAGCACTTTACTTTGCAGGGGGATGACCTCAGCTTCTTTGGGGCCAACAGCTTCTCAAAGGTAGCACACCTCTCATATTCAGACGCCCAATATTTTTCTGCGGCGAGGCAAGGGTTCGAGTCTCTAGAAAAGGAGATTCGTGAAGTGGAGGATCTACCGTTGCACGTTCGGCAGGTCGCTCCAGTTGCTCCCGAGCTCAGGTATGCATCTCTGCATCCGCCATCTCCTGCTTCTCGACTTCCCATGGACATTGCCCTGTCCTTCGAAGCCTCGGGAAAGTGGACCGACAACGTGGCTGCAAACCAGCGCCTAAAGATGGCATTCTTGTTGAAGCTAGGGGCTTCGTTGGGTGAAACAAACCCCGAGATCAAAACACATATTGGGCTGGAACAGGTCAATCATGATTCTCGGAATATTGCATTCTTGGATGTTTCATACGAGGATGGGTTTGTCTACCGTATCCGTCTGCAGAGTGATGTCGACGAGAAGATCTTGGAGACTCAACTCAGGAACAAGCAGTTGGACCGGCAGGCATTGCAAGACGCTGCCGAGTCCCTGGCCATCTGCAAGCGACTCTACACCAACCTGCCTCTGCACAGTCAGACGTTATCAACTTGGTGCACTAGATACCCACCACTGTCAGACTCGATACGGATGCTCAAGTACTGGTTCAGCTGCCACAGACTTGCGTCTCATTTCAACGAGGAGCTTATAGAACTATTTGCTCTGAGGGCTTTCATCACACCGTCGCCCTGGCAGGTACCGACCAGCGCGATGACTGGCTTCCTTCGAGCTATTCACCTGATTGCAAGATGGGATTGGATTGATGAGCCGCTCGTCATTGATCACTCCGAGTCTATCACAGCCGCCGATCGTTCTGCCGTATCAGCTCAATTCCATGAGTTGCGACGGCAGGATCCGCGAATGAATAGAGTCGTTCTATTCGTGGCTACATCTCATGACACGACTGGCACTGCCCATACTCGGAATGGGCCTTCTAGAGTCGTGGCTAATCAGATGACAAAACTTGCTCGCTCGACCTGTGAGGCCGTGAAGAACAAGGGCGTAGACCTTGATCCCCGTTCACTCTTCCAGTCATCTCTCAAACATTACGACGTTGTTATTCGTCTCAACTCTAAGGTTCTGAAGGCCATGATGCGAGATGATGGTAGCAAGCACTCCCAATTCAAGAATCTCGACAAGCTTCATGGGGAGTCGGGTCCTCTTCCTCTGATAGAACTCCCCGCCAAGACTCTTGCCAAGCAGTTGAATGCTATTTACTCCAACGCCATTGTCTTCTTCCGCGGCGCTGGGGACGACAATATCATCGCAGGTCTGTGGAATCCTGAAATTGGGACTAGGACCCGCAAGGTTGACATGCCCTGCGCATACAAGCCCGACGGCGAGGGGGAATCACTCCAGGTTGACCGGGAGGCCATCCTGTCAGAGATCGCAAGGGTTGGTGGAGATGTGATAGAAAAGATCGAAGTAAAAGGAACACAATGAGCAATTGGTGACAGTACATACCACGAGCACCTAGATAAACAAGTCAGTAGCATTGCATGATACCCGGTAGAGCGCAGCATAGAAAATCGAGGGTAACTTGAATCAAATCTTCCCATATTCGGGTGGTCATCGCCATGGACTTTGTCATATCTTAGGTGGACTATCTTGGCCATATAAGCGTTTAAGCAGCCCATCAATTGAAAGCCAAGGTTTTGGTTCCCTGGCACCAAGTTCTCGGTGTGGTTGCTGAAGAAAGCTGTATGCCGTGTTCAAATGATCCCAAGATGTACAGTTCGATATCAGAGGTCCCGTGGTGTCTGTGGAGCGCCTTTCGTTAACTATCTCACCTAATCACCCATCTGGCTGAAGGTAGTTGAACCGCGGCTATCTTGCTACACATGTGAATTACGTGGCATTCCGTCTGGCCCTAGGGACTTCCTGCAAACTATACCAGCACCTAGACGACAGGATTGTGTTCGAAACACACGCATATCCGTGGTCGCCTGACTCTGCAGACGACAAGTGACCTATCAGACAGTCGGATACTTGGAGTGGACCTCGGTATCTGCTTTTACAATTGCAAAGGCTACTTCCCTCAGGAGCCCATAGAGGTCGCTGGCGTGTCCATCATTGGAGAGTTCCTTTTGCCCTCAAATACTGACCACACGGAGGCGCAGCTGGCTAGGCCAGGTTCGGTGCCCCGGACGGCCAAGACCGAAAGGGCCGAGGCATGTTTTCTTATTCCTCTGGGGAAGCAGATATCAGGCTTAGCCTGCAGCGGTCTTTGTCGTTGGCATACGCCACACACAGGTATGGTGGTCTGTGTTTCGGAGGTTCGAGAAGTTCGATTTATACCGTTGCATACATGTTCGATAACGCAAGAGAATATCTGCCGCCCCTGGGCTTGTGCTCACGGAACTCATCCGGACCCAGGTGGGTATCGACCGGGTACCCATCCAATCATACATGCGGGTAGATTGAGAAAAGACTTAAAATGGTAGAAACATTGCACCCGAGGATGTGGCTGTCCGTTGTGAGTAGTCATGTCTTTCCTACCTGGGAAGCTTCAACATCGTTGTCTGTGCTTGAGTAGCTGATGGGGCCTCAAACGGTCAAGGTCAAGTTACCAGGAGAGCGTTCACCACCACCTCAGGGAGGGATCCCAGCCTGGTGCCCTGGATACCTTCCCAACGTACTAGCATCTGCGCTCATCTTCGCTCGCGGCCTTAAATTATCACAGGAACTTATTAGCAAGGTAGGTTACCTGCGCAGAACGCATTTCGACGAATGCGGTAGTCTCCTCTCCCCAATACCTTGACTTTCCAAGTCGGCGATCTCGGGGACTTAGGGGAAATACCAGCTTAGATCCCTGCGCCGGGATTCTTCTAGACGACACACGCGAGGTCGTGTTGCAGCACCGCATGGAATTGTAGTTGGTTAGCAGGCGTGCATGTGGTACCGATGTCAGAACAGATCCTGGAAGACCCCCAGATCTCTCAAGCGTTGCCGCATCTGGTTCCGATCGGGTGGGACGCCTGTGTTGGCCGGATCTGGTATATCCCCCGGTTCATTCGCAAGCTCCTGGTGCTTAACACTGGCGGATATATGAATTATACGCTGGAACGAAGAGTTGCCCCCCGCCGGAAATGTGATGTACTCAAATTGTTTGTAGAGCAGAAGCAATCGTGTCGTCCATAACCTATCAATGTGTGTGCCGATTGTTCATCGGTCGCTTTGCTGGTGACCGTTTCATGTACAAATACCGACCGGCAGGAAGCGCGCCATTACGACGGCTCTAAGCAGCATCATATCCCTAATGTATTGGGTTTCCTCTAGGTTTTATAGGGTTGAATGGATCTTCACGCGACAAATTCACGATCTGGTTTCTTACGTCGTGGGGCTGTCAGTGGAGTTGTCAACGAGCAAGCCGGGACCAGGCCGCCCTTTGTGCCTTGCGTGCTCCCATGTTGTGGCTATCTCGGTTCGGCACGGAAGCCGCGGTGAATAGAGACGCGCCTGGGGCAGATCCTTGCACTTTGCTGTTATCTCCAAGCAGCATGGTTTGTTTCCTGGGTTCGGTTGCAACTGTTGGAATATAACCTACGGACAATTGACTGATCCAGTACCTTGGATCAGCGGTCGGTAGGGCTGCTAGACTAAGTCTGCCTATCGATTAGTTTCCGACGTGCACTAAGCAAGAGGGGCTTGCTGCAGCAGAATGGTAGCATTTCCGGCCTGTTACAGCGCTATCCTTGCCAGTCTTGCCCCTTGACGCGCTGAAGTCGTTAGCAGAACCGTTCCCGACTCCTGGCCCTGGGTTCTGGCCCAGTCCCCTATTGGCTCATCCGGTTCATCGGCATGTTGGTATATGGAACGGGCGACACCAGGTTGGGTAATGACAAATCCCCGCGCACACGACAAGTGATGTTGCAAGTGTCAAACAAGATGACTATACTGAAGGCCTCGGCCGAGGACCGCTCCAGGAGCCCCACGCACCGCTGTCCGCGGTTCGTTCCTCATGCACCAACACCGCGGGGGAAAGCAAGCAGCAATGGCTTGGTAAACAGGGATTGTGAGGATGGGGCTGTGGAGATCTCGAATGCGAGTTCGATAAGGGTGAATCTTGCAGGGTACAGAAAATCGACATCCGAGTGACTCGTATCATTCCCCGTCCGTCTCTGTGGTTCCCCGGTCTGGAGAGTCTGCTTCTTAGCAGAGGAAGGAGAGCAGAAACGAGGGGCTTCCGGGCATGGTGGAGGGAACCCCTGTTACACTAGTCGACGACCCTTGCTGCCATGTAGTCAAAGCGTGCCAACCTCTACCAGGCTCTACTCCACCAAAGCCCGACTCCTAAACCAACCTAGAACCCAGGATCGAGCGCGCGGTGGATATCCAGCGGGACTTCCCTTGGGAAACGACATGGAAGGGGACTCATTGCCGGCGACAAAACCAGTCCTGCCAATGAAGTCGATCCAGAAGAAGCAACTCTCAGCCATCCTTTTGACTCAATGACTCGACGTCCATCTGTGCACCCAGCAACACCCTTGTGTAACTGACCAACTTACCTCGGGAGTCGGGGACAGCACACTGCATGTTGTTTCTGTTCGTCCCCTCTTTCTGCCTCAGCTTCCCAAGATCGACTAGGTCCATCCCAGCTTGAAGAATCCCTGACGCGCCCTCTGGAATCGTTTCTCGCGCCAGAGCAAACACATCTCAAACAGACGTCCGTCGGCAGTAACTGGCTTGACGGGGTGCTTTCTATGCATCTGCCACCCCCGGTCTGCGCCAATTGCATCTCTGCAGTCACCACTACCGGGTCAGTCCTGGGCGCTGCATGTCCTTGTCCTGGGGCCACTGCCGCCACGCCCGTAAGTCGTACTCTGCTTCGATCTTGCGGTGATTATCCGAGAGATCTTGTCTGTTCTGGGTAGTACTGTGCTACCCATGCGGGTCGGAGTGTAACACACCTCGAACCACGAGAGAGAGGAGAGTGAGTCCGGATCGTCTGAGGAATTGCCCGCTGTAGGTCAACCTTATTCCACGACCCATGCGTGCACTTTGCTTTACCTGGGAACACGGTGTGACCGCCGGCATCAGAAAGCAAGTTCTGTCACATTGACAACGTTCTTTGTCAACTTTCACCCTCCGTCATCTGCCTGCCATCGTTTCAGAACATTCAGGCAACCCTATCTTTCCAGAATACCACCTCCCGCTCCATTCCCAGATCGCCGTCAGGGAACCGGTCCGCCTCCTACGACAACCAGACGACCAATTGCTCTGGAGTTTTCTGCATTCTACATTAGCCGTATGAAGCCATAGACTCAAGACGCCGGCTTTGTGTGCCCCCCGATACAGCTCAACTCTATTATTGTTATATAGGCCGTGCTGACCTGAAGTATCAACCATGGTCTACTGTGGGAAGCCCTCGAGGGGCTGCCAGATGTGCCGGACCCGTCGGATCAAGGCACGTTGAGTCCCAGTGGTATTCAAACTGAGCCTTTGTTAACATGCGAAATTAGTGTGACGAGACAAAGCCTACCTGTAATCAGTGTGCCAAATCTCGGAGGCAATGTCCTGGCTACAAGGACGAGTTCGACTTGGTTTTCCGGAACGAAACCCAAGCTACTGAGAGAAGGGCTCGGAAAGCCAACAAGAAGGCGTTGCAAAGATTAGGAAAGCCGGACGAAAATCCTGATGAATCCATTGAGCACAGCGATTCCGTGTCCCCGACAGCGGGCTTCGAAGATGCGTTCAAGTCACCCTTGGAACAAGCGGTGACACCAGCGTTGGTCATCCCCTCCGAAACTCGGGCAGACTGCCATTTTGTCGCCAACTTCATCTTGATTCCGCGACAAGGAAGCACAAGGGGTTTTCTTGACTTTCTCATCCCCCTGCTCAAGCAAGAAGGCAAGGACAGCCATCTGCAGCGGGCGTTCAATGCCTGCTCAATGGCACTGCTCAACAACTGTTCGGGAGCGAGGAACAGCTATGCGGACAAGGCGTTGAACGAATACACACATGCGCTCAAAGGCACGAACATGGCGCTCAGAGACCCTGAAGCCCAGAAAGCAGACTCAACCCTTGCTGCCGTCGTCCTATTGGGTCTTTTCGAAAACATCACCGCAAAACAGTTAGGAATGCTAGCTTGGGGCTCACACATTGAGGGTGCTATTCAGCTGGTGAAGCAGAGAGGGAGGAAGCAGCTCCGAACGAGGACCGGTTTGCTGCTCTTTATCGCCGTCCGCACTCAAATGGTATGTTTCACAGAACTTGGTTGTCCGTCCTGATGCTGATGAGACTATCAGATCATCCACACTCTGACTTCAGGGAAATCCCCCATCATGGGCGTTGAGTGGTGGCTCAACGACGCCGTCAAGGATGAGACGGCAGCAAAGGTCCAACGTATCATGATCAAGACCGGCGAGCTTCGTGCGGAGGTCACTCGACTCATGAACTGCATGGCGCGGACGCCGGAGAACATCGAAATCATGCTCAACATGATACGGAGGTCGCAGATGGTTGACCAGGAGGCAGTCAGCTGGATGAGGGACGTGCCAGACTTCTGGAAATACCGAACGGTCGCGTGGGAGGACAACGTTCCAAACGGAGACTATGCACGGGCCGAGGTCTATCCCGGACGCATCGACTTATACACCGATTTCTGGATTGCAAGCGTCTGGAACATGTGCAGGACCTCACGACTTATCAACGCCTCGCTGATCGTGCGGTGTGCGGCCTGGGTCAGCGCGCCCGTCGACTACCGGACGACGCCTGAGTATGCCACCTGCTCCAGGACCTGCGTGGAGGTCATCACCGACATCATCGCGTCGGTGCCGTACCACCTCGGATGGCACCTGAAGAGAAAGGACGTACTGCAGAAGGCGAATTTAGGCCAGTTCGCCTGTGGAGAGGAGGACTCCCTGAAGGGGCTAGCCGGGTACTTCCTGACCTGGCCGCTGGCTTGCGTCCACGGCCAGGATTATACAACCGACACTCAGCGTGCTTGGGTGAACGGACGGCTCAAGTACATTGGCGACGAGCTCGGCGTCAAGTACGCACACATTCTTTCTCAGGTAAGTAATGACCCATATATGGGGCCCTGTGCACCAGCGAGCTGAAAATCACTAAACACCAAAACAGCTGCAAGTCCGCATCCCGTCCATGATGATCCGCCGCGACGGCCTCATGGCGTCTCCGTACGGCATGGCACACGACTTCGAGAAGCTGGTCTCGGCCCGCAACGCGCCGCCGTCGGCCGGGTACACCATGAACCCGCTGCAGCAGCGGGAGGCGATGCAAAAGGAGTACTTTGAGCAGCGGCGCGCGGACCTGCTGTCGAAGGCCGCGGGAAACACGCCGACGCCGTCAACGCAATGGGTGACGGAGAAGTGGCTCACGGTACGAGTTCTTCCATCATTTGGTCTCTGCATTGCCCGGTGGGAAACCCAGCCCTAACTAACATATGCCACAGTTGCCCGAGAAGAACGCATACCCCGGCCCACTCCAGGTCGACTTCCAAAACCCGGTTTCTGCGGGGCCGGTGACGGGGCCGTAGTGTAGTGAGACCCTTACGCTTGACGCGCATTGTGTCTCTTCGGCTGGCTGCACTTATATATATATATATGCCTGTGTCATTCTCTAGGGTGGGCGTTCGCGTTGATACCATGACAAGTGGCCGTACTGGGCGGCAATACTTCACATAGCACAGGGGGAAGTGGGTGGTGTTTTGTTTGCCTTCTTATTTACAAACCTCCAAAGGCGGCTACCTAGCCAGCTGTGTATTACTTTCGCGTGGGTGGCATCTGATCAAACGATGGGTTGGACTGAATGAAGGAATATTTTTTAAGAGTTGTCTGCGACCATATGGGGGCTACATTTGAATATGACCACGATTTGAGAGAAGAAGCACCTGAATGTCAACCCTATGAAATGTATGTCGCGGTAGCTGGACAACATTGTCCGAGAGAAATTCCCCGAATATGGGACCAACGACATAGTCTTCACTTGAATCCCCTCTACGCCGGCTCGCAGCAGCATGTGAAAGCCATACAAGATGCCCGTTTGCAGTTTTTGAAGCATCCACCGCCTTACTCTGCAAGAAAAATCAGGGGTGGAAGGGATGGGATCGTCAGCCATGCGCCAGAATCAGCACATCGTCTAGCCCTGGCGCCGCCTTAACCCCCCTAGTGGGCTGCCCTTACGCTGTCGTCCATACGGCGATCTATCGAACCCAGATTCCCGAGCCCTTCTCAAAGTCGAGCTTTGATCTGATCAGAGCGCACAGGCCAGAGCTAACCCGTGGTCTGCGAGCATTTGCTCAGACAGAGAGACGTCCCTGCCGGTCCATTTCATTATCCCAAGTTGTCTGCCCAGAGACACATGTTCCTATATACCATCTCGTTCAGCCATGCTTTCTTGTCTCGTTTGTTTCCTTCCTGTTTGGCTTGATTCTTCTATTTCCGCTTGGTCACGGCGGCCGGGACCTGGCTGCCCATGTTCCAGGCCTTGACGAACCAGCCCTGGGTGGCGTCGACGTAGCGCTCCTGCTCGACGTGCTTGACGCCGACGCGCATGCCGTCCTTGGTGAAGACAACGTTCTTCTTGGCCATCCGGTCGCGCGCCTGCTGCTCGACCTTGGTGGCGGCTACCCAGATCTGGTAGCCGACGAAGGCGGCGCCAGCGAGAATGACAAGGAGGATGATCAGAGGCAAAACCTGGCTACGGAAGAGTTGTAAGGGTTAGCTGGCAGGCTGGGAAGAAAGCAACATCGCTGTGTGCGTGCGGCCGTGTCATTCCGAGATCCTCCTTCTTCTACAGTAAGATGGATGTCTGGGGATAATCTGGGGCTGCCAAGTAGGACCCCCGGGAAGCACAGGGCCACTGTTGGTCGTGCGCCGGGCGGCAAGGTATGCGATACATGATCGCTGATTTGCGACCGGGAGAAACATGGCTCTTGCTTGCTTACCTCAGGGTCGAGGGGCGTGGTGCCTCGGCTTTCTTTCCCCAGGCCATATTTGCGACTTGTGTGGTTTACAATAGCTTTGGCTGGGGGTCTGTCGGTGTTGTTGGATTGCGGATGGATGTGAAGGCTGATGGGCGTCGCTCCAGCCAACGTGGTGAACAGGGTAACGGGGGGATGTGGATCAAAGACTGTCAGAAATCCGGTTTACCGAAAGTCACAGGGCTGACTTAAATCTTGATCTGGCGAAGGATGGTTGACAGGTGGCTTCCCAAGGCAAGATGCGACTCTACAGTACTGTGTTGAGATGGAGGATTCTTGAAATTGCATGCGTTGGTTGTGCCGATCACTTTTCCAACAACTGACTCTCCAGGGCATCTTACCGGACCGTTCCCCAGCGAGCAGCACTAACTACATACTAAACAGGACGCAGTCTGCACCCGCGTTTCGGCTCATGTGCGCTGGAGGGTCTGGGTCAGGGGGGTGGACCATCAGTGTTAAAAGCTTGTAGTTACTTCCTCTGTACGAATGCCCGGGTCACGGCACTTGGAGATTGGACGGGGGGTAACTATGACCTCAGTTCAGGCCTTAGGTCGTCAACTGAGGGAGCTGGGAGCACAGGGAGGGAGCCGGATGGGCTGATGTGGACGGATGTGGATGGGGGCTACACGGCAACATGGGCAAGCCTGGGGGCAGCTCTGGGGGGTTCTCGATGCGATGGGCAATGGGGGGCCCAGGGGCACGATAAGATAAGCTTACTTGTTGTCCTGTACGAGTACTTGTACCAAAATCAGACTGTGGGCTGTCCTTATGTATGTATGCACAAACTTGTATTCTGCCGACTGTCGGCCAGCTGAGCGGCTCGAGACCGCAATTCTGACGTGGGCCCCAGCCTTCGAAGGCCCAAGGGATCAATCAGTGAGCTGCCAGGCTGCGGCTGGTGTGGGTTGTGGGGTTTTGCGGCTGGGACCCTCTTTGGGCCCAAGAACAAGCCACACGATTCGGCGAGTGTGAATGTGGACAACTCGCCTGGAGATTAGTTAGTCCCCCATCGACGAAGCTCCAGGACGGCCAAAGGTCCAGAGCCAAGAGAGAGCCACCTGATTACCTGTCCCGCCCCGACTCGCAACGCCAAAAGGTACGCAGTGGCCACTTCGTCGTCGTCGCCTCCGCCCCGCGTGCAAAGAAACCAGATATCCCTTCCCCAAGGACGACGCCTGGCCATAGCTTGCCTCGGACGTGGACGTGGAAAAGGACACTTGCTGGGCCACGACCTCAGGTTACCTGCATCCACCCACCCATCCATCCATCCATCCCACCTCCCCGGGCTCCTCCTCACCGACGCCCACCCACGACCACACCTCGCGCAGCTGCCTCTGCCGACCTGTCAACATCCTCTCTCTTGCACCGCACGCGCCGCCGCAGCCTACAGTCCACAGGCCGAACGCCCCAGCAACCTCCTGTCTCGGCGACGCTGGTCCACAGGCAATTGAGCCAAGATGGCTGACCAAGGCTACGGCCAGTATCCCGACCAGCAGTACGCTCAACAGGCCCCCGATCCTCACTCTGGTGCTGTCGCCTCGCCTCCCCCCGACCAAGCCGCACACCAGCCGCCCGAGGCTGGCAAGAAGAAGAAGCGCGACCGATATGCGACCCAGGCTTTCGAGTTCGGCGCCGGTGGAAATGCCGCCGCCGGGGGCCAGACCCCGGGTGGTATGCCGCCAGCCCCCGGCGCAGGTGCCGCCCCAATGGCCGGCTACCCGGCTCAGCAGGACTTCCAGGCCGGCTACCCTGGCGCCGCCGCCCCCGCGTACGGCGGCGCCCCGGCTCCCGCAGCATACGGTGCCCCCGGAGGCACCCCCGCGGCTGCAGTAGGTGGCTACCAAGCTCCGGACCCCTATTACCAGGGTGGCGCTGGAGCTCCCGGCGCGGCACCTCAGGGCGTGTCCGGTATCACGGCCGGCATGGCCGGCATGAACATGGGAGGACAGCAGCCTCCGCAGCCACCTGCCCAGCAGGCTCGCGCTGCCCTGAACCAGCTGTATCCCACCGACCTGCTCAACCAGCCCTTCAATGTCTCCGAGCTCGACCTGCCTCCCCCACCGTGCATTTTGCCTCCCAACGTAGGTCGCCGACAGGGCCCCCCTTTTCGTCTCTCGCCGCTATGCTAATGCACGCGATACAGTCCAGCGTCACCCAGTCGCCAGATGCAAACTGCCCACCCAAGTACATGCGATCCACCCTGAACGCGGTTCCGACCACCCACTCGCTTCTTAAGAAGTCGAAGCTCCCCTTCTCGCTAGTCATTCAGCCGTATGCTGCGCTGCATGACATTGACGACCAGGTTCCCGTCGTTCAGGATCAGGTTATTGCCCGCTGCCGAAGATGTAGGACCTACATCAACCCTTACGTCATTTTCCTCGACCAGGGCCACCGATGGAGGTGCAACATGTGCAACCTCACCAACGATGTACCCCAGGCATTCGACTGGGACGCCGCCGCCCAGAAGAGCGTCAACCGCTGGGACCGCCCCGAGTTGAACCACGCTGTTGTCGAGTTTGTCGCCCCCCAGGAGTACATGGTTCGCCCTCCTCAGCCCTTGGTCTACCTGTTCTTGTTCGATGTCAGCTACGCGGCCGTTTCCACCGGTCTCCTCGCTACCAGCGCGCGTACCATCTTGGATAGTCTTAACAGGATACCGAACGCTGACCGAAGGACCCGCATCGGGTTCATCGCCGTCGACTCCAGCTTGCACTACTTTGCCATTCCCAAGGATGGCGACGAGAATGCCGAGACCAGCATGCTCGTCGTGAGCGACTTGGATGAGCCATTCCTGCCTGTGCCTCAAGATCTGCTGGTTCCCCTCACCGAAAGCCGGGTCAGCATCGAGAACTTCCTCACCAAGCTCCCCGAGATGTTCCAAAACAACCAGAACAACGGATCATGCATGGGCTCTGCGCTGAGAGCAGGCCATAAGTTGATCTCCCCGCTCGGAGGCAAGATTGTCGTTTTAAGTGCCTCATTACCGAACCTCGGCGTCGGTAAGCTTGAGATGAGAGAAGATAAGAAGCTCCTGGGGACGTCCAAGGAGAGTGGGCTTCTCCAGACTGGCAACTCCTTTTACAAGTCATTCGCAGTGGAATGCTCAAAGAACCAAGTCTCAATCGACATGTTCCTCTTTTCGTCACAGTACCAAGATGTGGCCTCGCTCAGCAACCTACCTCGATACACCGGTGGCCAGACCTGGTTCTACCCTGGATGGAACGCAGGCCGTCCGGAAGACGCTATCAAGTTCGCACGCGAGTTCAGCGACTTTTTGTCCTCAGAAATCGGTCTGGAAGCTGTCCTCAGAGTGCGTGCTACGACTGGTCTGCGTATGAGCACTTTCTACGGAAACTTCTTCAACCGAAGCTCTGATCTGTGTGCCTTCCCGGCGTTCCCCCGCGACCAATGCTACGTTGTAGAGGTGGCTATCGACGAGACTCTGCAGAAGAATTTTGTCTGTCTGCAAGCTGGTGTTCTCTACACCACTTGTAATGGCGAGAGGCGAATCCGTGTCATGACTCTTGCGATTCCTACAACTACCAACCTGGCTGATATCTATGCGTCAGCCGATCAGTGTGCTATTGCAACTTATTTCAGTCACAAGGCGGTTGAGCGCGCACTAAGCTCCGGTCTGGAGGCCGCTCGTGATGCTCTGCAGAGCAAGCTTATTGAGCTGCTGCAGACGTTCAAGAAGGAACTCGGTGGAGGTAGCATGGGTGGTGGTCTGCAATTCCCTGCCAACCTCCGCGCCCTGCCTGTGCTCTTCCTCGGATTGATCAAGAATGTCGGTCTCAGGAAATCAGCTCAGATCCCGTCCGATCTTAGATCCGCCGCTCTTTGCCAGCTCTCGACGCTACCACTTCCTCTGCTTATGCAGTACATCTACCCGCGCCTGTACTCATTGCACGACATGCCGGACAATGCGGGAGTGCCGGATCCAGAGACTAGTCAGATCACACTTCCGCCTCCCTTGAACCTTTCGTCAGAGAGGTTCGTTAGCTACGGCCTTTACCTGATCGACGATGGACAGACACAGTTCCTCTGGATCGGCAGAGACGCTGTTCCCCAGCTGTTACAGGATGTGTTCGGCATCGCCGACCGGACACAGCTGCGCGTCGGCAAGGGCTCCATCCCCGAGCTGGACAACGACTTCAACGAGCGGGTCAGAGCTGTCATCCAGAAGAGCAGGGATCATCTCTCACGTGGCGTTGGCAGCATCATTGTACCTCACTTGTACATTGTACGGGAAGATGGCGAGCCAAGCTTGAAGCTGTGGGCTCAGACCTTGCTTGTGGAAGACCGGGCGGACCAGGGTATGAGCTTTGGCCAGTGGATGGGCACCATGAGAGAAAAGGTGAGCAACTGATGTGCTTTCTTGCAAACAAACGACAAAGTTTCGAGGCGGGTGGTCCTGACGATGATTCTACCAGGTGGTGCAGTAATGAGGCTTTGCAAGGTGATGCTACGCGGGGGGTTGCATACTTGTATAGACGGCGGGGTGGGAGCAGATACATTCCTAACCAGCCAGACAGATGACATGAACGAAGTGGATTAAAAACAAGACATTTTCACATTGTTGATTCGAACTCATGACAAGTGACATTTCGTAGATGATCCAATCTGGACCCTTTTCTTCTCAATTTTTGTCTATATCGATACACATGAATGTTGCCTTCTATACGTATCACCCTTCTGCTTTTGGTGGTGTTACATTATGTTCCTCGGACCCCAAACTCAGATGCTTTTTACATCGTCACTACGCTTGCCCAGCATATCGGCTTTGTCTGGCGGCATGGGTACGACACCCCAGCGCATCCATTTGTCGTTATGAGCCGGTGGGTCCTGGTCTCAGGGTTTTTCTTCCAGCTCTGCCCGTCCTTTGACACGCCCTTGATCTTGACGCGTCGACTCCTCCGTCGATTCCACACATCCCTCGGCATCAACGAATGCATGACAAGCTGAAGACAACACCAGTGAACTGGAGCCCCCAGTTATCATACCACATCGGTGTTTTCTCATGCGCAAAATAACCGGAACCCGAGAGGAGGTTACGCCGAGCCCAAGCGTTGTTAGGGTGGGCGGCGCCGATTAGTTGATAGCAACAATCGAATTGGGTGCAATATCGGAGCCGCTGCCCACGTCCATCAGCCCGTAGCTCCCAGACCAGTAACCTGACAGAATTCTGAGTGTTAGTGCGTTGCCTGTGATCGACTTCCAGGTGGTACGAAGTGCTTACCTCCCTCAGTAACAAAGTCGAAGATGCAGTTCGAAATCAGCCAACGCATCATTACGCTGAAGGATAGCAATGGAATACTGTATCTGTATGGCAGCTGCAACCTAAAGGTTGATATTTGCCAGCCCGTAGGATGGGATACTCTGAGAGGTTGATACCGCCGTCCATAGCAGCCAAACTCATTTCCCACCAGGAGGCGGGTCAAGAGACTGTGGTATGCGAAATAGCAGAATAACAAGGTCAGTTGTGGAAGGTTAACAATAGGCAGACCGGTGACGTATTTGATGCCCGATAAGTTGATGAACAGAAAGCTCATTATTATGATGTTGTCGTCACTCTGTCCGAATGTGCCTTTATTAAGTGAGGTTGACTTCTCTGATGAGTATTTGCAAAGATCGTGGCGTCTACAGGAAATATAGGCCCAGGGCTGTTTCGAGCGAATATGCTCTCAATAATGAGGTGACCATACTGTCAAGCTGGGTGTATAGAACAGACTGATCGGATGGGACTCTACATTTCAGTGGTGAAAAGGACGGATCGCAATCAATACGGAGAGTATAGAAGGAGAGCGGCCTTCATCTTCCATATAGACTGTGGATCGAGTCTCGAACCTGACTCATGGTCTACTGTCAAGTAAGAGTAAGTTCTCGGCGTCCATCTTTATACCTATGCCCGGAGAACCAACGAACATCTATACAAATACTCTCATCTTCTTCATCTTAATCTACCTATCAATCATCCCGTGCTGATGTTCTGAGATCATATCGTGTTGAAGAGAATGGAAGCTTAGTATAGTACAGATGAACGGTACGGCCTAAATCTGTCTTAGAAAGGTTTTGTTGGAATCCTTTAAAGAATTCTATATACTGAGGTCTTCCAACATCATATATAGATCAGTAGCTACTAGGCTGAAACGATCGTCAAGATGCTTAACTGGCACAACATCGAGGAGTGTGATTGATATCACCGAATTCGTAGCATCGACTTGGTTTGGAATGAGATCAGCAATTGCGCTACAGTTACTTTTGACCGCTTAGATACCATATTTACTGCCTAGTCTTGTTATGGAGTGATTCATCATTAGAGTACGAGTGTGGCGTTGAAGACCTAGAAATACCTGCTAGGAAGTACATAACTCGCATGTGCTTATGCCATGAAGGTCTATTCATGTAAAACCTGTAATATTCATGGGTTAATTATGCCAATATTATCAACAACGCTGAATTCAAGCATGAGAAACGGCGGACTGTGCAAGAATGTGAGAGGGAGGAGTGATGGGGCAAAACCGTCGCGGTACTGCCTTAGATTCTTTGCCTTGAGTAATAATATAAAACCCGGAACATTGGCTGGCTTTGGCATGTTCGAATCCTTGCTTTCGAGGTAAACTATCTTAAAAGGGGCTGGCTGCCTCATATGCCAACTACATCGAAGCCACGTTTTTGCTCCCATTCATGTAACGTTGTGATAACGAAAGCTATCAATGTATGCCAAAAGCCACCAGACTCTTCAGAATGATCCAGCGCGTTGAGGAAAAGTCAGAGGAAATGACCAACTCTGCTCAACGCAATCTCCTTGGGCTTCAAGGAGACTAGCTCTCGACAGAGCGGTTTCATGGCCATCGCAATCGGCCAAAGAAAAGTAGCGCCTGAAATAGGCTGAGGTTCGAGAGATTGCGCTCTTCTTGATCTCTTTCACATAACTCAGCATACCTTCGCGCCGAGATGTAACAAAGCTCCTGTAGATGATCGTATCTTGGTGAAAGGGTGCAGCTTACCAGTCGCAGTAGCTCAACGAGAGCAGCGGGAGAGAATCAGGGTTTGCCGAGAGGTTGGCGACGAAACGGTCCTTATTCAGCCAGGGGAGAGCGGGGTAAATCGTGTCAAAGTAATTATTATGCAGAGTAGCTAAGTCAGAAGATGTGATGCATTCATTCTCGTGAATGACTGGCTGAGGCAATGGCTGAGGTGGGGTGTGTGATAGGGATGCTGGGATTGTATGAGGAGAGTCCAGAGCCCCCATCATGGGAACCGCCCCAAACAAGCAGGAATCGTCGCCAGCCCCAGTCAAGTTGGCTAAAGGATCATAGTCATCCATGGATACTTCTACTATAGGCGAGCCGTGGGCTCCAGGCATGTCCCTCGGGGTCCACCCCGTCTGTGAGTCGTTTGCAACGGGGTCAAACATTGCTGGCAAAAGTGTTCGAGCCTGGCAACAAGGCCGCGGTTCGGGTCGCGACTGCGGCCGTGACTGAGGCTGACTGATACCATTAACTGAACTAGTATCGACACTCATGGTGTCGTTCGTCGATGTAGAAATTGGGTTTGGTAACTCTTACAAGTTGGCGATACGCCCCTCGGCCTTGGCTAGTCGCTCTTGGAGCTCCTGGAGCTGGCGAGGGAGGTCTTCGTCGAGTGCTTTCTGAGATTGGTAGCTACATGGTTGGTAGAGACGCGTGCATCGGGAACATTTGGGCTCGGCCCGATCACAGCGCACCTTTCTTCTGGTCTGGCTGTCACTTTTCAGCACTGCTTCGCCGCTGGCGTATCAGCGTGATTGAAAGTCTGTGGGGCACCACGCAAGACTCTATGGAGAAAGACCTATCATACTACAAGCCCGTTAGCTAGAAAACTACGCGAGGTCGTTGGGGGATAAGACAGTTGCTGCAGTGAGTTGGAGGGAGATGTAAGGACTGTAGACGGCATCAAGATCTAGTGGTGAACGCCTGTGGGCCACCTACCACAGGTGTTACAAGGCTGCAGCCTCTTGTTCGTACTCATCCTTTATATCTTTAAGGTGGCTGGCGGTGTGGTGAACGGATGCGCTGCGGAAGGATTTTTTTCCCCGTCCAACGATGAACTTCTAGGACTTGGAATTACTTCAAGCTATGGAGGGACGTAGGTATTTAATGCTACGAGCCGCGCTCCTGCGAGCGAGGTCGGCACATCGTCTTGGCTGCAGCGATGGAGAGTAATGATAAAGTCAGCGTTGCTTGCAGGAGGCTAGGCCCAAGAAATTATGACTTGACCTGTCACATACGCCGGAACACACGAGTTGAGGGGATTCGTCGGAGTTTTGATAATCTGGGCTGCTTCTGGAGCTGAAAGAAGGCCAACCCTTGGCCTGTGACAAGTTGATCTACGTCACCGGAGCAAGCTCCAACGCTATAATTACCGATGGCTGATGGATAGCTTCGAAAATCCCGTCATCCGTTCGCTTTATATGGACAATACATTGATCACATCAACCACAAAGTCAAGCGTGCTGCAGTGACAGGCCGATCGAAGTGTCCGCAAGATGCTGTTTACCACTTTCTCCGATCAGGGAAGAAAGTGGGCTGTTTATTGGGCCTTGACGATGAGCTTCAGGGGAAACTTGGACTATCACATGACCCTGGCAAGTTATTAGAAGAGACCATGATCCACGAGAAGGACGACAAAACTGCTGAAGTGCTCCCATATCTGCTGATCTCTACTCTGTTAACCCCACTGGCAGCACAGGGCGGTCGCTATATCCTATCCCCAAGGGCATATATGTCTGAAACACACATCTGACTAGAGAACTTCAGGCTCTTTGTGGAATAACGAGGGTGCCTGGCTGGCGTTATATGCCACCTCAAGATGAGATGGAGATGGAGGTCATTACGTTCAACACCTGAACCGGAGAGTGGTATTCTGAACAGGGCAAAAAGTATGCATACATGATTTGCGATTCACTTTCGGTGATTAGTTGGCTTGTCTATAAGCGATCTATGCCACCACTAATTGATGAATTATACCTTCATCTTCAATTCAAAGACGTAGGTCTCATCCACTACGGAAGAAAGGTATGCTCGATAGCTGTTTGTGCGATAGAAGCCAGTGGGAAGGAACCCTTAGCCTGCGGGAAAGACACGGTGATGATGAATGGTGACAGTCATCTTGCAAATGTCGAGTAACCGATAGAGCAAAATGAAGTCGATGATCAGTTGTTGGTAGAAGCTCGGAAAGGCGGGCCCGCGCTAGGGGTGAATATAGCAAGGCAGACGCCTGCGGCCGTTCCTCGAAGTACGAGCCAATCAGGACAATACTTCAGAAACTCAGAGCGCCCGCTCTTCTCCCATTGGTCACCATCATCACGAAGCTTAACAAATGTCAACCAATAGTATAGGTTAACATATATGTCTGGAAACCTGTCGCACCCTTTTCGCCCATCGAATCAATGTTTATCAACGTTTTCTGTGCTAATGAAGGCTGACCTTTGAGTTGCCATTTCCAATTGAGCTTCTTTCTTGGCTTGCAACCTCATCCGCAACTACTACCTATCTCCGCGTGCTTGCACCAAGATCCTCTGTCTTATTCTCTTCAACTCGCATTACCAACTACAGACGGGCCCGCTGAGAGACAACTACCCCGATGTCAAGAGAAAGAATCTCATGAGGGTCACAGGTCACAACTCAAGGGCCGGTTTTTCCAACCGACCCCGAGAGCCCGCAAAATGGGCATGCATCAAAGTCATCTCCTCGTTCGATCCATGGCTGGAAGGCAAGTCTCCAGTCGAGAGAATCTGCCCAATCCTACGGTCTGCGCTAATAGCTCTCCCACTAGTGGGCTATTTCCTATGCCGCAATGCTGTCGAGCACTTTCCTCTTCGCCACCGATAACATCATTGTTGCAGATGCGCAACCAGCCATTGTGAATGACTTCGGCCCCATCGAACTGCTTCCCTGGATCTGGACTGGCTTCGCGTTGGAGAACATGACGATACTCTCGTGGGGCAAAGCATATGGCATCTTCAACATGAAATGGATATATATTCAACATTCTGCTCTTCGAAGTGGTAGCGCCATATGTGGTGCAGCGCCAACCATGGACGTGCTCGTCGTCGGTCGTATCATTGCCGGCGTTGGAGGGTCCGGCATGTACTCGGGCACCCTCAGTTATGTCTCCATCCTCGCAAACGAAAAGGAGAAACCAGTGTATGTGGCAGGTAGTACTGACTTGTGGGGAATTGGCAGTGTGCTTGGGTCGGTGGTAAGAACCCGGTATCATGAAAGAGGTTGGTGAGTTGTGCGTGCTAACACAAACGTCCAGGTTGGCCGTGTGTTTGCTGCCAGCCCTCCTACGTGGCGATGGGTATGTTAACAATGGTTTCTGAGAGTGTCCATTTTGTTCTAAAATGATTGCAGGGCTGCTATATCAATCTTGTCGTTGGTGCAGTCTTTGCACCGGTCTATATCTTCCTCTTTCCTAGCGTGATTCCGAAGCCAGGTACGATGCTGCCTCAGAGATTGAAGATGAAGGACCGGATTACGACTGTGCTTTTCTTAGCTAGCTCGTGCTGTCTAACAATGGTCACCTCCTTCGGCGGTCTCGTCTACGATTGGGAGTCGACAGCAATGATCACCATGTGGGTGGTGGTTAGCGTACTATTGATAGCTTCTATCTTGGCATTGAGATATCATCCCGGATTGGCGAAGGAAGACCGACTTTACCCTGTGCACTATCTCAAAAATCCCTTGATGCTCAACATTCAGCATCAGGTATTCTTGTCGTCCGGGATAATTCTCGTGAGTAACTGTAAACCTAGCATAAGACGGATTTCTTAGCTAATGGCTCCCTAGAGCGGGACCTACTATATTCCCCTATATTTTCAGTTTGTTAGAGTACGTCAGGTTACCATCTTGAATCATGAAGGCAGCGTCCTCACAGTAGACAGGGCGATTGACCATTGGACGCTGGCGTGCGTCTCCTACCTCTGATCGCCGCGATGGTTATTGTTTTCATGGTCAATGGAGTGTTCATGGCTCGATATCCACTGGTTTCTCCTTGGTATATCAGTGACAGTGCTCCGACTGTAATTGGAACCGGGCTCATGTTCAGATCGTGGCTTTAAAGTACGAGTCTGTGATAACCAACAAGCAATAGGCACTACCAACGAAACTACAAATAACTCCAACGTATATGGCTACATGATTCTCATTGGCACCGGCTGCGGTTGCTATATCGTTGCGGGTTTTGCTATCGCACCAGGCCACACTGTTCCAAAGGACATGGCAAACCTGTCAGCATCATGACGATCGGTGCGTTTTCATTTTTCAATTTTTTTTTTCTTTTGGGGGTTTCCCCCCATATGATCATATACATATCCCCCGGTGGTGTGGCTTTCTTGCTAGTATCGGGAACAGCGCAATTTCTAGGCATGATTCTTTTTTTGTCAATTTGCAGTTCCACGTTCCAGAATACAGCTGTGGATAAGTTTAGGAATGTCCTCCCAAACTCATCAGAGGAACAAATTACACAACTAGTAGCTGGCACCAGCAGCAGAGCTTACAAGGAACTCTCGGACGAAGACCAGAAACTCGTCATTCCCGAGGTCACAAGCGCCATGACGAATGAGTGGCTGATGTGTGCCGTGGCTGCCGCTCTGAGCTTTGTTTGCTCGCTTCTTCTCTACGTTAGGTTTTTTCTATAACAAAAATTGCCCTATCATCTAATGACCTGATTTGTAGAAACCAAAGGCCGGAAGCGAACCGGCTTCAGAGAAGAGAACGTGATAGTGGCCTTGTTGTTTACACATCACCACAGACTTTTACTGGACAAAAAGTGTAACCAGGTTATCAGCTTTAGCTGCGCTGTTGCATCTCGTACTTTATATCTAGGAATTGTGAGATTATATCTCTACAATAGATCCACCGAAAAGGGGAAAATTTTCTTCTTCTTGAGGGTGGATCTATTGTAGATATTTTGCTCCAGATGTATCAAGTAACAAATGCACTTCACCTGCGCCAACAAATCACGAATGACGTGCAGTCGTCTTGGCCAGTAAACTCTCCCATGAGTCCAGGTCAGATGTACACGTGATTAGTCTGTACAGTGGCACTGCGTTTATTTGCCAACGGGCAACACGTGTTATGAATACTATCTAGCTCGATCGTAGCCAGAGGGCATGCTGGACGCTGGCCGGCGAGCTTACTGCAATTACACTTTTGCAGGTCCCAAACAACTACGAAGCATGCTGAGGTCCCCGTGCGCTTGCGCCAAGTGATCGCTGGCTCTTGATGGGCCCAAAAAATGCATGTACGTGACGGTTTCTCAAGCGTGACACTGGGTCAAACGTCGGGATCTTCCGAAGCTCACGGTTTGATCACGTCGTACACGAATTGGCGGTAGGGTGGACAAGTATTGGGTGCTCCCAAGATGTAGACATTGATTTGTACACTGAGATGAACGAATAGCGTGCAGAGGCCCATGATTCTATGGGTCCTCTAGCTTGGGTAGGATGCAAGCCAGTTTATGAAGATGACTATAGCCTCTTCATGAGTGAGATTGGGAGAATGGTCATTCGTCATGTATCGGTAGGCAGCTGGATATGTGATGATATACAGACGTGTAGCTGGAAGCTGACGCAATCGTCGCTGATAGTATAATTTCAATCGCACATCTACATAGTAATTTAGCAGTTAAGCGCTAGCAGGTGACATATCTAGGTACGTGTGGTACGGGCCATGATGCCATCACATGGAACTTTCGATCGTTGGCATAAGGCCCGCGGCGTACTAGCATAAAGGACTCTTTGGGATGTATGTAGGTATCAATCATCATGTCCTTGCAGTCCCAGATGCTGTAAACAGATGAACATGCAATGTCCCGGAATCTATCACCCCCGATCACGTGCTTGGCTGCTATTGGATGGAGTAAAAGTCCCGAATCTCGGTTATCGCGATTGACCCGTCCGTATGGATCGAGCTTGGACAGTACCTATCTACAACTAGTCAGGCGAGGTTTGCGATTGACAACCGGCAAGCTTTCCAAGACAGTACGTTCTTGCGATCTTGACGAGCTATCAGAGATTCCGAGGAGGGTTGATGCTGGAAGCGCATTGGCCGCAATCGCTGTGCTAACCTGTCCGTGCCGGACTCTAGCACATGTTCGTGACAAGGAACCGTGGCCAGTCATGAAACAGGCAGAGACACCCTCTTGAAACACACGCGCCCACTCACCTTCTCGGGCGCCTAAGTCCGACGCTGATTGGCGGCGCAAGCGTGCCCAACACCTGCCTCTGTGTGCTTTGGCAGATGCCTGCCCCAGCAGCGGTCGTCGTTTCGTGAATGGTGCAGCAGTCGTCGTCCGAAGGTCTCTTCCTGTGCGTGATGAACCATAGAGCATTGACGAGCATCGAGCAGCTATAATTAGCCATGTCTTCTGTCGCTTTGGCACTCGTTGTGAAGTACCTGGCTGAACAGAGATCTGAGCGGGCCCCTGCCTAGCGGGAGGTACAAGCGTCAACCGCACCGCAGTCAGTCTTCAGGTCAGGCATGGATGGCAGAGACTGAAGACTGGAGATTGGAGCCTGGCAGGGCCTGGAGGGGGAGGGGCCCAGAGAGAACCCCGCTAACTTGACTTAGAGCCAGGCCTCAGATCCCCGCCGTCGCCGTCGCCTTCCAAGTGCTTGGCCTCTGGACTGCATGGGTCAAGCTGGGCGCTTCGGGCTTCTTCGTGATCACAGGACTGCAGAAGCTGGAAAGTCTGCCGGAGAAGGGGGCTCTAACATTAGACACCACGTGGATCAGAATGGCAACGGCATACCGACAGCAAGAGCTGGTGATGGAACACGGTCTCGCTCCCAGAGCAGAGGTTGGACCATGGACCCCAGAGAACCCACTTGAATAGCCTTAATCTTGATACTCGAACAACCCTTGTCTCACCTTGATCCCCATCCCGGGCACCCCTCCCCTTCAGGGCTCGCGATCTTTTTTGGCTCCCGGTCCGCCCGCGGGCTGCCCCGCTACCGCCGCCAAGTGCTTTCCAACTTGCAAGGAGGCAAGTCAGCTCGGATCGAAAGAGGTATTGTGTGTGTGTGTGTGTGTGTGTGTGTGTGTGTGTGTGTGTGTGTGTGTGTGTGTGTCTGAAGGCAGAGAGCAACGAGGATTAAGTGACGGGTCAGACTGGTGGCCTCCAGCCCTCGGGGAGCTGTCTGTGACGGTCAATGGCATGAGTGTCTGGCCGTGTCAAGCGCTGCGGACCCTTGGAGGTGGTATACATGAGATCCAATTGGCATTGGTGACAAGATGCCGCTGAGCGACCGGGATGGCTGCGCTGTATCTTCATGGGCGGGCGCAACCAACTAGGTGTTGTCAAGTATCGAAAAATAACCCGTCACTCCGGCACGCGCTCGTATCTCGCATCTCACCGTACCACCGTACCACCGTACCACCGTACCACAGCCCAGTATTCCCTCGCCCTCTCTCTCACTCTCCAGGGCTGTTCGTAGTCAAGCTCCCCTCCTCGTGTCTTTCCTGGCAACCTGGGGCCCCCAAACCATTCCTCGCTTGTCCCAAGCCGACGCGCAGCTGCGATTGGCCAGAGTGGGCTGTTCCATGGGCCGGGCAACCTGGCAGGGCCTTTGGGCCTGGCATTCTTGACTGTGACCTCCTGAGGGGAGCTGCCCCTCAGATACCCACCCCTCACCCAAACTCCGGCTTCCCATCTACACACTAGACCCGACGGACCACCACCACCACCACCACCAACACCACCGCACGCACGCACACATTCTCGCCCCGTCTCTGTTCTGCTGTGTGCGATTGTTCGATTGTTCGGCTTGGTTCCTGTCGATTGTTCCACAAACCACTTACCGGCGCACGCCAACCCAAGTGTTTCCTGCCAGCCTATTCAACCCTCTCCGCCATCCGCCATCATCCACCTCGACGGCCAACACTCCTGTTGAAACTTCACCTTCTGCTGCGGGGCAACCAAACCCACCGCGAGCCTGAGATCTACCCACGCTGTGTTCTCTCTCCTTCTCGCTCCCGCGAGCGCTCTTTCCCTCCCTCCCTCTCTCTCGAGACTGCGAATTTCAGGTGAGCACCTAGTATTTTCTTGCTACCCCTCACGGGGATCATACAGGAACCGCACATCAGGTTCAGACCACACATCTGTCATCATCTGCGTATCACCCTGGCGACCCGCCTTGGCCGGCTCGTCTATCTCTGCACGAGAGCTGGTGCCGGAAGCCAAAAGACCAGACGAAGGCGTCTGAAGTCCCGTCGCAAGTCGAGTCGTGCCTGCAGCCCAGCCCAAAGCTCCAGCTCCAACCCCAGCTCCAACCCCAGCTCCTCTCCTCCCCAGCTCGGAAACGCCAGATCAGTCTGCGACCAGCCCACCCTCTGGTGACGTGACGAGCCCGCCCGGACGAGCTGATCTTCGAGCCGCCTTCTGGAAGCTGTCCGCTGTCAGTCGTCGCCCCCCGGACGCCCTGGTAACTCTCAGACAAACCGGTCCGGGCAGACCTCCTCAGGTGTGCCTGCTTGCCAGCCCATCATCAAAGCGGACTCGGCCTGCAACTGGCACAGACGATCTCGGCTATCTCGAGTCGCAGGAGCCGCCTCGTCGCTGCGACATCTGAAGAGGGCAAGCGCCGGATACCAGCTGATCTGATCGGCTCACCAGCGTCTCCGACTCGTCCACCCACGCGGGTCGTTATCACTGTCACCGTCACTCGTCACCGTCACTCCATATTTCTACTGCCTTGATTCATTCGCTCCCTAAAGCATCCCGGCTAATAATTGAACCTGTCCATCTAATTCAGACCGTCTACACGCGCGTCAGATCACCGATCACACAAAGAAAGACGCTTTTCTCGTCTTGACTTGCTACTAGTACCAGCCGTCGGCTTGAAAGAAACAAACCCCTAAGCCACAAGAGACGACAACGAAATCCACATTCGGAACCTACAGACCCTCTTTGCGACTTTGGGCAGGCCCGAGCGAAGACTTGACGCAACGCTACCTTTTGGTCTAATCCGAGTTGACCCCTTTCCTATATCATCGCCGAATCCTACGAAGGCGGCGAACTCGGCCTCTCACTGAACCTGCGAAGCATCCTTCTCTGTGCCGAATACACGTTTGCAAGCCGTTTCGCTGCTGCCTTACGAATTACTGGTAATACACTTTGGCCTAATCTCAGATCCCACGCCGGTTGGACCTCCTCGATTTCAGGCTCGAGGTGCTCAGACATTGTATTTGGACTTGCCGACCACCTCGACTTTCATTGTTCTCCGCCTCTGTAGCTGCGCCTTCCTCTCCCACAGGTAGCTCACCATGTCACGATCTCAAGCTCCGAACCCCGCGGGGTCCCGCAAAATCTCGTTCAATGTGAGCGAGCAATACGATATTCAAGATGTCGTCGGTGAGGGTGCTTATGGTGTTGTCTGGTAAGCTGCCTGGCGATCTTAGCCCCTGGTATTATCGAGGCTAATCCACCCTCAAGCTCGGCGATACACAAGCCGTCAGGCCAGAAGGTGGCCATCAAGAAGATCACGCCCTTTGACCACTCCATGTTCTGCCTGAGAACTCTGCGTGAGATGAAGCTCCTCAGATATTTTAACCACGAGAACATCATTTCCATACTCGACATCCAGAAGCCTCGAAACTACGAGACATTCCAGGAGGTCTATCTGATCCAGGTATGCGAAAGTGATGAGAGTATCAGATGCCAGTGTTCTTATGCTAACGTGCCGGGCCCAGGAACTTATGGAGACAGACATGCACCGAGTAATCCGAACCCAGGACCTTTCCGACGACCACTGCCAGTACTTCATCTACCAGACCCTTCGCGCTCTGAAGGCCATGCACTCGGCAAACGTGCTGCACCGAGATCTCAAGCCTAGCAACCTCCTCTTGAACGCTAACTGCGATCTGAAGGTGTGCGATTTTGGTCTCGCACGTTCTGCTGCCTCCCAAGAGGACAACTCCGGTTTCATGACCGAATACGTCGCTACTCGTTGGTACCGTGCACCCGAGATCATGTTGACGTTCAAGGAGTACACCAAGGCTATTGATGTATGGTCGGTGGGCTGCATCCTGGCCGAGATGCTCAGCGGGAAGCCTCTGTTCCCTGGCAAGGATTGTACGTGATGAAAACTCTTTCATGGTTCACAATGAGAATGCTAACAATAACCCCAGACCACCACCAGCTGACATTGATCCTGGATGTTCTCGGCACACCGACGATGGAGGATTACTATGGCATCAAGTCGCGCCGAGCTCGCGAGTACATCCGTTCTCTGCCCTTCAAGAAGAAGGTCCCTCTGCGAACATTGTTTCCCAAGACCTCGGACCTGGCCCTCGACCTTCTCGAGAAGCTGTTGGCATTCAACCCTGTGAAGCGCATCACGGTAGAAGAGGCTTTGAAGCATCCCTACCTGGAGCCATACCACGACCCTGAGGACGAGCCTACGGCACCTCCGATCCCCGAGGAATTCTTCGACTTTGACAAGCACAAGGACAACCTCAGCAAGGAGCAGCTGAAGCAGCTCATTTACCAGGAGATCATGCGGTAGGAAGGCGAAGAACTCATTGGGAAGACAGGTGCGCAGGACTAGTGGACCGGCGCGTCCTGGCGTTTCTGTGCACAATCATGACACGTTGCCTGCTCACGACTTTTCTTCTGGATTGACGACATATTGCGTTGTCTACTTCGATTTAGCATAGCGGATAAGCGCGCAAGCGACCAGGTAGTCGGACTCTTTGGTAACCAAATTCAGGGATGTGGTTCAGTACACTAGACCATCAAGCGAAGACAGCAGAAGATGGGGAAAAAATCAGAAATAAAGAAAAAAATGAAACCCCGCGATGGGAGGAATTATGAGACAATTCGACCCAGTATACGAAGATCTGGTTCACTCGACGGTCAGGGAAGGAGAGGTAGACTTGGTTGGATGAAAGGGGAATGATGAATATGGGAGACTTTTTCTTGACTTTTCTCCTTTTACTTTTCTCCCCAAAGCTCCCCAAAGCACGGGTCTAGGTCTCCCTTGCGCGGCAACGTGGATGGACGACAATGAAATGGATGGCCATCTCTTCTCTAGGCTCACAGCTACTGCTACATGAATGACGATGTGGATTCTAGCATGCAATAGAGAAGCGTAGTCTTGGGTTGTTCCGAGCCTCTCAGTCTCTTTTTGCCTCTTGTCTCTTTGAATATTGCATGTCATTTTGTTCACAGATGATGCCTCATCCGTAAATCCAGGGAATATTCCCCCTATATCTGAGTGGAGATACTTTCCCGACATGACAGTAGCCCTGGATATCTAATTGGGGTTTCAATCACAGCCTGTCTCGTCTCTGCCTTGGCCCAACTTATCAGACAAACAAAAGTCGAGCCCACGGCCGTACCGACTGACTGTCCCTATTTGCATTACTTACTTCCCAACGCCCGTGCCTGCTCTGGAGTGTGAAGTCTCGACACCCCATCGTGAGAGGCGGTAGCTTAGACCCTCCCGTATGTAAAAGCACGGGACTCGAGTGAAGTCCTGCGCCAAGTCTGTTTATCCTGGCCCGCTCCTTTCCTACGCTGTCCGCCCAACGACGAGCAGCCGCCCGCCGTGATCAATCGGGCTTTGGAAGGGGTCGCCTTGTCTTGTCCTGTGCTACCCGTTTCTTTCCCGTGGTCTGGTATCTTGCCGTCCGGGCCATGGGTAGCGCTTACACCAGACCTCATCTCATCAAGTCGTAATCATCATAGCTGTCGTGTCCTTGTCATGGGGGTTGGGTTCCTAGATCGTACATTTCCTTTTGGGTGGGGGCCCTTCTTCTTTCCCCATTTCAGTATTTTTGCCCCGTTTCCGTGGTCCCTCGAACTCACGTGGCGCCCACGACCCAGAGTTCGACGCCGATGATGTCGAACTTCTCGCCCTCGTCGCTGAGCGGGTCGTTCTCAAAGGTGCCGCAGCGCCCGCTCTGGCCGCGGTTGAAGCCGTCGTCCAGCCACAGGCCGTAGCGGGCGTCGCGGCCCTTGCCGCCGCCCAGCGCCAGGAACGACCGCTCCGAGTTGATGAAGTAGAAGCGGTCGCGGTCCTCAAACTCCTCCCACTCCTGGCGCGTCGCCTCGGGCAGCAGGGCGCCCCAGTCGTCGGAGGTGGGAGCCGGCGGCTTCTCGTCCGTCGTCGGCGACTTCTTGGTCTCGGGCGGCACGTAGGGGAAGTACTGGAACCGGATTGAGTGGTCCGGGTCGTGGTGATCGAAGGTGTCCTGGGTCGGCGAAGCGATGGTGGTCGAGGCGCCCGTGAGCAGCTCGGCGTCCGGGGCCGAGGGCGGCGGCGGCAGGCTCGCGTGGACCGAGGCCTTCCAGAGGAAGCACTCGCCCGTCCCGTAGTAGCCGCCCGCGATGTGTGGTGCTTCGGTTAGGTAGCCGCCAAAGGTCTGCGATAGCAAGGTGTTAGTCTCCGAGATTACAACGGAACAGCCCCACGATGGGAACGGGTGGGGAGAGAAAGACGGAGGGACAGAGATAGACTTACGCCTCCAGCGCCGTCCCGCACAACCAGCACGAAACCAACACGGCGGCCCCTGTAGTCCTCGCATAACTTGTAGAGGGTGGCCAGCGAGCTGCCGTTCTGGTACAGGCTGTAGACCAGACGCCACTCCTCGCAGATGCGCAGGCGCTCGGGGAAGTTCATGCGGATGGCCTCGGCGACGCCCGTCGACAGCAGGCGGGCACGTGGGTCCGTGTCGCGCTCGTAGCCGCGCAGCACCAGCGGCTCGTAGTCGGGCATGACGAAGGGACTGGCGGTGCGCGACAGGGGCCGGTGGGACGGCGAGAAGGGCGCGGTGATGCCGTCGCCGTTGCTGTGGTTGTGCTGGGACGAGGTCATGTCGGTCGGGAAGGTCTTGCTGCTGTGCATGCTGGCCGACAGGTGCGAGTTGGAGCGCGACGAGGGCCCAAAGGTGCGGCCGAACCAGCCCGAGATCATGGAGCTGATGCCGTACTGCTCCTGGTCGTGGTCGTAGTCGTGGTCGTAGTCGTTGCGGTGGGCGGCGGTGGTAACGGGAGCAGAAGCGCGCGCGGATACAGGCGTCGATGTGCCGTTTGACGGTGGGTACGAGGACGAGGCGTCTTCCAGGCCCGGGATCAGGATGCCCGAGTCGTGCCGCGAGGTCGACGGCTGGGTGCTGCTCGCTCGGCTCATGGTGATGTGACGTAGGCCCAGCGACTCGCGTGCCGTGGTGTGCGTTGCTCTTGATCTAGCTGGGATAGCCCACGTGTGTCGAGCTGTCTGCTTGCTTGCTTGGTTGCGGCCGGGCAAGGACAAGGCCGGGCAATACGATGTAGAAAAGACGTGGTAATGCACAATAAGGAAAAAGAGATAAAACGGATTGCCCGAGGTGCCCAGTAGGATGGATACGGCTCGTCGTGCCAGATATGCTGTTGTTGGTTGCTGCTTACTTAGTTCGATACCCAGACCCAGGCCCGGGGAAGGTAAGTCGGCTAACTTGGCGAGATGTGCCTGGAAGCTAACCTTCTAACTGCCTGGGTGTCTCTTTTTTTTTTTTAGTGTACGTGTGAGCTGAGACTGTCAAATGAGGGCCTGGCTGAGAGGTGGTAAGGCGGCGCTACCGTTGATTTAGGCTCGGTGGCTTTTGCTGCGTGTCCCTCTGGTGGGGGTTTGCGATGACGAAGGCGGCCGGGGGGGAGGAAGAATGGTGCGGTATGAGACATGGGACGGTCACCCCAAGGCTTGATGGCCTGATCAACTGATAGGACAAGCATGTGTACATGCGTAACAGCCTGGCTCCTCGGGGTGCGGCGAAAGGCTGCCAAGTTAGTTGTTAAATAAGTTGCCCGAGGACGGGGAGTCGATGGGAGAATGGACCCGATTTGCACACAGGGTACAAAGAACGAAAGCCAAAAACCGTCCATGGATGCGAGTGGGATATACTTTCCGGGGGCAAATGAGGCAAGCGGTTTTGTCTCGGATGCCACACCTTTACACTTGGATCTAACGTCGCCCCGAACTCGGAAATTGGCCATGTAAGTCGAGAGACAGTATGACAGCAAGCCTGGTGCATTTCTGGCTATTGAATGAACGACACTTACGATGAGAGATTCGAGCCGTGGCGTTCCTTAACTCGGTGTTCGACTGCAGCGTGAACACCCAAAGTCGAACTACTTGGGTACTCTTTTGAGATGGCAAAATAGCCATGTTTCCCAAGCAGTGCACGTTAGTAGGTTTGTTTTTCACTTGCCCAAGCATAGAAACAAGTATTGGCTGCGGTATACACTCGTTCCTGCATAATCCGAGCGTTGATATAGAGTTGAAGACATTAAGTGTTTACATATCTACCTGGGTACGGCTGATGCAGCAATATCCATGACCCAACGTGCATTCGCACGGGTATAAGTTATATGATGAACGGCCTCAAAGTCCAAGTACTAGATCAAACAGTCCGGTTACCCTCGTCGCCTACACCGCCAATGCCCTCCTATCGCCCCTCCCGCGTCTTTCTGAACTGCGTAATCCCAGCCAAGACGCCTTCGGGGCTCGGTGTCTCAGCGCACACATCCGGCTCGAATCCAAACGTCTTCTTCAGATAGCCCCTCGTCGTCGGCCCTATGGCGGCAACAAAGGTCGTCCTGTGCTCCTTGTCCACGCGGCCCACCTTCCCCGTCTCCGGGTCCAGCATGCCGAGCCCCCGGAGCATGCCCTCGCACCCGGTCGGGCTAAAGACAACAAGCCACCGCGCAGTCCTGTCGCCCGTCCGCCGCAGCACGGCCGCGAAGTCGCCGGGGAACGACTCCATGACCCCCGTGCCGTAGACCACTGTCTCGTCGACGCGGATCCTTGTCTCCACGGGCAGGTCCGGGTTCATCAGGAACTGCGGGATGATGTCGCGGCGCTTCTCGCCGACGAGGAACAGCAGCGCGGGCTTGGTGCGTCGGCCGGCGTACCACGCGCCGTAGTGCTCCTGGATGAAGGGGGCCAGAGCATCGCCGTTGCCCGTGTGCTCGCCAAAGACCTGAAGGGCGGGTGTCTGGGGGATGGCGCGCAGGGCGCGGGTGGTGGCCGGGCCGACGGTGTAGAGCGGTATGGATTGGAGGTGCGGCCACGAGGATGCATTCTCGTCATCGGGACTGCCTGTTGGTTTGGGAGGGGGCCGTCAGTTCATTGATCATAACACGCGCCGCCTTCAGAGGGCGCAAACTCTCCTGAGGCATGAGGGAAACAAGCTGCCGTGATACGTACCCGACCCCTCCTCGACCAGCTTGGCAAAGGCCTCGACGGCGCGTTGCGACGTGAAGATCAGCCCGCCGTACGCCGCATCCTCGCGATTGCTAATGCGCCGCTCACGAAGCAGCGCCCGGAAACTGCCGAGGCCGGCCTCGTCGAACTGGTGCTGGAGAACGGGCACGAATATGGGCTCGAACCCCGGGCCGCCGTCTGGCGGGGCAGCGGTTGAGAAGAGCTCCTCGTAGGTATCCGAGGGGCTCGACTTGGTCTTGAGCAGCAGGACCGGCTGCTTCGGGTTGGGCGTTGCCATGGTTCGGCAGACGTCGGCGATGGAGTTTCTTGCCTGTGCTACGTGTGTACGCTGGTCATATTGAGCAAGAATTACTGGCTGCGACATTGAAGATCATGCACTCTCCCTCCTTCCGGTGCCAGCCCGCTGCTCCGTGAGTTACCTAAAGTACCAACTTAACTCATCGGGTTCAGGGCCCTCGCCCGCTAGCCGTGGGGGGACCTGCAGCGCCAAGCCCGTCACTGGCGCAGCTTTCGCTGTGTAAGTCAGAGAGCTTTATCGATAAAGCTGCCACTGATCGCCGGTTTCTTAGTGACGTGACGTGACGTGACGTGACGTCCAGGGCCCGACCGCCCGAGTCAAGGCTGGAGAAAAAGTCGCCGCGGGACCAGCCGGCGCCGGTGACTTGTGCCAATCCAGATGACAAATCCTTGGCCGAACCGATCCTCCCAACAGCGCCGTTTCATCCCGAGCCCACTCGTTCCTGGCTTCAAGAGACTGCAGATTTCCACATACGGCGCCTTTGGTCCCAGACACATTCGTTCAACCTTGCAGAAATGACCGCCGACGCCGGCACGCCGTCCGGCGCATCCTCGACCGCCCCCGGCCCCAGCTCCGGTCTTCCTCCGGGAGTTGTGCTCGGCAAGGACGGCAAGCCGTGAGTGTCTCTCTTTCCGCCGTCTTCTTCCATGTCCCGGATCGCCCTTCTCCCTCGACACAAGTGACTGATCCGATATCTCCCTTTCAGATGCCGCACCTGCTCGTCAGGCTCCGCCTTCAAGTCCTTCGCCTCGACGCTCAAGCCGGCCAGCGGTAGCAGTCGTGCATCCACGGCTACGACCGGCGGCGCCCTAGCAGCAGCCGCCGCCGCCGCCGCGACCGCAACCCCCGCCCCGGCCGAGAACGACTGCCCGCCCGACGTGGAGCAGCTGGGCCGCAGCACGTGGACGCTGCTGCACTCGATCGCGGCGACGTACCCGACGACGCCGTCGGCGCGCGAGCAGGCGGACCTGCAGACCTTCATGGGTCTGTTCGCGCGCCTGTACCCGTGCTGGGTCTGCGCCGAGGACTTCCAGGCCTACATGCGCGAGCGCGAGGCCGTGCGCGTCGCCTCGCGCGACGAGTTCGGCACCTGGCTGTGCCGCGCCCACAACGCCGTCAACGCCAAGCTTGGCAAGCCCGCCTTTGACTGCGCCCGCTGGGAGGAGCGCTGGCGCACCGGCTGGAAGGACGGCCGCTGCGATTAGGGCGGGCTGGAGCGCACAGCGACCTGGCGTTCACCTCTGGAACACCCCTGTCTTGCACTGGACCGTGGGCTCGGGGTTCGGGGTGTGCACAGAGGGACGCGATGTTTACGAACGGGATGTACACTATGTTCTTGTATGGCGACAGCGACAACGAGATGAGTCGACTGTGTGATCTTTGCATTAGACGGCGTTTTTGGCACGGGAAACGAATCACCGCTCATAATAGACGGCGAAATTGCATGCTTCTTAATTTCAATAGATGCTTTAGCAGGGGAAAGGACCCAACTCTTTTGAATAGAGGTTTACTCAACATCAGCAAAGGATGACCAAGTCACGAAGTGATCCAGCGAAGCGAGAAAGACAACATTTTGGCTTTATAGACGCGGAGAATTACCGACGAAATCAAAGCAGAAAACAAAGGCAATCAGTCCATGGAAAGAGATGAAAAGTTCCAGCATGAAGTTTCCATATCGTCATTAATATATATCCATATATCCAAAGTAGAGAGATCAAAATCAAGATAGCCAATCCATTTCCCATCATATCATTTTACCTCTCAGGAACTCCCATGAGAACGCCATCGCATTCCCAACACTCTCTATATTCTACCCCTTTACTAAACAATGGACCAGTCTGCAATCCACACTTCTCCGGATTTCTACTCCGTCTTGGCATTATTCCGCGCGCTGGCCTCGGCCGTCATCATGAGGCTGCGGGGTGCGTCCTCCTTGGGCATGTAGATCTCGACGAAGCGCAGACCCTTCCGTTCGTTGAAGTCGCGGTCGGCGAACAGCTTCTCGACGTCGGCCTTGGTCTTGACCACGTACTTCTTGGAGCCGGTGCGGCCGGCGTCGCCGCCGCTGAACACGTCTGCCAGCGCCTTGTAGTCCCAGGTCACCACGTCGTTGTATTCCGCGTCCATGCCATGGATGAAGCGCTCGATCGTGTAACCCTCGTTACAGATAACGAAACTGGCGAGAATTAGCACGGGCTCTCCAACGCGGTTTCGCCTTTCTTCAATTTTTGCACCTACTCACGAGGCAACTTCTGTAGGTCCAGGGGGGGTCTCTTCAGGGAAGGGAAGGGGATAGCGGGTTCGCTTACAAAATGACATCGAGCTGGTGCTTGATGATGGTGCTCAGCTCCTGCGCCGTGAGCTGGAAACTGCCGTCTCCCTCGAAAAGAATCGTTCTCCTGTTCGCGTTCGCGTCTTTGGCCCCAAGCGCCGCGCCCTGGCAAGCGCCAACAGCCCATCCGATACTTCCCCAGAGCGTCTGGTTCAGGCCCGTGGCACCCCTGGGGAACCTCGTGTCCCAGATGCCGAAGTTGGCCGTGCCCGTCTCCGTGACCACGATGTCGTCGTCCTTGAGGAAGCCCGTAACCCGCGGCCAGAACCACTCCTGCAGGATGGGGCCGGCGTCGCCGGCGTCGGCCTTGCCAACCGTCTCGGTCCCCTTGGGCGCCTTCTGAACGCTGAGCTGCTTCACGTCGACGCGGTCCGTGACCTTGGCCAGGACCCCGCGCATCTTGACGCCCGGGTACTCCGAGTACCGGACGGCGCAGTAGTTGGAGTGGAAGTCGATCGTGTTGAGCTGGCTGAGGCGGTAGCTAAAGCCGGCCGTGTTGAAGTCGCTCTTGAGCGCGCCGACGGTCAGCACCAGGTCCGAGCTCTCGACGGCCTCCTTGACGTCCGGGTGGCTGGCGTCGCCGGCGTAGACGCCGCCGAAGCTGGCGTGCGTCTCGTCGATGGCGCCCTTGCCCATGGGCGTCACGAAGACGGGGATGCCGGTCTTCTCGATCAGCGCGTGCGTCTCCTTCAGCACGCGGTGCCGGATGGCGCAGGCGTCGACGAGGAGGATGGGGTTCTTGGCCGCGTGCAGGTAGCGCAGGACGACGTCGACGACGTAGTCCTCGCGCTCGGCCTCGTTGGTGGGCTCGCTGAGGTCGATGGGCTGGTCCAGGCGCTGGCCCTCGACCTTGGCCGTGACGACGTCGGTGGGCAGCATGAGGTAGACGGGCCGGCTCTTAAGCCAGCACTCGCGCAGGGCGTGGTCGATCTGGGCGGCGACCTCGGCCGGGTCGTTGAGCTTGGCGACGGCGCACGACACCTTGCTGGACATCTCGGCAAAGACGTTGAAGTCGCCGTTGCCCAGCGTGTGATGCAGCAGCATGCCGTTGCGCTGCGAGACGGTGCTGGGGCAGCCGACGATATGCACGACCGGCACCATCTCGCTGTAGGCACCTGCGATGCCGTTCAGCGCCGACAGCTCGCCGACGCCAAAGGTGGTGATGAGGGCGCTGATGCCCTTGATGCGGGCATAGCCGTCAGCGGCATAGGCTATTGTGCCATGTTAGTTATACAGTTGGCTTCTACCCGTTCGTTCCAGGGGTGGGGGATAGCTACCGGCATTCAACTCATTGACACTCCCGACCCATTTCAGATTCGCCTTGGGGAGGTAGTCGAGCGCGACGAGGTTGTAATCGCCAGGCAACCCATGGACAGACCGGACGCCGATCTGGTGGAGACGTTGGAAGAGATACTCTGCCACGTCTACAGGTTTGGTGAGATTCTTGGTGCGAATATCCATGGTGGTTTCGCCCATGGTCGTAGAGCAAATGTCGTGAGAGGTGAGACGTTGAAGTCTGTGTAAGTCTTATTCGACGAGGTCTCGCAATCGGGGGTTTGTTTGAAACTGCGCGAAGTAACCTCTTGAGCTTTTATACAGACGCCTGCCTTCTAGAGAAATCAGGAGACTGCTCGTGATGATTCCGATCCCCCGGTAATAATAACTCTAGAAACTATGGTGGCAGGCGATTTCCGGACGTCACTTTCTAGTACCGAAGGCAGTTACTCAGCAACTGGGACCAGGAAGGGCCTGCAAGTCTGCCTTTGCCTGCAGGTGGTGATGCAATGGCGGGCTAGCAGACCCATAATCCGAGCGCGCAAACGACGCTTTACCCACCGCGAAACTGGAAGCGCTGCTCATTCAATGGCCTCGACCGTCCCAGAGAGCTACTATGTAGATAAAAAACGGGGGGCGCCGGTATTCCACGGGCCGAATCTGCGCTTAATAGTGGAGACTTGGTCGCCTTGTGCATACGATGGGTGGGCTCATGTGTGACGAGCTCCCACAGTCACACGTCCCGGAGGTCCCGGTGTCTATTCGTGCCCGGGTCCGATCAGCTCTGAGTGGCTGGTCCGTGGCCCAACGCTCGCGTATTGACCTACAGCCAAGATAGATACGATATCTGTCGGCTCCCCGGCTTCTTGCCCTGCAGGCCGCAAGTTGGTAGGTATGCAATAAAGGGCGGTGAAAGGGAAAGGAGATAAACCTGCCTGCGACATGCGGCTTGCAGATGAGGAGGGAAAATAGAATAACATTAGATTATCTGGTTAGGCATTAGAAATCGCCACAGTGTGCGTTTATATATCCCGTAAAGTTTTGGACATGGTTACATCGTTTCTCGTAGTCCTCATGATGCATTCAGGGCCAACATCGAATCTCGTCGCTTTTAGTCCTCGGGGAACAGCTCCCGCAGGTTACTGACAAAGACACCCTGCTCCTTATCGTAGCGCTTGAAGAACTTGCCCGCCATCGGAATGAGATCTCGGATCTCTCTGGGCAATTCCGCGCCGCCCCGTAGATCAAGAATCTCCATATTGTCCTCGGCTATAACGTGGTGGTCGGACCCGTCAGTGCCGACCATACAGCGGTAGAACGGCTGGGCGCTCTGGTTGCTGGACCAGACCCTGTTGTCACCATCCCAGCCCATCGATTCACTCACACCGTCAACGGACCAGCCCAGGATGAGACCGTGATAGTCATAGCGTTTGTGCTTGAAGACCTGACCAATGCGGTGCTTGACGGGCACTGGACTTGTGAGATCGCTCCGACGACGCGGCGCCCTCTCAGATGAGTCCAGCTGGCGGATATTCTTGATTTGATCCCTTACGCGCTTGGATGGCAGTTCCCAGGCGTTTTGTCGTCGCCCGGGGGCGGCAAATGTGTCGTACATGGGGCATACGTACTTCTCCACGAGCCATGCGTCTTCTGGGAAGTATTCGTAAAAGTAGGTGAGCAGGTCTCTCACGTCTTGCTGCCAATCCCAGCGCACGTCCTCGTTGTCGGGCAGGACCGGCACCATCATGATACTAGCCCAGATCATGCTGTAGAGGGCAGGCTGAAGATTGCGGGCCCAGTCGCCGTGGCGGAGCTCGATCAGGGGGATGAGTTCGGCTACGGGTCGCTCGATGGTGCGGAAACTGGTGAAGGAGGCCCGGATGTTCTGAGCGGTCCGCATGACGATCAAGTCAGTAGCAGTAGGTACCAGCATGGTGTCTCTGCTGAGATTCGCGCCAAGCCGGTACAGGAAGGTGTGGAGGTGGTCGAGAGAGACCTCACAATCCGAGTTATAGGGGTCGAGGAACATCCTCTGCTGCTGTTCTTGGTCGTCGGGGATCGACTGGCCGTCCAGGGAAACGCCGTTCGGTGAAAGCACGATGGCATGCACATGGCTCGGCAGGGCACAGCAGTAGGCCTCGACGCCGATCCTCTCGGCCAGGGCCGAGAATATGGCGGCGGATATGATGGGCAGGGATGGATGTTGGTCGTCCTTCAGGGCGCGGCCTATGAGGCAGTTGCGCAGGTAGCGGTAGGTCTCGGACTCGTTCTCCAGGCCGGTGATGTTGTTCGAGTGCAGCCAGGCGGCGAGGGCGACGGACTTCTGGCGCGTCGTCATGTGGTTGACGTCGTGGTGGATGCGGCGGAACTGGTCGATCAGGCCGTCCAGCAGGGCCGAGATCTCGTCCATGTCGCCGTCGTTGTCGTGGAGCACGAACATGTCAAAGGCGCCCAGGGCGCGCTCGAGCCTCATGCCGCAGCGCAGGCGATCGGTGGTCGTGATGTTGGCCGCGTCGATGCGGCATGCGTACTTCTGGTAGTTGGCCCACTCCTCGATGGCGAGACTGCGATGGATGCTGTCGAGGACGTTGCAGGAGTAGTAGCGGCGTGCCAGGACGTCGTCGACGTCGTCGTCGATCCTGCACTGGCTCAGAAGGTAGTCCTTGGCGTCGTAGCCGTACTGGCAGATCTCCTCGGTCTTCTGCAGTCTGGAGACGCGCGAGGCGACGATGCCGTCGACGAGGTCGGCGATGCGGCGGTTGCGGGACAGGCGCAGGGTGAACAGGGCCTTCCAGTCGACGTGGGACGACTTGTTGCGCAGCTTTCCGCGGATGTCATGGTCGGATTGCCAGTATTTGAAGGTGGTCTCGCAGTAGTACCTCCAGAGCAAGGGCGTCTGGGCGATGCGGTGGAAGCGGCGGGAGAGACGGGGTATGGCGGCCAAGGTCTGCTCGGGAGCCAGATACTGGAGGATCTGATGAATGATCTCATCCGGCAGATGGTCGAACGGCGATGCAGTGGCCATCGTCCTCGGTGTTGCTGAGATGTCGAAAGTGGAGAGGGCGGGAAAGTCGCAATCAGGTTGTCGCAAGAGCCAAGAGCGTAACTGGGTGCTAGGGGGGGAAGCTCGAAAGTGCCTATGCCTTAGTAGTGTCCGGCGAAGACCCCCGTCAACCCGTGAGACCCCCCGTTTCTTGGGCGGCAGCAACTCCGGCAAACTACGTCAGAGATGGTTGGACAATGTGGTCGGGCGTGAAATGATAAAACTTGGCTGCTACAAATGGGCTTCTACGCTTCAGCAGTACAAGGCCATTTGGGCTGCGTCGGGGATGGGAGTCGCGATGAGACTGCGGAAGAAGGGCAGGGACTTCTTTTTCTTTTATAGACAGTATACAGCTGCACATGGGAGAAGTTCTCAGGGTCCTCCGATGCAATTGACCAACATCCGTCGCCGCAAATAATGGGAATGGCAGGTAAGGCGGAATCGATAAGATACGATTGGTGGAGGGGCCCATTGATCCGCATGGTAGAGAGCGGGCGTCGGATTGATGATTGATGGGACTGAATTGATGGATGCGTCCGGGGGGGGTTCCCTCAACTGCCCAGGCCTAAGTAGTCCCCGTACTGTACCTACAGTAGTTAAACCCGCCTGGGCTTCCTCCACCTGGGCATTTGGGCACTTCGAGGTCGAGCCCTGGAGGTCACTTTTGGACGGATCAATTGTTAACCCTTTCCTGTCTGCCCAGTAATGGAAGTAGGTGACTAAGGTTAGGTACCGTGCCTGTGGAGGTCCAGTGGAGCTCTCAGCGCTCTCTACTCCATCCAATGACTGTCTGGCCCCCCCCCAACCCCCCGGGCCAGCTTCCCAGGTGCTGCTATACTCCAGGGCCCCAGGGCCCCACGCCCGCGGCTCGGCGATTGGCCAGAGCTCTGTCAATGTAAACAAAGCCGCCTGCGATTTTTGGAACGCGCCTCAGCGTTGCACCGCGTCACTTACAGCCACCCCACCGACGGACGACCTTACCGACTTACACCACACGCACGTACGTACGGCAACATACACACACGACCGGGCATCCTAGAATGATTTCGACTGTTGCCGTAGTCAATCGCAGATTTGCACCCTCATTTGCGTCGCGACCGTGTCAGGCTTCGGCTTCAGCTTCACAAGTGCATATACATACCACACCCCGTTGTGAACACCACCCTCGCCCTTCCACCGGATCCATGAAGTAGACGATAGCAACGACGACGCGCCCACTGTTTTTCAGCCCGAATCCGCCCAGCATGGTGCAGCACGACTTTGCCGGCCTCGACACGCCGCGCACCAATGCTGGCGATGCCACCTACCTGGATCGCCAGCCCGACTTCGACATGACCTTGGAGCCCTCGTTTCAGTCGCCCGCCAAGGACGGCAATGTCCTACACCAGCTCAAGAACCCCCGCGCCGCCCGCCCGAGCCTCAGGACGCCGCGCGCCTCCCGCGCTGCCCTGGCCGACGTGCGCAATCAGTTTCCCGCAGGCATCGGCGGCGCAGAGTTCACCCCCATGCTCAAGTCCGCCACCAGGAATAGCGCCCGCAAGTTCGGCAAGGAGAACCGCAGGAGCATCACCACCCCGGCCGCCCTCGGCAGGATCAGCGAGGACATGGACCTGACCAACGTCGCCGTCGAGTCGTCTCTGTACGGCCCCTCGAGGGGCAGCAACTCGTACATAGACGCCACCCCCATGCCCCACGTCCCCGACGACAGCAGCATCGCCTCCACTCCCATGGTCCTGCCTCCCCGCCGCGGCGCCGACAAAGGCCCCCTCAACGACGGTAATCAGCTCTCCCTGCGCGAACAGGAAAACGTCATCGATAGGATCGAGAAGGAGAACTTTGGCCTCAAGCTCAAGATTCATTTTCTCGAGGAGGCCCTGCGGAAGGCCGGCCCCGGCTTCAGCGAGGCTGCGCTCAAGGAGAACACGGAGCTCAAGGTCGACAAGGTCACCCTGCAACGCGACCTGCAGAAGTACAAGAAGCAGTTGACCAACGCCGAGAAGGACCTCGAGACGTACTCCGAGCAGATATTGAGCATGCAGGAGAAGGCCAAGAAGAAGTATGCCGACGAGAGCCAGAAGATCGAGATTGAGAGGTTAAAACAGGAGCTCGAGGACAAGGAGGCCGACCTCCACGATCTGCAACAACAATTGCAGAGGGGGAACCAGGAGTCCGAGAAGCTCGACAAGCTTCAGGACGAGATAGCCGACCTCGAGGCCGACCTGCGGGAGAAGGATCGTGAGATCAACGACCGCGAAGATGAGATCGAGGGCATCAAGGACAAGCTCGACGAGGAGGAGGAGAAGAGGAAGGCCGCCGAGGAGAGAGTGGCAGAGCTCGAGGAGCAGGCAGGAGCCAGCGACGAGTTACAAGAGGCCAAAGAGACCATCGAGCAGTTGGAAGCAAACGTCCGCCGGTTTGAGGAGCAAGTCGATGAGATGAGGGAAGAGCTCGAGCAGGCCCGAGCGGACAAGGAACGGGCCGAGGGTGACCTCGAAGAACTGCAAGACGAGATGTCAAACAAGTCCGTTGTCACCAAGGGGCTCTCCCGGCAGGTGGAAGAAAAAGCCGCCCGCTTGCAAGCCGAGCTGGACAAATCGCAGGAGAAGTACGCTTTCCTCGAGCAGCAATCCGCCGACAAGGACACATTCACCAACGAACTGAAGACCAAGGCCAAGCAGCTCCTGCAGCAGAGGGATTCTTGGGACGCCGAGCGACAGTCGTTGGCCTCCAAGCTGGAGCAGGCCGAGAAGGACCTTGGTGCGCGGACCGACGAGAAGAACTTGCTACAGCTCCGCCATGATGCATTAGGCGCCGAGTCCGGCTCGTTACAAAAGGACGTCGCCCGTCTCCAGAAGCAGATCGAAGGGCTGGAGGAGAGCCTAGACCAAGAGAAGGCGCATGCCTTGCATATCGAACAGGACGTCCGGAACCAGTTCAAGGCCGATATAGACCGTCTTAACGACGAGATCTCTGATCTGCAAGCAGAACTACGGGAGAAGGACAACCTTTACGATAACGACAGCGAGAAATGGGAGAACGACAGGAACAACCTCGAGTCGGAGCGAGATCGGGCCGAAGAACGGGCCGCTGGCCTCCAACGTACCATCGACAAGTTACGCGAGGTTGAAGGCTCTCTTTCTGACAAGGAGTCGAGATTGCAGGAAGCCCTGAACAGCGAGGCTGATCGGCACAAGAACGATCAGGCGCTCCTCAGCCGGCAGATTGACGACCTACGGCAGGACTTGGACGCACGGCAATCCATGTTGACGGACTTGCGATCCGAGGTCTCTGCGGTCCGAGACGAGCTTCGTCAAAGTCAGCTGGACTATCAGTCTCAGGCCGAGAAAGCCGAAGCCCTTGAGGATGAAATCGAGGTCTTGCAGGCCACATTGGACGAAGAATCGGAACAAGCCGGCCAGAATCTTGCTCAGGCCAAACAAGAATGCGAGGACCTACGAGAACGACTGAGAGCTCTCCGGGACGATGCTGATAGTGCGCGGGCTACGAGCTCAGTATCTCAGCAGACTAGTCGCCAAAACCATGAGACACTCAGCCGCCTGCAAGGCCAGCTTTCCGATGCCAACGCTCAGATCAGCAGGGCTACCAAAGAGAAGCATTCCCTGCAGGACCAGCTCACCAATCTCAATATGGAACTCAAGGAACTACGTGCCTCCCTCGCCGAGACAAAAGCCGAACGGGAAGAGGCAGAGGAAGAGCTCCGCCGTTTCCGTCAACTCGACAATGACACCTTCCGCATTGACCAAGAGCGCATCGATCTTCGCACAGCCAAGGTTAAGCTGGATAGCGAGGTGCGGCGTCTACGTGATGAAAACCGATCCCTAGAGACTCAGCGCGAGACAATCGAGAGATCTTTGGACGACGAGATTGAGAGAGCCGCCGCCGAGGAAGAGCGCTTGAACAAAGAAATCATGGCATTACAGTCCAAGATGCGCCAGTCCAGCGGGAATGAGAGTCAAGAGCTTGCGGCCGCGCGACGCACAATCCGTGACCTGGAACGCAAGGTTGACGAGTACGAGGCTGAGATCGCTGTACAGTCCCTGTATCCGAACGGCACCTCGGGCGCCACAATAGAAGGCAGCTCCGAGCTCTCGCTTATGCGTCGAGATCTCTCATCGGCCCGGCAAAAGGAACTCGAGCTTTTACAGCGAGAAGCCGGGCACAAGGATACTGTGCGTGGCTTGAAGCGACAGATCGCAGACCTAGAGCGAAAGCTTCATGAGGCCGAGAGGACACAGCTGATCCGGTCCCCAGCTTCCCCGTCTGCGTCCAACTCGGCATCCGCACGGAAGAAGGAGATATCTGAGCTGAGACATCAACTCTCAACCGCAAACAAGTCACTGCATGATGTGCGCCAAAAACTGAGGGATACCGAGCGCACTGCCTCGGCGAAAGCTGCAGAATACGACAGCGTTGTCGGCGATTTGCAGGCCCAGCTTGACGCCCTCGAGGATGAGAAGCTGTCTCTCGAATATGCCGCCGCAGACTCGGAGAACGCCATGGACGAACTCCAGAGTCAACACGAGAAAGCAGTCCGGAAGTTAGAGCACCAGATATATAAGCTCGAGCACTCTGGCCCTTCACGCCAGAACAAGTCATCGTTAGACGCTGATCCTCTCGAGCCTACTGAGCGTCGCGAGCTTCGTGCCATGCTCCGCGAATCGCAAGCCGAGGTCAAAGCCCTGGAACACGACATCCGTCAGCAAGCCGCCGTCATCAAGTCTTACGATGGCGCACAAGCTGCGTTGCGCCAGAAACTAGACAGGGTGCGCAGCGAGAGGGAGACCCTCCGGAACAGCGCCCGCAAGCTGCAGACGGATTGTGAGCGTCTCCAGGAGGGCGCCCAGGAAGCCATCGCCTGGATCGAGTCTCACAACATAAAGCGGCAGTCTGCATCCAGCTCAGGCTCCTTGGCTGGCCCGACCTCTGCGGCCTATGCAGCTGCGAAGGAGATGGCGGCGCAAGGGCGGACTTCCATCAGATCCGCGTCAGGCGGCCTGGTGCTCGACGTAGTCGACCAGTCGGACCACGAGGCCGTGATACGGGCAGCGGACGAAGCGTCCAGACGCCACGAGAAAGAGCTCAGGGGTCTAGCGATGCAGATGCGTTGGATGCAGGCGCGGTGGGAACGTGAGACTAAGCTACGAAGCGATGCGGCATTCGCCAAGAGGTTCTTGGAGCTTAGATTGAGCGTTGCTGAGGCATGGTACGTTTTCCCCTTGCCCTTTCTAAGTCATCTGTTTGGGCCCTCCCTTTCTCTATTTATGGCTACGGCCAATGTCAGATTAGCATGCTAACAAGCTCTCCAACAATAGCAATGCTGCAGACCTCCGGATTCTGTCCCAGATCCACAAGCAGCTAGGCATCAAATCGCCTGAAGCGCTGCTGCAGTCCCAAAAGAACCGTTCGTCCTCTTCTACTACGACAAAGTCCTCACAGAGTCACCTAGCCAGCGGCACGACGCAGCCTGCGGTGGTAGCAAGAGCCCAACACAACCTCCGCGTCTTTGCCAACGCGCTCCGGGCTGTGGCCCGCATGCGCATCAGCGCGCGCGAGTGGTCCAAGCACGAAAAGACGCGCCGCCGGCTCGAAATTGCATGGGAGGAGACCAAGCGGCGCGAGCCCGTCCGCAAGTGGGAGTACAACCAGGACGAGGAACAGGATGATCGTGACGATGACGATCAGGAGGCCGGAGATCACCACGGCCAGCCTGCTGCTACGGGTAGCCGTGGACAGCAGAGGCGCAAGAGGAAGAGCGGGCGAGGTGGAGATGAGGATATTTGCGTGGAGTTGAGGCTGTAGAGTCACTATCCTGCGTTGTCATGATATGTATCATCGTGTCTTTTGGCACCGGAGTTTGTTTATTTATCGTTACAGAAGGGGAATACGGAGTTGGAGAGGTGTTCATGTGCCTTTGGTCCCCTCGACGCCTTACCATATCATTCTGCCATTCAAGGTTGGATGCCCTTGCATGAGTTGTGGGATTGTCAGGATATGAGACTCAAACGCAGTCTTGTTAGAGTACTAGAAGTAGAGGCAGCACATGGAGTCCTGAACATGAAGGCGCACGAGAATGGAAAGGGAAAACATCAAGTATACCCCCGCTTAAAACCCTACATCTCGCCAGACTCGAGACCATGCATACGTACAATTCTTGACATCGAAAATACTTGCCCGAAGAAATGTAGTAGAAAGTTGAACATCACTGAGGAAAGTGAACGCGCCACATTTCCTGTTGTGGTCGTAGTATAGACTGTCCGAGCCAGAGGGGGGTAGCATCGAATCAAGGCAAAGAAAGGAAGGTGAAGGGGATATGGACACATCACTCTATCCTACTCATATAACGCATCATCAACATCAGATCCCAGTCCGCAAGTGACCACATCGTGCCAGCAAACGCCACCTATAGTACCAGATGGCTTGCATCTTACCTAACATACCAGAGTGATGCGGATCTCCATGTCCTCTTGAGTTCGTCTGGTAAGTCTATGAACAAGGATCCTGTTAACAGAATCGTAAAATTCTTAATTAGGAACTCTCGGGCCATCTGGTTTCAACACCTGACACAATATGATTGGGCCTGTGCCTAGAACGTGATTCTCCTTTCGGCTGAGTACTCTTTTTGTGAGCTGGGGAACCGACTTTGGTAGTGCTCACCATTCCCTTTTGGCGTGACCTTGGCGAACCGTAACAAGTCGAAATCGCCTTGGTCTCCAATCATGATCGAGTCGGCACGCTTTTCTCTCGGCCGAAAAACCATAACGTATTCAGTGTGTCAGTAGCCTAGCACAAGTCTTCCCCGGACGCGCCGAGCAGCATGCGTGCAGGGCAACGACCGGCACTTGAGCCTTACTCGCAGGAGGCCTCGGGACAAACGGCGTGGTCTTGACCATTTCCGGCTTTCGTGCCTGGCGCTTGGCGCTCGGCGACGTTGGAGCAAGACGCCTCCAGGCGACGCGGATCATTACAAGCAGATCGAGGGGCGTACGGTCCTGCATGATGGTTCGCTCACTGACAAAGAGTAAGCTTTCAGTCTAGCTTCATGATTGGCATCTAGCCCCTGCCTTCGATAAATTAGAGACATTACCTCGCCGGATTGGCGGGGCCAGTCAGTTTTCAACAACCAGGTAGTGCTCTGCTAGACTAGCAAAAGTTTAAAATGTGAATGCAACCTCAATGTGTCTTGGGACACCCTTGTTATGAACAATTCAGCTAGTCGACCAGTAGCAAGGTAAGTATACGAAATGCTCGCCACAAGAGCACTACAAACACCCACATGCCATGACCCATTCTGGACGCAATTTCCGAGGCAGGTCAACATTTGAGGCAGGAAAGTTTTTGTGGTGTGGTGCTGAGCACAAAAGATGCAAGCTAGAGTTTAACACATCGACCTAGATATTTTATCTGGCTATAGCAGTTAGCAACGATCTTGCCCTCGAAACTGAGCGCGGGAGACCAATACTTACAAAGCACGACCTTCCTGAAAATATGATGCTGGAAATTTTAGGTTATAGTGGTGAGAGCTCAGCGCCACTGGCGTTATCGGCCTTGCAAAAGCATATCTATATATTGGGCACCTTCGCCGGCATTTTGTGTATCTAGGTACAAAACAAGGGGGGAGATCTCGAGCACAGCTACTGTAGCTAATACTAGTGACAGATAACGAGGAACTAGCCGAAACAGAGTTCGGGTTTTTGATTTACCCCGTGAGATCGTCCCACCTCGGAGATGATGTCTATACCCGTGGCAATGTAGCTTGCCTACTGTTCAAGCTTGAGCACTAACATATGCCCGATTTCTCTGTCTAGGCATGGTCGAGCTATTCGCGATATATCTGAAGATCAACACAGGAAGTGCTGATCATGGGCACAGAGGGCATGTCACCTATGTACACACAGGTATCAAGGCACCCATGTGAAAGGTACTGTATAAGTACTCTGAGCATAGAAGATGATCAACGGGATGAACTAATCCCTGCGATGGGAGATCAGCGGGGCTCAAACTCTGTGAACAAGACAACCTACAACAATACGGTCGAGTGACTGGTACAAGAATAGGGCCACATAACAGTGGGAAATCACAGACAGTGGTAATAATGTCTTCCAGCCGAAAAGCCGCAGTCAACCCTTCTGCTTCGACGGAAACAAATCCGGAGCCGACGACACGAACAGCTGGATACGCGGCGAAGCCAGTTCTGTCGTTTTCTTCAAGCGGCAATGTGTTATCTACACGTTTGGCTTATGCTGTTCTTGGAGACATAAGATTCGGGATTGCATAGGCCCTGTTTCCGAGCTTGTCAAACGTACGGGGGGATCCTAAATTCTAACTCACCCAATAGCGCGTCCAAAGACAGCTCAAGTGAAAAAGGTCAGGCCACAATGTGGGCAACCAAGTATGCAGAGTTGGCGCGTACATTTTGCCTTTGCCCGCAGCGCAAAGCTGCTGCATGTGCTCCCAATCAGTCAATAGAGCAGCGATCAACAGCGATACTCATCTAATTATCTTGAGTGTTTCTGAGGGGGTTTAGCCTCATTGGGCTCCTTCTGTATTTGGAAGCCAATGGCGTCTGTACAGTAATATTGTCATTTGCAATGATGCCAGCTCAACCTTTCGCGCCAAGGCAACATTCCCGGGCAAATCCGGTTTGGTTAGTTCCTAGCACCAGGAGTCACCGACAAGGCGGAGGAAAATGCTCGTTCCATTGGCGGCCCACCCGCAGGGATTTGCTTCTTCCTACATAGTATCCTCGCGGGCCATCTTCTGGATACTGGCGGCGTGTCCGGTTATGCGAGTGCCGCATTGGATCCGAGGTAAACTAGGTCATTTGTATGTGGATGCGATATGTACAATGAACGGAATCCGTCAGCGGTCTTGTCGGCAAAGGCTGTGTATGGTTACAATGGAGACAATGTGCTAGGGTTGCGCTAATACGTTGCATCATTTAGACGCGCTGGGCGTGCTCCCAAAGCTGTACCTGATCTGATTCGTAGACGATCTTGATTGGCGTGGAAACGAAGCGGATCTCCATGTATACAGTATTGTTGCTGCTTCATGGAGCGAGCGAGTCAGGCGGCTGTAATAATACGCTGCGATGGTACTGCAGATCACAAAGTAACCCCGTAACCGGCCAGGCAGAGAATGGGTCCCCGTTCAGGATGCGATTGTCCAGGCTACGTGTCTCCAAGCGGTGAATGCTCTGAGGACGTGAGTTACAGCCTCAGGGTTAGAACTAGGAGAGGACGATGGTAGCCATCAGGCTGATATGAATCGAAAACTTCTACCGCCGTGCTTGTACGTATCAGAAAACAAAAGCACGCGCCAAGTCAGTCTGAACAGACACTGTGTTCGCCCTTTCTTCCAGTACTATCGGCCTCGGAATTTTATGCATTCACATGGCTCAAAGGCATGAGTTTCCTTCTCATTTTTCTTACATATGTCAATAACGATTTCTATTAATTTCTGTACACTCAAATATGCAACCGATCAGAACCTGCCTATATCCACTTTGAGATCCTTCACTGAGGATGGTGCAACCTACCAGAATCTCTGGAAACTGCGCGTTTGTTGTGATGAGATGGCTACAGGGGAGAGGCTTGACTTCCGTGATCTTGAATGTGCCTAAGCATCAGAAGTCCAGAGCATGCACGAAATCACGTTGACTTGGTGAAAGAAACCAAAAGGCATCTCAGGTTTTCCAAGTGTATCGCCCCTGTGTATTTAGCTCTTCTACCATAGTATGATATTTGATAGCCGGATCATCAAATATCATGCATCTGCTGCATTTTCTAACTTCCAAGTCGAGCAGATTGCACTCTAATTCCTTCAGCCCAACCCAATGTCCTTGCTAAGCACCACCCCAGTAGACCGGACATGGGGGATTACCACAGAGATCATTGCCACACCCCTCCTAGTATCTCTCTATCCGGGTGATAATAACGATGCAAATAATACTATTGCTTCTGATCACCGTCAACCACAGCAGCAAACGTCTCCAATCTAGCTTGTTCTTCCCCAAACCACGACAAACCACGACCCCGCTCTCTATTCAAGCGACCCAGTCCGTTCAACTGCTTAATTCTCCGTGACAGATCACGGTTGAGGATTGCAGAAAGTGATTAAGAAGCTACATCCAGAAGTTGACAATTCGTGGGACCATTTCTCTGATTTATTGAATGGAGACTTGCAGATGTAGAAACCAAGCACGCAGATAATGAATAACTCTGTCAAGAAGCTTCAAGATCAAATACAGAACGTTGGTCATGATCCGTACAATCAATCTACTACTGCGAAGTTCTACAACGCAGGCTATCATGACAAACATGGTGACTCGAATATAAGCTCAAGGACGTTTAGAAATCCCTTGAGATAGTGCAGAGTGCTACAGAAGGCGAGAAGCTGGCAATACTCCTCAACGGACGCAAAAGGCCCCGTGGTGGAGCAGGCAGCCCAGCCGAATTCCTGCTAGGCATCCCACAACAACAACAACACCACAACACTATTCAAGAATCACGAAACGCGTGGCATGAGCCTTACAACCTCAATGTACGTAACGGCACGCGCCTTGTGTGCCGGGGGTGTTATAATATATCGAGGCTGACTCGCGTAACATCTGCACAAGAGTTTGCATTGAGGACTCACAACCGTAGAATAAGTGGTCCCTGGCGCCCAGAGACTATTAGTTGTGTTTTGTGCTAGGCATATTACACCCTCAGGGTGGGTGGCTGAAATAATAACCACGCAGGGCATCACGTTGCGAGCATACGTTGCGGGTCCATGACATTTGCAGAATATCAATACATTCTCCGGTGTGGGCCATCGTTACTATCGCGTCAGGATTGAAGACACCTATCATACCTTATTCCGACTTCAGCAGCAAGCTATTCTGCTTACGGAACTTCGTCGCTCTATCTGGACTTGCCTGGACTGGTGCTATTGCCTATTTCATCTGGGGTTTCTTGCCTGTGTGTTTCCAGAGATCTGTGTCTGGAAAACGTGTTAAGCAAACTACTTCTGCAAAAAGTAACTGTGTAATTATTGATGGACTTGCTTTGTTATCGTGTTTCTGCAGCACCTGCAGCACGAACACGGAGGTGACGAAACATGCCGGATTCAAACTATTTGGTGGTAAATTTAGTTCCTAATAATTCGTTGCGATGCGCATTATGAACGAGTACTCCTGTTTCCGCAGGGCTAGCCATTCAAAGTACGAGTGCCGTAGCGATCGTGAGTAGACTTTCGGAATCCCCATAGCGCATATTTACTTGGGGGGGAGAAGAGCAGAAGCTATACAACTCAATGAACTAGCCTCGACTGCCAACGCTGATCTGCAGGGCTGCCAGTTGCGATGTCCTCTTACGCGTCCGTCACGGAGTTTGGAGCTCCATTAGAATCCAGCGTACCGTGGAGTTTTCGGCCACTTCTCAGGCTAGGTATACAATGAGTGCCAAACGCAACTCGGCTCGCCCCGGCCTTAGCCCCGCAAGTAATTAGTCAACGATCCACTGACGACCAACCAATAGTTTGAACTCTATCGAGCTGAGCCGCGCCCTGGTTCCCATGCCTATATTCCTGCTTGCGGTATCGGGGGAAGCTCCGGATTGGTCGTTTGGGTCCATGATTTCAAATAAGCTGGCATTCTTAGATTCCCTGAAGCAAAAGCCAACATACTATACTCAAGCTCAGAGTAAATTAACGCCAATCAAGGTTCGGTATGTCCACCACGCTTAGCGAAGCCGACGCTCAGCGTCTGAGGGCGAGGAAGCCGGTCCCCAAGATGCCCCCGGCATATTTGCCCAAGGCGGGATCGCCCCTGACAGTCGACAAGTCCCTATACGAAAAGGTACAACAGGCACCCCGGGGTCTTATCGAGGAATTCACCCTTCCCATACGGTCCGGCAAGGCATGGAAAGCCCCCGCAGGCTCAATCGTGCGGATCAGCACCCCGGAGGGCGGCCAGGTCGGTACGTATTCCCAATGATGCGCAGTCCTCTTCCGCGCCTGTGCCCTCTCGCTGACCGCAGTGGCGGCGCTCCGCACAATAAAGGCGACTTGAACCTCTGGAACGTGCACAACCCACGAGAGCGCTTCTGGGCGTCGCGAACTAAGCAGCTGTATGCGTCGCACGTGAGCACGCACGACCGGCTATGGTCGACGCTGCCCTACCTGCGGCCCATGGCAACCATTCTGCACGACAGCCTGGCGTGGTACGGCGAAGACGAGCACGGCGGCCGGTGCCACGACCTGCTGGGCACCCGGTGCGACCCGTACATCGGCACCGTGCTGACAGGCGATCCGCGAGGGTACGACTTCCACTGCCACTCCAACCTGACTCGGGCCGTAATGCCTTTCGGACTGACCGAGTTCGACGTTCACGACGTCATCAACCTGTTTCAGGTCACGGGCTTGGACGAGCAGGGCCGCTACTACATGAACCCCTGCCCGGCCGACAAGAACGACGCCATCGAGTTCCTGGCAGAACAGGATCTCCTGATGGCTTTGAGTGAGTTGGCATGCGCACATGTTCTCTTCGTCCCATCACTTCGTTGCAGAACAGTCGTTGGGTCAGGATGCTGACAAAGTGTACGATGCTCCTAGGCACATGTCCAGGCGGTGACCTGTCACTCTGGGGCTTTGGTGAAGACAGCGAGAAGGAGATGGTTAAGTGCTGCCGGCCGCTCAAGGTTCAAGTCTTTCAAATCGAAGACCGGGATCTCTTGGAGCGTGAGGGATGGAAGCCGGCTGAGGTCGCACCATATAGAGGCAATCACGGCATTGCCATGCCGCAGGGTGAGCATGACAAGAAATTGTGAACCTTAATCACCTTCGGAATGAAGACGAAGACTGAATCAGTCTGCGTACCTACCGAATCAGGCACAACTGCATTCAGAGTTCTATAGGCTGGATGTATATAGCCATCAGTACCGTTTCTCAAAGCGGAAAACTCCATTCGTATTCTTAAAATGTGATTAATCAGGCATAGAAAGCCAAACCTTACGAGATGATACAAGAAAGGATACTATTACAGCTCGTTCTCGGCCTAGAGATCTTCTAACTATTACTTACCGGTCGGCCAGAGAGACTTTCGTACATTACCCTTCTTGTACAATCGAGACGGTATAATGCTCCAATCAATTGCTTCTGACAAGCACTAGTCTGTTCATTCGATCCGAAGTAACTATCTCAGAGCACTAATCGCTATGCTATGACTCTCGCTGGGGCGTCTCGACCTCCATGGTATAGCACATGCTAGGGCTAGTTCGTGTCGCTTAACGTATGCTAGCAGTCATTGTTGAATGGAAGTCGAACCTCATATGGTAAGCGAGATAGCGAGGCACCATGTCTTGCATGGTTTCGGAGTACACCGATGGCGACTATACAGATGTTATTCTTAGATATGCAGCTTCTGTGAGCGTGCTTCTCGATGGCACAGTCCCAGCCCTACGGGAGGGTCTCCATACCCCACTAGAGTTTCATAGCCCCCAAGAGTTTGTCTCAGCCCAAATCGTGGGGTTGACTAGGTAGAATGCTGGCTGGAGTCAAGTAACCGGGCCCGTGGACACAGCAGATGGTCGAGAAAAGAGACAGCCACGGCGGCAGGGCGGTTCAAACAGCGTCTAGCATTATCTGCAAGGCGCTTCCTAGAGAGGTGAGCTGAAACATATCTCAGAGTAAGTCTTCGGCAACTCCTTGATGAGCTCGAAGGAGTATAGCGGCTCCCTCGACCGCTGGCGGCAGCAAGCTGAGATGAGCCTCAGCATGAGCCTTGGAGGATAGCTTGCAGATGAGTGTTACGTTCCACTCCTTCAAACTCCGCGTGAACGGGACCTGCAAGCCTCTGAATATCTGAAGCAAGTAGTCAGCATACATGGATGGTGCAGAATGTGAGACTCGACATAAGCCACATAGTATAGACCCATGTGGATGATGACGTCTGAAGCTGCTATTCCAAGCAGCACAAGTGGCATAACAATATCCTAAAGGCAGGAAACCACACGAAGTCAAATATCCGTCTAGTCAAAGCCAAGAGGGCTTGCATGCTGCATGCAGCCAGAAAACCCATGTGCAGATGCGGCTGTGCAGGCGGTGGTCCCTCGATTGGCTATACCGTTGGCCTGTGACTCTGGGTAGTCAGGATAGCGCCGGTGTTAGTAGCCGGTAAGACTCGCTAACACCAGGTCCCTGTCGATCAATGCCAACTCGGAGCGCAAACTCAACGTCTTCCCGCCTCGCGGCTCTCTCACTTGGACTAGTATAGCTTGAGCTGTAATCGATATGGTCACCAAGCCCTCCTACGTGGCCGTCCTTGACCACGCGTCTCTGCCCGGACATTGTGCTCCCTAGCTACTATTTCCGGGTCTTGAACAGAGGGAGGCTAGAGAAGCGAAAAGCAAAACTCGTCCGAGCGAGGTCAATGCTGCTGCTTCGTCACCTCATCATACTATTGGGTACCACTGCTGTTACCACCTGCTGGTCGGCAGATGGACTTATATGCATGGAGGATAGAACCCAAGACTGTGGGTTGAGTCTCAGAGGCCGATGCTGAAAAAGCGCAAAGTTACATGCATGTGCCAGGCCACAAGGGGCAAGGTGAGGTTGAAGGGCGGGCGATGATTGGCCCATATGAGAGATCAGGTCAGCCACACCGTCGGGAACACCGTCGCCTTGCCCAGATCGAGCGACCTTGCATCTGGCCTGGAGAATACTTTTGTTCCCGCGCTGGAATAGAGTGTTCCGCGCAGCGTGAGGCCTAGACCACGGCTTGTGGGTTGATAATGGGCGACGCGTAGTGGGACTTCAACGTCCCGAATTGGCGTCTGGCCTCTTTTGGGACAGCACGAGGAGGCCATGGACCGAATCAGATAAGTGTGCCGATGCAGCATCCATCTACCTGACCAACGATCACGCGGCCTGGCCGCTCAGGCGGCGAGACGTTGAGAACGAAAACGGCCAGCGTGAAGAGGGTCGCGAACGAAAGACGATGCAGCAACTCCGAAAAGCCACCCACAATTGGACGCATGCAACCACGACGTAGTATAGCCGCGGCGGATCGACCTGTCAAGTGCGGCTTGGCTGCTACCCTAAAACCAGGGACCAAGAGGCAATATCAGGGGCGCGGTTGTCTAGTAGACATTTGGGAAACGCCAGGTCTCCAATTCTCGCCGCCACAACGAGATCAGTCATCAGGGTGGCCACGATTCCGGGTGGGCATTTTGGCCGGCTAGTGGGAATACTCTCCAGGGAAGAGGGAGCTGGGGACCCGAGAACGGCCGCTGAATGGGCAATTCAGGACGCTGGCTAAGATTAGCATGGGAAAGCCATCAGATATGCCATAGCCATAGTGCTGCATTGCGGATACCACGCACATGCAGCTGAGGCCCAGGGTCCCTCGGATGCGCGCGAAGTGCTGCAGCATCAAGCTAGCGGCAATGCCTCATGGTCTGATGTATGGAGCCCGGGGGGGGTAGCGAAAGAAAGAAAAATGCAGTGCAGGCCTCCCAGATGACTGCTGTCCCAGAGCCAGAACATTCGCTGGCTGTGACTGCGGGGACATGCAATAGCCTGTTTGACGTGAAAATTTGTAAATGGGCCTGCATGGTTATCTGGGTATGTAGGTGAAGCGTCGGTACAGTACTCAGGCATCTACTGTACGTTACAAAAGGACTCTCCAGGCGTGCCATCACCAGACATTACATGATGACTAAGAACCTAGAGAGAAGGGCAGGGCACGGCACGGCATCGGAAAAGGCGGCATCGACAGAAGGGGACAGTCCGCGTAACGAGCAGCCGATGGGATCCTGGTGAGCGACTGCAAGCATATGCAGCCTGGTGAATATACACAGTAAGTCAAGGCAGGCAATTTGACAGGCGCAACCAGAAAGGAACCAGAAAGGAACCAGAAAGGAACCAGAAAGGAACCAGATCGATTGGAGCAAGCGCTAGCGAAAGTAAATTGTTACGGCCGGACTTGACTGAGATGTGGCACCTTGAGAAGAGATATGTACAGTTGCGTACATATCCAATGTACTGTAGTTTTAGAAGTGGAGGGCTTGGATTTTTGACTCAGATTGAGTCTTGGGTTAACTAGCTCGAAGCGACGCTGCAAACACCTGCCGCCCCGCCGCAGAAAACAAAAACATCGGGGAACCCAGGGACAATCATCCCATTCAACTGGTCGCATCATGATCTGGGCTCTCTCCGTCTACTACTGTACATATGACCGACTGTAGGTAGTTCCAGGGCGCTGTACCTTGGCACCCATAAACCCCCGAAACCACACCAACCACCTAACCCATGCCGTCCAGCTCGGCAATCTGGCGGGGCCGGTTTTCACTGTGCAGCCGGTCCCAGCCGAGCTAAGTCGAACATGCATCCCAGGGAGTTCATCTCATCCAGGTGCTTCCCTGCCCCTGTGATGGAGATCTCGAAGTACCCAACTACGGTACCGGGCAGGTTTCCACGTAATTGCTGCGGTACTTGGGGACAGTACGACGTTTGATTGCTGGTTGCTGGCATGTCCAATAGACAGGCCTTCTCCTCAGCCCATGTTACCTGCGAATTCAGGCCTGACATGCATGCATACATACATATCATCTACGTTCCGCCCTGATAGGCCCCCTTTCAGGCGCGTACAGCATGTACAGGACAGGATGGGATGTACTGTAACTTGCTGTGGTGATAACCCAGGCATGTACATCATGATAAACGCATGGGTTTGCGTTTTGATGCCAAGACCAGGTAGTCCCGGTAGCTGAGTAACTAGTTCGCCATCGCCCTGCGCGTACCATTCCTACTAGCATCCGTACCGCGGTACTAACTTACCCAAGGTGTGGGAGAGCCCCATGTGCCATTGGATGGGCTGGGCAAAAATGGCCTGAGTATTTTTTGGCGCCCAAGCCAGAGGTCTCCGCATCGTTCGAGAAGCGAATATTGGTGAAGCTACTCACTCGTCGCCGTTGGACCTCCTCCACCACGGCACCAGTTGCTGAAAGGAAAGGGACGAGAAAAAAGTCACTCACTCGCCCAGTGCCGATCGCCCAAGGGAGACAAGTGTGTGCGTGCGCGCGTGTATGTGCGCTCGTCTTGGACGTCCGTCCCCCCGTCCGTCTCTGCCGCCAATTCCCACGTGTCGTGCTCTCCGCCTCGCCTGCTGCCCAGGTGCCCAGGTGGTCGCTAACCCCAGGTCAGCAACACCATCGTGATATCCGAGTCCTACATAGTACATACACAGCATCTGGCCCGACTTGCTGCCAACCTGCCCCGGGGCCTGAGAGGGACCCCTGCAAGTGAGTTGTCTCTCCATCTCCATCTTCATCTCCATTCGGCTCCGTGCCGTCGATACCTCCCCCCCTCCCCCCCAGGACCCTTGCGTGCCTGACCGCTCTGCTGGAAACCCTAGTGCCAATTCCTTTTGCCAGACCGCGCTTGGCATGGTGATGGCATGGCATGGCATGGCATAGCGACATCACACTGAATGAAGCTTACCTCTCTTTCTCTCTCTTGTACCTAGCTGCTACAGTGTACTCCCGTACCGTACCTTGAGCCAGCCCGACCTACCTACCTACTACCTACCTACCTCCCTCGCTCGCCGACGCACTTCGCCTCCTGCCGCGACATCGTGACCGCTTTCGGCGTCTCCACGCCTGATAACCCTATCCATCGTCTACTATACCGTACCGTCGCTAGGTTCCGCGTCCGTCGTCACAGCCCGCCTATAAAGACTCGCGTCGCGCCCTGTCCCGCCACTTCCGAACGACCTCAACTGCCCCGCGCCACTGCTTCACAAACCTCGACGTCCCGTCGCCCTCCTCTTGTTGAGTCGCCTCCTCGGCGGCTTGCCGGACGACTTTCCAGTATCCCTATCGAAACATGGCTGGCTACGGCTATTCCGGAGGAGGATACGGCGCGCCGCAACAGGCCCAGTACCAGGGCAGCTACTACAACAACAACAACAAGTACGTGTGACATTCCACGGCCGACGTTCATGTTTTGATTGCCATGATGGCAATCGCCTCACATCTCGGGCACAAGTGCTGATATCGCTATCCCAGTGCTGGCCCAGGCTACTCCAACTATCAAGCCCCAGCCCAACCCAACTACTACCCGCCTCAGCAGCAGTACTATTCCCAGGTGAGTGCCGCAGAAAGAGTCCCTCCCTGCGGGGCCGTAGTTTGCTGACGAGAGCTCCAGGGCCCTCCACCCCCACAGCAACAGCAACACCATCACCAACATCATGGCAGCTATGGCGGCCAGTACGGCAGACCCGGTACGTCAGGAATTTACGCGTCAATGACCGTGGCCCATGAGTCCTGACAATGAATTACAGCAATGCCCACGGTGAACTCGAACTCATACGCCCATGGCAACCTCGGTGCGCCAGCCCCGCCTCCGTCTGGTCCCCAGTCCTTCGGCCATGGGGCCCCGCAGAACTACGCCTTTCAATACAGCAACTGCACAGGTAGACGGAAAGCTTTGCTGGTCGGCATCAACTACTTTGGCCAGCGCGGCCAGCTGCGTGGATGTATCAACGACGTGAAGCACATGTCGGCTTATCTGGTGGAAAAGTTTGGCTACAAGCGCGAGGACATGGTCATTCTGACCGACGACCAGCACAACCCCATGAGCCAGCCGACGAAACAGAACATTCTGCGTGCCATGCACTGGCTTGTCAAGGACGCTAGGCCAAACGATTCGCTCTTTTTCCACTATTCAGGTAGGTTGACTCTGCTGCAATCCACGGGGGTGTTCTTGGGCTGACATGGGCCAGGCCACGGGGGTCAAACAAAAGACCTGGACGGCGACGAGGCAGATGGCTATGACGAGGTCATCTACCCCGTGGACTTCCGCGCCGTCGGGCACATCACCGACGACGAGATGCACAGAATTATGGTTAGGCCTCTACAGGCCGGTGTCCGTCTGACCGCCATCTTCGACTCGTGCCATTCCGGCACTGCCCTCGATCTACCATACATATACTCTACCCAAGGCATGCTCAAGGAGCCCAACTTGGCCAAGGAGGCTGGCCAAGGCCTTCTCGGTGTTATCTCATCATACAGCCAAGGCGACATTGCCGGCGTTGCCAAGAATGTCATGGGCTTCTTCAAAAAGGCCACAAGCGGCGAGGACGCTTACAACCGCACATTGGCAACAAAGACGTCGGCTGCCGATGTCATTATGCTCTCGGGAAGCAGAGATGACCAAACCTCGTTAGTATACCCTCCCATGATGGTCTCCACCTTTTGATACCCTGCCTTCGACGGCTCCTTTCCATTTCCTTCACTCCGAGAGAAGAGCGCGGTGCGGCAACGCAAGATATGATTTTCAAAGGATTCACGGTACACTCTTCTGAATGTTTTCTGGTTGTCGGCCCATTCCTGGCCGGCAACTCATGTATCTATCTGCCAACACGGCGATCGGACTTGCAAGATGGCGTTTTTGGCGTCGGAGAAAAGGGTTCACATGTAAATTAAGCCTAACGATATCATTTTTTTTGACGCTCTAGACCAAAGCACAGCCGATACGGCTGTGGCTTTGCGTCTAGGGCGACGAGTTACGTTGGGCGGTCGCGGCCATCGACGGCCCATTCCCACTTGGTCCCCCTCCCCTTCCCGTCCGCTACTAGCAAGCCCCCGAGTCAGCAACTATTTTGGTCGTACGATATTTGCTAACTCCGAGTCATAGTGCCGACGCCACCATCGCGTCTCAAGCGACGGGGGCCATGTCGTGGGCCTTCATCTCGGCCCTGAAGAAGAGACCGCAGCAGAGCTACGTCCAGCTCCTCAACAGCATCCGGGACGAGCTGGCCACGCGTTACACCCAGAAGCCGCAGCTCTCGTGTAGCCACCCTCTCAGTCAGTCCCACCACCATCTGGCATCTGGACAACTACCTGTGATACGGGTAGAGCACGCATGATGAGACTACTTGTTGGCATTGTGTTTTTACTAACTGTACATGAACCATTAGACACGGATCTCCTATTTATACTATGATGACAAACTGATGAGAGATGAGACCATATACTTGATAAAGGCGCCTCACGGTATTACGGAACAGGGGAATAACTGGGAACCCCAGGTATTTGTGTGTATACATGGAAGGAAGGACGGCGAAACGAAGAAATAAAAAATTGCGAGCAACATGGGCCCTACGAGCGAGAAAGACAGCTCTCTCAATTTGCTTTGGCTTACAAAGGGAATAGGTTGGCATACTGCTTTTATTCCGTGTCGCTTCAGCCTGTTGGAAATAATACCAGGGTTACAGAAGAAGAAGAAGGGGGGGGGATCACATCTTTGACACGCTGGTGGTGTCTGTGCAATCGATCGAAATGTACCAAGAAAGCAAAAAGTGACTGGCCAATGGCCTGATGAAACCACAACGGCCACATCTCACCTTCAAACCCTGCGTTGCGCTCAAATCGGGCTTCTCAAGCCTGCGCACTGCCTAAAGTCTTTATGTCATGATGCGCCTGTCACCAATGCCGCCCATCCCCCAGGCGAGTAGGAATGTGCCAAATCACAGAAGACAGCGTGGGCAAGCGGAAGCCTCTAAGAAGTCATTTAAACACAAGAAAAAAACATCATACTGTATTAATCCTTCCTCAGAACGCCGTGCTCATGCAGTTGTCTTGTTGACCGACCCTATGTCCCCCCTTCATCCCATCCTCGTCTGCTTAAATGCTCGTGACATGTACAGAGCCCGATTGTTAACAAACTAAAACCCCAAGCGCGGGCCAACCTCGTTTGCTTTTCCAAAGCTAAAGATGGTCGATGAACGCGAACGCCTAGTAGGTCAACATCTTCTGTCCACCTTTCCTCTCCTTGCCCTCCACGTTGACGGTGCTGAAGGCGCAAAACTTGTCCTTGATGGCTACCACCTCGTATGTACCTTCCAGGCTCGCTGTCACTACCTTGCTGTGCTCGTATGAGATATCATGTCTGGTCTCGAGGATGGTGGGTCTTTGGCCCTTCTTGGCGTTCGTGCTTCGCGTGTAGGTGAACTCGAAAGGCGGCGTGCCCCAGAACTCGAAGAGGATCTCAACTTCGGACCCTTCGTGGATATCAACGCGGACCACCTTGCCACGACTGATCTTGACTGACGGCATCGGGTGAATGGTCTTGGAGAGGTTGATGGCAGCTCGGCAATCGGAGGCCTTGTCGCTAATTGCCGTGATGGCAAATTCGCCAGGAGCTTCTGCGATACGACGGAAGTTGGTAGTTTGGGACTTGGCCTTCATCTGGGACCCGGCGAAGGTGTATTGTACATCAAACGGAGGCGTGCCCGAGAGGGTATAGGCGATTCGCTCGCCCACGCAGTAATCGTTTCGTGTCTCCAGTGGGTAGATTGCCGGTGCGTCGTAGAGCTGGACTTGAACAGACGGTCCACCAACCTCAATCTTCTGCTGGCAGCCACGAGCATCGCGAACCTTGCGGATGCGGATAGTCTGGGCTCCGAGTTTGAGATACTGGCGTGGAATCTGTATGCCATAGGTATTGGTCGGAATGTTAGGAATTCGGAAAGTCTCCGGGATGTTGCCAGAATGGTGACGGATTTCGATCTCGACATAAAACGGCGCAAAGCCCTGGAGGGTGATGGGGATCTTTTCTTCATAGTCCTGTTCCGAGAAACACAGCTTGAAGATTTGTCCCGGCTTGGCAAAGGAGGCTGACGGCTTGGCGTTTACCGTCTGCTCAAGCGTGAGCGGCTGGAACTTCCTCTTGTCGTTGTTGTAGAGGTTATCGGCCAGTGCTGAGAACTTGTACGTGTAGACACCGGCTTTAGCGGTGTCCATGGCAATCGAGGCTTTGGGCATGACCGCATCGAACTCTCTCCGGCCAACGGAGCCCGAGCCTGACCTTGGCTTGTGCTTGATCTCGTAGGAGACGTGGTAAGGTGATGAACCTGAGTAGTATAATTAGTGGGATCGTCCAGGCGAAATCCAGCGTGGCGGAGTACTTACCCTTGAGTGCGACTTCGAAGCCGTCGATGTCGCCTTCACAAACATCGTCCTTCACGAAGACGCCACCCCTCTCAGAGATGCTGTCCGCAGGAACCAAGCCCAGCTCTGGTCGTGGAAACCAGTGTATGTCAAAGGTCGACGCTTCTGGGGCAACCTGTCCGTGACACTGATTATCCATCACATCAGTGATCTCAAATGTGCCGTGCTCGGTCGTTTCGATAAAGTCATTGTTGGACCGCGCAACCTTGGTTTGCTCGCCACTTCCGCCGTCACGATTGCGGTAGGTAACCTTCCAAGGCCCATCGCCAGAAAGGCGTAGGGGGATGCTGACCTTGGCGTCCTCGACAACCGTGGCCGCTTTTTTGTTCTCGATCAGACCAAAGGCAGCACGTGGCCGCTGCCTTCGGACGTTGATCTTCATCTCCTCTTTCAAGAAGATTCGACATCCTGCCTTGTCTTGAATGCTGGTCAGGGCAAGCGTGTACTCTCCACCTTGGGCCAGAGGGTTTGTCTTGATCTTGTAGGATTCCGAGGTGATGTCGGTGACCTTCTCAGACTTCTTCTTTCCGTCGTGGACTAGCTCCCATTCGAGAGTAAAGGGGCCATCCCCACTGAGCGCTACGTTGACCTCCACCGCTTCATCCAGGCAGGCGCTGACCACAGACGCTTGGTCCTGGAAGAAGGCCGTTGCCGGTGGCTTGACGTACTGTTCCAAATAGTACTCATTCCCAAGCGGCAAGGGGATATTCTTGTAAATAGCATCCTCAAGCGCCCTAAATCTGTACTGGTATCGGCCAGCGCTTCTCGGCAGAAGGTCGATCTGTTGCCGCAAACCTTTGACAACAACACTCTCCCTTCTCGACCGCTCAGTGTCGCTGCTGATGTCGTAGACAACCTTGAATGGCGGTGTGCCAACGAGGTCGAGGTCAACGCGAAGACCAATGGAGGCGCCGGCACACTTGTCAGGGATCTCCTCGGCCTGCACAGACAGCTTGGGTTCCAAGGGGTTGAGCAGGAGACACGAGGACGGCTCCTCAATCTCGCCCTCGCAAGAGTCGCAGGCAATTGACTTGAGAGTGTAAAGACCGGGAGCGGATATCGTCGGCTGGCTGTGCGAGTTCTTAGCTGCGAAAGTGCCAACCTCGACAACGTCTCCATGGTCGCCACTCTTCGTAAGAGTGTCGATGGGGGAGAACTGCCAAGTCAGGGTGTACGACGCGCGGTCTGAAACCCGGCCGGGCAGGCTGAAGCTGACGGGCAACACCGTGGACTGGCCCTTAGCGACCTTGAGGGGATTTCTCAAGTCACAGCCACGGAGAGTCGCCTGTGGTCTTTCACGAACCACAAAGTTCTGAACCAGATGCTTCGGCTTGGGTTTGACCTCTGCTTCTTCGCCTGACTGCGTATACTTGACGACATTGCCAAAAACGTCGTGAACCTCATCAATGGAGTACTGCCACTCTCCCGCCTGGCTCATGGACTCGTTCAACGACACAGCCACCTGTTGGGCCTTGGCCCAAGAGACATCTTCTCCATCCGCAAGAACTATGCTGGAGGATCTTGCAGACCCGAGTAGCGGGGAGGAGAAGCCATCTGGCTGCAGACTCTGGAAATGGAAGCTGTGGTCTTTGCCGTTGATGGTCCGGCTGTAGACAATCTTGAGGGGAGGTGTGCCGTGGACATCCAGGGACAGGTTGGACAGCTCGTTGAGACAGCGAGTGGACGATTCGGCACGGCGTACTAGCGCCTTGGGGCACGGGACGACATAGGTAGGTTCCGTATATCTCTGGACCTCGAGCTTGTACTCGTCGAGGACCTTGTTCAGCCTGTATGCGCCGGGCTTCTTGACGGGGAAGTCGTATCGGTACGAGGTCTCGGAAGCGTCGTCGGTGATCTTCCTGGCCTGCTTCCCAATCTCGCGAATCTGGGAGCTGCCGAGCTTCATGACCTCCTCGCTGTTTGTCTCGAGATCCACGCGAACGAGTTCGACCTCGGCCGGGATGGTGGCGTTGAAGTAGATGGGGATGGTGACTGTGCTCTTTCCGGCCTGGCTGATACAGAAGGGCGTCTTGCCCGGGTTGAGCAGAGCAGAACCCTCGGGGAGAATGTTGATGATCTGCTTGCCCATGATCAAGGACGAGTTGTGCAGGATGCTCGAGACCTTGACATTGTGTTCGGAGATGGACAGCTCCCGGTCGTAAAAGATCTTGACGACGCCCAGCAACCAGGCCGTGAAGGGGACATCAATGTTGAACATCAAGATCCAGTTCAGGATCATCTGCGACCCGTACATGAACAGCACGACGGGCTGCGACAGGTCCAGCCATGGGATCCTGAACGCGGGCAGGGCCAGGAACAGGTAGGTAAAGTCGATGGCGGCCCACTTGAGGAAGAGGAAGAAGGAGCCGGCATCGTCCTCGGCGACGCCTATCCAGTCCCAGAAGCGGTAGGCGAAGAGGGCAAAGTATATGGCGACGGCGTAGAAGCGCTGGCTGGGGGCGTCGATGACGGTCAAGGGGATCAAGGGCGGGCGGTCGTCGGCGGCGGCAGCGGCTCCCCTGTTCTCGGGGGCGGGCGGCAACGAGGGCCTCGCGGGCTTGTGCTGTCGGGGTGTAGAGGTGGGCGTAGACTGACGTCTTGCCCTCGGGGCTACGGTACCTGGGGTCTGTGGGAAACCACCAGACCGCACGCGCGGCGTCCCATTCATGGCATTCCGCGGCGGCAGCTCAGGACCATGTAGGTATGCGTGCAGAGGGAGCCAAGGGTGGTCGGCTGCTGAAGCGCAAGCGAAAGAGCTTAGCTTGCCGCGTTTGGCTGGTTGGGACCTGGCGGATGCGAGATGGCTATGCGACTGCAATGCCTCTTGGAGTTGGAAGCAAGAACCGGCAGGTTGCTCTATGTGTGAGCGTGTGTGTGTGTGTTGAAGCTGGCCCGTTCTCCCGTCCTGCCGCAGTCTATTATGTAGCTCCTGGTCGTGGGTAAACAATTCAGGCCCGAAATTTTGGATGCGCATCGTCGTCCGTCACGTCTGCCAAAGCGCGTCATTCCTGCCAGACGGCTCGCCCACACCTGGCAGCTGCAGAGTCACAGGCTGCCGGCCCTCTGTATCTCATTCCGGGCCACTGAGAGCCAGGCAGGCGGGGTACCGGGGTACCCAACTCAGGTCGGAGGCAACTAATAAGCTACATAGGTAGGTACCTATCTCAAAGGCCGAGTTAGAATGCGCCCCACCATAGCTGTGTTCCTCATGCCCACTCCCGACCTCTTCTCTCTCCCCCGGCGGTCTGAACTGTTAACAGCATTCCCCCCGTTCGAGTCGGCCCCATTGGCAGATGCCCGTACTCCGTAGTTGGCGGGCTAATAGACAGACTTGCCAGACTTCCAGGTTCCGGTGTGTACTTGGGACCAGTCGCCAAGTTACCCTGTCCATTCTCGTCCCATTTTTGCGTCTTCTATTGGCCTTGCGTCTCGGTCGCCGCTCACAAACAGGGATGACCTCACTGGGAGGCTCATCTGGACCGCAAGTCTCCTCCATAGGTTCTGAATCGGAACAGTGTTGAACCAACGCACCCCAACTTGCTGCTGAGACCGGCAGCCTGCATGTCGACAGCTCACATCGGTTCCGTCTATTCTACGATGCATTCAGGTACGGCCCATGGTTCCAGCTTCAGCCGTCTGTCTCCCTTCATCTAGATATGCATATCCTCCATACCACTTCCTTGTTGGCACAGCTAGCAAGCTGCTGGGCCGGGGAAGGAGGCGCCCAGCTTTCATGACCATTTCATTCCCCCTGCAGACTACAAGTTACAGTCTTGGTTGTGCTGACACTTGGTGAAGCTTGTCGATTACCATGATGTCCTGCTGGTCTTCTGTTAGTGTCCATATGCGTTCGGATTGCAGCCACGACTCTGGGTCCCTCCACGGAGCTGTCCAGTTCTGTCGTTGTCGTTTTGCATCAAGTGAGGAGACTCTGAGACGCGAGCCTTGGACTAGGTTTATCTGCAGCCTGGGGATTTGTAGCCGCCCTCGTTCCTAGGCCACAGCTTGAACTCGGAGCTGAAGTTCATTGTCAAAAGACACGAAAGAAGAAGAAAAGAGACAAAAAAAACATTCCACCAGCCGTTCTTCAGGCAACTGTACTCCATCGAAGGGCAGGTCATTCTGCATTTTTCATCCGTTTGCCTGGAACCCATTACCATTTCGCAATTGAGGGAAGGAAAATAACTTGTTCCCTCTCTCTCTCTCTCTCTCTCTTTTCTCACCCGCATCGTGGCATTCTCCGTCTGGGACCCGATTGACGCTCTTCCTCAGAGCATTACTGCGAGAGTGAACAAACTCTGGTCCAGGACTTGACACCTTACATGGTTTTCATCATGACCGCTGCGGATGAGAAGACTTCGAATGGGGCGCTTAAGAAGGACGAGTCCGCCATTGAAGAGAAAGTGATCCAAGGTCATGTCCGAGAGCCGTCGGTCGCCAATGGCTACTGCAACGTCACAAACGGGAGCCAACCCAACGGCGAGACGCTCAATGGAACCAAGCACGACAGCGTGGAGGAAAATGGTGCTGAGAGCTCGACGCACGAGGCAATGGTCAATGGAGAAGACCTAGCGATGAAGGATATGGGCACAAGGGACAGTGATAGCAGCGTGCTGTCTGATCTTCCTGACATCTCTGATATTCCTGACATCCCACCTGAACCGGTGCCTCCTCGTCGCTCCGGTCGCTCGAGGAAAGCTCCAGCTAATTATGAGGCCGAGTACGTCATCCCGGCACCACAGCCCGCGTCAACGCCCGCGGCTGCATCTACACGGCCGAAACGCAAAGCTGCGGCCACGGCGCAGGAGTCCTTCACGAGCAAGGCGGACTTGGACCTTGTGACCGACACCATCTGCAAGCCCATGACCTCGGACGAGCTCAAGTCCTACAAGGGCTGGGTCGAGCTGGAGTCCGAGCCCCTGTTCTTCCAGGCCATGCTCCACGACATGGGTGCCCCGGATCTTAAGATCTCGGAGCTTATCGACACCGACGAAGCTTTCCTGAGCGTCTTGTCTAAGCCGGTTCATGGCCTGATCTTCCTCTTCCCGTACGCGGATGTGGAAGAGGAGATCGAGGTCGAGCGCCACGATTGCCCCGAGGGCCTGTGGTTCGCGAACCAGACGACTTCGAATGCCTGCGCCACCGTGGCCCTGATGAACATTGTCATGAACATACCCGACCACAGCTTCGGCAGCGAGCTTAAGAAGTTCAAAGACGAGACTGGTCCGCTGAGCACCCAAGACCGTGGCCATGCCCTGGACGCCAATGATTTTATCCGCTGTATACACAACTCGGTCGCCCGTCGCACCCAGCTTCTGAACGAGGACCTCGCCTGGAGCCACAAGCGAGAGGAGGAGGAGAAGCAGACGAAGAAGAGACAGCGAGCTATCAAGACCCCCAAGAGCAGGGGAAAGGGGAAGGCGAAAGCGGCTAGCGCCAGTAAGAGGAAGAGATCGGCCACCAAGGCCAAAGACAAGGTTGAGAACGCCAACCACTACATCGCCTACGTCCCCCACGACGGTAAAGTCTGGGAGTTTGACGGTCTCGAAGACAAGCCCTGCTGCCTGGGCCCCTCCCCCGGCGACGCCGACAACTGGATCGCGACGGCCGTCGAAGCCATCCAGACGCGCATGGCGGCGGGTGGCCTATATACCTACAACCTCCTGGCCCTCTGCGCCTCGCCCCTGCAAAGCCTGACTGACCGCCTGGCCGCCAACCTCGCCGCGGGCATGAAGCTGGAGCAGCAATACAAGCGGGGCGACAGCAAAGAAGGCGGCAGCGACGACCAGCAGCCCAGACCGCCCTCTGCAACCTCCTGGCCTCACCCTGCGCTCGCCACACTCCTTCCACCCGACAAGCTCGCAAGCCTCAACGGCCTAACCTGGAACACCATCTCCAGCACGGCCCCGGCGCCGGACCTCGTCGCACGGATGGCCGTGCCGGGCTTCGGGGCAGAGCAGGCGGCGGCGCTGATGGCCGAGCTACTGGCGCGGCAGCTGGATCTCGAGACGGAGCTGGCGTCCGAGGCCGCGGGCCGCAGACAGGCGCGGCAGGCCTACGAGGCACGGCACCGCGACTTCACGCCCTTTGTACACCAGTTCCTGCTGCGGCTCGCTGAGAGGGCGGCGCTGGGCGAGATCGTGTCCAACTTCCTCTGAACTGGTGGTGGTAGGCGGAAGAAGAAGAAGATGAATTGGGAGGGAGAAGACAGCGACGCCGGAGAGAAAGGAGGAGCGACCAGTGAAGAAAGCACCCACGACCTCACAACGTTGCTAAGAATAAGCTTTTCGAAGACTTGGGCAACGCAAAGCTTGGCTACAAACAACACACAGCTGGACGACGGGACCAGATCCGGTCGTCCCACAAGTAGCGAGATATGGTGAGACGGTTCTCTGGGAGCTGCAGCGCCCGTTCCCGAGCGACTGCTCCTCCGTTACGGCCACAGCAGCCTTGAGTTGGGGAGAGGGGGCTTGATTGGGTTTTCTGACTTCGCCTGGCCTGGCGTACATATTATGGCACAGTAAAGCGATTGAGAGCAAGGCGTTCCAGGCCGCACTGGACTCCATGATGGAGTCGCTTACGAGCAGTTTGGCCAATGGATCGAAATCAGTCTTCATATGATACCCTCTTTCTCTCTCTCTCTCTCTCTCTCTCTCTCTCTCTCTCTGTGTGTGTGTGTGTGCGTGTGTACTAAGCATATTGAAAATCACCGAAGTAGCATCAGTCGCTGTGGTCACACTTTCATTGGATCATAAGTCACGTCACACCTGAACTGCCAAGTCTTTTGGGATCTGCCAGTACGACGCTTAGGTCCACGACACGAAAAGGACCACGCGTCTCTGCTCAAAAACGGCATCCAAGAAATGCGTTGCTCCGTGGTGACATATTCCCAAGACAAAAGAGGTCAGAATTGGGGGGTATCGTATGCGGCATTGTATAAGAGTGGTATCATAATCCCACGACCTATCCATGTATTCCCATTGTGCTCCCGAACCTCATTACTCCTTTCTTCCCTTGCTTCCCCTTCACAATCAGGACCCCCCCTGGCCTCTTCGTATGCATGCCCTCACTCCGCTGAGAGAAAAGAACTCGCCAGGTACCAACGCCTAGAACCGGAATCGCATGATCCACGTTATCGTTTCCTCATCCTCCTGTGATACTCATTGTCTTTCCAGCCAGATGTATATGTCTTCTTATAACACCCCGCGTAGGATATTCTACAGACTGTCATGACAAGCTTTACGGCTTAGGCACGTGGAGGCTCTTGGAGACCATCAAGGACCCGTGGACGAGGAACATGAGGACGATGGGGTGAAACTCAAAGGCGGTGCCCTCGAGCCACAAGCCCAGGGGGACCTGGTCCAGAACCCAGCCCTTGGACACCCAGTAGGCCATGAGGGCGTCCAAACCCAGCGTGGTGGGGATGGGGGTGCCCTCGAAGTAGGTGGCCTTGCCTGAGGCGTCATGGGGGATGTTGGCGGCGGTCACGTTGAAGCGGGCAAGACGCGTGAGACCGCAGAGCACAAAAAAGGCCAGGAAGACGTGGTCGACGGTGGTGCGGATACCGAGAGAGAAGGCGACGCAGGCAGGAGCGAGTCCGAACGAGATCTGGGTGGGAGGTTTACATGTCAGTACGAAGACGAGGGGTGACCGGACCACCTTTCGCGGGGTTTCCAGGTGACTCGCAGGAGTGGGACAGAGTATGGGTTTCTTACCAAGTCGGCGAGGGAATCGAGCTCCTGGCCCATCATGCTGCTCTTCTTGCGCCATCTTGCGACGCGGCCGTCCATGAAGTCGAAGAACAGGCCGAAGGGGAGGAAGGCCAGGGCGAGGTAGAGGTTGGAATGGTCGGTGGGATCCCCGAGGCAGTAGCGGAGCGAGGAGAAGACGGACATGATGCCGCAGAAGCCTGGGAGAAGTAGTATTCGCGTTAGCCCGCAGGACATGTGCCGGACGTGAGCCACGCCGTGACAAAAGGGGGCGGGGGAATCGTACCGTTCATCTCAGTGATGTAGTCGGCGAGGTGCAGAGCCTTGACGAGGGAGAAGTGGCCCGTCGTCGACTCGAGCAGGACCTTCTGCTTGTCCTGGGCAGGTTCTGCGAGAGGGCGGGTTAGCTGGGTGCTGTCTTCCCGGGGGTGGTATGCCCGCCGCTGGGGGGGCTCCTACCAGACACGAGGTCGCTGGCCTGCTTGGAGATGGCGCCATTGCCGGCGCTTGTTCTTTTCGACATGGCGAGAGAGTGTTCTGCGAACGACTGGTGGGAATGGTAGGTGGGTTGGTGGACACAGAAACTGGGTTCACCGTCTTTCCAAGATTGTTGGCCGCGATGAAGAGGTCTGCTATGGATTTGGCTTGCTTCAGGCCGTGTCGGAACGAGATCGGCTGGGGATGAGTCTCGCAGGAAATGGTGAGGAAGTGGGAAGAGGATAGCTTCAGGGCTTGTCCAGTCACTCGTGGCGATGGCTTGTCATTCTTTGGCACAATTCTGGGCAGTGTGACGGGAGGCTTCCTGGCAGGGGGAGGAGGGTCCAGCCGCGGAGGAGCAGGGGCAGCAGGGGCAGCAGGGGCAGCAGGGTACCGTCAACTTGATGCCGTCATTTGCGCACCCCGCTAGCTCTGATTGGGCCTTAGGCGCTGTTCCCGCGATCGACGTCGACGTCGGCGAAGACCTGGACCCGGACCTGGACCTGGACCTGGACCTCGCCCAGCGCCGCAGGCATTTGTTACTGTGAGTTACAGTACTGTCGTAGATCAAGTGCAAAGGTTGCCTGTTCCTTCAGCCGTCGCACTGCCGATGATTACACCTGTCGCTAGCCTATCAGTCCGTCGTCACACAAAACATTGCACTTGATTAAATCAGTCATGTCTTGGGGCACGTATGTCCCCACTGATTCAACGGGCCTGTCGTCAACTGACTTTGCGTCCATGTTTGTACAGAGCTGATGTATATGTCCTTATTGTATGTACCGGGACAGACCTCCAGCTAGCCGGCCTGCATCTGGAACTGGAGCATACTCCAGAATTGCTGCCCGTCCAGGGCAGATGTATCAAGAACGCCCTCTACTGGGCTTATGTATTGTGTGGGTCGAGTTTGGGTATTTGCCAAACCCGCTCGCTTCTCCGCCTGCCTGCCTGCTCAGGCCCGCTCAGGCCCTGTCGTCTATGTCCGTGTTCATGTGCTCCGAGACTAATAACATTATGCCGAGCCCGGTCGACTTTCCCTCGTGTGTCCATCTACCTGCTTGCCTTCAAAAGACCCATGATCCAAATATGTTTGTGCGTTGCCATGCTTGAGAAATATGCCAGGTGAGAAAGAAAAGCTGGGCCAGACATTGGCAGAAGCTTTCCTTGGGTATGCCGAAAGGAGAGATATTGTAACAAATGAAACCGACAAAATTGCGCACCACCATGCTTCCGCCGCCAATGCTCGGAAGTGACTATACCATCCAGAAAGCTTCGTGGGTGGCTCGGGTGGCGCAGTCAGTTAGCTACCTTGAGCTGCCACCCAGATTCCTCAAATTATTAATTCGTGCCGAATACGTTATAGGTTCCGAGCGGTTCGACGCTCCTCTCGGCTTACCAGCGCGTGATGATGACCGAGAAGCCGTCCACCCACTGGGCGCATGATCCTGATACGCCACAGACTGTGTAGCCCCGAGGAGGGAGCAAGGTGTGTCTGATGGCCCTCCTGGTCAGCTCTCCCGCATGCTTACATTCGGTCCATGGAAAACTTACGGTGATCCACCATGCGCATTGCCGTACACGGGCGATTTTCTCCCCATGCTAGTCAGCACCTGAATTGCGTCGATCCATTGTCCGGATCGTACAAAGAAACCGGTGATGTATTCCCCGCGGCGGACATCTGGTATGGTTCGTCAGTACGTTTGAAGCAGGAACAGCCAATGCAATCGGACGTCGTTGCTTACTTATCTCAAAACTATCGCCCCCGGCCTTGCCACCGCGCTTTCCAAATAGCTGACTGGAATCATCATCGTAGAAAAACTCCATGCCGTCAAAGGCATATCCGTGGTAGAACACTATACGAGAAAGCACTCGATTCTTCTCCTTGGCACTGCTGAAAATAAACTCGTGCGGTTCGCTACCTTCCATCTGCGAGAAGCCCAGCTTGTTGCCCCTGAATGCCGTCTTAGCAAGTGGTCCAATGCCAAACGATAGTTTGAGTGACGATGCTCTCGAGCAGAGCACGTGAAAGTCATCGATGTCGAGATTACCCCCGCCGTGGGACTTGATGCATACTCGGAGTTTCGCTTGGCGTTTGTCTTCGGGCAACCTGTCTCGGAGTTCCTTCTCCGTCAACGTGATATTTCGTTGAACTGACCCATTCTCGGTGGGATACTCGATCCACGTATGGCAGAGGTCACTGCCTTCAGGGTAGAGCTCTAGGAAGGCAACACCAGTCGGTGCTGCCACGAGGACCTTGGAGTCTTCCACTGGCCACGCCTGGACACTTTCGTCAGGGTTTAACACCGGGTCATTGGGTAGCCTGAAGCACGGGTGACTTCGGAATCGCAGGCAATCGAGTCTGTGCCAGGTGCATTCGTCTGCCTGCAGCACCAAGCCTCCTTTCGACTTTGTCCGGGTGCAATATGCCTCGCGTGCCACAAATGAGCGGTTGAGCCGCACGTAGTCTCGGAGCATTACACCGTTCTCCTGGTGGGGACAACCAAACAGGTGGCCCGTCTCGTGAAGGTGTGCTCCAATTCCAATGTTTGCAGCTTCCCATGAACTGCCGCCTTCGTTGCAGTCATTGGCAACGCAGTTGGTGTCGGTAGGCGTACAGTCCGTGAAGGCCGGAACAACTTCTTCGAAGCTCGTGGGGTAGCTCTGCATGCAGTGGGAACCGAAGATAGCCAGCTGCAAATCGCCCGCATTACCCCCTAATGCAGCGTGGCCTGTGACCATTTTGGCGGTTGTGTCCCAGTGCGCATCCAAAATCAACACAGAGACGTACTGCTTCTGGCCCGGAAGTGGCTGAAAGTAGTTCTTCACAGCTTCTGCTGCGATTTCGTAGAGCTCGCCCTTTTTGGTGGCATTCGGGTTTTGCTGAGCTCTCTCAAGATCGCGTATCTCAGCCACAGTCTTGTCCGTCTTGATGATGTGGATCCGGGCTTCTGACCGCATGGTGCCCATCTCCCTGTCACGCTGATTGCAGGTGCCTGTCGCCCATTCCTCCTCGAATCGAAAGACGCGACGGCCGAATTTGTTCCTGTGCATCTGCTCTGCTGTGAACGCCTGCCATAAGTAGGCAGCCATACGGAATTTGCGGATCGCAGTATCCAGCCCATTGCCTTCTCTCTCGGCACGAGCCGGAACGGCGTCAAATGTTCCTGGTGAATCCTTCGCAACGAGGATGGCAAGCTGCAATGGAGGGGCGTTCATCGACGGGACCATGTGAACGGTCATGTATGATGAGTGAAGAGGGTTGGAAGACCCGCTGTTGGACAGCTTTGGGCTGTTGAAATCAAATCGAAGTCTATTTGCGCCGGGCACCAGGTATACCAGTGCCTTGAAGTGCGACTCGCAGACGGGCCAGACAGTCGGCGGAAAGCCATCGTCCAACCGAGTTACTGTAAGTGTTCCATCCAAGGAGTTGTGTACAGATTCTCCGATGGTGCCGTTTAGCAGGAGCACCTTCTGGGAGACCTACGAGATTGTTAGCTACAACATACTTATTACGGCAAGCCAAAAACAAGAACGGCTGCGCGCAAATCGGTGCAGAGTCCACCAAGAATTTGCTGTGCCTTGAGAGTTTACGCGCAAAAGGAGGGCTATCATACCCAAGAGTTTTCCGTCACATTGGTGATGCGCGGAGCGTAATGTGAGACAGCCAGATTCTTGTTCTGACCGTTCACCGTTGGAGAGCCCAGGCCCGTCATGCCGGAAACGCTATAACGCTTGTTGGTGGTCGCCTGCAGAGGCGGTCTGTTCTGAGGGACCGCAGGCGCGTTCTGCTGGTCCTTGACTTGTAAATTCAAGGAAGGGTCCGACTGAGCAGCGAGCGATGGAGGTGTGATTGAGCCGGTGGTGGGCGCAGTTCCGTGACTGAGTTGGTCGTCGTTACTGGAGTTGTCTGTGTTAGAGCGCTCAGTGCGGAAGCTGGCCCGCGACCGTCGACGAAGCTCCTTAAAATTCAGGAATGACGGCGCCATGGCTGCTGAATTGCTTGACCAGAGGCTGGCCAATGCAATGGAGAGCTCTCGGAAGGCCAATTGGCAGCCCGATGTGTCAGGTCGTTTTGTAGTGAGCCGAAGAATGGGTCGTTTGGGGTGTCGCAGATATGGTGTATGCAAGCAGAAGCTCCCGCCACTATCCAGCACGTACACAGCCGAGCGTGGCGCTGGGGGGTCCCCGATGAGAATACGATGGACGTCAGCGCGGTGCAACAACCCAGTCGGGCCTGCTCGTAGGATGGATGCAAGAGTGGTGAGCGCCGCTGCGGTCGAATAACGAGCGTGTCCTTTGCGTTTTCGAAAAGTTGAGTGTGCTCAAGGGACCATGATGCCAGACGGGAGGCCGCGCAGATAATTTCTCCCTCCTTTGCGAAAACCCAAGGCAGACCGTTGAACCTGTTCGACTTGATTGCGGTGGACTAAACTGGCCGGGTGGATATCAATGGATCGGTGATTCGGTGGAGCTTGGCCTTGGCTTTAGCGGCAGTACCATGCCTTGCATTCGCTGATAGCAAGGCTAGGCGTCCTGGGCGAGCTGGCAGACCAGCCAACCAGTGGGGGACGGCGTGGTCGATGTCGGTCCTGTTCTGGCAACGGACCTGGCGCTGTAATGAAAGAGAAGAGAGATGGCTCGGCGAAAGCGGACTGGCGGGAGCGCTCCCTCGAGCTTGCTGAGCTGTGTCGGTCTGCTTAAACGTTGTCCGAGAAGTCGGCCTGCGGGCTGGCCTCTGGGCTGACGGAGCGGCGACAGACAGACCTTGGACTTTCAGTACCTATGAAACTTCGAAGCTACCCTAGGCGGGACAGGCACGGCAATGACGTCTTCCTGAGCTATCTTCGTATTGCGGCGGGTATCAATTAGTGGGCTCCAAGGGCCAAGGCTCCTTTCCCGTTTGATAAATACCCAGGGGTCAAAGTTGAAAGGCCCGTTGAGCGGGAACGACAAAGACTTGGCCGGCTGATGGGTCCAGGGCCAGAGGGCAAGGCAGGGCAGGGCAGTGTGTGTCTGGCTCTGGTCCTGTTCCTTCTTCCTCCTGGTTCCCGTCTGAACAGGTGGTGGGGTCGGCCAAAGAGAGTGCGAAAGAGACCGGGGACAAAACAAGTTGATGCGAAACGGCTGCTGCAACCTTGATATGCAGTTGTGCACAAATGCTAGCCTAGCCTTGTCGGACGACCGTGACCAAGGAATCGTGATGCAACCAACGGTCACTGCTTCCCTGGGTGCGTCTGCACGAGCGGCCTTGGCGAAGCTTACGAAAGGTGTCACTGAGTAGTATCAGAGCACTGTGTGTGCTGCTTGTCACTATTGAATTCTCGTCTCTCCTTCCCCACGCTTGAGCGCAGATGGAATGATTAGACAAGACAGGAGCGAGCACTGCCCTGAGTACACACAATAATGGGCGATGCCTTGCTTAGGGGCCTTCCCATTCCTTGGTGAGCCGGGAGTCCTGGCTGTTGGATACTGCCCACAGCATTCGGAACCCTGGACCTGGGGGATCAACTACAGTACCTACAGAGATAACAATAGCGCCCGCGAAGTGCAGCCTGTGTTCTGTGGTAGGACGAATCCTACCAATCGGCTCGTTCATGAACTCGAAAACAATCGGGGCGATCTTCGGTGGGGGGCAAGACTAACCATGGGAAAGTGCATGCAAGAGCATGGGAGAATGACAACTCGATTACCCAGCCACGCACCACAAATCATGTGATAAGTTGGACGGTGTTGGTGGTGGTTGGCAATGTCCGCGTGTGCCAAAATGCACTGTCAGCTTCAGGCATGCATATTGGCAGCCCAGCGGTGCATTTCGCAACGCAGCCCTCGACGATGCGCATGTATTGGACAGTCACGATGTAAGTCGTACAGATTCTGTGCAGCCAAACCATCAGTTGGCAGGATACCAGACTGTCAGCACCCGCATAGTCGACTCCGTCGTCGGGTCCACGGATAACCTTAAAGGACAGCTAGTAAAGAACACTATTCGGTGATGCGGCGGGCTCCAATGATCAGCAAACAGTCATCCAAACTATAATTGCCTAGGTAATCTTGGGAGCTGGGTACGAACGTCTTGCCACCCTACAACGACGAATACGGGCAGCAATACTGCATTTACTCTCTGCTCACGAGCCTAATGTCGGACTGGTTTCCGTATGGCGTACAAGTCTCGTGGGTTCCTCGTTCACCGACAAACCCAGCGTCTATGGCAGTGGTGAGCACCTGGGTAGTGTCCTGCGTGGGATCTACATTACATGAGCCTCCGTGTCATCCTCTAGGCTGCATGCACACGGATGCAATGGATGCAATGCAGGATGAGCGCCTCGCATGAGGCGTGATCGGGAAAGACGGCGTTCGCTGGGTTCCTGGGGCCACTCATCAATTCTGCGCACGGGGAAACTCAAACCCAGTTCACTTATCAGCGTCGTCAGCCTGAAGTCCTCGCATTCCCCACGATGTGCCGACCATCTTTGAACGTTGTCACACGGACACGCTAAGCACAAACCCCTTCAGACCAAACATACCCAATCGCCGTGCAAGCAGAGTTGTCAGGTTATTTCGTCTCTTCTGATATTGCCACCGAGCCTGCTGTGCTTCGTCTAGATCAGCTCAAGCTCTGCCGGTCTACGAGCTACACCATAACCGTTGTGCTGATTAGTTATAGGTAGGTACGCATCTAACCAAGTAATACACAAACGGACGGCACCGAGGGATGCGGCATGAAAAACACTGCAGGCTCCACGCAAACTCCACGTTCAAAGTTCTTCGATGACATGGTTCTGGATTGTGGTTGCTCACGCCCAATAACTGTGTCATTCAACCTAGCAAACGCCAAGGCTGCGGAATTCGAGGTTAGATAACTCATAGCAAGGAGTTCTATTGCGGTTTTTGGCACAGCAAACCAATCGTGCTTCTCGCAACCTCACTTACCAAGCAGCCGAGGGACATGCTTGCTGGCCTCCCTTTGAGTGCTTGCATGAGAGTTCCATTAAAAAAAAAATGTCAGTGCTTCTGCACCGGGCATAAGAGCCAGCGATGGTGCGAGCAGTTAGCTTTCCTCTCGATAGGGGTTTAAATTAGCTGGCAACACAAGATCTCATCAGAAAGCATCCGCCAGTTATCTCACTTGTCACAAACGGGCTTCGGTAACAAGCTGTGGACGACGTAAATACAAGCCGTACTCAAATACATCTATCATGTCATGCTGTGCTATTCATTCTAGATTGAAAGTCAGGTCAGCTGCCCGTCCAGTCCTCCAGATAAGGGCTCGCAGTTGTTGGAGCCAAGCCCATCTTAAGCCATAACTTTGCTCACCAGACAACGAAGCCTGTCTGGGCTTCTTCGAATCATCAGCCATTTTGGTTGCATGATAAGTGGAATTTCCTTGCCAGACGTCGCTGATTGTCTCCCGATTTGGACCAATTTGAGTTATAGCACCAACGTACGTTCAACGCAACGGGGGACATTACGATTGCTATCAGCATCGGTCTTTGTTTCACTATAGACTGAAATCTTGAGGAGCTAGGTACACGACGCCAGGACATTACTGATCATCATGTGCCGAATGATGGGAGGTAACATCTGGCGAGGGCGGCCCGTTGCCTGGCTCGAGGCTCAATTGCACCTGGGGTCAAAGCGACGGTAACTAGACACTGTATGTACCTAAATTACATAGTTAGGTAGGGATGCGATCGTTACGTTCCCATAAGAAGCAAGAGCCCCGAAAGGCAGCATTCCCGCTTTTGGATAGCTTTGAGGAGCGGCGCTTCCCAGAACTACCGATCCAAAGCCCGCAGAACCGATTTCTACGGGTATAGTAATCAAACCTGTGAATAAGAAGAGCGCCGCATGCAAAAGCAACGAACACGAGTTGACTTGACAACGACCCAGGAGATTGGCACGGGGTCGTTGGTTCCCCAGCGCCGTCAAGTTCAGGTTGGCCTGTTCGTTCTCATCGTAAGACTTCAAACGGCGGTGCTTACGGGTGCAACAAGGCCCAGCGGTTTCTTACGTCGTACCGGCAACCTGTCAGAACCAGGACCGTCCACAGGTATGTACCGACAGCAGTCGTAGAATTTATCAGTTAGTTACAGTAGGATGCGCTGTAGCCGGTCCAAGAAATAAGGGTGAAATGCCTACAGGACGCGGGAGACGGGCCCCAGCCATCGCCAGCGGACGGCATTGGCCAGTTGGGTGCTGCCGCCAAATTAGCGGGCGAGAACCTCCCCTGCAGGTGCTGCAAGGCATGCCGTGCGGCCTGGAGCATGGCCCTATGAGAGCGCCGGGGCTGGATTCGGGGTGGGTATCTCCCCAGCGAGCTGGGGGGCGCACCAGAGCTCCAGTGCTCACCTCATTTATCCCGTTGCCGAGCCAGAGCGCACTTGCGAGGCACTAGGCTCTAGCAGTGGTCAGGTCACACTGGAGGCAGGACTCCTGGCCATGGCATGGGCTGTGACAAGACTCTCTCCCACGACCACACCACCTACATCCACATTGACACCCGAGAAGCTCTTGACGAAAGCATCCTTCCTCTTCCCATCTGTATCTGCCGTTCGGCTTTTCGTATCTGGTTGACCGTCCGTAGTGTGGCGTCCTCTCACAACATATTCGGTCGCCTCAGCTGGAACCTAAGCCTCGAGTGCAAATCCAATCTCCCTTTTCCGCTTACACCAAAAAAGAGCGCCGGATTGCTAACAGGTCCACACCCAACCCACTCTCCCTGCGCAACCGCCCTTCCGTGGGACCTCGAAGAGAAAAAAAAAATCTTGAGGTATTCAGACAGAGACCCGGGAACACAACCGAATGTCCAAACAAAAGTTCAGAAGCATGTCGTCGCCTGTGAAGCCGCAGCCAGAGGAGGTTGCCGATAAAGTGCTCAAGCGGGTTGAGGTCAGCAAGGTAAGGCAGAGCCAGCATGCACACTTTGAGCCCCAACTCCACCAAGCCACCTCGAGAGAAGACAAACGGACGACTGACCGGCCCTTCACGTATGCAGATTGCCCGAAGATTGCAGGGTCGTTTGGCTCTAGCACACTTCAAGACCAAGCACGGCTGGGAGGACCTGACCCTCGACACCATCGAACCCAAATATGCAGAAGTCCAGAAGACCCGCCTGCCCGACGGAGATGTCCTGTCCGACTCGTCCTCCAGCACATCAGAGCTGCCATACCCCACGAGGGGCCTCATGAGCTCGCCACTCAAGGCACCGCTGTTTTCGGACGCCATCGGCTCGAGCAACGGCAGCACAGGCCATCGCAAGCGCACCTACATGGCATCATTCGACATGGCCATGTCGAGTCCAACCAAACGCTACCGTTCTTCGCCGACGGCTCACAGATCCTTCAATGGACACACTTCTCTCAAGGCACAACGCCAACTGATACAGTCCTCGCCCATAAAGCCCCGCAGGCAACAGCATTTTACCACTTCTACGGGCCCCGATGTCTCCTTCTTCCAGGGGACCCGCCGGGTGTCGGTGGACCTGGCCTCGCCCAACTTCGCCGCTCCCCCCTCGGACGACGAGGACGACCTCCTGCCGACGCATTCTTTCCAAGTCAACCACAGCCGGTCGTCGCCGCCCAGCACGCCGCCGATGCGCAACCGACCGGTGAACCGCCGAAGCAAGGGGAAGACCGATGATAGCAAGGAGGAGGGTGCAGACTTGCTGCTCTATCTAGCGGCGTCCCCTTCGCCGGCGGTTCGGTCTTCCAAGACCATGATGGAACCGCCATCTACACCGCCGCCCAAGAGGGATCTCGCCCTCCCCTCGTCCATGATGACCACCCCAGGAGGGGGAAGCAACCTATTGTTCCCAGCCACCCCGGGACAGCCCTTTGATTTCTCCGACTTTGTCAATATCACGCCGAGCCCGGCCCAAAAGCCATGGAAGACACCGGTGGCCCTCACAACAGCCAAGACACCGCTTACTGTGGCAAGGAGACGACTCACGTTCGAGGAACCATACCATGGATTGGTATGAACGACTATGCCGGTTCCCGACTCCGCTACGCACACCCCCATTACCAAACACCACACATATTTTCCTCATGTGATCATGATACCACCACGCGGCGACGCATATTACGCCACGATTTTTCCTTGGTCACTTCAATACCAATGATTGTTTATTTAGATGTTGCGGAGGAAGCAGGCGTTTTTGATGTCCACGTCGTATGGCGTGAACCGGGGTTCGGCACGGAGTCAATCGGCCCAGGCGTTGGATATTGCTCTTACAACAAAACACATGCACATACACACAACCGCACTGCACTCGCAATCACGCCAGTCAGCTCCTCGCCCTGTCTTCAGGTCTCTTATATTCTGTATGTTACCACATTCTGTAGCCCAGGCGAAATCCAAGCACATTCAAACAAGACAACAAGACAACACACACAAAGCAGCCACGCTGCTGTGCATCAATGACCCAGATTACGCACGAAAATTCACGATGGCCACCAGCCTGCATTTAATGGCTTCTCGAAAGATGTGGGCCACTTAACGCGGTCGGGCGTGTCAGGTCGCATGAATCTGGAGGGGCTGCGCGTCTTTTCGCGTCGCGACTGAAACCGGAGCAGCCAATCACGAGCAGGTCCTGGGCCCCGAGACAGGGGTCGTTGCCGCTAGCACTCCAGGTGATGTCACCATTGGTCAATGCCCGTTCCTGGCCCTCTTCCAGCTGGCTTTGCCCAACGGGGCCAAACCCGGTTGTCGCACTTCGTGAACTCGATGGCGCCCGGGTGCTGGCCAATGAGAGGGGAGGGGGGACGGCGCCCTTGAGGCTCTCTTTCGTTTCCTTCTCTCAGAGGGGCACTGACAACAGCAGCCCAGCTGAAGAGGCATTATTGATCTTCGAAGGTTTACACCAGTCAGCCAGCGCACCTGCTCGCCGACTTTTAGTCACATACTTAGCTGTCTCGGCATTTGGTCGGGACTGGTTGATCTCTTCGGCAACCGTTGCGAATCCTTAACTCGGAGGAGGGCCAAACGGAGATGGCCGCCGGTAGGGTCTCGAGGCTAGCCAGTGATCTGGAAACGTCGCTGCTCGTAAGAGCTTGGAATCCTTGGGGCCTATCTGCATAATTAAAGGGAAGAAGAAAATTCGGGCCGGTGGCGTACGCCATATTTGGGCGCTAATGTGATTTTCTTTCTTTCTTTCAATTTCAATTTTGCTCAACAGACAAGCAGGACAGGTAGTGTACTGTGTAGTGGTGTTTTGGATGGCGGTTAAGCTGCTTTACTTAAGCGGCCGCTCTCCCTGGCATGGTGTTGCCTGGTCTTTGTTGAAAAAGAGACTGGGGGCGCGATCGAATACTTGAATCCGCGATGCTGCCAAGTTGGTAGTTTGGTCTAGTTCAATTTCTGAGCAATGTTCATTGACTGTTCGATACCCATTAAATAATTTTGGCGTGTGATGCGTTAGTGAGAAACTCACTACGCCCGGTGGACAGGCTTGAGGCAGTACCTGCTGGCTACTATATATTGAGTTGGCCGTGTGTCCTAATGTCGATGTAGCAAGTGCAATTGGCACGTTTCTCGGTTGTGAGTCTTGCTGGCTTTTTCCCCGTCCGTACATGATAAGGGCAGATGTCTGAAGACCTGGAGGGAGGAGGGAGAGAATGGCAACCAGAGCCGAGTGCGGAGTGATTCTTTCCCCAAATCTCCCTGGCGGATTACTACTAGCTTCCCGCTTTCCGGTCCTTGTGAAAGATGAGTCCTAGATGAGTTGCTTGGGACCAATCACAGTATTTGGTGAGAATATATGCCAAGCTCTCTCCCAACGTGGCGACTGTACTAGGTGACATTGCTGAATTGTTAAGCATTAACTTGGAAGGCAAGTCGATGTTGCCTCTTTCAAGTTTACTACTTTTTCTGCCCTCGATATGACTAGACAAAGTATTAGGATGGAGAACGCCGCAATGGTTTTGAACTTTCTTTCTTTTTCTAATAAAACGTGCACTCAAAAACGAGCGTGTCTTCCCCTGGGCCATTGGCAGCTCGACGGCCGAGGGTACTGAGAAGTATGTAGCTATATCATATGTCGCTGCTCTGGCCAAAGGCGCTATTCCATCCACACACACACACACACAGAGACACCTCGCACCACTTCCAGTCTCACTCATTTCCGCTATGGTCCCGTCTGCGTCCTTCTTCGTCAATGCCTCTGTCGCCGTTATACTCCCTTGCGACCATGTTGGTAGCCGCGCGCGCCCGCTATGCAAATTCCCGTATACTAAACAATAGAGACTAAGCGACCCAAGAATTCCACCACTAGGTATCAATCACATCAAGTACAGCCAACACCAGGTAACGCCTCAAAACCCCTTTTCGATATATGCGTTTAAAAATAGTTGCCGCCTACCTTCCTCGTGGCGGTTGCTTCGTTACAGCCTCGGCACAACAGCCATCACCACCTATCCCCTGGCAATGGCTCAGTATGCTTTTCCTACGGTTCCGTTGCTCCCCTGGCTGGCACCGCTTCTCCTCCGGCCGTCTGGTGGCCTCTCGCCCGTTGGCGTGGGGCTTTCCCACCGTGTACTCCCGGGCCCAACGTCTGGCCCCGGATCACTCCACTGGTCCAGACTGACGCCGCTCGAGTACTTGCTCGTGAAGCTCTCGTTGCGCGTGTGTGCCGGGTGAGGTGGGAGTGGTACCCCGCTGCCTCTGGTGCTGCTAGCTCTGCTGCCGCTCCCGACTGACAACAGCTCCGGCCTGTCAAGGTCGAAAGGGTCGGACCGGAACTTGTTCCGTCGCGTCTCAAAGGACTCGACGGAGGCCCCGGATTGTCGGTACATGCTGGGAGCGTTGCTGGGCGGCCGCGTGGCAACGCCGCCTACTGACTGGCCTCGCGAGCGACGAATATTTTGCACGTACGTCGCTGGGCCGGGTTGCTTGCTGGCAGTTGGCTGCTGGATAGCATTTTGATCCGAGAAGGGGTTGTCGGGGTTCGTGACCGTCAGCGGGGCCACTTTGGCAGAGTCGTGGCTCATAGCGTTGGCATCTGAGAACGGATTCGGTGATTCAAAGTTGAGACCCAGAGAGCCAAGGAAATGCTCATTCGAACCAGCGCTCTGCGACCGTCGCGGGTTGTTGACGCTGCTGCGCCCCTTATTCGCTTGAGCTGCCAGCTGCTTGTCGTCCATGCTGAGCAGGGTCAAGAAGTCCGGCTGGGACCCAAGAGTAGCCTTGGTCTCCTTCATGTTCCGGCTTCTTTCAAAGAGATCATTTCGACTAGACTCGCCGCGCCCTCTGTCGTTGGAACGTCCAAAGAAGCCAAGAAGGCGGTCCTTGGCAGACGAGCCATCGCGGCCCAGGTCTGAGGAGCTATGGCGGCTGTGGATTGTATTGTCGAGGAATTGCGAATTGCCTCTGTTCATGTTAACGCTCGGCGCTGGGCTATGCCCCACAAGACTGCCGAATCTCCCCCGTATCTTCTTCATGTTAGACCCCACAGTCACCCTCAGTTTCTCGGATAATGTGGTTGGCCCAATGGATGTCCGGCTTATTGTATAAGGTGCCTTCTCGCGCATGTTGCCAAATCCTGACTCGGGCCCGAGAGGCGTCAACATCGTACTCCTCCGCTTCTTCACAACACGCTTGCGCCAGAACCATATTGCGAAAGCGATGAGTGACAACGCTACTAGGCCTCCGATTACACCCCCTGCCACTGCCACCGTCGTCTGTGTGCTGATGCCACTGCCGCTTGTTGAGAATGGAGCATTTTCAGATGTCGAGGAGTCTGTTGTTCCACCGTCTCTCAGGGTGGAAGTTGCCCCAGTTCCTATAGTGGTCACTAAGGCAGCGTTTCCAGCGCTCGCTGTATCCAAAGCGTCTGTCGTCTGAGTCCTAATGGATGACGTTGTAGACGCTAGAGCGTTATCAGTCTGTATGCTTTGGCTCTGAAGCTCACTCTCAGGCGTGGGAGGGAACACAGCTACAGGTATAGATGTAGTGAGAGAGGAAGGGGGCGGGGAAGGGGAAAGGGTAGGGGAGGCAGCGGTCACTACACTCGATACCACTGCAGGCGGTGCTGCCGCTATCGAGGTCTGTAACGTTGCCGCCGGTGCAGTTGTGGAAGTCTGGGGAACAGAGGTAGAGCTCGTCGTACTGGTAAAAGTCTCCTGAGCGATGGAAGTGGTGCTATCGATGACCGGATTCACTGCCGGAGGGACTATCGGCGCAGCAGCTTGTGTTGTCGTTACTTGCGGTGTTGTCGACGTGGCAGCTGACGTTCTTATCAAAGTTGAACTCGGGGTTGTTGATATTGATGTCGATGTTGATGTCGATGTAGACGACGATGACGATGTTGACGTAGTTGAGGTCGAACTTTGCCCTCCGCCTACATTGTTCGCCTTCGGGATTGCCGTACATTTCCTTCCTCCCAAGTTCGTAGTGAATGCTCCGCTAGGGAGGCCATTCGTCGCCATCTTCTCGGTTGGTTATATGAAAGCGATTCCAGTCGCAAGATCTAGGAGAAGGCTGTCGCTTCAAGCAAACAAAAAATAATACATGGAGACTCTCAGAGTAGAAGCGAAAGAAACAAATGGCCCAACGGCCGGCCACGATCAGGTCCAGACCATGAATGTTGCTCTGCTAGAGAGAACGAGCAAAGAGTGGACTTCCACGATGGGAAGCAGAAACAAGCGGCACCACGGCTGAATTGCACTTTGTGTGATGGCAAAATGGAGGTGATTCAAAGATGAATCGCAACTGGGAGGACAAGGGAACAAGAGGAGATTCACTACAAGATGTGAAGCAAACCCACCCACCAGTCTCTGGGTCGTGCCAGCCTAGCCTCCAGGCCTCTCTCTCGGCTCACTGCGAGCAGCACGGTCGCGGACTTGCCCCCAGCATGAACTGTACCTTGTCAACCGTGTTTGACAGATCCAAACGCCTCCGTGGGATTGGCTGTCCGTGGGAGCGTTTTCGGTCGTGGTGTAAGAGAGTTGCGAAGAGGTTCTGGTGGGCAGCCCCAGAACGCCAAGGGGGGTGAGGGGCAAGCCGTTGCGCTTTGGAGCTCAACCCCTGTCCTGTGACAGATCTGAAGCACCTTCTCCCTCAGCCTCATGAAGAGCCGCTTGGCGACTTTACCCAAATGTGGAGAGGCCCTGCGGATGAGTTCTTCGATCATTACGTCTCCGAGGATCGAACAGCAAGGTCAGGTGCACACAATAGAATTGACTTTCTTTCGGACTGTACTGTCGGTATGCTTACCATTCCTATCGCCGGAGATAAATTTATAGTAAACGCCTGGTTAGGAATGCAAACTGCCCACTAGCCGTGCAGCTTGAGCTTGCAATATAGGGATTTGTGGGGTGTGTGTGAAGTCATTGAGCAGCCTTCCTTTCCTGGAGGAAACCCCGTTGAGGTCCCACTTAACGACGACACTCCGTGGAGTGATGGTGCAAGTGTCGTGGCAAGAACAGTTGTCTCTGGGGCCACACCGAATCTTGACCACCCAAACTTCGACGTAGTTGGGTAGTCCCTGCTGTAACTAACTACTGAGGTATGGTGCGTGTGACATGAGCCAGAAACCAGCTCCAACGTTACTGGAGGCATTGCCGGCGGAGGAGTTTGCTGGATTTGTCTAGAGCGATTGCCAAGGGTACCCGAGTGTCAATCTGAACCGAACACTAAGTTAGCGCCAGGTCCAAGTATAGTAAACCATTCTAGAAGAAAAGTGAAAACGGCTAGCCCCTCACGTTAACTCTGTCGCAGGGCGACAGGGTGGTCTCTGGTTCAAACTGACAACTCCAGCGCTGAGGCCCTCGAAGCACTTGCCGCGTCGAAAAGTGGAACAGCACAACGGGGTCACTCACCAAGCAGCCTCCAGTTGTGGGCGGAAGATATCGTTGTCGATCCAGATTCAAGCTTAAACGGTAGAGTTGGGCCGGGTCAGGGGGCTCTCGGATCATGACGGACCACTAAATGTTTGTTTCTCTCTTGCGAGATCCGCTGAGCATCAAACATGGGCTGACCAACATTTGGTGCTTGAGGTGGTTACCTTTCCACTGTTGTCAGATCAGAATGAAATGGATGAAGTGGATGAAGTTCCCCGATGAGGTGCTCGGACAGGGACTGCAGCATCGGAAATATTTTACTTGACTATAGCGTCTGGGCCTCCGGCGTTTGGCTGTCACGCTTCAGTTCTACTGCATAAGAGAAGTACAGCACTCGCTAAGCCTCAGATGGGAGTATCGAAGCAGTGTCTATAGTGTCCAAACCAGTGGCCACTCTCTTCTTGTGTGGGCACCCCAGTCATCAGGCCCATGCACGGGCTTGCGGTGTATACTGATCCGCCCAGACGTGCAATGCGTATCCCGTAGGTTGTCCCGCAGGTAGTCCCGCGTTTGATAATCGGCTGCATGGGGATGGATGCGAAAGTCAGACACGGCGACCCGGCCGAGGAAAAGCACATGATCATTTCCAGGTCTGGTGAGACAGGACAACGCTGTACGCTGCACGTATGCAGACGCACGGGCCTCGTTGCCAACCACCAACTCTAGCCCCTGTTAGTACGGGGTGAAGTACAGCAACAACCTGCTTCCCTCCCCTTTCCCAAGTTCTCGGTCTGGAGCTCCTGTTGCAGGGCCTTAGATGCGCGTTCCGAGCCCTCGACCCTCAACATCTTGGACAGACGCTCGTCGGGTCCGGTCTAGGGATCGCCACGGCAACGTTTGCATGCGGTGCCGCTTCCAGCACTCAACTCAAGACAGCTCGCGCTGGCAATCAGAGCAGCCTGGCCCACTAGCCTACAACGTCATTTGTGGCACACGAGCGGTTGACCAAAGTGATCTAGTCTTCCCCAGGGACTCTCTGGCCTTGGAGCTCTGAGACTGCCGGGTGGCCGCGCGATGAAGCTGAACTAGAACTCCTCAATTCTAAACGGAAGCCGTAGCTCGCGGCGTCCGAGGACCTCCACCCGCGATGTTTGGTGGCCTCGTCAATTTGCGTAAGTTGACCCTTCCAACTCCAATCCCGTCCTGGCTGGATGAGGGGTAACGTGCCCGGCACCAAACCTTCGCTTCCGCATTTACCATCTCGTAGAGCCATCCCGTACTGGGATTCCTGCTTTGCAAGTGCAAGGCCAGGTGTGAGTGGGTGGTGGCGTGATTTTTCTCTCCTTTTAACCCGCAGGCTTCGCGCGTCCCCCGTCCAGACTTGACGCACGACCCCGGATGTGTATACTGTTTCCTATACAAACTTTATGCTGGATCATGCGAGCCACCAAGACGCTATGCGACGCCTGGTTCAGCCCTGTTCTGTAACTCGCTCCGGGTGATCGCCTTGGCATCCTGGAGTCCGGAATTTGACTGGCTTCCATTTGTTGCAATTGTTCTTTTTCCTTCTTAGTCGGTTACTGTTCCCTGGCTCGGCATTATCTTATACGTTTCTCTAGTCCAGCCATCAACCATCGGTCCGCCACCGAAAGATGTGCCGCCAGCAACCCCGGTCGTGTTTCCGGACTGTCATTTACCGTCTTCGGAGAACCCGTCCCATGAGACGCCAGTGGTCCGACTCCTGCAATCGCTCCATCGCCCGGGTGACCTGAGTGAGGCCCACTTCGGCGCCTTGGGCCTTCAAGTGCATGCCGAAACCCCAGCTCAACGTCTCTTGCCGGACCCGTCATTTCTTCCTCCGACCTCGAAGGAATGGGAGAACATATCATTGGACGAAGCTCGAGCCAGGGACTCGGAGTTTCAGATACCTCTGAGCAATGGAAACAAATCACCTGAAGCCAGGGTGTATCTTGAGAGGCGCAATGAGTTATCCATAGATAACCAATCCGCATTTCGGACCGTACGCCGCATGAGACCTGAGCCGGGTGTGAAGTCGCCAAGATTGGGAAACTGCTATGAATTCTTCAGGCAACTAGAGCAGATGGCCAATCACTGGGATGATACCTCCCTCCCAACTGTGGTTCATTCCGAGGACGAAGATCTAGCGGAAGGGGAAGCTGGTCATGTCAAAAAATCACGGCCGAACCCGTTGGACGCAAGCTTGGAACAGGCTGAGCTGGCAAACCTTGGAGCCGCAGCTGCTACCGCCACAGAGTCTAATTCACGCGCGGAGCCGAAGGGCAAAGAGAATTGGCGCGTGACCTATAGGACAGCTCCAGGGAATACGATGCCACCAGAGGTCCGACACAATCTTATTAGTGCCTTTATAAAGCTCGTCTCCTATGACTTCGGATGTAACATTGCGGCACCCCGAGTAGAACCACGACTGTATCTTCAAGAGCCGGCACAACCCGATATCAAGGTATCGTCCAGCCGTCCGCCCCGAGACCCAACAGTCTCCTATTTCCCGTCGGGATGCGTCTTTCTTGGCAGGACTCCCAGAGCCCGCGAAGCCGCAAGAGCAGGTGTAGTTGAAGGGCCGCTTGCAGCTGTCTCAGCCCGCAACACGACCAGCTTTTCCACACAAATCGAGAGTGCCATCGACTTGGGTCGCGAGTTGGTAGCTGCTCTCATCACAGCTCAACTTCGAGCACGTGAAGGCCGCGAAGAGAAGCGCGCTGGCGAGGGGAAATGGTGGGCAACAGCGAAACGATGGGGTGGCAGCGAAGGGGGCCCGATTGGACGAGAGATCGAGGGTGCAGCAGGCGTCACGGGAGACAAAGACAAGAATCCTGTTGAATCTAGAAATGGACATGCGAGCACAAACGATGAGAAACCGGACAGTCCCACAGTTGGGCGTCAATCGTCCCTTAGCCAAGGGAACCGACCGAATTCGCCGCCTAAGCCCATCTCTCCCTCATCTGGTCTACCTATGCGTGGCCCGCCAGCCGCCAAGAAACCCAGGAAAGGTCACAGCATCTACGACAACTACCGGCAGGTTCGGCCGCCTATCTCCAATTGGGATATCAAAGCACGCTACCAGGCTATCGGCAAAACGAAGAATGCACAGTACGATGACATTTTTGTAATAAGCAGCATATTTCACCATGTTTCAATTCTCCGCGTTCGGGTACCGGATCGCCTACTCGACGTCTTTGCCGGAGCTGAGGATGTACAGGAGGGTAGTAGGTCCGGGAGGAGTTGGGAGAAATTGGAGGTGTGGCGGAGTAGATGGTTTGATCTCTTTCTTCCGGAGGAACGGCTGGAGGCTTTAAGGGTTCTCTGGGGTGCAAATGCATGGATGATGCGGACGGTAGATGACGGAGACGGGAAAAAGGACATTGCCATGAAAGGAAGTTGAGATCTTTTAAAGGATATATCGGGTTTTATCCAAGGTCAACGGCGACATCGGATGTTCCATTTACTCCTGAGCCAATGGTAGCTTTGGGATATAAGCCTGGAGACTTGGGTGAAGTGAAATAGTCATAATATCTACATCACTCCATTCAACTAGTGTTCTCGTGGTAATGATACAATTTTAACGCTGACATGATTTAATAAATGACCCAAATACCGGGGGAACTACGATCTTTCCTGTGAAAGCTGATGATTGGGTTCATCCATCGAACATTTGCTGGGGACACGAGGTCAAGGTAACCGAGAATCTGATTGTGGCTTCTAAAAGTCTGACACTGGCATGCAGCCCCATCTCAGAAAAACCCGTGGTCACAGTGAAGTCGTTGACTGCATGGCTCCTTTTTGGCCCAGGAATGAGTCTTCATGTCTGCATTCACGTCTGTCCTGTTGTCTATCAAGTTCCTCTGGCCTTTCGCGGACTGCGTGAATCGCGTAAGTTGCCATTGTGACTTCAAACAGGTGTTTTTGAACCCTTTAAAAAAGGAAATTCACGTCGTTAACGAAATCTCGTATACCTTGCCGCCACCTATGGAACCTAATGATAGGCTATTGTAGGCTCCACGATACCAGGCTTCTCGATTCTTTCGCCACCCTCTCCTTCAGAATATCGGGCTGATGCCACATGTCTGAACCAGATGAATCGCACCACACAAAGAACAGCCCCTTCCATTTGACCCAGACTTTCTCTGTGGGCAGTTCACCGCCGAATGCCTCTCCAGACACAAGGAGCACATGAGCTCGCAGCGCACCGATGGGTGCATATTATCCACGGGGCACAGCGTGCACCAAATCGGGCACATCTGGATGCTGTGGTGCGGGTATGGCTCGCAGATACACTGATCGTTTGGTTTCGGGCAGTGGTCCACGCTGTGTACATCCGAGCCGCATGCTCGGCACCTGAAGTCACAGGGAAGGTTGGATAGGTGATCCGAATTACCGCAGTTTTCACATGGCGAGCTGCTGAATGACGAAAAAGTGGTGCTCGAGAGCAGCATGGCCGTTTTGGGACAGTCGCCGATGCTGTGAAAGGGATATTCCACGCAAATACATTGACGGTCAGGCTGAGGACAGGAGCTAATGTGATGATTTTTGCCGCATGCCCGGCAAAAAGAGTCGCACCCTGTGGTGCTGAGATGCACTGATGCACCGCAGTTCTTGCATAGGCCGTCGATGTCGAACATTTGATTGGGCTGCTGACCTTGTGATGGAGTGAAGCTCACTTCCCAATCTTGGGCGTTGTCTGCGGTCGTGTCACATCCCTGAGCACCCACCGTGATTTCCTCGTTGGTAGCATATTGATTGCAATCCAGGCTGAGGGTGGCATACTGCACTGTGGGTGAACCTCGAGGCCCTGTATCCACGAACTTGGGATAGGAGCTATCTGAGAACTCCGTCATGCTTGTAGGATTGGCACACGGTGGGGACGACGTGATGAAGGGAGGGCAGGCGTCTTGTACCGATGAAATCCCAGAGTATTGTTGTCAAAGAATGGCGTTTACCGAAAATTTAAGTATTCACTACAGTGGTGTCCCCCCTCCCCTTCTACGCCCAAACAAGTATTTGAGAAATGAGGAGAGGGTCCTGAGCGGCAGTGAAGCATCTTCAACTCTGTCGGGGACCATGCTGTTACTTGGTCAAAACATGGCCTGTGGTCACCGTATCAACAAACGCTGCCTAGTATATGAGATCTCCTTGGGGATTAATGCCTTCTCAAGGTTATTTTCCTTTCCGGGCCAGTTTTAGGAACGTAATCGTTCCTAAAGCAAACGCAAGTGAGGTTATACCAGAACTTTATTGATTCTGACCCCGTTGCAGCCATTCCAAGTCCGCTGATAGGAAGATGGTTCAGTCTTATTACTACCCAAGCAATGGCTCCTTTCATGTGGCTTCACGCCGGGATCAATTGTTTCAAGAAGCACATTGGGACCTAAAGCCCGTCGGTGATTGTGGAAAGCTGGTTAACGGTCAGGAACGTAGAGGTGCCAGCAAGAACTACGAAAGTCATGCTACCGGTCAATTTTCATCAGCAGTGACCTAGAAATTGAGGTTTAAGCCAGGACCGGAGGTTATTCTTCTATAAGTTGTAAAATGGGGGAAAAGGTTGATGACGGTTTATGCCATCGCTATCACATCGGGCAAGCATCTCTGAGAGTTACCGTGGTTGTCTAAAATCAACAATGCCTTCCAACTGCGGGAAATACGATAGATCGGTACGGCAATTGGCCCATAAAATCCAGATCTTGCATTTTGCCCCTTAACAAAGCGTCCCGGGTCCTATGGCATCGATGATACCCTGAAATAAATGGGACCGGACCGGCGCGCGCTACCTAGGTAGCTGGTTCCTCGGCGGCATTTCCCGACCTTCCTCCGGATGTGACATCCCATGCGCGGGTTACAAATTCGGGCCGTAGCAAATAGTCAATGCAACGAATGCTTGTATCGACTCCTCTACGTTTCTCGTGAATCGCCCCGAACAGCCTGGGTACCTATGATACACAATATGTTATTGAGGATTTTAGGTGGCCGCCGATTCTACTAGTTCAGGAATAAGTTTGAGATCTGGATCTGAGACAGTGACTCAACTAGTCAGAAAGTACTCAGGTATGCAGGTAGACACCGTAAGCTTCGGAAATTAGAGGACGTTTGGCCACAGAAACTTGCTAAGCCCGTTGCCTTATTCAGACTGCTCACGGCTCAATCTCTGATCCCCAAGATGATGTACCACCGCATTAACAACGAGATCGAACAGATCTCCGACACAGGGGCCACACTCCGAGTCGAAAAAAGCCCTTCCGAGCAGTTACTCCTATCTGTGCTGACATCCAACCCACCTGATGCAGCTGACCAGCTCAAACGAGCGCTGCCCTTCCAGCCACGCTCGTATCGAGACTTCATGCTCTTTGAGGCACATTACTATGGCGTCGCCATGGGGATGACATCCTTGTACCGGCCCTCGGCGCACCATCTCGCACGCCTCTACTCTTTTCTGACCGGAGGCGGCGAGTTCCCGCTCTTCAAGCCGCATCCCCTGTGGTACCAGCAGCCCATTTTCTACCAGTCAAATCACCTGGCCTTCTACCATGACGGCGCCCCGATCCGGTATCCCAAGTATGCCGAATATCTGGACGTAGAGCTCGAGCTCGGCGTCGTCCTAGGCAAGGAGCTGTGCAACGCAACGCCCCAGGAGGCGGAGGATGCGATCGCAGGGTTTTGCGTTTTCAATGACTTTTCGGTGCGGAATGTACAAATGGCAGAGATGGATAGGTGAGTTTTCGCCTCATGAGCGCGGGTTCATGGGACAGGAACGGCCATCGTCCCGCCGTACCAGTCAACCAGCCAGCTCACCCGTGATGCAGCGGATTTGGCCCCCAGCACTCCAAGTGCTTTGCGAACAGCATCTCATCGACCGTGGTCTCAGCGGATGAGGTCATACCCAAGCTTTCCAACCTCAGAGGCCGAGTCATCATCAATGACAAGGTGGTCAAGGAGTGCAAGGCGGACAGTTGGCAGTTCTCCATCGGAGAGGCGATTGCACATGCGTCGAGGAGCACGCGGCTTTACCCTGGTGAGTTCTTCGGCTCTGGCACCTTTCCCTCAGGGGCTGGGATTGAGCACGCGGCCTTCCAGCTCAGGGTGGGAGATGTGGTCAGACTCGAGATAGACGGAGTAGGAAGTGTGACCAATACGATTGTTGCAGAGGACTAAAATATACTAGCTTTGCGAGAGCGTAGACCATGATCGGCCAGGAATCAGTCTGGCATGTTATGGCCTGATACTCTGAACGAGTCGACTTTTTTCGGTGGTTGTTACGCCATGTTTGCGTTGTCGTGAGAATGGTGGGAACATGATCACCACCAAAGCTAGGCCGGCATTGCCTCCAAACCTCTGAGTGGGCGCCACTTCTGTCTGGAGTGAATCAGCAACTGTTCAGTGTTTACTCAGAACCTTCGTGAGCGAGGAAGACTTGAACGGCAATGGCGTATTACTTTGACATGTTTTATTCAACTCATAGTAGTTACGATAGAAGTACCCTGATTTCTCCGGTTGTCCTAGGGAACAACGCGCGTAGACTTTGGGGGCCGTCTTGACTACCAGCATGCCCGTTCGTTTGCCCCTGCTCGATGGCCTCGTCAGCCGAGATCAACATCTCCTCAACATGCTCAAAATCAACACAAAATTTCTCGGTGGCCTCTTCAGTGATGTCTCGCGTCAGTTTGGAGTCTTGCAGGTGGCGCAGGTTCTCCATGGCGTCCATCAGTGCAGACGGTAAGAAATCATCAAGGTTCTGACTTGCTGCTATCAGAACATCAGGTTTCAATGCGTCGCTTGTACGGAGCTTGGCTATATCTTCCTCCGTAGCCTGGAGGGGTGCCAAGGCATCATACAATGTATCCAGGCCCGACTCAGTTCTCAAGTAAGCGTATTGGCTAGCCACCAATTTCTCAGCGTGCTCGTCCACCCTAGACTGCAGTGCTTCTACTCGCTTCTGTGTGAAGTCAAATGGTGCCAACGCAGCCTTGGCCACAAGAAGGCAGTTGATGAGGAAGACGGAAACTGACGGCGGTTTGATAGTCTTTGCCATGTTTTCGCATCCAGATATGAAAGGATCGAACGACTCTGCCAATACGGGCTGAAAATCTGCCTCCCGATCTCCAGTTGACGCAAGCGACGTCTCGTAGGTTTTCATGATAGAAGTCAGCTGTTTAAGAGATTCTTGAAGGAAGTCTGGCGGTCCTAGGTCGGACGGCGTGTGCTGGAATTCTCCTTGTAACGTAGCAATGTGATCCCGCATCAGCGACCGGAACTGCCGCAGGGCTTCAGTCTCCAGGTTTGACATGGATTCCAGGAGAACAGACTGTGTCCCAAGCAGCTTTGAGAAGGTGACCCGATAGAAGTTCAGGAGGTTTGCAAGCTTGTAAGCCAGGATCGTGTCCTCGTTGGTCTGAATCACCTGCTCGACTCTCTGCCGTAAGACGCGTGCAGCTCCCGAGACGTCTCTGTCTACCAGCTCGTTTAGTGCCTTGACGGCATCGAACTCGGGGGTGCCGTCGGCTTCGTCAGTTACGAGCCTCCACAGGTCGTTCTCGCGACCTGCCTGAATGCCCTTGGCAATTTCATTGCCGTCCGATACAAACAAGATCTCGAGAGCCTCTCTTTCGCTGACCGTGGCCGAGTGGATCCAGGCTAGCATGTCACCTACGTACCGAAGGGTATCGTGGGCTACCAGCTCAATGGGTTTCACCGAACGATCCTCCTGCCCTGATGGGGATGTGCCGGTCAACGCCAAGTAGAAGGCATCAGAGAGGATCTGCTCCCGAGCTTCGGCAAAGAAATCGAGGCAGTTTTGGAAAAGTGAAGGTCGTTCTGCCAGGACACGGAGAGCCCGGCGAACGGATGAGTTGATCTGGGGGTTCTCCAGGTTCAAAGTCTTGAATTCCTTCTGGGTCCAACGATACAGCTTTTGGAAAGCCTGATTCAAGTGTTTTGACGTCCGCTCCATTATCTCAAGACCCAAGGTCTGGTGCTCGAAGCCGAGAAGTACTTCGCAATCAGTACGGATCTTTTTGGCCTTTGCCAGGATGGCAAAGAATCTGTCGTCCACGGGCTCAGAAGTCAAAGTGAGCGAGGCCTCCTCGTCCTCGGAAAGAACGAAATGCTCTCGCAAAGCCTTGAGCACGTGCTGTTTCTTCTCGATATCCTGCCTCTGCGCTATCAGATTGGAAGCCTCGTCCAAGGTTGACGAGGTTGCCTTGTGGGCTGCTGTGACATGGCTCTTCATCTCCTGGTAGCTCCTGTTCAGCTTGTCGATGGTGGTGCCGATCCGGCGCAGCTGGTCTGCAACCCGGCCGAACTCGGTTATGATGTCGCCATTGCTCTGGATCACCTCCTTCTGGATATCTAAACGCAGTTGCCTGCGCGTCTCAGCACTGTTGGCCAGTCCGCGCTCATCCAGCAGACCGAGGGCGTCGCGGAACTCTGCATCCGCGTAGGAGGTCGACAAGACACTTGTGACTTTGGAGGTCAAAGGATTGGGGCTTCTCAGCGGCAGCCCCGGTGCTGCTGGTTCACCAGGGGAAAGGGGACCCGATGCGAAGCCGTCTTTGGGCGGGAGAGCAACCGAGTTTATCCCATTGGCAGCCATGATGGAAGGAAGAAAGCGTGATCCGGCTTATCTTGTCGTCTCTAAATGCATCCTCACCCCAGGGAACGCCGCGCCGATAGGGGTGGTGATAGCCTATATCGCAAAAGTGACCGGTGAATACTCAATGGCTGTCACGGAACTTCAAACGTGGTCCAACGAGAAGGAAATCCAGGGTCGCGCAGCGTAGGGCACCAAGTTAGCACCATCAACGGGCCAATCAAAGGGCCAGAATTGCGGCCGTCCCCTTGGCAGAGGGTTCTTGGGGGAACTGCTGAGACCCACCAACATATGGGCGATTAGCTATATCAGCTCCCAACGTTGCCTGCAAGAATAAAGACTTGAGAACTAATCATTTGCAGTTGTTCTCCGTGTCTCTATTCTTTTCTCCTTCTGTGGTGGATGTAGATGTCACGAATACCTCGGAAGAAGGATTGATGCTCGCCGCAGACTGGACGGTACCTGGGTAGCTACTGTAACTCACCTAGGGAGGTACTTGATTACCTACATAGATAGATACCTGTGTAGAACTCGGCGGGAGGCCGGCCATCCAGCAGGGATCAGGGCGGTGGCCTCTGGCAATAACCGCTCGATTGCCGCGTAGAGCGACACTATGACTTCACACTGGCACGCGGTGCGCGGTTGCCTCTTGGCTAGGCCGGCCAGGCGGGACAGCTGATCGCTGTTATCGGAGCAGCGACGGCGGCACCTGACGGCTCACCCAAGACAACAACAACCACCACCACCACCACCCCCGATTCTGATCAGGCTGCGTGATGTGAACGACGGCCTTGTCCGCTCTTTGAAGTTTAAAAAAGACAAGAATCAACTTTGTGATGCCCATGAACCTAGAGCCTGCCCCTGGAAGCTAAACCGCCCATCTTGGAGGTAACTGGCGACGCCGCCCAGCCTCGCAACTCGGCGAACCACGGAGCTCCTCCACGATGCGATGCGATCGAGTCGAATGAACCCGTCTTTGCCCAGAATCCTCTCGCCGCAGAATACCTGACTCCCCGTGGAGCCGCCATGGCTGGGAACCTGTTCTCCCGCTTCGTTCCCGCCAAGGACGAGCGGCCCTACTACGAGCAGCTTGGAGACGACCACGACGTCGACATCGAGAACCGCGCCGGCCTTGCCCTTGACGAAGAGAACTTGGCCCACCATTTCCACGACGACGACCTACACCATGCAGACCATCTTACCATCGATGATAGCCGAGTATCCGTCGGCACTGTTGCTACCCCAGCCGGTGGTGCTCGCCGAGGCCCACCACGTCCTGGCAGGCAAGATCCGGCCGCGCGATGGCTAGCAGGAGACGACGACGGCGACAACGAAGTCCCAGCCTCGCTCCTGGTCGAGCCGGGCGCACATGCTCCCGCCGTGCAGCAATCCGATCCCCAAAGGCCTGGGCCCCAGTCTGTCAGGCACTCTACTATACCAGGACCATCCTCGAGAGGGACACAGGTGCAGTGGGAAACTGCGCAGGCTCAACAAAGACTACATCACGATGAAGACGACTTCGGTGCCGTACCCGACGGTTCGCGGCCCACTGCCCCGGCGAGGAGGCTGGGGCTCAAGAGTCATCCCAAGGAGAAGGCCATGTTCAGATGGGCTAATGTCTCCAATCTGGACGCCTTCACTAATGAGGTCTATGACTACTATCTCGGCGCAGGCCTCTGGTGCATCCTCCTCGACAGGTTTCTCCACATCATGTAAGTGGTTCGGTTGGTAAAAGTTGGAGAGTCCCAAACTGACTGGCCGCAGAAAGGTGGTTTTCATGGCCACGATGCTGACCTTGCTGACCCAGTGCATCGACTTCACAATCATCAGGGATAGCAAGAGCCTGTCGCAGATCATGATCCCCAAGTGCACCAAGAACATGTGGGGGATATGGAACTTGGGGCTGTGGTTGTGCAGCTTCTATGTCATATGGAAGATAATCCAGTATACGCTCGACTTGCCGAGGCTGATGCACATCCGCGACTTCTACATCTACCTGCTGGAGATACCCGAGGACGACATGCAGACTGTCTCCTGGCAGGACGTCGTGTCGCGCATCACTGGCCTGAGGGACCAGAACGTCAAGACCGCCAGCAACATCACCCCTTCCCAGCGGCGCTTTCTGTCTAAGCAGCTGGGCCGCCACATGGTCGGCCAAGCCAAGGAGAGGCTTGATGCCCATGACATTGCCAACAGACTGATGAGGCGCGAGAACTTCATCATCGCCCTCTTCAACAAGGACATCCTTGACTTGACCGCCCCGATCCCGTTCCTGCGGAACAGACAGTTCATCTCGCGCTCTCTGCTGTGGACGCTCCAGTTCAGCATCTTGGATCTTGTATTTAATGAGAACAACCAAGTCCGCCTACAAGTGCTCAAATCAGACCACCGCGGGGCGTTGAGCCGGGATCTGAGGAAGCGATTTGCATTCGCAGCAGTTATGAACCTGATATCAGCCCCTTTTGTCGCGGGGTTCCTGCTGATTGATTTCCTCTTTACCTACTACAATGTGAGTGTTCAGCGACCTTGTCTTTGGCGTATCTAATCGTAGCCCTAGGAGTTCAAAACCAACACCTCGGCAGCCGGCACGCGGCAGTACACCCCGCTGGCAGAATGGAAATTCAGGGAGTTCAATGAGCTTCCCCATCTCTTCAGAGAACGTTTGAACATGTCTTATCCGTTTTCCAAACATTATGTCGATCAATTCCCGAAAATGAAGACAGAGTCCGCTGCCCGCGCAGTGAGGTTCATCACGGGCGCCATCATCGCTGTCCTAGCTATTGTCGGTTTCTCAGACCCCGAAATGTTTGTCGACTTTGAGATTTTCCCAGGCATGAATGCGCTCGCTTTCCTGGCGGTTTGCACAACTACCTGGGCTGTGGCCCATGGCCAGCTATCGGAAGAAAACGACGTGTTCGATCCTGAATATGCACTGCGGAACGTTATCGAGTACACGCACTATGAGCCTGATCAATGGAAGGACCGTCTTCACAGCTACGAAGTTAAAGCTGAGTTTGATGCGCTCTATAAAATCAAGATTGTCATCTTCTTGGAGGAGATCTTGGGCATCCTGTTGACACCTTTGATCCTGTTCTTCAGCCTGCCCAAGTGCGCCGATTTAATCATCGACTTCTTTCGTGAGTTTACGATCCACGTGGACGGTCTTGGCTACGTCTGCTCCTTTGCTGTCTTTGATTTCCAGAAGGATCCCCGGAACACGAGACAGCAGGGTAACCCGAGCGACGCACGCGAGGACTATTACGCGACCAAGCATAACAAGATGGCAGCGTCCATGCATGGTTTCCTGGATAATTACGTCTACAACCCCAGGACGGGTCTGCCCGGTAGCCATCCACTAGGTCCAGCAGGGCGTTATTCGTTCCACCCACCACCTGCTTTCCCAGGTCTGAACTCGCCCACCCTTGTTGCAGACATGAGGGCATCTCGAATGGGTCGAAGCGAGAGGCCGCGAAGCCGGGCACCCCCCACACAACAAGCCGGCAAGACACCCAGATTTGGGCCTGTCATGCCACAGCCGTCACCTATGGCGTCTATGCTCCTCGATCCTCACCACCAGCCTTCAGCATCCGTGGTGGCAGCGAGAGGAAATCACCGAGTCCGGCAGTTGCGGGCTCCGTACCTCGGCGACGGCGGCATCACCGAAGAGTCCATGGAGGAGCCGGGCCCGGCGGCAAGCATGCTGCAGCGGCAGCACACGACATACACCGACGAGGACGTTGAGGAGAGTGTAGCGCGTCTGGGGGAGTCCACATGGGAAGGGTCGCCCAGGAAGGGACTCAGTCGTCAGAACAGCGGCGCGCCAGACAGCGAGGACGGGCCGGGCGTCGTCAAGATGATGCAACAGTTCCAGCAGATCGCGATGAACAACAGGACGGGAGGTGTTCTGTAGGATTTGGTGTTCGGTTCGTAATGGAGTCTTGGGCGTCACGTAGAATAGGACCCTTGCTGATTGGGAAAGCGGCATGATTAGGCAATGTCGGAGTAGGCCTTGTTACTGGTGTTCTTGCGGCGTTTCTCACACATAGCATATCACGGCATGATAGACCTTTTGTGGCATTGGTATGGTTTGGTTTGGTTTGGTTTGGTCTGGTTTAGAGCCTGGAATTGAGATGGCCGATATTGCAGCCCTTTTGCACAATGCATCGAGATGCAGCCGCACACGTCGTGGTGGTAGGCTTCTGACCCTGCCCGATGATATTTTTTTTCTTTTGGCCCAAAACAAGCTGGAGCAGACATACACGACCCTGAACGCCTTTGGCCCTTTTTCGTGACCACATAGCCCCATTGGAAAAGGAAAAAAAAATTGAAACACAACGCCGGTAGTCAGTGGGTTTTCGTCGCATGGGAGAAGCCGGCTGGCGATTACCGGCCGCCCCTGCTGAAACCACCACCGCCACGACCGCGGACGCCAGAGCCTCCCCTGCTGAAGCCGCCGCCGAAGCCGCCGCCGCCTCCACGGCCACCACCTCTGCCGCCAAAGGAACCGCCGCCACGGCCGCCTCCTCTTGAGAAACCTCCGGCACCGCCTCTGCCGCCTCCGCGTGCACCGAATCCACCACGGCCGCCCCTCGAAAAGCCTCCGGGGCCCCCACGCGCACCGCCGCCGCCCCTGGGCTTCTTGACGCGGGCGGCACCCGGCGGGGGTTTGGGCTTGGGCAGGAACTTCTCCATAGGCAGCAGCTTCTCGGAGCCGATGAAGAACTTGTCGCCGGGCTTGAAGCTGCCGGCCTGGATACCCTCGGAGGGCTTGATGGTGAAGTAGACCTGGTTGATGGGGCCGAGGACCTCGTCGACCTTGCCGACGGCCGTCTTGTTCTCGAGGAAGATCTGGGCGTTGAAGTGCGGCACCTTGGGGTTGGACGACTCGCATACCATCTCGCCCTCGCAGGCGTGCATGAAGGAGCCGAGCTCGAGGATCTGGGCGGGCGGGCCGAAGTCGCGCTGCTGGAAGCCGCCGCGGCCTGGGAAACGACGAGTTCTTGTTAGCTGTCTATGCTTGCTGGGTGGCTCGCGTGCCTCCTTGTCTCGGTATCGTAATCTCCAAGGCAAGAAATACAGAAATACAGGCATGCAGACGGCCATGCAGACAGAGCGAGAGAGGAAGAGGGAGGGGGGGAGAAAAAAAGAGCTTACCACCTCCTCGGCCACCACCGCCGCCGCCAAAGCCGCCCCGGCCTCTGGGGGTTCCTCTGAAGGACATGGTCACAATGTCAACGTATCGTGCGTCGCCGACTGCCCGGGATGAGTTGCTTGACGTTCCGGACGGGTTGGGGGGAGGCGAGTCGGATCGTTGCTTTGTGTGGGCGCAAAACGGTCGCTTGCCTGGGTCTCTCACCTGAGAATTTCGTCTCTCAATCGAAAGCTTGCACTAACTTTCTCTGGGCCGTGCATTGGAATTTTTTTGCTAGAGCTTGAACATTATTTCTCCGGCTGCCGAACGGACCGTCAGGACAGAAATTCCAGTGGACGAGCCCAGGCGGCTTGTGGTGGGTCTCCACTAAAGAGGGGCAGCACAGCGGGCCACTACTTGGGTGTCTCGATACCTAGGTACCTACCTAGGTAGTCAAGACATGGGCAGTGGCCTGAGTGGTTTGCCGCAGCAGGTCATGACTGTCGGGTACCGCTGTACCACTTGACAGTACCTACCTTAGGTAGGCACTGGACGCCGCTCAGACCCCTGGACCACGGACGGGAGCCGACATGCCGCCTGCTCTTCTGTCTTTTTTTGCGGAGAGAGGAGTTGGGAGGGGCGGGGCCCTGGGCTGGCTGGCTGTCTGTCTGTCTGTCTGTCGACTCACATCTATTTTGACTTAGACAAGCCACGGGCGTCGAGACGGTGTAGGTGACACATTGGTCGTATCGCCGTCTTCGCTGCTCCTGCTCCTGCTCCTGCTTCTTCTCCTTCTACATTTCCACTGCATGCACGCGGGCCAGTTGACCCATTCCCCGAGACCACGAGAGTGACTCACAACACACTCGATTCTGTCCGACCATATATTCCGTCTTGACGAGACCGTGGAGCCCTTCAGGTCCAAGGCGGTTTAGATCGATGCATTGAACCCCACCAAGCACTGGCCTGGCTGTACTTTTCATATCCTCCATTTACCCCCCACCATCGACCGCCCTGCTGCCACAGCCCACGTAAAACCACCTCCCCTCTGCCCTGCCCTGCCCTACGCTGTACGATTGCGACTGCGATTGCGACTGCGTGACCGCCCGCCATGGAAGCAGCAAAGCAGGCCATCGAGGCCGCCACCGAGGGCGTCAAGAACCTGGCCGTCGGCACCGACGCCAAGAAGCCCCAGGCCCCCAAGAAGGAGAAGAAGGCCAAGGCCGGCGCCGACGCCGCCTCGGGCCCCCTCGAGATGAAGCCCGAGCCCGACTTCCTGAAGCACCGTGTCGAACTGTTCGACCGCATAAAGAAACGCCAGGATGAGGAGCTCGCCAAGAAGCCCCGCGAACCCATCACCATCACCATGCCCGACGGCAGCATCAAGGCCGGCACCTCGTACGAGACCACCCCCGGCGACATCGCCAAGGGCATCAGCAACAGCCTGTACAAGCGCACCGTCGTCGCCCGGCTCGACGGCGACAAGGAGCAGCTGTGGGATCTGGAGCGGCCCCTCGAGCGCAGCTGCAGGCTTGAGCTGCTCGACTTCGAGGATGAGCAGGGCAAGATGGTCTTCTGGCACTCGTCCGCCCACATCCTGGGCGAGGCTTCCGAGCGCCGCTTCGGCTGCAGCCTCTGCATCGGCCCGCCCATCGACAACGGTTTCTACTACGAGATGGGTCTTCCAGGCGGCGCAGCCGTCCAGACCACCGACTGGAAGCCCATCGAGACCATCGTCTCTTCCATCGTCAAGGAGAAGCAAAAGTTCGAGCGCCTGACCATGACCAAGGACGAGCTGCTCGAGATGTTCAACTACAACAAGTACAAGCAGCACATCATCAAGGACAAGATTGCCGATGGCACCTCTACCACTGTCTACCGCAACGGGCCCCTGATCGATTTGTGCAGGGGGCCTCACGTGCCCGACACTGGCAGGATCGAGGCCTTTGCCATCATGAAGAACTCGGCCTCGTACTTCCTGGGCGACAACAAGAACGACTCCCTGCAGAGGATCTACGGTGTCTCCTTCCCCGACAAGAAGAAGATGGCCGAGCACAAGAAGTTCCTCGAGGAGGCCGCCAAGCGGGACCACCGAAAGATCGGCAAGGACCAGGAGCTGTTCTTCTTCAGCGACATGTCCCCCGGATCCGCCATGTGGCTACCCCACGGCACCAGGATTTACAACACTCTGCTGGAGTACATCCGCGAGCAGTACTGGAAGCGAGGCTACCAGGAGGTTATCACCCCCAACATGTACAACTCGGAGCTGTGGAAGCAGTCGGGCCACTGGAACTACTACAAGGACGACATGTTCGTCATCGATATGGAGGAGAACGTCAAGTTTGGTCTGAAGCCCATGAACTGCCCCGGCCACTGTCTGTTGTTCAGCCACCGTGAGAGGTCGCACCGCGAGTTGCCATGGCGGGTTGCCGATTTCGGTGTGCTCCACAGAAACGAGGCCACCGGCGCCCTGTCCGGCCTCACCCGCGTGCGCAGGTTCCAGCAAGACGATGCCCACATATTCTGCCGCGAGGACCAGATCAAGGCTGAGATGAGCGACCTGTTCGACTTCCTGCACGAGATGTACGGTCTCCTGGGCATGACCTTCAAGCTGAAGCTCTCCACCCGGCCCGAGAAGTATATGGGTGAGATCGCTACCTGGGACAGGGCCGAGGGCATGCTGCGCGAGTCACTGGATGAGTTCACCGCCAACGGAGGTGGCGCCTGGTCTCTCAACGAGGGTGACGGAGCTTTCTACGGACCCAAAATCGACATCACCATCGTCGACTGCTTGAACCGCGACTGGCAATGTGCCACCATCCAGCTCGACTTCATGCAGCCTCAGAACTTTGGTCTGGAGTACATGACCAACGAGGGCGCACAGAAGAAGGAGGACTCCGACAAGCCTGCTGACGGCCCCAAGCCCAAGGTCAAGAACCCACAGGCCGTCATCGACTCCGCCCAGGCGGCCAGAGAAAAGGCCTCTGAGCCCGCTGCTGTGGATGGCAAGGATGCACCAAAGAAGGAGAAGGAACGAGTCATCAAGCCTGTTTCCGCCGGCTGTGCCCGTCCTGTTATGATTCATCGTGCCATGGCCGGCAGTATCGAGCGGTTCACCGCCATTCTGTGCGAGCACTTTGCTGGCAAGTGGCCGTTCTGGCTGTCGCCCAGGCAGATCCTGATCATCCCCGTTGGTGTTGGCTTCTACGACTACGCCGAGGAAGTACAGAAGATCTTCCGACAGGAGAAGATGTACGTGGATGTTGACCTGAGCGGTAACACCCTCCAAAAGAAGATTCGTACCGGCCAGCTGAGCCAGTACAACTTCATTTTTGGTAAGTCACAATCAAGCCTGGCAAGTGGCGGTCGGGAACCTAGCTAACATGTTCACAGTGGTCGGCGACGAGGAAATGAAGGGCAGACAGGTCAACGTCAGATGGCGTGACGACACCTCGGCCCAGGACCGTGGCAAGCCGATTGCTCTAGACGAGGCGGTTGAGAAGCTCAGCAAGCTGAAGGCCGACCGTGGCTCCTACAACCCCTTCCCGTCGATTGTCAAGCCGGGGGCGGCAAAGGAGGATGCCAAAGAGGCGGCGGCTTAAGAGTCACGTTGTCCAGTCATGTGCCTAATCATAGAAGGAGCAGAAACGACATCCGTGTTGACGGGGCATAGCTTGATGTACGTGGCTGACATGAATAGACAGAAAGAGAACAAAATCAAAACAGAGAGACTCCATACCGCCGGGAAACAAAATTCCTCAGTCGTCCGTCGGTGATGTTTCAACTTGCAGCTTGAGCCGACTTGGCAACTCCCCCCCCTTGGGTGTAGAGACAAACCCAACCAATGATGAAACGTGACTTGAGGGTCGTGATGAAAGAAATCCGGCGGCGATGGCCAAATGTCTCTTGGATTGTCAGCTCGAACAGAGAGGCGCTATAACTGTCATGCTGTCGATGGTTTAGCGACGCTAACTGGCTTTAAAGGGAAACAACGCTCTGACGGTTTCTCTAACCCCGCATCCCACGACGGCAGGGCTTTTGCAGACATTCAAAGTCCCTCGATTTACACTTCTTGGGCTGTCTCTGCCATGTTGGTGGATGAAGTGATTTCATGTTCTATGAAGGTGCCGACGTGCAGCGGAACCTTAACAGAACTCATCCAAGCTTGCCTCGACCAGGCGCCGCCGCTGATACTCGGCCACGGCAGGAAAAGCCACGAGGCCAACTCAAAGCAATGCCCACGCGAGCTGCGTTCAATTCTCGAGGAGCGCCATAGTCCTCGCAGATACGAAGCAATCTTGCGGCCGAGTCGGCAGAACGTCACCTCGTGTGGACGTGCCGAGAGCCGCGGTTCGGGTTACACAAAAGGCCAGTCCGCTCGGAGGGGCAAGACAGCAGAACTGACTGCCGAGCTCCTCATTGTCAGGAGAATCACAGTGAAACGATATGCAATATGGTACTCACTGTTGTCGACGTCGTTAATCTTGCCTGACTGTCGAGCAACCTACAGATCTGTATTAGACCAGATGACCACAGGGTTGATATGAAAAACTCACGGTCGTCGCTCAAAGGCGACCGCTAGATACCGAGTGCCAGAATTAAGCCATGACGAATCGCTCGGGTTTGCTTGGCAACTGAATGCTATATACAGCTTGCATAGAGTTGGGGATGTCCGAAGCAGGAACTTATTGCAGTCAAAGATAGTCAAGATCATCTGGCGCTAGCGTCGCGCATGCTGAACGACAGCCTTGGCTAACTGGAAAGCTTATTCGCTATTGGGTTCCCAATGGGCAGACTACCCTCAGAGTGGGCTTGGCTTGACTTGACATCCTCCCTGAATCAGCCTCATCCGTGCTGCCGAACTCACTCCATTGCTCGCAATGTCTGGCGACTTCGAGAGCAGACGCCACCCCCATAGGCGGGCACTGAAGTACAGGTAGAAAAATAAACGCATCATACTTTCAGAGACACGCAGAGGTATCGGTGCCACGGTCGGTAATTGGATACCAAACACCAGGTTCACCATTTGACAGGAATGTCTCAGTTTTCCGTACGTTTATTGCTTGAGTGGCCGTTCGGGTTCCTCTTAGCTTTCGGTAGGTGTACGTACCCGCAAAGTCAGAAAATTTCAAGCTTTTGACATCCATCCAGAAAAGCCTCGCTGCATGGTGATATGCAAGACCCAAGATCCGAGATGCATGTTTCATGAGACCAAGCGATACCGAGACAAGAGATTTCAAGGTATTCGGACCGTCTGACCAGGTGGTTTCCTTTTCGAGGCTCCCCAGGTATGTGAAGCTTTCTGTGTATTCATATTCCCACCGTGACGTAACTATCCATGTTCTCAAGCTGAGATCCTTGCTGTCGCCGTCTACAGTTTGCCTAGTTGGGACTTTTCGGCATGTAAATCGATGGCCATCAGCAATCCCCGGGCTAGCCCCTATGGAGCTCTGATACTTCGGCCTTCAGGATCGTATAAGTCAATAGGTCGTCCAAAAAGCCTTATTTGTGCCAACGTGGCGCTGACTTATCCCTCACTTAGACCTCGATCCAGTAAGCCGCATTGTTATGGCACCGAGTAACCATCACAATGTTGCTTCTAGATGTTGTGAATTTGCCTGGTATAGTTCAATCTCCACCAGCCTTCGGTTTCCTTTCAATGTCTCCTCCGCATTTTATTTGCTACCAAAGTACATGATGGGGCTATCAAGCTTTCCCGCCGCTTTTATGTCCCAATAGCTCCTAGAGATATTGCTGTTCCTCGTAACCACCTGGACACCTGAACTTCGAGTGATTTAGTTGCCGTCCCTTCCGCTTTCCGTCCATCGTAATATTTGTCAAGAAAGTTCTTCAGGATCTCCTAAGAGGATTCAAAACCTTCTGAGGGGACATTCATGCCACATGAGAAACAGCTCGCGTACGCGGCTTCGAGAATATCAAGTGGATCGCCATGGCAGTAAACAACGACAAAACTGCTCGAACGTCACGCTCTGCCAGCCCTGCCAACTTCCACGCAGATGCAGACCTACTTCACGCGACAGAGGCCATGCAGCGTGCTGCAGAAGCTATGATGGCAGCCTCTGAAACATTCAGGAACCGGTTATCCGCGTCAAACAGCTACCAATAATACAATTCAGGGCTTGCTGACCAGACTGACCGACCAATGTCTGCCCATGAGCCGGCCGATGTGTCTCAGGCATGGGAAGCAGACTCATGGACAAGTTCTACATACAACCAACAGACAGTCCCAGTGACATCGTGTCCGTCGCCGCAGATGTATACACCAGAGGGTTTCTCGACACCACCTTTCGTTCCACCAACACGAAGGTCTCTACCAGCAAGACCGGTGCCGTCAGCCTCAAGGAATAGCTCCGTTGGCATGTGGAGGCAAAATGACTGGGGGAGTAGCGAGTTCGGTAGAGTTGACACACTGCAGCGTGTAGACGCATCGTCGTCATCAAATCCACCAACACCAAGTTTCACAGCCAGTTCCGCAGGAAATATTTCGAACATCTCCCAATACCAACGCAACTCTGCCAGCCAGGTCGATCTTCGGTCTTTGGGGAAGCCTATCCCCTCTTATGGAGCATCGAGTTCAACCACCATTGTAGACCCGGAGCAGAGATCGCCGGGGGGGTCGAGATCATCGCCGAGAGGAAGCTTCGATAAAAGTCGCGTCTCTGCTCATACAATTTCACACTCTGACTTGAATGCGACGACCAGAAAACCGCTGAGAGATTCCAATGCCACCACATTGAGGTCGTCGAGGACAGGTTCATATCATACCAGCCCGGAGATCCTAGATGGGGAATTAACACCAACCTCTTTCCAGATCGGCCGACATACATATCTCCGGCATGAGACACAGCCAGATCTAGGGGCACAAGCAGAAAAGCAGCTTCCGGACAAGCCGAGGAAGGGCAAGCCTGGAGGCCCGCCGCTCGCGCTCTGGCATGAAATCCTCTTTGTGCTGATCATTGCCAAAGCCCAGGCACTCATGCTCGCTGGCGTTTCGCAGGCATTGATACCGGCCAAGATCATTGGGGACTCGTTCGGGTTATCCAAGCCGGCGGATCTAGCCTGGTTTTCGGCCGCGTATGCCCTCACGTCCGGCACCTTTGTCCTCCCAGCCGGGCGGCTAGGTGATCTATTCGGCCACAGGAAGATCTTTATCCTGGGCTTCTTCTGGTTCGCAATCTGGAGTCTCATCACCGGCTTCGCCCTTCGGGTTCACCAGAGCGGTGCAAATGGCGTCGTCTTTTTCAACGTCTGCCGTGCCATCCAGGGTATCGGCCCTGCTCTCCAGGTACCCAACGGTCAGGCCATGCTCGGCCGTGCTTACACCCCGGGGCCTCGCAAGGCATTGGTCATGAGTCTCTTTGGCGCCTCGGCTCCGTTTGGCTTCGTGGCTGGCGGTGCAATGGCCAGTATGTTTGCACAGGTCGCTACCTGGCCTTGGGCCTTCTGGGTTCTGGCAATAGTCTGTTTACTTTTCGGTACGGCGTCCATTTTCATCCTTCCCTCTTCGCCAACCAGAAAGATTGAGCAGGGTGAGAGCATGTGGGTTCTGCTCGATGGCCGGGGCATTCTCTTGGGAGTGACCGGGCTGGTATTCTTTAACTTTTCCTGGAATCAGGCTGCTCAGGTCTCCTGGCGGACACCATATACATACTTCCTCCTCATCATTTCCATACTTCTGCTTGCGGCATTCATCTACGCCGAGATGCACGCCGCACACCCCCTCGTGCCCATCTCCGCTATGCAGTCACATACGAATTTTGTTCTTGCCTGTACCGCGGCGGGCTGGGGCTGCTTCTCCGTTTGGGTATTTTACTCGTTCCAGTTCCTCGAGGACCTCCGCGGCTGGACACCACTACTCGCCGCAGCCTCGCACTCGCCGGGCCCCGTCACGGGCCTGATTGCCTCACTCCTCGTGGCGCGCTACATGATGCGCCTGGGCCCGCACTGGATCATGTTGATCAGCATGTGCGCTTTCTTCGCCGGCAGTCTGCTCATGGCCACGGCGCCGGTGGGCCAGACGTATTGGGCCAACACGCTCCTATCGGTGCTCATCATGCCCTTCGGCATGGACATGAGCAACCCGGCCGCCACCATCCTTATGAGCAACAGCGTCGCCCGCGAGCACCAGGGTATCGCCGCCAGCCTTGTCGTCACTGTCGTCAACTACAGCATAAGCACCGCCCTCGGCTTCGCTGCCACCATCGAGACCCAGGTCAACCGGACGGGCGACGACGTGCTGCGCGGCTTCCGCGGCGCCCAATACTTTGGCGTCGGCCTGGGCGTCCTCGGCGTGGTGGTAGCCCTGGCGTTCGCCCTTTCGGCGAAGAATAAGAGCGGCACTGCAGGCCCACCATCGTCGTTATCCATGGGAGGGCCTCCCGGCCGCTTGGTTGAGCCGCATCCGGGCGAACAGACGTCGGATGTTGAGGCGCCCCCTCCTCTGCCGAGTAAGGGGTGATGAGAGGCTCGTGGGAAGGGGGGTATGGCCCATCTACATATGTATAGGTAAGCTTACTGGATGTGGTAGCCTGGGCTTTATCCGCTTTGCTTCCTCTTACTATATTATAATTCCTCAACACAGTTTGATTTAGTACTCTACTACGCGGCCTCCTAGCAATGAGTCCCAGTCAAAGTCATATTTTCTTGCACCTATGTGCTTAATGCCTAGAGCCGTTCCCATCAACGAGGAAACTGTTGTCGCCTTTCCAGTTCCTTATTTTCTTTGTTGACGCCTTTTGCTTCAGCTCCCAGGCGGAGTGACACACCTAGGTGATTCAGACTCGGTGACTCTACCTGGGCCAGACTGCCATCGCGGCCACCTCTGTGTATGTTGGGCCCCTGGTCGACTGTGCTATCGCTGCTGCCATTGCTGCTCACACTCGTGCGCGGCGAGGTCCATACCGGTGACGTCGGCGAGAGGCACTCGGGACAGGCGCACTGCTCGGGGCGGTCGATGGACAGGGTCGGCGCGATAGGTTTCATCTTAATTCGGGCTGGGATACGTATCTGGGTTGCCGTATTGATGACGATGTGGCGGGTATATTGCGTTCTCAGAGCGGCACGTCCTGGACTTATATTTGCCCTTTCAGATTTTGATGCTTCGCTCCAGTAAGTGGATTGAGGTTTACAGGTTGAAAGGCTATAGGGGTGTGGAGTAGAGTTGTTCAATGAGCCGCATTACAAGGGAAAGGGAGCTCGTGAACCAATTCAATGCAGTTGAGTCTGGATAAAATCGAGGTGATCATTTGGGGACTCCAGAAATTCTGGCTGAGAGTCATCACGTCACAGTACAGCCCAAAGCTTGCGAGGTCGTGGGAAAGCTTGTTCTGCTGCCGCACGTGTCATGCGCGGTCTTGTTTGGGCGAAGCTTTACAGGGACAAGGACGACTGGAAGACATTGGTCACTTGCTCGATAATTCTGCCTAACTCAAGAATGATGACTTCAAATGACCATTGTAGGGTACGAGATGTCGCTGCTACTTAAGGGCTACTGAAGTCTAGAGATTGCCCGCCCGAGTTAGATTCGCGAGCACGCCGAACACGAATTCCACGCCAGTACGGACTAGGTCATCGTGGCAGGTGACTGTCATACAGGAACCGCATTTTGATTGGCTTTTTTTTTTTTTTTTTTTTTTTTTTTTTTTTTTGGTTTAAAA